TATCTACGACTACTTCGCCAAGGACTACTCCATTCGTCTGCAGTACCCTGGTCTCCCTCTCGTCAAGATGACCAAGGGCAAGAGCACTGTCCTTCCCATGGAGGTTCTGATGGTGAAGGAGAACCAGCGCTATGCCTACAAGATGGATGAGCGTCAGACCTCCAACATGATCAAGTTCGCCGTCACCCCGCCTCCAGAGCGTTGGGCATCCATTGAGCAGGGCCTCAAGATGCTCGACTGGCCCAACGACCCGATGCTGAAGAAGTACGGCATGAAGATCAACACTCAGAAGACTGTCGTCGAGGCTCGTCTCCTTACTGCTCCCACCGTGAAGTTCGGCACTGGTGAGGCCAAGCCAGGCACCTCTGGCCGCTGGGATCTGAAGGGCAAGAAGTTCTTCCAGCCCAACACCGTCCCTCTCAAGAGCTGGTCCGTGACTGTCATCTCCGGCCGTCGTGGTGGCAAGCCCGACAAGTCCGCCATCGAGCGCTTCATTGGCCAGTTCGTCACTGGCTACAAGAACCACGGAGGTCGTGTTGAGAACAGCAACCCGCAGATGTCGCTTGCTGCTGGTGACGACGTCGGCGCTTGGGTGACTGCTGCCTGGAACGCAGCCGGCAACCAGTCTCAGTCTCGTCCCCAGATGCTCATGTTCATCCTCCCCGACAAGGACAGCCAGGTCTATGGTCGCATCAAGCGCTCAGCTGAGTGCCGCTACGGTGTTGTCTCCCAGTGCGTTCAGTACGCCCACGTTCAGAAGTGTCAGCCCCAGTACATCTCGAACGTGTGCATGAAGTTCAACGCGAAGCTGGGAGGTATCACTTGCCGCGCCTCTGGCCAGAAGACTGCCGGCCCCGCGGGCATCTTCCAAGTTCCGACCATGATCATCGGCTCCGACGTCTCCCACGCTGCTCCTGGTGCCCAGACTCCCTCCATGGCCGCCATTACCGTCTCCCTCGACAAGCTTGCCACTCGTTACGCAGCTCTGTGCCAGACCAATGGCTTCCGCGTTGAGATGATCAACACCGACATCCTCACCCAAGAGCTGAAGCCGATGGTTCAGCACTGGATGCAGACAGTCAACAACGGCAAGGTTCCTAGCACCATCATCTACATGCGTGATGGTGTCTCCGAGGGCCAGTACGCCCAGGTGCTCGAGCAGGAGGTACAAGATCTCAAGAAGCTGATTCGCTCCGCCGATGGCAACGCCAATGTCAAATTCATCGTCATCGTCGGCTCCAAGCGCCACCACGTCCGCTTCTTCCCAGAGAAGGGCGATCGCAACGGCAACGCTTTCCCAGGCACTCTCGTCGAGACCGGCGTCACCAACCCGCACGAGAATGACTTCTACCTGCAGTCGCACGCCGCCATCAAGGGTACTGCTCGGCCTGTCCATTACTACGTCCTCCTCAACGAGGCGAACATGCCGAACGATCAGCTCCACACTCTCCTCTACGAGCACTCGTACCAGTACCAGCGCGCCACGACGCCCATCTCGCAGCATCCCGCCATCTACTACGCCCATCTGGCCTCCAACCGTGCTGTGCCCCACGACCCCAACTGGGCTGGCAGCAGCGACGGTGTTCCCACGAGCCAGACTCGTCCTCGCTCTGGCTCTCAGTCGGGCTCCCAGGGCAAGTCGGGTTCTCAGGGCAAGTCGGGCTCGTCGTCGGGCATCCCAGGCGACTTCCCCAAGCTGCTCGACATGCCCAACCAGGGCAACATCATGACCTCGATGTGGTACATCTAAGGGGTTATCTCATTCACGCAAGTCTCAATTGAGGCATTGGCACGACGAACGGGAGTTCAGACAGATGAGATTCAACGGGGATGATTGAGCGATTTGATTTCCTTCTCCTTGCTGTACTAGTAGAATAGAAAAACCAAACAGATGCCCAAGGTGGCACACCAAATCTTCTTCTCCCCTTCCCCCGTGAAATGATAGGCACTATTACTCCGAGCGTCGATTTGATGGCATGGAATCTCTATTATTCCCGGGGATATTAATGTATTTGAAGAGTGTAATGCTGGAGCCAGAGTGCAGACTCTGCGATCCTCGAGCTCATCTCCTCTGAAGACTTGAGAAACTTCTACGTCTAGAAGGAAGCAGCATCCCCAAGCAAGGGATGCGCACCATTACCCCGAGTACCTGCTTGATGGCATGGACTCTCTATGATTCCTGGGGATATCAACAGATAAGAAGAATACAACTGACTCTGGGATCCTCGAGCTCATCTTGTTTGAAGGCAAGAAAATCTTCTACATTTGGAAGAAACTAGCAAGCATCCCCAAGCAAACAATAGGCACTATCTCTGCAAGAGCCGATTTGATAGTATGGTCTCTTCATTATTCACGGGGATAACAACAAGGAAAAGCAGAGGTTCTACTGCGCCAGATCCTGGAATCCTTAGGGCTTCGTCCTTTGAAGACACGAGAAGCTTCTACGTCTGGAAGGACGTATCCCCAAGCAAATCACGGGCACTGCTACTCCGAGTGACGATTCGATGGCATAGAGTCTCCACTTGTCACGGGGATATTAATGCATTTCATGCCGGAGCTACAGACTCTGCGATCCTCGAGCTTATCTTCGCTTCTCTGGAAAGAGGCAAACATCCCCACGGAAAGAATAGGCGCTATTCCTACAAGAGCCGATTTGATAGCATGGACCCTCCATTATTCACGGGGATATAAATACATTTGAAGAATTGAATGCCGGTGCCACGAACTCTGCAATCCTCGAGCTCAACTTCTCTAAACACTTCAGAAGCTTCCTCGCCTGGAAGTCAGCCTTTCCCAAGTAAACTCCAGATCTCAGCATGCTCTCCATTGCGATCGAGAGCATGAACCCTCCAATACTCCCTGAGATATCAACACACAGCAAGAATGTAATGCCCGAGCCAGACTCTGAGATCCTTGGACTTCTCGTCGTTGGAGGCACAGGAAGTTTCTACGTCTAGAAAGAAGCAAACACTCCTAAGCAAAAGAGGGATACCATCACTCTGGATCTACATCCCATAGCATGTAATCACCGTCATTCTCGGGGAAAGAGATGTATCGTGGGAGAAGGAGAGATGGAGGGAGGAGTGTGGCGGGCGGCCTGGCGGATTTGTGATTAGAGAAGTTGGAAGTTGGTGTTGACAAAGAAGAAGGAGGGCTTCCCGAGCAAAAGGTCGGTCTCAAAGCGTGGAGAGGGAGATTCGAGAGCATGGACGAATGGGTTGTTATGGGGATTGGAGATGATTCGAGAGTGGATATGGATGAGATACATTTCAAGATGCTGCTCGACATTGGCGCCTTTGGAAAGCTGGAAACTTCTTTGCCAGAAAAATGATCGATCTCTCAAGCAAACCGTCGATGACTATGCTCGGCTCCTAGCTCCGCATATACCAGTCTAAAGGCTTTTCTAGGAGAAGACCTCCAATTTCTAAACGTATAAGACATTCGTGACGGACGGCAGATCTCGATGTGATCAGCCGACAGTTAGGTGCACATCTTCGCGGTGTTCGAGGAGAGTGAATAGAGCTGGGCACAATGCGAAGGTGGAGGAAGTGTAATTTGCTTTGCTTGAGAATGCCATACCAGAAGACTCAGGGGCTAGTCTCTCACAGGGAAAAACGGGCCATCTAGGTGGTAGGTTGGGCCTCATCTCCGGACTTCAGGATCGAGAGCATCGATATACGACGATGGTCGAAAAAGGATCAAAACAAAGTCGGGAGCAGCAAAGAGGGAAGGTCTCCGCGGACCTAGATGCTCATGTTCGAGAACGGGAACGGGAAGCGGAGACATGTTACCAGTACTCCTCAAAGGATTTGACCAGGAGTTTGGGAGAAGCGACATTCCGTGTTTTGAGTGTCTTTGCTCTGCATGTAGGCTGGGAAAGATCGCACCAGAATTATTTATGGGGGTAGGTCAAAGTCTCAAGGGCAAGGGGGTGGAACTCTTCCCACCGCATCTCGTCGTCTCTTGCGTGTCGATGAATTGCGCCCATTGCCCGACATCTTCAGATACAAACGAACCGTAGTTTCAGCCCATGAGGAGATCAAGCGAAGACGGGACTCGTGAATGAAGAAAGGAGAAGGTAGGAGATTCTGCATGTGCTCGCTCAAAGGATGACGAAATAGACAATAGGGAGAATCTGTGTGGGAGACGTGATGGGGAATGGGAGATACGAGTGCAAGGGAGCTCTATGCATTTCCTCTTAAAGAACAGAGAGATGAAGAGGGGAGACCAGTGTGCAACCGTGCAAGGTCGACAGATCTGGGAGCTGAAATGGAACTTGACCCCATTCCAGCCCTGAACTGCCCATCCCTGGCTTGCTTCGCTCAGTGGGGAGGATATGGAATCTGGGAGATAGAAGATGTCCGGTGATGCAGTATCTCTACTTGCTCAAGCAGATGGATTGATGTTATGATGATAATGCCGTGTTCGAGGAGTGGCGAGAATGCTGAAGAGGAAAGTCACCTCCGCCAGTCCTCAAGGAATAGCAACTCACACACGAAGATGTCAACGGCCGGAAGTAGGAGTTGGCAGACGGGAGAAAATGAAACTCGGAAAACATCCTCATCACCAGCCGCCTCTCAGTAGCCATCCATTTCAGTCATTTTATCTACATCCACTCTCATGCCACATGTCTCGTACAAGCGACAGTGCGGAGCAGAGGGTACATTTATCCAGCCCATGCCATGCCGTTTTCCGTCCCCATTACAAGAAAATCACAAACTCCGGAGAAACGCCCATCATGATGCCGCTAACTTGAGTCTTTATGCAGTGCAGGTGAGCTGATGGTCAGCAGCTCTGGTATCGTCCAAGCAAAGCTGGGTGTCCTCTATCCTTTTCGTTCGCCAGTGCTTCGTACACGTTCGCTCTTCGCAAGCCATTAGGTCGTTGTTCGCCATGTGGTGAGCTTCTTGAGCTTCGTGTCGTGCAGGAGCCTGTCCTGGCATGTTCCTATTCACATTCTTCGTTCCTGTCGTGGCATGCTTTTCTTCTCTTCTCGTTCATCATTCATCCGTCAATCGATCCAGCAAGTGTATGCTCAGAATCATGACCAGTAGACCGATCGTGACGATGATGAGCAATGCAAATCCGAACCAACCCAACACCATTGCACTGGTGCCCACACCACTCTTGACGCTTCCATTTCCGAAGTCTTGCGTTATTTGTGCTGCAGCTACGGATGCAGTGTGTTGCCATAGGACGCTGACGAGGACGAAGATGGAGGCGATGAAGATGAGGGCAAGGGCGACTTGTGAGACCGGTCGGGAGGGGAATGGCTTGATGTCGATATCGCTGCCGGTTCGTGCGTCGTGCTCTTCGTGCCAGCCCGGGAAGGTCGCGAGGAGGAGGAATGTGATGAAGGCGAGGACGATGGCGACGATGCTGTTCGTAGGTTAGTGGATTGAATAAAGATGTCGGACTATGCCTCAACTCACAGCAGGTATGGAAACACCACACTGTTCTTGAATGTGTTTGCGACCCAGATCAGATTGAGTGGATCTTGATCGATGGTCACCTGCTCTGCCAACAAGGTCGCATTGTTCGAGCACAGGAAGCTTCCACCGTCTGCGTTCACACACAATCCAAAGTATCCCACTCTTACTTCGAGACCCGCATCACCAACGATGTTCGCTATCGCCGCCGTCACTCCTGGGTTGACTTGTGTAGGATCGTACGTTGGCGTGTACATCTCGTAGTAGAAGGATATGAGGAAGATGCCCGGTATTAAAGGTGACGAGGACGAGCATCCTGCCAAGAGTAATGCTGTAGTTATCAAGTCAGCCAATCTATTCCCTCCCCTTCGTGACTCTCGACGACTACTCACAAAGTAGGATGATCGCAATCGCAATCAAGATCATCAAGACATGATGATATCCCAGAAAGGGAATCAGCCTCTGGATGCCGACTGCGAAGCGTACATTCGGCATGGTAGAAAAGGTCTACCGGCTGTCTGGTCGAGCGAGGGGATTTCGAGGAGCTCCAGCGGCCCGATGGCCGGGAGTTGGGAGGGTTGTGGAATGCGGCAGGCTAACGAATGCTTCTTCTCGGCTCGATACAATGCTGTTGTCTCGCTGTGTTGGAATGCTGTGCGTGCCGAGGGCGGGAGGAGGAGGAATGCGTGCCTGTAGTCTTAAAGAGTGGAAGGTTCGGGGCGAGGTTCGATTGTCTGCGACGCTCTTTCTTGTGGTCAGAACGGGGCTTTTTTGGTGCAGAAGTGGTGGTGGATGATGGAGGAGGGAGAGACTTAGCTCTGCGAGAATCGAAAGGGAGTTCCGTTCAGGCGTGGACCGTCACCAGCACACGTCGTCGCTGAATATTCGATGGCAGGTCGTGGCTGGAGTCCCTGTCCAGCGGCCCAGCCTCTCTCCCGGCTGTAAACAATGCCGTCGGCCTGGGCAACGTGCTAAGCGAGCCGACGTCACAGCCAACTTTAACTTCACGTCCGCTGTCCTTTCACGCGACGACACGTTGGAAAATTCTGACGACAAGATGGACGAAACAAACATAGACTAAATATTCATTTTATTTCGACACTATACTGTATACTTGTGTCTTAAAACGAGCGTCGTACCATCATTTCTCATCAGCGACCGTGCATGCAGTCAACCGAATCCTCCACACAATTACCAGACATGCAACTTTCCTTTCCTTGCCAGCCTTGTACCAGTTAAGTCCCTCTAGGTAGAGGTGCGGATGGTAGCAACGTAGGTGTTGTTGTCGATGAGAGGAGCGACGGTGTCGATTGGAGCAGCAGAGCTGAGCACCTGGATGGTCAAGCTCTGCAAGTTCGTGAAGCTGAGAGGGAAAGAAGTAGTGTTCAAAGCGTTACGAATTTCACGCGGGTTATAGGCCAAGTTCTGAACGACAGTCGTGCCATCAACACGCTGGGCGGAGGCTTGGAGGGTGCAGGTCACAGCGACCGCTGGTCCCTCCGAGTTGGTGACGCAGCCGTAGGCAAAGCTTCGGAAGACACAAGTCAGCAAATGGCCAAGTATTCATTTATGTATAGGCATCCTCACCTCTGCTGGTTGAAGGACAGGACAGAGGAGTTGCGTGGCTTCCAGACATCCTGACCGGCCTGGATTTCACCAGAGCTGAAGAAGGCAGCGACGTTTGGGCCAGTGGCGGGCACGACGTTGCTCTCCAGGGCAGCGTCGTAGTACTGCCAGCCGTTGTAGCTGAGAGCACCGGTGGCAGAGTCACCGATTGGCTCAGTGACTGGGGTGTGGCCGTCGCGGTTGTCGAAGGTGTCCTGGAACTGGACGCCACGGATGACCTGAGCGGTGGCCGGGGCGGCGAGAGCAGCAGCGACGATGTTGGTGGCAATCATCTTGAAGTATTTAGTCGTTGGGTTGTTGGCAAGTTCGGGAACTGTGTGCAGGAGTCCTGTGGTTGCTGGCTCAGATACTGCCTGGACGGCTCGGTTTCTTATATGCGTTTGGAGCCATGAAATCGTGCTCACTGCCGCGGAGGTAGTGATTCTGCTGCTGCAGACCATCGAAGCTATTCGCACTCTCTGTCCCATAGCCCTTTGACATGTCTGCCAGTCTATTGGTAGTGTCTAAGCAGGCGCCGTGTTTGTGACATCGGGTGAAGATCAAGAAGCCTTCGCCAAAGCTTTTGAGAAGCTTCTTGTTCACATCGCCAATGGAGACGGCCACGAGGAGCACAGGGACCCGTACTGGCCAGAGAGACAGCCATCATCAGCTGTTCACCCACGTCGATAGGCTTTGCCCTTGCACGTCCAGTTCTTTGGGAAGAGGGTTTGCCTGTTGCGGGCGACGCAGGAACACTGGTCTGCATGCGAAGGAAAGCCTAGCTCCAATCGTCCAGATTGTTCTTCATCTGGGGCTTGGTAGAATCTTATCAGATGGAAAGGCCATCGCTGGTCGTTGCTAGCGCTGGAGTCCCTGCGAAGACCATGAGTAAACTCCAGACTAATGTGCGTGCCTTTCGAAACACTGCCGGAAACCGAGGATCTTGGCTGCGAAGAAGTCTGGGGGATCGACGGCAATAAACTCCCAGCTCCAATCTATTACACATGTTTTCTGCTCAAGCTTTGTCGATCCACACCTTGATGTTGGCTTTCTGGGTCGTGTAGATGGTGTAGCCCATGTCATGCCATGCCAAGTCGCTAGTCACTTTGGCGTGTGTACTTGTGCTGGACGGAGAATGGGTCTCATTCGTCGCGACGATATTTGCATTCGCTGACTGCTTTTGCAAAATGGCCGAAGTAAAAGACAGAAGATCGATACACCAGTAGAGAGTGACGTGAGTTCTCAGCTGGCGTCGACTTAGGCCAGGAGTTTGAGCCGCTCGATGGACGACATCAGGAACAGAGTGCCTCAGGAGGAATATCTTGCGGCGAAGCTCCAGGGCTGCTTTAACCAGGATCGAGAAAGCGATTCTTGAACTTCTGGCCGAGCGATGTCTGTAATGACAATTATCCAAGGCTGAACACATCCAAGCTTGGAATCATCGATTGTGCGAGAATGTCCATTAAGAAGTGGAGAGAACGGTAAGATTTGCTGGAGCTGGTATCCGTTAAAATTTGCTGTTAGATCTTCACCATCAGATGCATGACTCCGACTAAAACAACGTCACGCGGGGAGCTTACACGGATTCTGTGATTCTCCATGAAGTTTACCGGCCTGAAGACTGCAACTCCGGCTTTTGGGACTGTCGGTCAGATGTTTGTAGTGGATCTCTGCAAGACGGTAGGACGATTTGGGCGGACAACCAAAGACGAGGCTCTATTTCGCGCAGGTGAGGCTTCCCCCAGCGTGGCTGCACTGGAGGCAGCCGACGCCTCAAGCACGTCGGAGGACCCCGAATCATCTGGACTGGTAGGCTGATCCTTCTCCTCGACAAGGTCCACCGATATCTGAGGCGGCTCATTCGCTGCTGATGTGTCACGAATGATGGCATTCCAGAATGTCCCGTAGGCTGCTATTATGGCATTAAATGCAACTCTTTCTGATATCAAGGGCCGAGTCGTTGCGTACTTCCCAAAGGACCGACGGCAACACCATTCGCCGCACCTAATGTGCCTCTGCCTGGGCCAACCCTTCCACCGCCTGTGCTCGGAAGCACTCCATATCGTCCAAAGGTCTTTTGATCCACACTCACATAGTGCGGTAGCCGTCCGAGTAAGTTCAGCTTGCCCTCAATCCACCTCAAGATCTTGTCAGGCGGTGCCAGGAATTTGATGTACCCCAGGCCCCATAGAAATCCCACCAGTGCTCCGCATAAATGTCCCAGCAGGCTTGTGTGTGGTACCAGGAAATTGATAACAAGGATCAAGAGGATGGGTGTCGTCCACGTCGGTATCTTGAAGTCAGATATCTGAAAGTATGGGTTCTCGCGGTATGTCTTTATGGACTCGCTGGAGAGGAGTAGGAACACCCATACACTTGATCCAACTGCGTGGCCATCGAGATGGAAGACGAATCGTTCGAGAAGGGTGTAAAGGCCGCCTGGAAGGAGACCAAATGGTCCGGTGAAGAGGATGAATGTCACGATTGTGCCGTGTTCTGATTCAAATCGGTCGAGCAAGGGCGTAAGAGCGATTATGTTGAGGAGGTAGTGGAAGATGTCTCGGTGCAGGAGAGGGAAGGTGTTCAATCGATGTACTGGCGAGGAATTAGCTGCTCTTCTTACAAGATCGAATACTCCGCCGACGTACGCGTTCTGAGGTTGATCTCAGAGGGTATGAGAGCTCCCCATTCCGTAATCTCAGGCACAAACCAATGGACCACGTAGAGCAAGGTAATCACCGCGACCAGGCCGCGAGTGCAGAGTGGGAGTCGTAGTAAAGAACTTCGTATGCGGCGTGCGTCCGGCAGCGACTGAAGGAACGAGTAGGCCATCAAAACGACGACGGAATGCCGCGAAGCTGTTTCGCAGGTGATGTTGGAAGAAGGCAACCACAGGAACCGTTTCTCTTGATGACAGCGTCGCGTGGCTTCATCAAGGGTCCGCGCGGATCCGGCAAGGAGCAGCCACGATTGGGCTTCCCGATTCTTAATCAATTCCGGCTAATTTGATTAAGCTGCAAGCACATCTCTTGTTCACCCTGTCACAAGCTCCACGACACACAGTATGCTATAGCAAGAATGGGTCTTTGTGAGCATTAACCAACATGAGATATTCCAGACTTTCCAACTGACAATACGATCACCAGCTGCGCGTCTTCTGACGCTGCGACGTTCACCCATACTTTTGAAGCTACCAACATACGTAGCTCTCATCTGTATCCTTGTGGGAATCTCCTGGCTACTACTCCTCCCTCTGAACGAATATTCACGGCAGACATACATCTCCGAGAACGCGATTCTCCCCGGTCAGGTCCATACATACTTCGGCGGGAGCGAGCACAATGTCTTTCGAGCATATCGTCAGGAGGTCTGGTCGCTGGGTCACAGGCAATCTGATGAGGAGGTGACGAATGGGCTGTATGATCTGCTGCAAGAGATTGGGCTGAGGCCAGCGCGACAACCGTACAGCTTCCAAGTTGCGGGCGAGACTATCGCAGGAACCAATGTCTATGGCCTCCTCCAAGGTCCACGCGCCGACGCGACTGAGGCGATGGTCCTTATGGCTGCTTGGCGGAACTTCGACGGCGAGGTCAACTACTCGGCGGTTGCTCTGGTCCTGACACTGGCAAGATACTTCAAGCGGTGGAGCGTATGGAGCAAGGACATTCTGGTACTCTTCCCAGCGGACAGCACGTACGGTCCAGAGGCTTGGGTTTCGGCGTACCACAGCACGTCAACCATACCTACTGCTTCTCGGAATATCAGCGCCTTGCCAGTCAAGGCGGGTGCCTTACAGGGAGCTATAGCTTTAGATTACCCAGTCGGTCCATGGGGAAAGCGATTCGACAAGCTCGACGTGCTCTACGACGGGGTCAACGGCGCCCTCCCAAATCTCGACTTGCTCAACACTGCTGTATCTGTCGCTAGCAGCCAGATGGGCATTGGCTGCAGCCTTCACGGGATCATCGATCATTCCGACAGCTATCAGGACCGCCTCAAATGCCTCGCCAAGGGCGTCATGTCACAAGCTGCGGGACATGCAACCGGTCCTCATTCTGCGTTCATGCCATATCACATTGATGCAATCACTCTCAAAACTGTGGGAGATGGCTGGCACGATGAGATGAGTCTGGGCCGTGTTGCAGAGAGCATGTTCCGCTCGATCAACAACCTTTTGGAGAAGTTCCACCAGAGCTTCTTCTTCTACATTCTCCTGAACACTCATCGTTTCGTCAGCATTGGTAGCTACCTGCCTGCTGCGATGCTTGTGGCAGGAAGTTTCACCATCAATGCGCTAGCGCTTTGGGTGCTGAGTGGCAGAGGACCCGTGGAATCTCCTGGCAAACCCAAACCCACCGGAGGAACAAGCGAAAAGCTCAAGGAGAAAGCTCTTGTGGCAGTTCAGGACGGAGAAGATGTGGCGCTCGTCCCGAAATCAGAGCTTGAAGTGATCGAGCGGAAGATGTTCCTGCCAGCGATTGTTGTTTTGGGTGTACATCTGATGAGTCTGGTGCCGCTGTATGTTCTCACTCACAAAGAGAAGTCGGTAAGTATAAAGCAACTAGCCAATGGCGAGCATCAATGACTAAATTCTCTGCAGGGCATCACTTTTGCGTTTATGGCACTGGCGATATCCAGCTACCTTCTGCCAATCTACCTCAGCGGCGTGCTTGTCAGGGTCTGGGATGCCAGCGTTCAACAGCTCCAGATGCTGCAGTCGTTCTCGCTGCTATTTGTGGGAGCAACACTGTCGACCTGGGCTACTATCAACTTCTCACTTGCCCTGATTGTTGGTCTGCTCGCATCTCCACTCAGCTTCATCCGGCCAATGACCTTGACAACCTCATCAACCGATCCAAGTGCGCTGCTTAACATCCTCCACGCAACCATTTCTTCACTACTATGGGTCACAACTTCTCCACCACTGGCCATGCTCGCACTCAGCTGGTACCTGGGCAAGGACATCACCTGGATGCTCGTAGAGGTTGCCAAGGGATGGGCTGCACAGGGCGTTTGGAGCATACTGGTCATTTGGAGTGTCTGGTGGCCTGCTTGGGTTCTTGGCGGGATCGTACTGTTCAGTGGCATAGTACGACCTACAAGAAGCTCATGAAATTCTTTCGACAAAACGCTCCATCTTACATGTGACTGCCGTATTATGGTCCCGTCAGGCATCTTCCGGGTCCGTGCATCCTCACATGGCATGTTGAGGAAGGCACGAACACCTGCCTTCCCGAAGCTTAAACGAACTTCACCTTTGGAGAAATTCACCTCGAAGGCAGACACCACCTACAAATACCCACCATCTACACCACACCATCTTTTCGAAATCTTCTCACGCACTTTGCAGTCGCCGTAGAAACCTCAGTCACCAAGTCAACTATATCGACAATGGCAGCAAAGAAGGACGGCGAGAAGGAGGCCAAGCTCACTCCTGAGCAGCAAGCCGCGCTCGTTCTCGACTATCTCCGCAAAGAGAATCGGCCCTACAGTGCAACCGACATCAGCTCCAATCTGAAGAATCGAGTCACCAAGGCCGCGGCAGCCAAACTACTCAAAGACTTGCATGAGCGAGGGGAGATCGAAGGCAGAGCAGCCGGCAAGCAGCAAGTCTACCATGCCTTGCAGGTAAGTGTGGCTCTGCTGGCAGTCCCATAGAACAGCGGCTAACATCAAGCAGGAAGAGCCAGAGGAGGACTTGATCGAGCAGCTACAACAAATGGAAGAAGACACCAAGCGTATCAGAAAAGAGACCATCGCCCTGAAATCGGAAGAGAAGGAGCTTCGCCAATTGCTCAAGCAAGGAGCTGACATTGTCCCACTGCCCGAGCTCAAGTCCAACATTGCTGAGATGGAGAAGCAGAAGCTCGAGAAAGAGGCCCGTCTGAAGAAACTGGAGAGCGGCAACGTGAAGCCAGTGAGTGCTGCAGACCGTACGAGGGTCGACAAGGCACATCGCCGGGTCAAGAAGGCCGCCGATGCTCGCAAGAAGATTCGCAAGGAGATGTGGAAGGAGATTGAGCAGTACCTGGAGAATGCTGAGCAGAAGCAGGAGACGAAGGAGAGCTTGGACTTGGACCTTTGAGTGAGGGCGTGTCATCAATTCTCAAAGATGGTTGGCGAGGTGATTGCTTTATGTCGACGAGGAAGATTAAACATGGTTGCTGAAGATCGCTAGAAATACTACTACGTGAGTAGAATGACGGCAAGGAAATTCAGTGTGAGCTCGAGCCTACCGCGCGTATTCCCACATTGCTATAATCCCCTTACCCTACGGGCTCGATACTATTTCTATCTCCTGTACCTGCTGGACAAGGTTTCTGCGCATAAGGATCCCCTGGTCTGGTCTGACAGCAAGTCAGCCGAGCCAAGATGGCCACCTCATCAATACCATTGTTAGCCCGACTCCATCTCCATCACAATTATAAACTTACAAACAGTCGCCGGCAGCGAGACATGTATCAACAATCTAAGCTTGCAGACAGAAACTTCTCCAACACCACCTGAGAAGAATCCCAAACCAGCACAAACGCAACAACCATGGCCTCCCCACTACCAAAAGCTACCGAAACAATCCCCTACCTCTACCGCTTCCTCCTCACAAACGTCGAATCCCTCTTCGCCCTCGGCGGCGTATTAATGTGCCTCACAAACCCCGGCTTCTACCTCTCCGGCCTCACGCGGGAAACCATCACCGCCATCCAACCCACCACAGACTTCATCTACACGCAACTCGCCGGCGGCTGGCTCGTCATCGTCTTCATAGAAGCCGTCGTCCTACGCTTCGTGGATGATGTGAGGGTGTGGAAGTTGTTGTGTGGGGCGGTTTTGCTGAGTGATGTTTTGTATACGCATTCTGTTGCGCAGGCGGTGGGCGGGTGGGGGGAGTGGCTGAAGGTGTGGGAGTGGACGGGGCAGGATTGGGGGGTTACGGTTACGACTTGGCCGTTTGTGTTGGTGAGGGTGGCGATTGTGGCGGGGATTGGGTTGAAGAAGGGTGAGGATGGGGGGAGGAAGAGGTTGTGAGGGGGAATGAACCTGACGCCCTGATCTCGTTCCTTCTGAGCTGACGGTCATCGCCATTTGGTCGTTGAAAGGTCTGTGTTCAAAAGACTGCAGTATGAGCTTAACGTAATCTACGTCTCGCTCGCAAGTGCCTCCAAATCAATCTCCGGCTGCCTCTTCCTCAACCAGATCTTAGCCTTGGGATTGGCGACCATATTCGTTCCGAACTCCATCCACTTCGCCATGCCAATATCTTTGAGTTCGAAATCGTACTTCAAGATAAGGTGTAACATGGAAATCTTGACCTCATTCGCAGCGAAGAATCTATCCTCACGTCAGTGACTTCAAGTGATATTCAGTGCCGAGCTTGCTTACCTTCCAGGACAGGCGTGCTTGCCATGTGAGAAGCCGAGATGTTCAGGAGATGTGGCCACGAGATGACTGCGATGCTCCAAGCCAGGCGTCTGTCTTCGCTTGACGAAGCGGAAAGCATCGAACTCATCAGGGTCATCATAGTGCTCGTTTGACCACATCTGGTGAGACGAGATGGCTGTATGCTGGCCCCGAGCAATCTTGATGCCGTTTGATAGCTCGACGTCTGCTGTTGCTGTGCGGTGCATAGTGGCTATCGTACACATTAACAAGACGATTCAGATTATGTGGATTTGATGGCTTACCCATATTGATCGGCTTCAACCGCTGCGTCTCCTTGAAGAAGCTTTCCAGTAGACGAAGCTCGTACAACGCGGTCTTCTGCAATCTATGTTGTGTCAACACAGATATCGCCTCCTCTCGTAGCGGCTGTAATAGCTCAGGATGTGCTCCAAGGTTCAACAAAGCCTGCACCAGCAGATCGCTCGTCGTGTGGATAGCAGCAACCGCCAAACCCATCTGGATATCGACCTCATTATAACAACGCCCATGGGATGCATTTCGGAACCACTCAATCGAGTCGTCAGGTAGCTGTGGCTTCCTGCCTTCTCGCTCAGCAGCCGCAATCTCCTTATGTCGTTCGTCTAAGACAGGCTGCAGCGTACGAGCCGCAGCGCGGTAGTCGGCACGCACTTTACGGCAGAGTGGTAAGAGCCTCTCTGCCGTCCATCGCAACGGCCAGGGGACGAATCTGCATATGGTGATGGCGATGAAGCAGTTCGTTGTGAAATCGATTGAGATGCGTAGCCATTCCTTGTTTTCTGCAAAGGAGCCTGGGAGGAAAATTCGTGAGGAGAGTCTGGCGACCCAGTCGAGGACGTCGTTTCTTGGGTTGATTTCGTGCCAGCCTGTTCACGCTCAGTAAGGAACATTAGACGTCTGAAGTCAACGACTCACCATCGTCAAGCTTGTTCCAGCTATCGTTCAGGCAATCGGTCATTTCGTTTGACAAGGCTTTCGTGAACTTGGCTGTACAGTATCGTCAACTACCTAGATCTCCATTTCAATGTGCCAGGCCTCCTTACGCAAGCTCCTAGTCAGCCCCTTCATGACAGCCTCTTCGAACATGCCCTCCGGTGGACTTTTGAACGTTCGAAAGGTCTCATAGTCGGCGAGCATGTACTGAACATCTTGTTAGCAACAACACATCGACTGCTTTTCATGAAGATAAGTTGACATACCTCTCGCGTATACTGTTTAAAGCTCAGAGTCTCATGAGCATTGACATGCTCGATCATATCGGGAGGCAGCATTATCACTCTCCCGCCATCGGTCAACACCGTGAACGGCCCAGCGAACTGGCAACCTTCAATCAGTAGACAGATCCCCTTCGAATCTCATGCGGCATACCTTGCGAAAGCCATCCGCCAACAGCTGCCTCGCATTCTTCACGTAATGTGCTCTAGCTTTCAGGTTCGTCCATGGCGACTTGCCCTCGTTGATCGATGGAAACAACGAAACTTGTTTTGTGAACGACGTGGCGATCCAAAGAGAAGCAACGAGGACCAGTAATGCTGCCCAGAAGACCTCGCGTTGTGCATTGGCGAGGCTCTGTGGAAGAAGCCGTTCGAGAGTATCGTGTTGAGCCATGCTGAGCGAGCGATGAGAGGACGTGGACGAGACCGATCAGGAGAGGTAGAGCAGTCGACTTTCCGGTGCAGGGTTCATCGTATGTATAAGAGCGGTCCATACGAAGTGATACGAGATGTCCGAGACCGAGAGGCCTCCAACCCACTAGTCATCTGCAGGTCAATGGGTTTGATCTTGGTGGCCATCAGGCCCATTGGAAGCTCCTCGGCTTCTTGATGTTCGCGTGGGCAAGAACCACCGACAAGCTTCTTCGAGGCAATGCGTAGAGGCGATGATCTCTCCACTCTGAGAACCTACTTAGCGGTTTTCTATGTCGGCACCGAAGGGTTTGTGAATAGAGGTGCGAGCCTGTGTTGCTCGAGTCGTTCCCTAAGCTAGTAATGCAGTATCTATCAATCCAACATACATATCATATCGTCGTCATGAGTTATCTGCACAGCTCCAAGAGGCTCCGCTGCCAGCATCAGCATTGATCGCTGTTCCTGTGGCGTAGAGACCAATGCCACAGATGGCAGCGCCGAGCACGACTAAGAACATGTTGATGATTGTTAAGCTGGCCTTCTTCCAGTTCTTGAACGATTGGCCGTAGTTGATGAACAGCCAGAACACGCCTATTGCAAGTTAGTGGGCGAAAGACGGTCGGGGAGGGAGGAAGTGTGACTTACCAGGCAAGCCATAGGTGAACCACGAAACGAAGAGTGCCACAATCAGAGAGTTGAGGTCGTTGAAAACTGGGATACTCTCCGCGATGATCCAGCCGATGATCCAGAGCGTGAGAACGATTCCTATCCACGTTCCGACCGACAGCCAAGTCGACTCGTGGATGTGTCTGGTCCCTCGAAAGAGTCGAACGTAGATTTGCTTCGCTGCCACATTTGCATAGATGACACCAGCAATCACAATCTGATCTCTTGTCAGCCAGGGCGATCTCGAAAGGAGCTGGGCACGGGACTCACTGTTGGCAATGCAATACCATACGCCACCTTCTTAACCACTGGCGTCGTTGAACCCAATGCAGGCGAGGCCACGTCTGGACCGGCATACGTGTAGATAACTACCGCCGTTATAATGTAGAGACTGATATCGCTGATTTGCAGACCAGCCAGCGCTTTGGGAAAGTCTTCTGGCTTCTTCATCTCGCTGATGAAGCTGAAGAAAGCCATGTGGCCTGCGTATGCAAAGCAGATGTTCATCGCACTCGAGAAGGCTGACGCGAAATCAGTGGTGACAGTGGCATCAACTCTGCGTCCGGGTTTCTCGATCGCCACGGCGATAAGTGTAATGAAGACGGCACCAACTATCGAGATGAAGGCTGGAGATGTCAGCTTATTCTGCATCGTTATGGAGATTTCGGACTTACATGCTATGGACATGTACGACACCTTCTTCAATGTTCTTGGCAGAGACAAGATGAAGAACGCACACAGCCCAACTACACCCCAGACGATGGTGCAAGTCGCATGACCAGTAATGGCGTTGAATGCGATTGTAAAGGTCAGTAGATGGCTGCCCAAGATGAAGATCTGTTCGAAAGGATAAGTCTTTCATGTTGCCAGATGCTGGATTCTTGCATCACTCACCAACAAGATGATCTGAAAACGCTATGTTAGCCATAATTTCCATCAAAATCGGATTCGATCATACGTACCTGCGCAGTTCCGACAAACTCCCTGCCAAAGGCGCCCATGAGCACCTCTCCTGCATCTGCCATATTTGCAACGTGCGGATATGCTGCCTTGAATTGCCCGTAGACATAGCCAGTGTATGAAGCGGCTGCGCCAAGAGTTACCAGCAGAATAACGCCTGGTACCATGCCAATCGCAGCCATCACTGAGGGCAAAGAGAGGATGCCGAGGGACACCGTCTCAGCAATCATCAACAGAGATGTCTGCCACCAAGTCAAAGTCCGATATTTGACTTGCGCGTTGGATTCGTCGCCGAACGGATCCGCCTTGAGATTCCAGTCGTCGCCATATCGGCTAGTACGTCGTTGCGTAGGTTCAGCATCTTCGCGGTAGGGCTCTTTCGAAATCTCGCGGCTCGAATCTGACATGGTGGCGATGGACAGTGATGCAAAAGTCCAGGAAACCACGATCTATACGTAGACACTTGGTTTTGTTCTCCTCACGGCGACTGACGCATGCCGATCTCGCACCATTGCTGGTAAGCATATTTATCTGTTACGTCAGGTATTGGTCCAAGCACAGGACTTTTTCACAATTTTGGTGCTGTCCGAAGTGGCGGCTTCCAGCGCGATGTGGAGAATTCGGAGTCGGACGCCGGTGAAGGCAAAATGCTGGCGTTCAAGACGCAGCTGGAAACCTTTGCTGTTTTCGAATGCCGATACCGTGGCAGTGGCATACTGAAAATCGGTCGTCTCATCATGAGCATGCTGTTGTAATAAGTCACCTGCTCATGTTGTTGGAGCGGGGACGTCAGATGCCTCCTTCTCTTTGGTCTTGACGAAAGCTTCATAGAAAGTGGCTGCATCCTCGGCGCCCTCGATCTTGATTCCATGGACGATGAAGGTTGGCACGCAGGCAATACCATCATTCCTCGCGTGGACATCCAGCTCGTCGACTTCGCTGCCATACTTGCCGGTCTTCAGTACATTTGCTGCTTCCGAGGCATCCAATCCCGCTGCTTCTGCACATTCGAGCAGGAAAGTATGAGACGTGATGTCGCCGCCGATTTCGAACCAGCGGAAATAGATTTGTTCGATGAGGTCCTTCTGCGTGGACAGTCCGCCAACTCTTGCTGCATGGAGCACCAGGCGCTGTGAGCTTCGTGTACTTCCAATGAGGCTCTGCAAGTTGATTCTGATACCATTGGCGCGTCCGATTCGGTCAACACGGGTCTTCACATCCCCGAGCTTGTCCTCCCCCAAGGACGAGACAAGTCGACTTTCGAGTGGCACGGCCTCGTCCGGGAGCGTTCGGTCACGGTAGAACGGGGAGAAGGAGACCCTGAAGTTGTCGGACGATGCACCTGGGTATGTCTTCTGGAAGAGAGCGATGGCCTGGAAAAGAGTGCGATGCCCGATGTAGCACTGGAGAAGCTCAGCAAAAGTCATTGCCTCTGATCTGGAAGACTCACCCAAGCACAGATGTTGTCGAAGTACACCTTGACCTCAATGACGGTCATCTTGTAGATATAGATGGAAAGAAAAGAGCATGAAAATCAGTTACCTTCTACAATATTTCGTTGCCTGTGTGACGTCTTTCTTGATCCTGATTCCTTTGGGAGCTGTATCGGGAGCGGTGGCTGGAGGCTGCACTTCAAGCAGTACTCATACTCCCATGACACCCACCAAATATCAACAGCCTGGTCTGATCATTGCCGTAGCATTGGAGCGAGACATGTGTATCAAGGAGGTGAAGTTGGACGCGAAGATAAGATGATGGAAACGGTTGCGAGGTCACGTGCGAGATAAGACCGGTGTTTGCCGTCGTCCTTGCCTTCCCTTTGAAGGCTAGCATCAAGCACGCGTGGACGACATCTCTTCTACTCTTCGAGCACGCAAAGAAATCTCAAAATGCGAGCACGATATCGTCGACAGCGCTGTATTCATGCATGAAACGACAAGACACCACATGTTCGACGCCCCCTCCGTCCAACCTCCTCTCCGTGAGACAGATCGATGCGTGATTGGCGACTCGCGAAGAGGAGGTTTCCTGGCATTGGCGAGTAATTCCCAGAGTTGAGGGCCGGCTGGCATGGCTCGCAAGCTATTCAGAGAAGGGCATGGGAGTCTGTGACAAGATCGAATGATCGAGGATACCATGGCGGAGCCGTAAGCCAACAACATTCGACGCAAGAAATATGCACCGCGGCGCCTGCGATGGTGATGTACAGAATCTTTGAAGGTATGCTTCACCTAGAACCGAAGTCTTCATCAGCATCAAGACATCGCCTTGTTTGAGAGCTCAGCCTCAACTTTGGATCGGCATGAGATCGAGTACTGCAACCCGTGGACTTTCTCACGTTGCCCATTCCCCTTTCCAAGGACTACCCTCTTCGGTCCGCTCGAAGTGGAAGATATGCAATTGCCCTCTTTCCGACTTCTCACAAGCGACCGTGCTGCTAATCGCACCCAAGCTGCTTAGATGGCTTAGGAGTAACGGGGATGCAATATATCACTTTGAGCAGAACACCGAGGGTAGACTCATGAGAGTCTCATCCAGCTAAAGGCTCAAGCTGGTGTGGAAGCTAGCGTCAGTACAATGTGCCACCGCTGTAAGTCATTGCATTAATCAACGTGATCGTCTCGATCATCCCGCAATCAGCCTCCACACGATCACGCAATGCAACCGATTTGCTTCCCATCCAGCCGATTGCAGTCGTGCCTGGAGCAGTGAACCGCAGCTTTTCCGTTCCATGGTCGCGCCCGTTCTCACGGGACAACCAAGACGGCGGTCCGAGTCGAGCGCTCTGCATTATGTACACCAAGAGGCACACGATTCTGTTGATCTCTCCCTCCGATACGTCGAACGAATGTTGGACTGACACGACTTGGAACCGATATCCCGGTCCATCATAGTTCCTCGAGTCAGGTACCCTACGTGTGCAAACTGCACGGACATCGACACATCCCTCGTTCACTGCTTCGTCGATTCTGTCACGGTCGTTACGGCGCGGTATGAAGGGCGGCACCGCACTGCAACAGGAACCATCGATCTCCACGCCTCACCAGCGCAACAAGTCCTAATGTTCAAGCCGCATGTCCAGGAGAGTTCAAAGTCTGACTAGATAAACTGCCCCAGCGTCTCATACTCCATGCAAGCCGTCAGGCTTGCTGAGCAGTGGACGATTGACACTGCTCCGTATGTGTGCCATATCACATACGTAGGAGGAGCAGACCCTACGACTTATGCTGTAACGCGGTGAATACATAGCTCAACTCGTATCTGCTTTCAGGCATCCTCGGCCGGTCTGAGCGCAGAAAGCAGCACTCGTGGATTTGCTACATGCGCTGTCGTTCAGGATGAAGCACGCTCTTTGGGCTCTTTCACTGCCAGTCCTGGCTCCTGCCACCCTACTAAGTCCTATCAAAGAGTCCACCGCTGAGACACTATCTCGTCGAGACTTCAATCGGACAGAGTACAGAGCCTTGCCTCAGTGCGTTGCCAACTGCGTGGACTCCGTGAGCCCTCACCTCTTCGAACAACACTCACTTTTGTACTGATCGAGCGCAAAGGTTACCACAAGCAATGACTGCAAACCATCGGATACAACCTGCTTCTGCACGCGAGGCAACATAACCGCGACCTACACAGCATGCATCCAATCCAGCTGCATGATGCCCGCAGACCAACTCGAAGGGGCAAGATACCAAGCTCATACATGCAACTATCCCTACCGCACAAGACAGCCGCTCCATCGAGGGGTACTTTGGACAACGTTTGCCGTTGCTACGCTGTTCTTCGCTTTACGCATGTTTTCTCGCATGCCGGCATTGCAAGGCAGTGGCTTCTCTTGGGATGATCATGTTATGATCTTTACGTACGGCATGGCTGTCGTTGTGGCTGTTGCTACGGAATTGACTCTTGTGAATGGGTCTGGACTTGATGAGTGGAGGTTGACTCCTGAGCAGATCAGTCGGTACATGCTGGTAAGTCAATCCTTCAATGTCGACGACTTCGTGAACGATGCTGACATTGGCTTGTTGCCTCACAGTGGACTTATATCAGTGAGATCCTTTACAACACTATCATCATGACGACCAAGATCGCCGTGGTCCTGTTGTATCTTCGTATGTTGAAATCTGGCTGGTCTGTTACGCTGCCTCTATGCTGATATCGTGTTTATAGGTGTATGGTCGGCCGATAGAATCACCCCACCCTTCCGCATCACGAGCTGGATCATCATTGCGGTTCTCATCCTTTCCATCATTGCGTTCGACCTCGGTCTGATATTCCAGGCAAGTCCTATGTCCAACTAGAAGAAGCTCCTAGCTAACGGATTGAACAGTGCGTCCCTGTCTCGAGCACTTGGAACTACATCCAGGGCGAAAAGGGCATATGCATCAATTTGCCCGCCTTGACGTACTCCTACGGTGCCGTCAGCGTCTCTTACGATGTGCTCATCTTCTTCCTGCCAGTAAGAACGCCCTGCTGGTCTCATCGTGTGGGATGAGCTAACGTCGTCCAGATCCACAGCCTGCTCAAATTGAACATCACATGGCAGAAGAAAGTTGGCGTGTGCGCCGTTTTCCTTGTGGGGTTCGTTGTCACGATCATTGCCATCGTGAGACTGCAGTACCTCGTCCGGTGGGCCATACATTCAACCCCGACCTGCTACAAGCAATACTGATCAAGTGAACAGCTTCCACACGAAACAGAACGCCACCTGGGTCTACCAAACCATCTCCATGTGGAGCATCATCGAGATCAACTTCAGCATCGTAGCAACATGCATGGTACGTGTCCACCCCCTTGCCACCACCTTCATCAACACAGATACTCACACCCTCCCAGCCCGCAACAGCCGGCCTCCTCCAACGCCTCTGGCGCTGGTCCCACGGCGAATCCCTCTCGACGTCCACCGGCTACGTCGCCAAACAATCCCAAATCCCCCCAACAACCGCCGACGACACCCTGATCGGCTCCCACGACGAGAAATCGCCCAAGTCCGACCTCGAATCCGGGAACTCGCGCACCGACCTTGCGGACTGTGAGACGGCCCTCGCACAAGGCGAAGTCGATGGTCGTGTCCAACGCGAGATGGGAGGGCCGGGGACAGTCACTGAAACGCATAATCCATCGTCGGCGGCGGAGGTCCTTTCACGTCACCATCCAGATTCATCGTCTGGCGCAACGGCCCTTGTGCATCAAAGCCACATTCATGGTGGAAATGGAGGACAAAACATCCAAATCAGCCACGAACCGCCTAGCCAGCCTGCTGAGGCGGAATTGCAGTATCGTGATGATAGGGATGTTTTGCATAGGGTGGTTTTGAGGGATGTGCCGGAGGGCAGGATGCCGGGGATTAGATCGCGTGAGAGGAGGAAGACGAGGAGGGATTTGACGGGGTTGCGGGCGGAGGTTTGAAAGGGGTACAGTACAGTAAGGGATGGGGAAAGGGGAGGTATCAGATGTTGTGTCCTGATATCTCAATGTGCTGAGTGTACGATTATGTTAACTGGGTTGTTCACGGATGTCTTCACCTGGTCATTCGAAAGGAATGCAAACGATGCAAGTCTTACATGCCCAAGGCGAACTCAAGTCCGCTTTTATACACGTACCCTCGCTGAGCGCTCAAATGCGACCAATCATTACACTCATCTCATCTATCCTACAAAGCCTTTCAAGGTCTCCTTCTATTCGACCCTAACGACCTTCGGCCCCTTCCGCTCGACCTTCGACTTCAGCGCCCCGAGCACCTTCGCTCGTCTCTGCACCCTCGACTGATACATATCCACCTCCTCAGTCGTGACTTCGCTCATCTTCTTCCTCGCACTCGCACCCAACGATCCCGTGCTCCGGCCTAGACCGCTTGCCTCTGGCGTGAAGCGCAGGCTCCTACGGTTGCTTGGTGGAGTCTGGAATTTGCTCATGCCAAACATGCCGCTCATGCCGAGTGGGTCGCCATTTGCAGCCATTCTAGGTCGACGGAGTGGTGTCGCTGCTGGGCTGCTGCGGTTGGTGAGGAGCCGGTTGCCTGCGAGACGGGAGGCGAGGTCGTCTTCGTAGTCGTCGTCTAGTCGAAGGGATGCGATGCCGTTGGGAAAGCGCTTGATTTGTGCTTCGAGTAGGTCGATGTCGGCAGACTTTTGCTGGACCATGGCAGTCATCTTCAAGATGGTGTTGGTGACTGCTTCGACTGTAGGGACGGGTGCGCCATTCTTCTGACCATCCTTGCTGGAAAGTGAGGCGAGATCAGCACGCAGCATGCTCATCTTCTGTTCGGCTTCACTCAGCAAAGTCTGAACTCTCTGAACACCTTGCCGCAGCTCGGCCTGTTGGGCTTGCGTCTCTGCAGACAGTGGAGCTGCGTCTCGCATAGCCCGCTGCGCCGGGTCCGTGTGCGACTGGATCTGTTTTCGCATCTCCGTTGTCTTTGCCTTGAGCTTGGGCGCCTCTTTCTGCTCCTCTGAAATGTCTTCAAGCTTGTTGCGCACATCCTCCAGTTTGCCATCTTCCAGCTGCTTTCCGATGTTCTCCAGCAATTTGGATAGATCTGGCAAATCGCCAAGGCACCATGCATCAGAGTCGTCGAGATCTTCGACGGTTCGCTCGCCGGGCTTCTTGAGAAATTCTTGACCTTCCAAAAACGAGGCGAGAGAGCGTCCGTTGAGCCCGACAGTGTGAATCATAGAATTGACGTCGCGGAACACTCGTTCAATTTGTCCTCCGATTCCGGCATGCTCGACCGCGCCCGTGTAGTCCGTGTGAGTGTAGAAGGATGGGAAGTCTTTCGAGGGTTCAATTGGAGCAGCAAGCAGCGCCTCCACGCGGGCAATTGCTTCGTCTTCCAATTCGCCCGCCGTCGGCTCTCGTGCTTTTGGCGGCGCGGCAGGTCGTTGGACTGGCTTCGCCGGCGGCACTGCGCTGGTCTTGATTTGTGAAGGCAAAGATTTCACTGGTATTCCAGGGCCCCTCACGGGACTCGTGACGGCTCGCTGTGGAGTGGGCGAGCGAGGGCTTTGCTGCGTTCTGCTTGCGGGCGGTGCAAAGACAGGGCCCTTGGGAAGTCCAGCAGGCGTATAACTGCTCCAGTCGGTCTTGTTATCTGATGATGGTGTTCGGGATGCCTCCTTCGCCGGTTGGGGAGACGTAGGTGAGTTCAAATTCGGCGGCAGCTCCACGCGTTTCATGAACGATTCGTGCCCGACTGGGTCTTCAATCGTCCCTGTCTCCGTGACTTTGGGGAGTTGTTCCTCTTCCTCCTCTTCCTCTTCCTCCTCTTCCTCTTCCTCCTCCTCCTCCTCCTCCTCCTCCTTCTCCTCCTCCTCCTCTTCTTCCTCCTCCTCCCACTCATCCTCGTCGTCATCGGTAGGCCCGTCTCCTTCCGACGGCCCACCTGCCTCAGAACCCTGTGCTGGTGAGAAGGTTTGACTGTTTGTCACATCCACAGGTGGACTTCCCGCAATGGGTACATCCTTCTCTTCTGGTTTGGCAACCTGAAATCCAGGCATACCAGGGAGATCATCGGGCATTTTCGGTGCTTTGTAGGTGGACGGATCTGGCGGTAGAGGTGCATCATCTGGCATTGCAGGCGCCTTGTATGTCGAAGGGTCGGGGGGCAATGGCGCCTCCTCGGGAGCTGGAGTCTCTTCTTTTGCGGCTGGAATCTGCTGTAGCGAGGGTTGATTCTCAATACCAGGCTCTGCTTTGGTGGAGGGCTCATTACTTGGAGCACCCAGCGCTGCACCAAAGCCTGAACCAAAGATCTCGTCACTTATCTTCGGCTTCGGTAGGTCGTCTTTCGCTGAGCCATCCCCTTGAAATCCAGACCCTAACCTGAAACCTCCCGGACCCAGCCCAGTAAGGCCGCCACCTTGCTGCTTTGGCTCTTCTGTGGCACCCATCGTGGACTCTCTCGAGACTGCAGGCTTGCTCGCAAAAGAGCTCCCCAGACCTGAAGGTTGACCAAAGCTACCGAAACCACTTGAGCCAGATCCTAAAGTTGCAGTAGAACCGATAGATGTCTCCTTCGGAAGTTCTGGCTTCTTCTGGCCCAATCCCGCGAATGGACTGGCACCAGCGACAGATGCGAATGGGCTAGGAGTGGCGGTGGAAGCGAATGGGCTAGCAGTATTCTGCTGGGTGTCCTTCTTTCTGAACTGTCCAAAGGGAGACTCGCTGGCAGGTTTTGCAGGGTTTGAGAAAGGCGACGATTTGTTGGAACCAAGCTGGCCCACCTGACCAAAACCGCTGCCACTTGCAGTCTGTGACGGTTGCCCAAAGGTTCCTCCACCACCGATCATGGAAGGCTTCCCAAAACCAGGCGTCTGGCTTGGTGTTGAAGGCCTTCCAAACGCAGACACCTGGCCTGGAGTTGACGGCTGTCCGAAGGAACTCTGTCCAAAAGCTGGTTTTGCTGATGATTCTGTGGAAGGAGTGCCCCATGGACTGGGTTTAGATCCCAGCGGATTCGAACTGCCAAATGCTGGTTTCGCTGTACCATTAGAGGGGGCACCCCACGGGTTAGGGTTCTGACCAAGTGCGTTGGAGCTGCCGAAGCCCGCAGTGCTCGAAGCGCTGCTTTGACCGAAAGAAGACTGTCCGAATGCTGGTTGTTGCGAAGATGCTGGCTTGGACAAGGGATTCGACCCGAACGCTGAAGGTGCAGCGGATGCTTGTGTTTGCTGTCCAGATACTGATCCGAAAGCCGATCCCAACTGACCATTTGAGAGACCTGTACTGGGGGCGGGCTTCACTGGATCCGCCGAGTCCCCGAGCGGCTCTGTTTCATCAGACTCTTTGTTTTCTGCTGCACCTGCGTGTCGTCCCTCTACGCCAGCCGGCACAGCCTCTATCTCTGGCGCAAACTTCCTATACAGCGCATACCGACCTGATCTGTGCACAATTCCAGGGCAGAACTGCTTATCTCGAACGGCATCGTTGTAGACAATCCACCAGATGTTGAGGATACCGTCGGTATTCAGCACATACATGGCAGGTAGGGGCAATCCAGCGTGATGAATAGCATCGTCTTCAGACGGAACCGGAAACGGGGCGACCTCTTTGGTACTCAAATCGATGGCCAACCCGAGTGGAGATGTGTCACCGCCAGACGCACTCATAGGTAATTGAATTCGCCTGTCGTCCGCTGCTGGTGTGCAGGTCACGAACTCGTTCGCCGGAAAGTCCTTGGCTCCCTCTTTGAATCTTCCGAGCGCGTTGATATCGGTAGAGGCAGTGGATCCGACGATGAGAATGTCGGCAGATTTGTGCCAATCGTTTATTCGCAGGACAAACTGATGCGAAGGAGTCCGACTGGACATGCCAAATGGTGGCGCTGGGTCAACGCTGAATCTGCGGAAAATCAAAGGCTCTCCTTTGGCGGCGCGTGCTGCTATGAAGTAAAGAGAGTCGTTCTGGTTCATGTCGTCCGGTTGCGCGTAGCTCGGACTGTACACGATGAAGAACTCGTATGTGGACAACCATGATATCGAGGTAATGGGCATCGCCTGGACGTTTTCGTAGTTGATCTCTTGCATCACATTCTGTAACTGTGGCGGCCGCGGAATCTGCCCTTTCACTGTTCCCTGAGCATCGATCTGAACAGCAGTGCTGTCAGAAAGTCCAGCCACAATCTGTTTGCCCAACTTCGACCAGGAAGCAGCTGTGACATTCTCGTGAAACACTAGACCTCCATTCGCGTTGTTGACCAGACTACGGGCCTTGAGGTCGGCGAGCAGAAGCTTGCCATCAGTGAGGACAATGCCAACGAAATACGCCAGGTCTGAAGAGGGATTTGGGTTGGGTAGCAGTTGTCGCACGCTCGTTGCGTTTGTCCCGATCTGGAAGGCCGGTTGAGCTCCACTGGCCAGCTGATTTGTATCGTAGATCGCCAGTCCTCCACCGTCCTGGGCTGCGATGATGAGGCAGCTCTCGTCGGAGTTGAAGGTGACGTGCGAGACTCGCGGCACCGACAGCGTGACTTCCGGTTCCAGAGGTCTCACGCTGTCGTTGCCCTCTGGTCGTGGGATATATCTCCTCCGCGTCTTCTCAGTTCTCGAGATATGCAGCCCATCTGGACTTGCGACTGCCATAAGCTCCTTGTTCGAGGCTATGCTGAGCAGCGATGCAGTCGTGGGAGGGAGTTGATCTTCGGGCCATGGCTGAGAGACTCGCAGTGTTGTGCCCTTCGATGCAATGTCCTGAAAGCCGATCTCATCGCCCACCGTCTCTTGAAAGTCCGGGCCAGTATTTGCTTCGGCGGCATTCATCCTTGCGCCGTCGTCATGCAATGCGCCTTTGTCTCTACCACCTCCAAGCGCTGTTGTGCTCTCGTGTCGTGAACGGGCCTTCGCAAGGTGAGCGGGAGCGTATCAGGTCGTTTGTAGAAGGTGTTGAGCTGCTACGGGAGAAGTCGAGTCGGCGAGAGGATGGGTCGGAGGGGGTGGAGGGCTGGCAGGCAGCTGTAGTCAACAAAGATTCATTCACTTGAATGCAAAGCTAAACGTGACAGCGCGTCGCCGAGCGGAAACAGCTCCGATGTGGACGCGACCGTGCTGGCAAAGACGTGGGATCGATGGCCAATTTTTAAACACGGCACATCGCAGCATCGATGAGAACGAACGCGATTCAATTCAATAAGGGTTCACCAGTGTTTGACCTAATGTTTGGTTGGTCTTTCACTGCGATCAGTGAGAGGCGTGCAACAAGATAGGTGCTGCCACAGTCAACGACTTCTGTCCGCCGGCTTGTGACAGCAGCTGCTCAAGCGAAGGCTCCAACGCCGCGCATCATCAGACAGCTCCAGCTCTCCGTCCACTCCCAACACACACGACCACCTCGCCAAACAACTTCCATCTACCACTCCCACCCCGAAACTGAATCGAGCACATCACCTTCGAACAGACCACCCATCATGCCGGGCTTCGACTTCAGCAACCACAACAGAAACGTCGCTCTCCACGCCAGAGGCGTTCCTCTCCCCAAGGCCACATCCACCGGTACCACCATCGTCGGCGCACTCTACGATGGCGGTGTTGTCATTGCAGCAGATACCCGAGCAACAAGCGGTCCCATAGTCGCGGACAAGGTGAGCATCGATACGGCACGATCTGGTCAAAGACCAACAAGCTAACCTGTGTGAATTGGTAGAACTGCGAGAAGCTTCACTACATCTCACCTCAAATATGGTGTGCAGGAGCAGGTACGGCCGCCGACACTGAGTTCACCACCGCCATCATCTCCTCCAACCTCGAACTACACTCGCTCTCCACGGGCCGCAAACCGCGCGTTGTTACGGTCATGACTATGCTCAAGCAGCACCTCTTCCGCTACCAAGGTCACATCGGCGCGTATCTCGTCGTAGCAGGCTGCGACCCTACGGGCGCCCATCTTTTCACGGTTCACGCACACGGCTCCACCGATAAGCTGCCGTACGTCACCATGGGCTCAGGTTCGCTGGCTGCCATGTCCGTCTTCGAGACTCAGTGGAAGCCAAACCTCAGCCGCGACGATGCCGTCAAGCTTTGCGCGGACGCCATCGAGGCTGGTATCTGGAACGATTTGGGATCTGGTTCGAACGTGGATGTTTGTGTGATTACCCCAGAGAAGACCACCTTGCTGCGGAATTTCAAGACACCAAATACGAGGGAGAAGAAGCAGCGCGACTACAAGTTCAAGAGGGGTACAACTGCTGTACTGAACGAGAAGGTCATCACAAAGGAGCAAATCAGCAAGTACGTGACGGTGCACGACATTGGCGACGGAGAGGCGGGTGTTGGTGAGAAGATGGATGTGGACACCCAGCCAAGTGGGCCTTCGTAAGCAAGTCACAACGGCAGAGAGGGGAAAGAACATGGAGGATGTTCATGTATAACTACAGCATCGGGTCTGGCGTATAGAGGAGCGGCAGACGCCATGTGCTCTGGGGTTCCTTGCTGCCCCGAGAAGGGAGAGCAACGTTACGATGTAGCTGCTCTGCACTCAGCATAGACGATTCGAACCTGTATTCAAGACATTTGACGATCGAACAAACCCGCATTCACATTACCGTAAGATTCTTGATACCAGTTGTAGACTGCTCTTGTGAAAGTCTCCACCTATGAGCATCGGAAGCAACCGAAATCCCCTGAACCTTGTCAGCATCAACTCCTTCCCTTCTCTCAGTTCAGTTCCATCACAATCTCAGACTCGACCACATCGACTGAGTTGCTGGCAGTACCATGTCAGCCTTTCTTTCTCCATTTTTGTATTAATATGCCCTTCTTCCACGCGGGTGGAGCGGCGGTTAAGCGAGGACTTCCCATCTTCGACTTGCCGCACTTCAAGGCCATTCTCCTCCGCCAGATTCAGGACCTGGACCTCACTCATTTCGGCTCGCTACTAGCAATTGCCAGTCTCTTACCGGCGGCATGTCGATATATACAACGAGCCTGGCATGATGCTGCGACCTGCGTGAAACGATTTTTCATCTCCTCGATTACGATTCCTGCCGGCGACCCCATTAACCGAAGTGTCACGACATGGCTCCTGGATAATGTTATATACCCACGAAACTTACGATTTCACACTGCTCGGACGGAGTTGGGTCGAGATGTTCAGGACCCGGGTGCGAGTCTGAAGAAATCTCAGCGAAGTGTGGCGTACCTCCCACACTGGGAATCAGCTTGGTTCTGGCACGAAGGACGACTGTTCGCCATCTCGCGATCTCTGGACAGCTTCAACGCGGCCATGAGCGATCCAAGTTACGACGGAATTGGTGGTGAGGAAATCAAAATCTCCTCTTTAGGCCTTCAATCCGAGCCGATCAAAGAATTTGTAGAGCGTTGTCGACAATATGCAGAGAGTAAGTCTCAGTTCTATGTCATCATCTACAGTCGAGATCGATACGGACTCTCTTGGAAGCCGAAGTATCGCAAACCCTTGCGGCAGCTTGAGACGGTGCACTTTGACGATGAGGTCAAGACGAACTTGATCGCGGATATCAGGAATTACCTGGACTTGAGGACGAGAAAGTTGTATCAAAGTCGGAGTATGCCTTATAGGAGAGGCTATCTTTTCTATGGACCGCCTGGAACCGGCAAGTCATCCCTCTCAACAGCGATTGCTGGAGAGTTTGGTCTGGACCTGTACGAGGTGAAAGTCCCCAGCATCAAGGACGATGGCGAGCTGGAACAGATGTTTCAAGAGATTCCACCACGTTGCATTGTTTTGCTGGAAGACATCGATGCAGTGTGGTCTGCAAGGGAACAGCGCATTGATGCTGAGAATGGATCGGCTGTCACGCTCTCAGGACTGCTCAACGTTCTCGATGGAGTTGGGTCTCAAGAAGGTCGTGTTGTCATCTTGACGACCAACAAACCCGAACGGCTTGACAGCGCGCTCGTCCGTCCTGGCCGAATCGACTTCAAAGTCTATATGGGCAACATCAGCCGTGCTTCAGCGGCACAAATGTTCATGCGAATGTTCGCGCCCGACTTGCTCGGTCAGAACATGGTGAGAGAACACAAAAAAACACGATCCTCCGCTAGAAGCCTTGAGAGTGGCGACTTCCTGAACGAGTTCGTGACGTTGGAACAGTTGAAGATGTTGGCAACTCAGTTCGCCGATCAAATACCGGAGAATACCTTCACGCCATCGCAATTGCAAGGCTTCTTTCAGCTGCATCTGAACAGTGCTGTAAGGGCTGCTGAGAGCATCGGAGCTTGGGTGCGAAGGGAGATGAGCGTGAAAGAAGAAGGCGAATTCGACATATGTTGAGTGCTTCACTATTCGACTTCTGCTGTCGCAGGCGTTGCATGGCGACAAAGGAAATGATGGACGGTTTAGCAAATTCATATTGCTTGTGATGTGGTTAGGCTTGTAAGATGTACTATACATATAGACTTCAAATCTTGTGCAGTATGGTGTACAGCCTCCGACTATGGTATTTGTTCTTGGCTGTCACTTTGCCAATCATCATGTTCACTTGTGACTATCGTCTGCATTGACATTCACCGATACTGCTGGACTTGCCGCAACTACTCCATGGGGAAATGTGATGGACTAGAGTTTTCGGTTGTGCTAGCGCCCGGCCCGGCAACACCAGTACCAGCAAGCAAGACATCTGGATCCTAGCAACAATCAGCTCCCTGCCACTGCGCCGTGAGTGGATCAAGCTGTCGACACTCAAACCTCACCGCGCCGCCCCTACGCCCTTCACCACCCCTTCACACCACCTGCCCAGTGCGACACCGCTCATTCCTATGCCGCGCTGAGCCCTCGAGAGCTCGCGGAACACCGGAGGACACAAGCCGAGACCGCACCACCACCGACTCCTACACGACACGCTCCTCACATTCACGCGTGCATGGAGGCCAGCACGGCGTCTGCGGCGTCGACATCGACTTCCGCAGCAATCGCAGGTCCTTCGAGCGAAGTCTCGACCCCAGCGGCGTACGACGAGGATGCGCGGCATGGAGGATCCGGTCCGCACTTCGCAATCACCGCCAGCCAGGTCCCCAAGCCCACCGCTAGCATGCCGCCCATAGGTCCGAGCACCAACACGCCGTCGCCGGAGCTCGCTGTCAAAGATATGAAGAGCCTGGCGCCAAGTGGACCGAGCAGCGGGACGCGCTTCCTGGAGGACTGTCATGTCGAGACGGACAGCACCCTGCCGAGTCCGCGGCTGCGTTCGAGTCGGATGTTCAAAGGGAAGGGCAAGGAGGCTGTACCAATTGAGAAAGAGAAGAAGAAGCCGCTACGGTTGTTGGACTTGCCGGTGGATATCCTCAAGGACATCGTGAAGGAGGTTACCCATACCAATGATCTCACGAGCCTGGCGTTGTGCCATAGTGCTCTGCATAGCCTCACGATCCCGCACATCTACTCGCGATTTGACATAGTGTGGCCGGACAGCAGCACTCATGCGGAGCCTAGGAGCGGGGTCGATGCGTTGACATATGGCCTGGCTACGCTGGTCATGGCAGAGGAGATCTTTGGGGAGGCGCCGAATCAGAGGAGGGAGCTTTACAACAGCAATCGCTTCAATGTGGGCGGCATTGGGCAAGCTACGGAGACGACAGTCCGGCGACGACGAGGCAACCACTATGCGCAGTTCACACGGAAGTTCTCGCTTGGAAATGGACCTTCAGATTGGGTGCAAGAGTATCTGATCACGAAAGAGGGCGGCAAAATGCTGGGCACGTTGGTTGCATTGGCTGTGGCACGAATGCGAGCACTCGAGACGTTCATATGGGACATGCCAACGGGCATACTGCGAGATGTGTGGCTTGCACTTTCGTCACTGGGAGATCGTTACGATGGGAAACCGTGTCGACTCGAGAAGGTGTGGGTAAGATGGCATGACAACACATCCGCCGACACCACCAACCCGATACCTCCTCCGCCCCCTCCGATCAACCTATCTGCCGTTCCGCCTCCACCTCTGCAGACGACGAGCTTAAATGCGCCCCTTCCTCAGATTCACCCGGCTGCACTGGATCGGGTCGAGCATCCTTCATTTTCCGTCCTACCTGCGCTAAAGAGCCTCAGCGTACTCGACATCGATGAATTAGCCTACTTAGACGAGATGGCCGTTCTCATTGGAAAGTCGATCGACAAGCTGCGAGAGCTTCGAGTTGGTATCGCTAGGCACGCAGCGACGAGGGATTGGGTGACTGTCTGGGAAGGCGAGACTCTGCAGCAGGTCGATCCAGATTACCCAACTGCAGGATCTCTCACAATCGGTGAGAAGAGGCTTGGTGGTGTGCTGGGCACCTTGACTGGCTTCGTCTGCGACATGCGAAAGCCAAGGATAGTGCTTCCGGAGCGCATACGACATAGAAGGCACTCGAGCAGAGCCACAGCGACGAGCCCGCCTGCCGAGATGCCCGCACCATCGGAGAATGCACAGCCATTGGAACGTCCACCGCTCGTCTCCAGCGGCCTCACAAGTCTGAGAGATGTGATGGCTGAGCTACCTGCGGATGAGCCAGAATCAAGCCTTGCGTTCCCTCCTTCATCACCAGTGACTGGAGAGGCGGTCTTGAGTGACGGGCCCTTGCCTATCGATAGTGTGGATGCTGTGGTAGCAAGCGTGTTGCCTGAGGTCCTAGTGGAGGAACAGCCTCTCGACGAGAAAGTTGTGCCTGTGGACTTCCTAGCTGACGAGCCACACAGACTGGAGAAAAAGCTTACGCTTGAGAGCCTGGAGCTTGAGCGTGTACCAATCTCAGTCCCTGTACTGCAGAAGGGCATCGACTGGACTCGACTGACCTCTCTCACGTTACTGCACTGCCCTAATCACGAACAGCTCTGGAAGACTTTGCGAAGGACATTTGCACCCACAGCCAAATCACCTACTTACCCAACTCCGCGCCGTCTGCCCACGAACGCTTCGAAGAAGAGCCTCAAAGCCGCACTGTCCTCGAGTGATGTGGAACTGGAGTATCCCCTCAACTTGAAGAAAGTCCACACAAACACTGTCTCGCCCGCTTTGATATCCTTCTTGAAGGAGACGTTACCACCAAACAGTCTGGAGGTGCTCTTCCTCCAGGAAGCCCGCAGCTACTCTTCCTCCGTTACCGTGGAAGCCATATTCAAGGGCCCACTGCGGCGGCATCGAAATAGCCTGAAAAAGATCCTGATCGATAGCTCTGAAAAGGGCTCTGATGGACTGCCAACCAACTCGAGCCGCTGGCGCCGCTGGATGCTTTCTAGAGAGATTCTGACATTCATCTGCAGTGGAAAGATGCCCGCTCTGAAGGAGTTGGGCTGCGCCTTGGACTACAGAGATTGGGTAAGTCGAAGACACGTCTTGCATTCGCCGGTGATACTGACTTTCTGTGACAGCATTTCTTCCTTCAGCATATCCCTTCGATACCGCATCTGCGCTCCTTGTACCTCCCGTTCTTGGCCGATCATGTCTCAGGGCCCAATGTCGACCCTCGTGAGCTCGCGCTTCAGATTGTCGACATCGTTGCTCTGCGGCCTGAGGTCGAGCTGTGCTACATGGGCATCGCGAACAAATGCTTCGAAATTCTGGAGAACCGTTCTGACGACAACCGCAACGAGTCTCATTTGGGTGTCCTTCCTGGCGGCCACAACCCTGCAGACGTAGCAGGATCCGATGATGGCGAAGATGACGATGGCGAGGACGATGATGTGGACGATGTCGATGATGAGAATGACGAAGAATATGAAGAAGACGACACAGAGAGCGAAGACGATGTCGACCTGGACGACGAAGATTCCGATGACGAAGGCACGGACGCCTCGAGGAGCAAAGCAGCGGCCAGGCTGCGTCTAAGGGAGATCTTGTTCTATGATGATAAGGTTGCGGTTTTCAAGGCGAGGCATGGCAGGCTGTAGATGATTTGCGCCTGTCTTCAACCACAGGGCGGCTTGCTCTGCACGATTCTGGATAATGGGATGGGACGAGGGATATGCATATGAACATTATCATATGGGGCTTCAATGGCGTTCGGTTCAAATCAGGAGGAGTGAGGAATGGGAAACGGAGAATGGCAAAAAGGACGGATGGATGATATCCCGCACTGGTCTCCCTAGTGAACTTCTTGGGCTGGATGAGGCAAGGTGCACGGTTATGGCTCTGCGATGATCTTTGACATTGATCTTGGAATGATGCATGGCGGAATTATGGCCTGCGTCGGACGTATAGCGAATGTAGACAATGTCGTGAATGAAGTGCGTCTTGAAGATTGGTCGCCTTTCCTGGCTGGCACTGATATCTACTTTCTCTTCAACTGGACCCGGACGGCCTTCAATCACTACATAGTGGTCACGAGGAGATGGAAGACAAGCTGAAACAAGCCCCTCTAAGCTTTCACTTTCACCTCCACCTCCACCTTCGGCAGGATTGAAGGAACTAGCCTGGACAAGGGTAGTGCGGCTCAGCAACGACAGACATGACTTCAGCATTTCCTCGAACCCGGTCGCACACACGTTGCAGGTTGCATCGTAACGCGGGGTTGTTGGAGACGATGTGCTACGGATGCTAGACCAACACGCCGTCGATCCTGGGGAACATCCTCGATCGAAGATGAAACTGCTTTCAGAATTATGCTTTTCTTCGCAGAGAGAGCTGCGTAAGCTCCTCGATGAGCACATGGCATTTCTGGTGTGTGCAGTGGTGGTGCGTTCGAACCTCCACTTCGGTAAGAAGCAAGCAAGCAAGCAAATGCACATCGTCGCAGGAGTGTGCTGCAAGTACATATCACTGGCCCACCGTTCTTCAACAGAAAGGTTCTTCCCTGGAGTGAGCTGCTGCCGCTGGGATCGCGTGAACATTTGGGACGTGTTTCATTCGCTTTGCGAGGACGAGTGGTTTTTAAGCAGACGGCACGAGTGATATTTGTTTGAAAAAGTGTGAGGGACGCGTAAGGCGAGGTCACACAAACCTACCACCATTTGGAGGAAGGAGAGTGATATTGAGCTTGAGAAAGAGACTTCAGAGTGGAAAGGCTCTACGACCTCGAGAGAAACAACCATCCAACATGGCCGCACAACCCTCCCCAACAACCTCCGCCCAAGACATCCAGACCATCGCCGTCCTGTCCCTCTCAGGCACAACCGTCACAGCAACAGTCCCCCCAAGCACCTCCGGCGTCGCCGTCGTCGACGGAACGACAATCTCCTTCCGCCACGAAGGCATCACGCTCAGCGACGGCGAAGTCTTCTCCCTCGGATTCGATGGCCTTGTCGCAAGCACGACGACCGCGAGCTATGAATACGTAAGCGTTCCCGCCTCGCAGAGTGTCAAATATGATTCGACGAGGCATCCGACGGGCACGTCAGTTGTGGTGACGGATAGTCAAGATGTGACTTCGACCTTACCGCCGGATACGCCTTTGTTACCTACCAGTTCAACTGGCATGACGAGCAGCCCAGGTGAGTTGTGATGTACAGAATCTGCCGCTGACCAGTAGCGGCTTCGCAGGTGTCCACGACGCTGATGACGGGTTCGGCGACAGCTTCGTCTACCTCTTCTGGATCTATGACTTCTACCAGCAGTGGCTCCGAGAGCATGACCACCAGCATGAGTACGTCCGAGAGCAGTACTTCTGGCGCTCAAGTTGGAGCGGGGAATACCAACGCGGCGCCTTTGACGACGAACGGTGGGAGTGGAGCGCCGGTGCAGGCGTCGAATGTTGGGTTTGGGGGATTGTTTGTTGCGGGGTTGGGGTTGTTGGTTACGTTTGGGGCGATGGTTGGGTTGTGAGGTGGGAAAAGGGGGAGGAGGGGATAGTGTAGGTGTATTGATGTTTGCCGGCTGGTTGACGAAGATCGAAGCGCCGAGTAGTATGGGATGAAAAAGGAGGACAGATTGCTAATGTAGGTGTATTGATGTTTTACGGCTGACTGACGATGGTTGGAGCGCAGACTTCCTTTCGCCTTCATGTGATGAGGCGGTAAGTGAGTGGACTTCTGCAGAAGCTGATCAGAATAGGCTTCGTTCTTCAAACGCTCGTCGAATATCTCTCAGCTTTTCGACTTTCTCACCCGAACATCATGGCGGATATGTGCAGTTTCAGCAGCTCCAGTATTTTCGAAGAATTGGAGAGCAGCGACCGACAAAGCAGCATCACATCTAGGAGATCGTCTATGGCAGAGCAACATGGAGGAGTTCCTGTTCCACAAGATCCATGCCCTTCACGTTCCAAGCCGCTCGAGTAAGTCATGGGCCACGTTCAAGGTGGTTTTCTTAGCTAACATATCCTTCAGCAGGCCCACGATGGCAGAATCCCAGCCTTCCACCCCAAGAGCCCTGGATCCAAGAGCTCCGTGCTTCGAGGCGACCAAGTACGTTGTTGAACATCCCCTATTGATCTATACCTGACTTTTCAGTAGCTTCACAAACGACACCCGCTTGGTGCGCTTCACCATCGGCCACGTCAAAGCCGCGTTCATGGTGCACGCTCGGTTCCTCTCCAAGTCCTCCATGCTCGTCAAGCAGCACCTGGGCCGCACCCGAAAAGATCTCTCCGTCGTGGCTATGCCGAGACTCATCAACGTCTCACCGCCGACATTCAACATCTACGTCAACTGGCTCTACTCAGGACGCCTCTATTGTCTCGAAGAGAACGACCATGAAGATGAAGACGGTGGCGTTCAGCTCAACCCCTCAAGTCCACACTACTCCTCCGCTGAAGACCCGCAATTCATCCTCCTCGCGCGCCTCTACGCCCTCCGCGTCCGCCTCCGAGACGCACACTTCCAAAACACCATCCTCTCCGCGATTCTCGCCAAAGTCGAAGACCCCGCCACGAGAAGCCTCCCGGGAAGCACCGCCATCGATATCTTCTTCGAGAAGTGCGGGAAGGGGTCGGAGGGGATGCTGGGGAGAGAGTTGATGGTGAAGGTTTGGGTGAGGTATGCGGGGGTTGTGGAGCATTTTGGGGTTGGAAATAGGGGGTTTTTGGAGGGGGAGGTTGGGGAGTTGATGAGGGGGAGGAAGGAGGGGGAGGAGGGGAGGGAGGCGGGGTTGGATAGGGGGAGGTTTTGTTTGCGTGTGTAGGAGAGGCAGGGGGCTGGGAGAAGGCGAGTGGGAGGGACTTTAGATGGGTGGAGTGGAGCTTTAGAGTTGACTTGGTGAGCAAGTGAGTATCAAGTTCAAGGTGATGAAGCAAGTGAATCTCGGTGGATAGTTCGGCAGAGGCGCTTCGTGCACGGGCCTTTCTTTCACATGACGGTCCGGAAAGTTCTACTAAACAAACAGGTCCGCTTCAAAGCGACAAACACCACCAAAAGGAAAACACATTCACAATTAAAACACGACAACATGGCGAAGGCAAAGGAACACCATGCTATCGACAACAAAGCCACCACGTAAGTATACTTTGCAAGGCTCAGGTGGCCACTCTGGCTGATATCACGAAGTCTGCGACGCACAGATCTGATCGTCAGGGTCGGCTCAGCCCAACGACGCTTCACCATTCCAAGGAGCTGCCTCGAAAACGCCTCCAACCTCCTCGCAACAGCCGACGAGACCGACTTATGCACGGGTGAAGTCGAAGAACTGAAGGCCGTCTTTGTCTCCAATTTTCGTGTCTACGTCGACTGGCTTCGCGGCGGCGACAGCCTCAAGCTTGACACCGTCCTGGGAACAGAGTAAGAGGACCTGTTCCGTATCTACCTCTCCAGCGAACCGCTTCGCGACACCAAATTCCGCGACGCAATCTTGGACGCCATCATCGAGAAATTCAACACGACCACCGACAATACGCTGTATGCGTTCCTCCCTGACTCAGATGCTGTTACAATCATCTATTTGGAGGGTAAGGAGGCGCTCTTCCTCCGCAAGCTCATCGTTTGCATGTATGTGAAGCGTGCGGAGCAGAAACGCATGAGGATGGGGTCGTTCCCGACTGAGTTTCTGATGGATTTCATTGATGGCATGCTTGGCGATGGAGACAAGACGGAAAAGATTGGCGAGGAGGAAGCGGCGGAGCTCAAGGCTATGCAGAATCAGATGACCACGGACCTGCCGCCCCCACCCACGAGGAAACGCAAGCGTGCTGGCCAGTCTGGAGGGTCGGAGGATTGAAGGACGATACGGCAAAAAGAAATGAAGCTTCAATTGCTGCAAAGTCTGAGCCTAGAGAGGCTTTGGGTTAGAGACGGTTTCGATATGAGATGCAGGCTCAGGAAGGCGAGAGCAAGACAATACAGAGCGGCTTCCTGAGTATGAGTCTGTGTCTTCAAGCAGCTTCATAAGCGGGACCTCTTCTATAGACAGCCATCTCCAAGGGGCTTTTAGTTTAGTTCTTCGAGGCCGTTGAATGGCATATAGTAGGTATTGGTCAGTATTTTGTCACATGCGAGCCAAGGCCCATGAGTCGCTAGCGCCGAACCTTATGGTCGCGCCTTCCTTCCTATCTTCCTGCCGACACAAAATTGAACCGCAGCTTCGAACTTCGCTCAACACTCAAGAATCACAACAATGTCTCAAATGGGCTTGCATCGCAGCGCTCTCGACGGCATGATCGAGTGAGTGGCCCTTACATGCCGCCGCTATCCATTGCAATGAACAGGAAAGCTGACATCTACGCAATAGATTCCAGACCTTGGGCGTTGTCAAGATTCGACTATCTACCTCAAATCGCACTGAATTCTTGGTCCACCGTAGCGTGATCTGTCGCTCCTCTGAAGTGCTGAGGAAGACGTTCAGTACGAGCCATGAGCACAAAGCAGCAACTACTCTCACCGACATCGCACCGTTTGACGTCAAAGTTTACCTTAACTGGCTCTACACTGGGGTCTTACACACGAAGTGCGAGGAAGCGAATATAGGCACAGCGGCGGACAACGAATACGAGTCTCTGGTGGATGGATATCTGCTAGGTATCAAGCTCGAGGACCGCAAATATTGCAATACCACCATCAGCGCCATGTTGGACAAAGCAGAGCAATGCAGCGGCAAAGATATTGAGGTGCTGCCGAAGACCAGATGCGTCAATAAGGCAGACGTGACCAACGGACGTTTCGATGACGGTTGGCGGCTGCAAGATGTGCTCGTGGAGATCTTCGCACGAAGCGGTAACCTGGCAACGCTCTGGGACGCTTTAGAAGATAAAGCCCTGAGCCACAGGTTCTTCCAAAAGCTTGTGTCCACGCTCGTGGAGGTCTGCAACTTCCATGAGCACGAAGGTGATGAGAAGTGCAGCGCGCAAGAGCCATCGAGGAAGCGGCGGCGAGAGGAGTAAACAAGGGAGACACGAGGAGATGGGCAATGTGAAGGCTGATGTGGTTCCAGCTGGCCCTGCGATGATACTGTCTCCTGTATGGTCACCAGCGTATGGGAAGTAGCGATGGCTCCAAGATTGAACGCAAGCCTGCAGGTCTTGATAGCTACTACAAATGACAATGAGAGAAAAACCTCGAGACCAGTGGGCGTGATTTCCCACTATCGTTCACATGAGCACCGCATCGGCAATCCTCAGACGACCTGCCCAAATCGTGTTCTCATCTTCTATGGCAATCTCCTCAGAAAACGCAAGTTATTCTCGTGGCACTGCGCAAGATATTAATCCTCATCCTCTGTCACATGCTTGCCAAGACCGGAAAACCTGCTAGCGCCAAATCTTGGAGTGAGGATGTTTCATGAGCTACTGTCACTCTAACAGACCACATCAAATCACAAGACAATAGGAGGTGTCTGTGTGTGCTTCTATAAAGTGGTCATTCCTAGACTCGTGCTTGCATCCAACGACACACAACAATCAAAAAGCGGTCGATATTCGTCATACTCTTTGGATATAAAACCCACAAAGCATTCATTCAAGCATCATATCAGCCACCATATGCTATGGCTGGAGACATCGTGGTGCGTGGCGAGTACAACGACATATTTGAGTACGCATGCACCATGAGCAAGTAAAACCTACAGGCTAATGACACCGTGGCAGATTCTCATACTCCAATGTCGTCAAGATCACAGTCGGACTCTACATTCCATGCGAACTCGCCGTCGATCGAAAGCTCATCTGCGACTCTTCGGGCCTTATCAAAGAAGCTCTTAGTGACGTGACCTGCCGAGAGGTCAAACTCGATAAGGTAGAACTCATGGACTTCAAGATCTACCTCAACTGGCTGTACACCGACATCTTGGGAACAAAGTACGCCAGGATGCAGGAGGAGTTCAAGTTATTGGCCGAGCTGTATTTCCTGGGTCTCAAGATCAAGGACGTCAGATTCCAAAACAACATCATCACCGCAATGGTCGACAAGAGCCAGGAACATCTCTACGAGGATTTGCCTGGCATCGAGTGTATCAAGTTGGCGTACGAGGGCTATCACGACACTTCAGCTTGAGGTGCAAAACCGCTGCAGAAGATGCTTGTGGAGATGTATGCACGCAGTCGGGACGCCAGCAAGTTCGACAGGATCAAGAAATCCGCACCGGCGGCATTTGTGATTGACCTGTGCACAAGACTCATGAGGTTGCGTCCGGAGGAAGCCAAGTCGTTCGATGAGATTCAGGCCTCTGATTTCCACGAGAATCCCAGACCATCAGGCTATGCTGCTGCTTCGGATTCTCACAAGCGTGTCAGCACGGAAGGCGGTGGAAGTGAAGAACCAGCGAGCAAGCGGCTTCGCGAAGATCATCTTCTGAAGATGACTAGGTGTGATCTGAAGCGGAGCGGACTGTCGTTTTCCTAGTTTCTGCTGTGTTTCTAGTGACCTAAATTTGTCGAGCACAAATACGACCTGAGACTCACCCACTGGCGAACTCTTTTCTCGTTCCTTTCCACAATCCTGTTCTTTGATTATTCGTCCGTAAGCTTCCCGCAATCCTAGCCCCCACGTTGTTTCAAATATTTGACCCAGATTTCCCTCCAGAGAAAAGGCAATCAGTGGTACTTCACAAGATCACGGATCTTCGTCTTTGTCACATGCTTGCTAAGACCACTAGCGTGAAGCTTCGAATCTCGTGCTATCTTCTTTACTTTAAGAAGCCATGTTCACATGAAGAAGAGGATTTTAAACATTTTTCTGTTGTGGTCTTCACTCAAACTTCCTTTCAACAACAATTTATTTAACTTGAGACTCATCAAGAAATCAGATCTCGTCGTTCAAAGCGTCGACACCGGTACTTTCTGGGCCCGCTCAGGGATGGCTGAAAGAAGGCCAGCATCCACGGTGCTCCGTGCACCACTCTCAAGGACCATCGCGTGAGTATCTTCGGACAGATCCCATGAGTTAGCGAGCAAGCGCTGACATAATTCTCCCAGATCGATGTCCAACAACATCGTCAAGGTCAAGATACAAGGACGCTATCTCCAAGACTTCTCCATCCACCGCCAGCCTCTTTGCTGTACTTCAGAATTAATGCAAGACCAACTGTCATCCCTGAAAGTCAAAGAAATGACTATCAGTGACGTTAACCCTCACGACTTTGCCCTCTACGCGAATTGGCTATATAGTGGCCTTGTGTGCACGAAAGTCAGCAATGAGAACCATTACGACGATGAAGAATATCTATCGCTTATCCAAGGGTATTTCTTGGGTATCAAAGTCAAGGTCAGCACCTACCGCAACAATATCATCTCTGCTCTGTTCGACAAAGCGCAAGATAACCGACTTGGAAAACTGCCAACTTACCAGCCACTCAATGTAGCCTTCGCGGCCACTCATAGAGCAACGGCATGATCTTCTGCCATTGCGAAATGCCCTGGTCGAGATATTCGCGCACGAGTCGAATTCGGAGAAGGTGGAAAAGGTGATCGGGCACAAAATGCTGGACCAAGACTTCGTGCGAGATGTCTTTCGCAGACTTCTGGAGATTCGGAACATACCAGACCTAAGAGCATGCGACTTCCACCAACATGATGATGGGAAGGACTGCGAGGAGCCAGCCAGGAAGCGGAGTCGGCAGGAGTGATTTGCAAAGCGATGGTGGGAAAGCGAGGGTTGACAAGTACATTGAAGCGGATGGTAGTGCCATCACCAAAAGTCTTGCATTGTTTTGTACAATAAAATTCATCAGCGACACATATCCTCGTACTAATCCACAAACTCTTCTGCCCGTTCTCCACCCTCCTCTCCCTTGGCTACTTCTCTATACTCTCCTCGTGATCCGAGTTTCAAAGATGTCTTAGAGAACGTACCGAACCACCTTCTGCGCACAAAGGATTTCAATGGCAGGTAAAACACAAGATCTTGGTTTTTATCCTCTGTCACATGCTCGCCAAGACCGAATCTGACGCTAGCGTGAAACCCTACAATCGATGTTTCACATGAAGCTTCCAACTTCACTCGGCCACGACAGTGAAGTTAGCTCAAAGCAAATGCACCTCTCCTATCTTTTCTCCTGCTCAAACGAAGACTTGCGTTCTTGCGATTCATTCAAGACACATCAAAAATAGCTGACTCACATACCATCATCGCCAATTCTCGCAATCAGCAGCATGGCAGCGGCCAAAGCAGTACCTACAGGGCTATATGCCGACAACATCTCGTAAGTCGATCCAAGCGAACACTTCCATGAATCAAAAGCTGACAGCAAGATCAAAGCATCGCATCCTCCGACCTCGTCAAGATCCACGTCGGCGGCGCCTCGCCCGACGAAGTCTCCGTCCACCGCGACGTCATCTGCAGCACCTCCGAATTCCTCAAGAATGTTTTCGCGTCCGCCGAGACGACCGAGACCCACCTCCACCACATCAGCCAGATGCTCTTCAAGATCTAGGTCAACTGGCTGTACACGGGCATCGTCCGCGTCGTCGAGGGCCAGCTGGGAAGTGCTAAAGAGTACACGCTGCTTGGGCAGCTGTACCTGATAGGAACCACGTTGAAGGACGCGAAGTTCAGGAACGCCATCGTCAGCGTGCTGCTCAGATCCGCCCGGGAGCCGAAGTCCGGAAGTGCGAAGTGTCTGCCCAACCATAGTTGTATCAATTCGGCGTACAATCCAGCCTACCTCGCCGCAGGGTTGGACCAGAGAGCGCTTCAGAGAGCGCTCGTGGAGATCTATGCCAGCGAGGAGGACTCTGCGTACCTGCTGGCGGTCAAGGATAAGGTGGAACGCAACTTCTTGAGCGATCTTAGTATGAGGTTGATGGAGATGCGGCTGGCGAAGCACAAGAATATGTTTGAGGTGAGGGACTGCGCGTTCCATGAGCACAAGCCGAAAGAGAAGTGTGAAGTACAACAACCGGCCAAAAATAGACGCCGGGAGCAGTGAGCGACGACCAAAACGAATGAGAGAGAAGCGCGGACCATGGGCGAGATTTCAGAAAGAATGCTGCGACCAAAATCTGTCTGTAGACTCATCAGAGTCTGAGGACTAGTCCCCAACAGAAGAAGGGCTTGAAAGTGGCAACACAATCCCCACTCACCTACAAACTCTTCTCCTTGCCGGCCCTCCTCTTCGCCAACCACTCCGCCACCAACCCCCTATAATCCTCATGCTCATAAGGCTCAAACGTCTCCCTCCACCAACTCCCCTTCCTCCGTCCCTCCAGCCCCAAATCCCCCAACAAAACATCATTCCACGGCACCGCATCCCACATGAAGTCCGGAAACCTCTGACCCCAGCCATACGTATGCCTCCGCGTGCTCCAGCGCACCATGAGCGACGTTTCGTAGTAGGTCTGGTCGCGCAGGTGGTGCTGCGGGTCGATGGTGAGGAGGTCGTGGAAGTAGGCGTAGATCCAGAGGCCGGTGAGTTCGGCTTTGAGGCTGTGGGAGATGTTGACGCCGAAGCCGACGAAGGCGAGGGTGCGGTCGCCGCGGGCGGAGAGGCTGGGTGGGGCGATGGTGCGGTAGAGCCGGAGGGGGGAGTAGTCGGGTTGTTTTTCGAGGTCGTGGGTCGTCGGGGCGGCGTAGGGGTTGGCTTTGGCGGTTTCGTTTTGGTTTGGAGGGACGGGCCGCGTGGCGAGGTAGGGGAAGGAAGTCATGATGTGGTTGTCGGCTTTGGTGTCCCATTCGTTCCAGAAGGATTTTTGGGAGGGCGTGAGGTCGGCGCTGGGGACGCCGATGTCTGAGTGGAGGTGGGTATCTTTGAATTTGAGGGTGGGTTGCCATTGCCAGCCGGTGCTTGCGACCAGGGCGTCCGAGGGGAGGATGGTGCCGTCTGCAAGGTGGACGGTGTGGTCGGAAAGGTGAGAGACATCCTCGCGGTACACTTTGACCTGGCCTGATCTTACGAAATCCAGAACATCGGTGGGATAGTTGAACACGGCAAAGCTAGAGGCGATGTCGAAGAAGCCGCAGTCAGGCCACAACCCTTTCAGACTCGGATGGTTCGTGAGCCCAGATTGCGTCAACATGTCGTGGCCCATGTTGTCCCAGAATCCCGACATGATCTTTCGACCCAGCCAGGTTCGTTGCAAGAACCCCCTCCACCATCCACTTCCATCCAGCACCCAGGGGAATGGGCTGAACCATTGCACGAATCGTGTGGTGACCAGGCGCTCAGCCCATACTTCTCCCAGAATGGGTAACTTGGCATAGATGTTGGCGATCCAGGTCGGTCCATGTCCTGATTTTCGAATTACCCAATCGATCTGCTTTCCAGCAGAGGCGAATGTATAGACTGTATCCCAAGCAAACTTGGAACCTCCGTACACCGTTACTCGCTCGACCTTAGGATCTTTTGCTATGGCAGGTGCCTCTCGAGCCAGGGCACCGGCGTGTAAGACAGGCGCATTGTACGTGTCGTCGCCCTTGAGACGCATGTTCTGCGCTCGCGAAGTGATCCCAGTCCCAACGATCAACTTGGCAGTCGTGAGGAAGTACTCCTCACCCTTCGTCTTCACGAGCAGTTTCCAACCCTCCTCCGTCTTCTCGGCTTCTAAAGCAGTGGTCTGGTACCTCACCCTCTGTGCCAGATCAAACTTCTCCGCGTACTGCACGAAGTACTGATGTAGCGATTCACCAGGGATGTGCTCACCAGGTCGAGCGCCGAGATCGTCTGGGAAGGGATAGTCCGGGAGCTGTAGTGCTGGAAAGAGGTTGTTGGTCCGCAGGCCAGGGTAGACGTTCTCCTTGCACCATACGCCGCCAATGGTCTTGTTGGAGTCGACGATGAGGAGGTTCGTTTGTGGCGCACATTGCATGTACGCCTTTGCGGCACCGAGACTTGCAATGCCTGAGTGATCGTCAGTGAGAAGGCAAGGATGGAGGATCGTCAGACGTACCTGCTCCAACGACCACGACGTCAAAGTGTTCTGGTTTGGCCATGATGGCTCAACACCAGTCGGGTTGCGTCGTTTTCGAAAAGACACAGAGCAAGACTCGGTTTTCCAGGTCAGTAGGAAAGGTGACTTAAGCAACAATCTCCCAAGCAAGAATACGCTGGTCGTCTCTCCGACCTTCGCACCCAACAAAATCCCACGAAAACAGCTCACCACCTGCAACAGCCGTTCCTTATATACATTACCTAGCGATGAGCATTGCGCGGCAGCAGCAGCAACGATAAGACCTAACCCCCAAACCGTGCATCACCTTTCCAGGGCCCAGACATACTTTTACTCTCGCAAGATCCTCCTCCAATGTTGGCGCTACACAAGCCTAACCCCGTACTGCGTTTCCGCCCCATAGGGTCTTGGGCTGACTGTGTACAGTAAGGTCTCATCAGGCTGACCCGCCGACCTGGGCACTGGGCACTGCACTTCGCTTGTGGATTCTCATGTCGCGTGTAGGGCCAGGTTTAGCGAACTCATTACATGTACATGTCTTCTTACTCACCGTCAGACCGTAGGTAACGAACCGCCAATGGTTCTGCCCAGGAAACTCTTCAGAGACGAAAGACCTGTCCTGTCGAGCCCTTGAAGGCAGCATTCCCATCCTATCTTGAGCAGAAAGGGATCCAAAATCCCCCAAACTCTCCCGGACACACCGACACCGACACCGACAACAAGGATCTCCCCCAGGAAACCGCACCCCATGTTATCCTGATCCTGATGGCCACGCAGACTCAATAGTTAGTAAGTAGTCAGCAGCTGACATTCCCACTCGTCTATCTCGCCTAAAAGAGCAGACGAAAATGCAGTGCATGTCATCCATTCAGCTCTCTCATTCTCCCAAGCTTTCGCTTACGCGTTCGCCGATAAAATCCATCGCGCATTCGAAAGATTAGGTCATGGGAGTCGAATTGCTCGTTCGGGATTAGAAGAATGATGGGCCGTACTACTAGGGCTGTGAGCCGCGCGCATCCTGAATTCTTTGGGGGCATAGGGTACGATGGTATTCGTTGTGGTGTTCTTTCAGCCGCAATGCTGTAGCACGGAAGGAGGAGAGGAAGGAAATAGAAACCTTTCCTTAGCTCCATCGTCAAAAACCTGGATGCTGGCCATCACGTTCACGCGGGTTCTCCGAAGACATTGAACTCAACTTTCTTCCTCCTGGTTGGTTGTAACTTTTGATCAGAGAACTGGTACGACTTTCATTTCAGCAGGGCTATACACGCGAGCAAGTAGACGGGAAAATGGGTACTCCTCGAAAGCACGCAAGAAGCTTTTCCTCACGAAGTCCAAATGGTCGCTGTCCATGAACCACCAAACGCCAGCTCGGTGACACCCATACCTAGGAGATCCCAGGCGGTATCGTGGCTGAATGAATCGATTACAACTTCTTGGCTGCATGGCGGGCATCGATCCTGCCATCAACTCATTACTGATCGGTGTCGCCGAAAGACTAAGCCCGAGCTCTCGTGACAGCTGCGTGAACGCTATCAAGTCCCCCAGTATCCAACATTCGTCTCCTGCCGTGGGGGCATCTCCTGTTCGTTCTCCCCCTTCGCGAACTTGAAAGTTGTCGGAAAACCATTGACAAACATTAATGAATACTTTACAAGAATATCATGCCCATGCCAGAGATCAGACCAAGAATGGTCATGAATGCAACTGGGAGCAGGCTGGTCTCGACGCTTGGGACCGCGGCCATTGGGCCAGCGGCGGCGGAAGAGGATGAGCTGCCACCTGAGCCACTGCCGCTACCACTGCCGCTGTTGGAGTTGCCCTGAGCGTCGGAGTTGGCAGTTGGGGAGGTGGTGACAGTGCCAGTGCCGGCAGTTCCAGCCTGAGACATGAGGGTCTGGCAAGTGCCAGAAGCCGTGGTGGCCTCCTTGGTCGCTGCAGCGCCTTTGAAGTCGCAAGCGTCAGACGCGCTGTTCTGGCTCAGATAGTACTGGTTCATGGCAAACGCAAGCTGCTCGGTGGAGTTGCACATGCTGTAAGCACCGTAGTCGCCGGTCGAGCCGTTGGCAGTGATGCCAGAGCAGATGCTGTCGCCGTAACCGCAGACAGTGCCGAAGAGGTCGCTGTAGTCATCGGTGTTGGTGGCAGAGGTGACCACGCAGCCCAACGAGTTGTACATGCAGTTGCACAGCTCCTTGTTGGGCGATGGTGGGAGGGGCGTGGCCTTTGCGTCCCAGTCTGATGCAGTTGGGCAAGAGGCTGGGGAGTTGGTTGGGCTGTACGATGCCGAATTGACACCAGTTGGCGAGACGCTGGCAAGCTGGGTCTTCAGGTTATTGAAGTCCTCGCGAGTGGAGACGCTGTTGCCATCGACCGAGACAAGACCGTAGTTGTTGGCTTCTTGGAAGTACATGTAGACGATACCGCCGGACCAGACGTCGTTCATCTTAGAGCCGTAGAGAGCGCCAACCTCAGTGAAAGGACGTGGCTCGACATCGTTGCAGCCGTACTCGGCGAAGAAAGAGGGCACAGAGTAGGTGGAAAATTCCTTGGTACGGACGTCGTAGCCCGACTCTGTGAACGAAGAATCACCGCACCAGGAGTAGATGTTGTATCCCCAGAAGTCGATCGCGCTGTCCTGGTCACCGCAGTTGAAGTAGTTGGCCATGTTCTCACGGATGTCAGCATCGTCGTTGGTGGCGTAACCCACACCAATGGTGCGGTAGTTCTGGGCCTTGATGTAGGCCTTGGTGTCGCGGACGGCCGCCTTGACGAATGCGCTCGCATCCGTGTTGTTTGGGGCGTTGGAGACTTCGTTGCCAGCAAAGAAGCCCAAAACGTTGGTGTAGTTGTGCATGGCATCGACCACAGCGGTGTAGCGCTCGTAGAGGGCGTCGTTCCATGCTGGAGAGGCACGGTTGATAGAAGAGCCGTCCACTGGAGCAGAAAGATCGGCGATAACGTAGATGCCAGCGTCGGCGAGCGCATTCATGCAGTCATCGTGGTTCGAGTCGGGGTTGATGGCGTAGACACGAATGGTGTTGGTGTAGATCTGCTGGAGGTATGGGATATCGCGCTTGCAAGCATCGGCGTCGGAGAGAGGATCAGAGTATGTCTGGCTGTTCGAGACGGTGCCGTTGCCGGAGTAGTCTTGCTGGTATGCGACACCGCGCATGTAGCTGTAATATGATCAGTGTCAAGTTCTAGCCATCCTTATCTAGTCCGCGCTCTTACAATTGGGTGCCGTTGTTCTCGTAGAAGAACTTGGAGCCCTTGATCACAATGGAGGGCAAGTCGGCGGCGTAGACGGTGTTGGCGAACAGGCTCGCCGCCGCCACAGCGGTCGACGCGATTCCGGCGCCGCGCATGGTGGATAGCAGATGGTGATTAAAGTGGTGGTGTGGTGGTGTTGGTACAATGGATAAGCGGGTGCCGCTGATACTTCGAATTGGCCTTGAATCGGCAGGGGAAACAATTGGCGCGGAATGTGACGCAGTCACAAGCAAGCACAGGGACCGTGGAGTGGCAAAGAACGAGTGAATGGAAGGTGCGGTATTAGCACAAGAGGTCTCCGCCAAGGAAAGAGCGACAGACAAGCACAACAAGAGTGGTTGCCGTGCAAACGAGTGATGGAGGAGAGGGTGTTGTTCAGGAGACAAGACGCGCCGAGCATTCAACCTTTCGGCTTGCGCGTTCTTCGCCGACCCGCTATCCCCGTTTCGACCTAGGGACCTTTGCAGCGCCACCACCGGCGAGATCTTCAGAGGGCGATGATTGGCTGTGCAGGGAGGGTCTCTTATTCAATTCATCCATCCAGGGGCACGACTGGAGCGCTTGGAAACGTGCGACGAGACGCCTGAAGAAGGACCCTCGTCGAATGCCTGCCTTTCGACGATTTCTGGAAAGACTCGAACTGCGACTCACGTGCCGCCAGCGAAGAGCATGACGATTGCGTGGCGTGCTAATTACTGCACACGGGGCTTCGTGAAAACGGCGTGCCGGTAGACTATCATGGCTTGGCTCAACGTTTTTTTCACACACTTCACTTCATCATAGACCATCGTTCTCGACAGCCGGACACCCGTCCGGGGCGAGAGAGACGCTTCTTCCAAGTCCGACTTGAACAGCTATTATTGTCAGGTTATGAAATGCCGTGGAGCGGACTGATCACTGCTCTCGAAGGCGCCGATAAGAGACCGCTGGCTAATGCCAATGCCCAAGACGCGTCGTCTGCGAAACGAGTCAGGTCTAGATTGCTGATATGGACATCCTTCCAGCATTGCAAGACCTGCAAACAGGGCGCCACGGTTGAGCGAGGTACATCGTAAGCACCTGGAGGCTCATAGCTAGGAGCTTGGTGGGGGTGTTGGACGACAGCTTCACACTGGGCAGTTCAATCTTTGGCGTCATGAGTTCCAGCCTACTGCAGGTACCAACCCAACCAATATGCGGGGAGAGCAGTTCTTAGAGCTGCGTCCATGGCAGATAGCAGTCTCAAATCAAGGAAATGGCAAGCTGAGGTCGATCTGTACATAAGTATTGCTGCTACGAGGCACATATGTGTTGACTGCGCCTCTTGAGCGACTCTCTCGTGGGTGTCTCGATTACGAAGGTGGTGTACAAGGTTGCAGCTCAGGCGTTTCAGACTCCATAAGCTCCATGGTCCTGGCCGGCTTTGCACGGAAGCTAAGCAGTCTCTGTCCAGTGAGTGAGCTCAAATGGCCAGCAAGATACTGCATTGAGCGATGTGCGTCCGGTGAATGGCTGGTGAGAAGAGCCTCCATCTTACGGGCTGCAGAACTTGATGAAGTTTATTGAACTCAAGCGGGTGGCTAGACTCGTGAACACTATTGCTCTCGTCGGAGGATGTTCAAAGTGCGAGGAGGACAGGACGACTGTGGCAAGGCTGGGCGGATGCGGACTACTTGAGATACCCGAAGATGGCCTTCATAAAATGCGGCCGGCGCAAAAATAGAATCGATAGCAGCACTCCACACTTGTTCGACGTCTGCGTTTTTTGCCACAGCGGATACGCGCAGCAAGGCATTGCGCTGCATGTTTCGCAGTAGTGCAGCACACGCTTGACTTTATACCGCAAAGATGCATAATGCATCGTCGATTAGCCCGTGTTGATAATACGGCAGTGGTTAAGGAGACTGAACAGGGATAAGGCGGTGGCGGTTGTGGTTGAAAGAACGGTTGGACGCAGAAGCTGGGTGCGGGCAGTCGAAGGTGTTGGCTCCGGCGCGAAGGGGAGAAAACGCAGGAGAGCGCTGGCCTGTCACAGCGCAAGACTGCCCAGGGGAGGCCCACCGCGCGGAAGCAATCGTGGTTTAGCCGTTCGGATGGGAGCTGGCGGACACTCTTGGGAACCAGCTTTTTCCACGCAGCGGGCCAAGCGAGCAGCAGTGCAAAATCCATCGCCTCCGCGCCCCTTTTGCCTTGTGCTGTGGTGTGGATCTCCAATTGTCGGCTCCCTGCCGCGCATCGCATCGCAGCGCCGGCTTCTTCCACGGGACCACCGCACCGTCGTCCTTTCTCTCCGCCTGCCTCGTGTTTCTCCATCACTCCTCGACCTACCTTCCACCCTGCTCACCCACCTCCTCTGTCTGCCTGTTGTTTGTACATTGTCACTCGTTTGCTGCTGCGTGCGAGAGCGAGAGACTGCCGCTGCCCACCACGACGAAGGATCTGTGTGCGCGACGGAACAGCCGCAGACTTTGCCGCCCGGCCCAATCACCGGCCACGCTACAGGAGAGCATTGGGCGAGCGCCTCCAACGCGCGTTCGTTCTCCCAGCAACAGAGTAACACACTCTGCCTCATCACCACCACCTCCGCCGCCATCTCCTCACTCAGTCAGTCGCTCTGCTGCAGCATCCACGCACCGGCGGCGCCTACCTCTCGCGCCTCAGTGCTGCACTGCACTGGCAACTGCCACGCTCGCTTCGCACCACCCACGCCTGCCACCCCGTGTCGCAGCGCTCGTTCCTGGCTCGCCCGCCCGTTCAACGCTCGCTCCTCTGTGAACCACCGCTCCACGACCACCATACCGCTCCACCGCTCGCTCGCGAAGCCCGCCTCCACCCACCGTCGACCACCCTTAATACCGGCTGCCGCCGCTGCAAGGCACATCTGCATCTCCATGGTCGACGCTTGAACAAGGTACGTCTTCACCGCATCAACAACAAAACCTGTCGCAGCCCCGTTTCACCTTCCGCGGCCCCTGGCATTAGCTTGTTTGCGCCCACCACCCACTGCCCACGACTCCTCAAGACACTCGTCGCTGACGCATCGGCCCAGTAATATCTAATTCACCACTTCCACCATGGCCCAACCCCATCAGGGCGGCTATGATGACGGCTACGGCGGCCATCACGCCGACAGCTACTACCAAGACGACCAGCAGGCCTACTACGATCAACAGGGCTACGCCCAAGGCCAGCATGATGGATACTACGATGACAACGGTTACTACCAGGCCGGCCACGACGGCTACCAGCAAGATGGCTACTACGACGCCGGCCAGCACGGCTATCAAGACGAGTACTATAACGATCAGTACTACGACCAAGGTGCTCCCGCTGCCGGCCAGTATCAGCAACAAGGTCGCGGATACGGTCAGCGCAAGGGTCGTCGCGGCCACGACTCGGAAGAGGACTCTGAGACCTTCAGCGACTTCACCATGAGATCTGACATGGCTCGTGCTGCTGAGATGGACTACTACGGCCGCGGTGATGAGCGATACAACTCGTACGGCGAAGGCCAAGGCCGCGGATACCGCCCTCCATCATCTCAGGTCTCGTACGGCGGCAATCGCTCCTCAGGCGCCTCCACGCCCGTCTACGGCATGGACTACTCGAGCGCTCTGCCAGCTGGTCAAAGGTCTAGGGAGCCATACCCAGCTTGGACTTCCGATGCCCAGATTCCTCTCTCTAAGGAAGAGATTGAGGACATCTTCCTCGACCTGACCGCCAAGTTCGGTTTCCAGCGTGACAGCATGCGAAACATGTTCGACCACCTTATGACCCTACTCGACTCGCGTGCTTCCCGCATGTCTCCCAACCAGGCCCTTCTCTCCCTCCACGCTGATTACATCGGTGGCGAGAACGCCAACTACCGCAGATGGTACTTTGCTGCACATCTCGATCTCGACGACGCCGTCGGTTTCGCCAATATGAAACTCGGAAAGGCCAACAGGGCGACTCGGAAGGCTCGCAAGGCAGCCAAGAAGAAGAATGCTGGAGCCGACCCACAGAACGAGGAGCAGACTCTTGAGAGCCTCGAAGGCGACAACAGCTTGGAAGCCGCTGAATACCGTTGGAAGACACGCATGAACCGGATGTCTCAGCACGACAGAATCCGCCAGATCGCCTTGTACTTGCTCTGCTGGGGTGAGGCCAATCAAGTGCGTTACATGTCCGAAGTTCTCTGCTTCTTGTTCAAGTGCGCAGACGACTACTACCACTCGCCCGCCTGCCAGAACCGCGTCGAGCCGGTCGAAGAGTTCACATACCTGAACAACTGCATCACACCATTGTACAACTACTGCAGAGACCAGGGTTATGAGATCTACGAGGGCAAGTACGTCCGCAAGGAGCGTGACCACAACAAGATCATCGGTTACGACGACATGAACCAGCTTTTCTGGTATCCTGAGGGTATAGAGCGGATTGCCTTCGAAGATAAGACTCGATTGGTCGATCTCCCACCAGCTGAGCGGTATGAGCGCCTCAAGGATGTCGTCTGGAAGAAGGCGTTCTTCAAGACCTACAAGGAGACCCGTTCATGGTTCCACATGTTGACCAACTTCAACCGTATCTGGATCATCCACGTCTGTATCTTCTGGTTCTACACGGCCTTCAATTCGCCCACCCTGTACACCAAGAACTACCAGCAGCAGCTTAACAATCAGCCGCGTGGCTCAGCTCACTGGTCTGCTGTGGCTCTTGGTGGTACTGTCGCTTGCCTAATCCAAATCATCGCGACGTTGGTCGAATGGATGTACGTTCCACGGAGATGGGCTGGCGCTCAGCACTTGACCAAGCGCCTTTTGGTCCTCATTGTCATGTTCGTCATCAACATTGCACCCTCGGTCTACATCTTCGGTGTCACGCAAGCTGGCAAGGTCGCCCTTGTTCTGGGCGTCGTCCAATTCCTGATCGCTTTGGCCACCGTCTTCTTCTTCGCTATCATGCCCTTGGGTGGTCTTTTCGGAAGCTACCTGAATGGCAAGCGGAGGCAGTATGTGGCTAGCCAGACATTCACGGCCAGCTGGCCTCGGCTGCGCGGCAACGACATGTGGATGTCTTTCGGTCTCTGGGTTCTCGTGTTCGCGGCCAAGCTTGCCGAGTCTTACTTTTTCCTGACCCTATCGCTCCGTGATCCGATCCGTATTTTGTCCACAATGGACATCCAGAACTGTCTTGGAGACGCCATAATCGGAAAAGTTCTCTGCTACCACCAACCGACGGTCCTGCTCATCCTCATGTACTTCACAGACTTGATTCTGTTCTTCTTGGATACGTACCTCTGGTACGTCATCTGGAACTGTGTCTTCTCGGTGGCTCGGTCTTTCTACCTTGGTGTATCCATCTGGACACCTTGGAGGAACATCTTCTCGCGCTTGCCGAAGCGTGTCTATTCTAAGATCCTGGCCACCACCGACATGGAGATCAAGTACAAGCCCAAGGTCCTCATCTCTCAAATTTGGAACGCCATTGTCATCTCCATGTACCGCGAGCACTTGCTGGCCATTGATCACGTCCAAAAGTTGCTCTACCACCAGGTCCCGTCCGAGCAAGAAGGAAAGCGCACTCTTCGTGCTCCAACCTTTTTCGTGTCCCAGGAGGATCATTCGTTTAAGACCGAGTTCTTCCCAGCGCAATCCGAGGCCGAGCGTCGTATATCTTTCTTCGCCCAGTCGCTTTCGACCCCTATCCCTGAGCCGTTACCTGTTGACAACATGCCGACTTTCACGGTCATGATTCCTCATTACAGCGAAAAGATTCTCCTCTCCCTCCGTGAGATCATTCGCGAGGACGAGCCATACTCTCGTGTCACTATGCTGGAGTACCTCAAGCAGCTTCACCCCCACGAGTGGGATTGCTTCGTTAAGGACACGAAGATCCTGGCTGACGAGACGTCTCAATTCAATGGCGACTACGACAAGAGCGAGAAGGACGCAGAGAAGAGCAAGATTGATGATTTGCCTTTCTACTGCATTGGCTTCAAGTCTGCCGCTCCCGAGTACACCCTGCGCACTCGTATCTGGGCCTCGCTCCGCTCGCAGACCCTGTACCGTACCATCTCTGGTTTCATGAACTACAGCCGTGCTATCAAGCTTCTCTACCGCGTGGAGAATCCCGAGGTCGTCCAGATGTTCGGTGGAAACTCTGACAAGCTCGAGCGTGAACTGGAGCGCATGGCTCGCCGCAAGTTCAAGATTGTCGTCTCCATGCAGCGCTACGCCAAGTTCTCCAAGGAAGAGCGTGAGAACGCCGAGTTCCTCCTCCGTGCCTACCCCGATCTGCAGATTGCCTACCTGGACGAGGAGCCTCCGACTCAAGAGGGCGAGGACCCAAGACTTTTCTCTGCTCTTATCGATGGCCACTCTGAGATCATGGAGAACGGTATGCGTCGTCCAAAGTTCCGCATCATGCTTTCCGGCAACCCCATTCTTGGTGACGGCAAATCCGACAACCAGAACCACTGCTTGATCTTCTACCGCGGCGAGTACATCCAGCTCATCGACGCCAACCAGGACAACTACCTCGAGGAGTGCTTGAAGATTCGCTCCGTTCTTGCCGAATTCGAAGAGATGACGACCGATAACGTCTCGCCATACACTCCAGGTCTGCCACCCACCAAGTTCAACCCAGTTGCCATTCTCGGTGCCCGTGAATACATTTTCTCTGAGAACATCGGTATTCTTGGTGACGTCGCCGCCGGAAAGGAACAGACTTTTGGCACCCTCTTCGCTCGTACTCTCGCCCAAATCGGTGGAAAGCTCCACTACGGACATCCTGATTTCCTCAACGGCATCTTCATGACCACTCGTGGTGGTGTCTCGAAGGCCCAAAAAGGTCTACATCTAAACGAGGACATCTACGCTGGTATGAACGCCATCCTCCGCGGTGGTCGCATCAAGCACTGCGAGTACTACCAGTGTGGTAAAGGCCGTGACTTGGGCTTCGGTTCTATCCTGAACTTCACCACCAAGATCGGTACTGGCATGGGCGAGCAGATGTTGTGTCGCGAGTACTACTACCTCGGCACGCAACTGCCCCTCGACCGCTTCTTGTCGTTCTACTACGCTCATCCTGGTTTCCACATCAACAATTTGTTCGTCATGCTGTCGGTGCAGCTCTTCATGTGGTGCTTGCTCAACCTGGGTGCGCTTCGCCATGAGACCATCACTTGCAACTACAACAGAAACGTTCCAGAGACAGATCCGCTCTATCCCACAGGCTGCGCGAACATCATCCCTATCATGGATTGGGTTGAGCGCTGTATTCTGTCCATTTTCATCGTCTTCTTCATCTCCTTCGTGCCTCTCACGATTCAGGAGTTGACGGAGCGTGGATTCTGGCGAGCTGCAACCCGCTTGGCTAAGCACTTCTCTTCTCTCTCCCCGCTATTCGAGGTGTTCGTCACCCAGATATACGCCTTCGCTCTGCAGCAAGATCTATCATTCGGAGGAGCTCGCTACATCGGTACTGGACGTGGTTTCGCGACCGCCCGCATGCCTTTTGGTGTCCTATACTCACGTTTCGCCAGCCCATCGATCTACCTAGGAGCTCGTCTCATGATGATGCTCCTGTTCGGTACGATGACTGTTTGGAATGGCTGGCTGCTTTGGTTCTGGGTGTCTTTGCTGGCTCTCTGCATTTCGCCCTTCTTGTTCAACCCACATCAATTCGCGTGGTCCGACTTCTTCATCGACTACCGCGAGTTCTTGCGCTGGTTGTCTCGAGGAAACACCAAGGCTCACTCCGCCTCCTGGATTGGTTTCGTCCGTCTCTCGCGTACCCGCCTTACTGGGTTCAAGCGCAAGGCGCTCGGTGACCCATCCGCCAAGCTGTCCGGTGACACGCCAAGAGCACACTTCACAAACATCTTCTTCAGCGAAGTCATCGGCCCGCTTGTCCTCGTCGCTGCGACTTTGATTCCATATCTGTACATCAACGCAGGCACTGGTGTCACTGCAGACAAGAACCCTGGCAAGGACCTCCAGCCCACCAACTCCCTCATCCGAATCGCCATTGTTGCTTTCGCTCCAATTGGTGTCAACGCGGGTGTGGCTGCTGGATTCTTCGGCATGGCTTGTTGTATGGGACCAGTCCTCAGCATGTGCTGCAAGAAGTTTGGTGCCGTCTTGGCTGCCATCGCCCACGCAATCGCGGTCATCATGCTCCTGGTCTTCTTCGAGGTCATGTTCTTCCTGGAAGGTTGGAGCTTTACCAAGGCTCTTCTTGGAATGATCGCTGTCGTCGCTATTCAACGCTTCGTGTTCAAGCTGATCATCGCCCTTGCTCTTACCAGAGAGTTCCGCGCGGATACTTCCAACATTGCATGGTGGACCGGCAAATGGTACGCCCTCGGATGGCACACTCTCTCGCAGCCCGGACGTGAATTCCTGTGCAAGATCACCGAGATGGGCTTCTTCGCCGCCGACTTCTTGTTGGGCCACTTCCTGCTGTTTTTCATGCTGCCACCGCTTCTTGTCCCCTACATTGACAAGTTCCACTCTGTCATGCTCTTCTGGCTGCGTCCAAGGTACGTCAACTTGCGTGCACTGACTTTGACCATGTACTAATTGTGCCTACAGCCGTCAAATCCGACCACCCATCTACTCTCTGAAGCAGTCGAAGCTTCGCAAGCGACGAGTCATCCGCTATGCCATCCTCTACTTCACTATGTGCATCCTATTTCTGGTCCTCATCGTCGGCCCAGTCATCCTCAAGAAGTTCGTGACGTTCAACGTCGACCTCCCGATGCAACTCCAGCAGCCGACTGACTGGAACAACAATGATACCTCTGGCAAGCACACCGGTACTGGTGTTGCTGGCGGTGGTGCGTCGGCCACTGCATCGGCGACCGGCAACAACAAGCTGGCGAGGATGATGTTCACGTACGATGCATAAACGAAGCAGACCCTGATTTTTGACGGCCGAAGCGAATTTTTGACGCGTCTCCTACCATCGCACATATTTCAACCACCACCATCAGGAAATTGCAGATGTGCACCTCAAACCTCTGTACCAACAGCATCACGTGGGAGCGGCCGACCAGGAGGAGGAGAAGTGTCGGCCGGTAATGAGAGGCTGTAATCACCAAAGCATGGTGGGAGGCGCGAAGCATCGGAGAAAGCGATTGGCGCATTTTTATGATTCGTCTTTTTCCTCCCAAAAACATACTCATCATACACACGACTGACTGGAAAGGGCCCTGTTTGGGCGACGGAGTTTTTCTTTACAATGTGTTTTGTCTTTGGGTGGTGGGAGTAGTAAGTCTGCATGGCAAATGGCAACTGGAGGATGGGTCATAAGGTCACAAGATGATTCTTCTAACTATTATAGAAAGAAAGGACATGGAATTAAACTCTTTTTGCACGCGTATTCAATCAAATGGCAAGATTTGCATCAAACACTGCATGTGTCTTGAGTTTCTTCTCTCGTGTGGAATGGCTTTGCTTCAACAAGAAAGACGAGCAGGTTGACCTGTGATGGGCACGCCTCGTCGTCGGCGAGCACGTCCATCTTTGGCTGTAAGGGCAGAGACATGGCTCGCAGAGAAAGAGCTGCCATCTTGGACGACTAGAACTTGAAATGCTGGTGAGTCATGGACTACATATGTACCGAGTACATGTTTGTGCATCCCACTCGCGAAGGAGTCGACGTCTGGCGAGTCTCACGACACACTTAACAATGGCGAGGAAGGTTGGCAAGGCATCGAGAGGGCAACACGCTCGTTTCTTCAGTCATTCGTTCATTCATCCCCTGCTGCTATCGGCAGGATTCGTGAAGAAGCTGTCCATCGTTGAGTACATACACTTTCCTTCCTCCAACGCGCGTGAGCAGCCTGCTCTGCTTCGCCATCCCCTTCCAAGTCTCTTGACGGGGATGCTTTTTGCGGCTTGCTCCTTCTTACGCTTGACAGCCGTCCAGCATGCTTCGAAGGAAGACTTCGAACTTGTCGTCGTCAATCACCATATCTCCCTTCTCAACCGTCTGTGCCTGCGGTGGCGGTTGAGTCGGGGATTGCGTCTGAGTCTCGCGCTGCACCGGCGACACATTCTCCTGCTGCTGGGCCTGCTTCTGCAAAATCTCCAGGCCTTGCTGCGCCGTGTTCTTCGCCTGTTGCTGCATCTGCGCCATCTCCACGTCCTGTTGCGGTTGCAATTGCGACAGCTTCACCTTCTTTCGCTGCGGCACCTGCGTCGTCTCCTTTTCCTGCTGCTGTGACTCCGCTGGGACCTGCTCCTATCGGTTCCGCGCTCGCTGCACCTGGGAAGCCGCCGTGGCGGTGTACTCGTCATCGTCATTGTCACCATTGTTGTAAACGATCGCATTCTCCAACTCCTCTCTGAGTCTTGCGGCATCGTCATCAGTATCGTCGTCGTCGTCGTCGTCGTCGTCATCATCATCCTGCTCCTCAAGAGTCGCGACGTTACTCTTAGCATCGCCTGAGTCGAGGTGCATGGCCTGCTGAGCGGTAGTGGAGTTGGACCAATCGTGCATACTGTGCATGATCTGCGGGTCGACGGGCATGTCGCCATATTCCGTGGACATGCTGTCGGTATACTGCAGGCCTTGCATGGATGCAGTAGGGGCGGCGTTCTGCCCATGAGCCTGGTCAGATGCACCTCCAACTGCGTCTGCTGATGAGTCTGCAGAAGCTCTCACAGTCTGTCGAGGAGTGGCTCTTGACGGAGTGGAAGAGCTGGCGTTGAGAGTTGGTGGACGACCTTTGGTGGAGGGTGTAGATGTGGATGCTGGTTTGGGAGTCGTAGAGTCTTTGCAATCATTGCAGTTGCGGATCGCGGCGCTAACGGTCTCCTTGATGCGAACCCAGTGATATTTGTCCGCGATGGCTGCGGTCGTCTTGTTGATGCCACCGTGCGATTGGACGTGCATGTTACGCGCGATCTCATATTGCTTGTGTGGATCAGAAATGACCTCTTTGCCCTTGAGCATCAGCTTGTCGTCGTCGCCGTCGCCATTGTCATTCGGCACGAGTCTGTAGTGCGTGGCTGCTGAGCGAAGTCTCGACTTCTCAGCTCGATCAGAGCCATTGGGGTATGTGCCGTTCTTGAGGTAGAAGCGAATCTTCTCAAAACGCTCCTCGCTGACATACTCGTCTCCCTCACCACCAAGTTCCCGACCAAAGATGATGGCATCGATGAGTTGGTCCGGATAGCTCTTCAGATTACCGCATCCCTTGACTCGACCAATCCGCTTGAAGCCCAGAGCATCCCAAATGCGCAGCGAAGCCACATTCGTCTCGTAGACCAGGTTGAACACGGAGTAGGTATACCCCAGCTTCGGCGCCCACTCAAGATATCCCTCCCCCATGAGCCGTCCCACACCGCGGTTTCGAGCCGCATCCGTGACCAGAAAGCCACCATTGCAAACATGGCTGCTCCTACCGGGATAGTTGGGCTTGACGTAAAAGCTGCCCAAGCACTCCTTCGCCCAATCCACACCCCGCTCCTCCATATGCGTGACCTCCTCAACCGTCTGGATGTCTCCCAGAATCATAATCGCGCCAAAGTTTGCGAACCAGTACATCCCAAACACCGACATGGCCATGGCCTCCATCATCGGGTACGTATCGCCTTTTTCGATCTCGCGGTTCAGAAGCTCGCAGAGGTAAGCCGTGAGGTGCGGGGGCACTTGATGCGGTGATGAGAATGGGACGAGGGTCGCTGTGGTCACGCGATCGCGCAGGGTGACGGCTCGAGGGGTGATGTCCTCTGGGAGGGGACCGTATGGCTCGGGGAAGGGTTGCTGGCCGGAGTTGCGGTAGATGGGCTGCGCGAGCGGATCGTCGAGCATGGCGGACGGCATCGTGGGTGGTGTTGAGGACGGTGTGCCTCACGCACACCGATCTGAAGAGATCAAGTCATGGTTAGCAGTGTTATCTCAAGTAGCAATAGACTGAAACGCTTTCGGTTGCGTCAGAAGCAAAAAGCAGCTGCATGGTCAGATGCTCGCAACACCTCGACTGGGAAATCGCGAGCATGGCCATGGCCGTTGAACACATTTCTCAGCAAGAGTGTGCTTGAGTGTATGTGGAATGGAAAGACGTACCTGAAGTCGGAAGTTGCTGGGTGAGGTTCGACGGCGGTCTGTGTTATTCGGAACAGTGACCAGCACTTGCGGTCGCAAGCCTTGTCACGCTAAGCAGGGGAGATCTCTTGGCATCACGTGCTTCTTGTGAGATGCAAGGCACTAGAGCAGGTGAATGTTCAGGAGTCAGAAGGAAAAAAAGTATTTACGGATATTACATTCGTTCCGTGACTCATTATCTAAATTTACAGCGTCCTCGGTCTGCGACGATCCTTCACGCCCAGCATCCGAGGCTGAAGACGACGGTATCATCGATGCACTGTAGCAACAGGCACACCAAGGCGTTGGTTCCTTTAGTCCGTACATCGTTCGCCATATAAAATTCATTACCATTACATTATTCATAAAGCAATTGCAATCATCACTACTGCGAGCAGACCCGTGAGGCAGGAGCCCAACCTCATCGACATGCTTGACGCCGTGCTTCGAGACGTTGTAGCGCTGGCAGGGGTTGGAGTAGAAGGGCTTGTCGAATCTCGAGAGGTCGAAGTTGTCGTGACCTGGCTGCTTGACGCTCTAGTATCGTTCAAAGTTGTCGAGCCGCTTGTCACGGTCGAGCCGCTTGTCTCAGTCGAGTCAGGAGGCAACGTCGTGCCATCAACGACAACCCCTGAAGACGCCGCTGACACGATATGCCCAGATTCCGTTCGTGCTGGCCCGCCCGCTGTGATCGTTTGAGATCCATAGACAAAGGTTCCAGCACCTAGCTCAACGATTGAAGGTGAAGGTGCACTGAGATCGGCATTGGTGAAACTGACAGTCTGCGATCCAACGACTACAGCGTTGCTTCCAACAGAGATGGCCTGTCCGGAAATTGTTGTAGCTGGAGAGCCCACGCCCAGTGTCTGACCATCGACCACCACGGCATTGGAGCCAGAAGCTTGGTAGAATGAAAAGGTATGTTCGCCGGCAGTGACTGCAGCAACGATTGCTGATGGAGCAAGGGAGCCATCCGCATCACCTGCCGCCGCGGGAGCAACTAGCATTGTTGAGTAGGCCGCCATTTGAGAGTCCACCAAAATGCCGTTCGAAGCAGCACTGACTTCATGGCCATCAACTGTAGTGGCTGGATCTCCAGGGGCGACTGTGATGGACCCAATCACCACAGCGTGGTCACTTCCCGTCGGGCTCGGTATGAGCATCGACGACGAGCCAAGCTTTACCAGAGCAGCCAAAGTCGGCCTGCCTGCGGTCGATGGCTTTACGTCTGGTGATTGAGCAGACACAGGATCCAGTACGCTGTATGCGGCATACGGCATAGTCTGCGAATCGACGACTATGCCTTGGGATCCAGCACTGACTTCATGGTTGCTGATGGTCGCGACAGGTCCACCAGGAGACAGTGTTGCTGAGCCGATTGTAATTGCTCCAGTCTCGTGCTGAGGGCTGGCGACAACGATAGTGGAATCTGCCAGACTGACCACCGCAGCCATTGACGGTGTCTCGGGGGTTGGCTGTGTAGGCGACGAAGGCGCTGGTTGCCCTTCTATGCTCTGTGCTGCTGCAAGAACAGACAAGGCATTCGTCTGTTGAGGTGAGTCCTCCCCAGGGGCTTCGCTGTGGGCAGGTGAAGATGGAGCCGGAGCTGGCACTGACAAAGTCTGGCTTCCGATTACGACGACAACAGTGTTCGACTTGCCATGTTTGGATGCTGGATCGGGATTCTGGGAGGGCGGCTCTGCAGTCGCTGAAGGCCGCACTGGATCAACGGTAACAGAGACCTCGTTGGAGGGCAAGCTCTGGGGCGTATTGTCTTCAGATTGAGGCGATGGAGATACAATGGCTGGATCTCCACTCCCTGAGCTTTTCGGCTCGCTGTTAGGGCTTGGCGAAGGAAGAGCCTCAGAAGTGTGTTCAACAGTGGGAGTGCCCTGAGTTGGCAGCGGATCAGGCTCTTTCGAAGCGCTCCCATCCACGCTAGTATGCTGCGTCGGATCAGGCTGCGGCGAAGGAGTAGCCGTGACTTCTGGTAGCGGATCACTAATCGTAGACTGCGGCTCCGCCTCTTGACTACTCCCACCCGGTGTCGTCGGGTTTGTAGTAGTCGCCGGATCCGTGCTTTTTATAAGAGTAGGTGGAGGAGGCAAAGGCTTCACCTCCGATCTTGCCTCACTCAAAGCCTGAGGAGGATCGTAGACTCCATCAAGAGGGATTCCACAGCCTGCCCACTCAGGCGCCAGATTACGTACTTCCTGCGGTACAAGCAGTTGAGCTCTGTACGCGCCTTCGAAGATCGTGCTGCACGCGGGATGAGCCCCGTATGGATTGAAGCAGCCTGGCGCGATGCTGGGCTGCATGTAGTAGTCTTCTGTGCCCGGCATGGTCAAATGCGCGTAGTTGACAGGACGGATCAAGTACGAGTTGTTGGCTGTGGGCACGGGACGAGAGTCCTTGAGAGCAGAGATCCACTTGGCATAATCTGGTCCTCCGTGAGCGATTTCACTGATGGCACTCACTGTATTGACCCCAGGGCCGAAGTTCGCAATGACGCTGGAAAGGTCGGTGGGGTTTAGAGATATGATCTGGTCTGTCAAAGTAGGGCCGACAGGCTCGGGGTAGAAACCTCCAACTAAGACTGTGCTTTGCGAGCTGGCTCCGAGAGGGATTGTCTGGCTGTTGCTGATGCGGTCTGCATCATGGCCCAGTATGGCAGAGATTGTATTGAAGGAGAGGTATACGGACGGAGACGTAAACGTGAGGTTTCCTCTCACGGCCGTCACTGGTGCCGCCGTGATGTTTCCTGTAGGCATGGCCGTAACTTCGCTCGTCGCAGTGGGCCAGTAGAACAACTCTACACGGTCTCCAGAAAGGAAACAAGTATTATCCCAGGTCGCAGCAGTGTGACTCCAACTTGCATCTCCAATGGAACATCGTGGTCGGTTTGTGGGCATGGGAGTGATGGCAGGCTCAGTGGCTTCGTTCAGCGGCGTCGTGATACCCAAGCTGAGTAGATAGCTCTGCCACATCTTGCTGCACCGATCATACGGTATGCTGCATGTCGGAGAGGGCGTTGTAAAGTTGACATTGAGTGTTCTGGTTGACGTTCGTATGTGTGGTTCAGAGAAGTTCCTGGCGGCGTTAGAGAACGGGACGAACGAACTTCGGAGACGGCGATGACTTACTGCATGTAGGTACCAACAATGGTTGGAGTGAAGTTTCCACGCACATGGGGAATACCGTCAATAGTTGTATAGACATCGCCTGATCCAGACGTTATGTTGTATGTCTCGTTCCAAGTCGCCCAGCTGGTAGTCGTATAAACCGTCGGCGAAAGGGTCTTGCTGTACTCCTCACTCCACGCCACCCAGCTTGACTGACAATCTTGCCAACTATCGTTGCCCGCCGTGACAGTCTTGTGGATGACCACTGTGCTATGGATGGTGGTATGCCGAGTTGTGGTACTGTTCGCCGCGTCCGTCGGTAACGCTTGCAGGCTCGGCTGACTGAGACCTTGCATGATGTAGTCGCCGATATTGCCTGTAGCCTGACTATTCGGACCCGTTATAGAACTTGCCGTCGCTCCGTTATCCTGTGAAGTACTTCCATCTTGTATCGTCGTCGTCGAGTTCGACACTGATCTAACAGCAATGGCACCAGCAATGGCCACCTCCCTCAGGCACAAGGCACCCAGCAGAAGCCGCTTCATATTCAATTAGCGAATACTCCAACAAGACTCCAAACAACAAAAAAACACACCTTCACGCGACGAGCGACCACGCCCTCATTAGATACTCGTGTTCAGCCCCCAAAAGCTGGAGGATCGTGGCGGCGGTGCATCGCAAGCCGCATGAGCATCCCACAACGGCAAACCTTGCCAAAGCCTAGAGTCCAGCTCTATTTATGTCCGTGACTCTATGCTGTGTACCTGCAGAACAGACACAAGCTCTATTGTTGTGATATCCTGGACCTCTTGCCTGGAAGCTTGATTTGAGATCTTGTGAGCTACCATGTCGAAGGCGGCGCAGGGCTGTTGCGGCAGAGCGGTGAGTGCTTTTAGTCCAGAGTCCCGCCATGTGCAACCACTCCTCAAAAGCAGCACATGGCTATGCAGTCCAGATGTGGGCAGACCCGCGAGTACGGAGAATAGTTGGCCATGTCTCATCAAAATCCAGAATAGGAACTGTCTGTGTACCTCCTAGCATCGCAGTTCAACAATCCTTCCCGTGCACTTCCAGCAAATACGGCCTTTCTCCCGAGATGTACACATGCCACATTTGCCTGTAATAATGACCCAGAACCTCCTCGCCAGGCACACCGGTGATGTCAGAGGATAAGGACAAGGCCTGTTCTTTCGAATCAGATTTTTGCACCGCATGTTGATGAGCGAGCCGATTGAGGATTGGGGGCCAGCTTATCGCCCTAAAGGCCACTGTGTGTTCATCCTGGCAACGTTCTGTAGGATCTCTGAGTGAAGGATGGAACGGAGGTTTAAATCCTACGCTCCAGCCATCAACAACTTGACCATTTGGTTGGTCTGGGCTTGAATCGTTATACTCACGCGCAGGAAATACATACTCCCTCAACGTCTTTCTTTTCGAATGTCTTTCCATTATCATTTGTTGGTTCCAGCCGGGTATCTTCTATGCCAACAACGCCCCCCATCCTCCCAAGAAGAAAAAAAGAGAGCGCCCATCTAATATGCCTTTGATGCCTGCTTTCCATCTCCAGCTTTCGATCCACCACCCAAAACCTGTCGAGATGCCTTTCAATCCTCACGACCCCGCATACCACACCTCCACCCCCATGACCTCGAACTTGGAGCCTTCGTCGCTGAGCTGCTCGTTGCCGAATGTGGGGCAAGTATCGCTAACACCATTGCTCAGGCTCTGGTCCAGCCATAGCCCGTAGTGGCCGTCTCCGCCGCCAACTGATAGGTAGTCTTGTTGACAGTAGACTTGGAAGTCGTTCTCGCCGGTGTATGGGAACGCTTTGAAGCGTATTCTTTCTGGAGTTTCTGTGCCAGCTGCGTGGCCGTTGGTGCCGTTGGCGTTGGGGACGTTCAAGGACGCAAGGGATGCTGAAGAGCCGTTTCTCGCGATGCCAATTGTGGTCATTCGCTGCGCGTGGGTGGTGTCTGCGCTGGGCGGTGGGGGGAGGTCGAGGAGGTCTGGGATCGCGGGCAGGACAAGGGCACGCCAGAGGAAGCACTCCCCATTGCCAAAGTAGTGTGGTTGCGGTTTGGGGGCTTCAGACAGGTATGCGCCGAATGTACCACCTGTTGAGTCGCGAACGACTACCACGAAGCCGCCTCGCTTCCCTCTGTACTGGTCACAGAGACCATATAGCGTTGACAAGGTACTGCCGTTCTGCTCAACCGAATACACGAGTTTCCAATTATCCATCAGCTGCAGCCGCGGAGGGAGCAGTAACCTGATCTCTTCCGCCACTGCTTTTCTCAACAACTTTGCTCTCCCCGCCGTGCCTTGCTTGTAGCCCGTCAACGTCAGCGGAGTCAGCGGCGGAGGCTGGAAAGGCGATTTCCTCCGCTTGGGAGCCTGTGGCGGGTGGTAGAGACCCAGCGTAGGGTCCGTCATGGAGCCGTTGTAGTTCGCACTCAGTGCTCGTGCCAGCGGGGTGGGAGCTTCGTCTTCGGACAGCCTGCGCACGAGGCCCTTGACGGTGTATGAGACAGGGTCGGTGAAGTAGGAGAGAGTGGACATGAGCGGGTTCTGGTGGTGCGGTTGAGGGGGCTGGAGGGGAGGACGGGCGTCCGAGTCTTTGCGGTGGGCCGTGTCGGTCGACATGATGGCTGTGGCTAGTGGGTAGTGGGCGCTGAAACGGTGACTAAGGCAGTGGAGTGGGTTGCATGGCTCCCCCTTCTTAGCAGAGAGATGAGTTGCAACTCTGTTGCGGCTCTCGCAGGCGCCGTCGACACAAGCACAACCACCTTGCATCAATTGTCACCGGCCAAGCCAGCGCGGCTCTGCCGGCCCGGCGTGGGGAGAAAGCTTGATCAGGCAACATTCACTCACTTGAACATGTCACTTGTACGAATCGGAGGTATTCATTCCTGCTCAGAAGCATTCATTCATCGTTCATCGTTGCCTCGCGGCTAGTTGTAACAATATAGTACACATTCATCGGCCGTTCCTCCCACATCAATATCCTATCCTATCCTCCATTCTCCAATCCTCTCACCTTCAGATCCTAGTCAATCGACCGCTCACTGACAGCTCCGCTCTCCTCTTGTACGCTGGACCTGCGAGATTCTGCCCGTTCAAGGCGTGCCCTCAGCTCTTCATTTTCAAGACTCGCCTCCTCAAGCCTTTGCCTGGCTCCACGACGATCCAACAATCGAGCTTCTCGTTCAGCTTTCAGCCGCTTCTCCAGTTCCTTTAGGCGATGGTTCCAGCGAACGTCGTTGGCTTGTACAGGAACCTGGGGCAGCATAATGGGCTGCGGCCGTGGTGGAGGTTCATCATTGGGAATCTGGAATTGCTCGACTGCTGATGTCGAGTGATGTCGGAAGAGATTGTTCACCAGATTCCTGGCCGGACTGTACTGCGACTTGCCATTCGAACCGCCGCTGCTCGACTGGCGTCTTAGGTGCTCCGGGTTCTGCTGCGTTTCTTGGTTGATGAGCTGCTGTGCCATAGCACTCGGATACTGGCGATGGAGCTTCAACTCCGACCTAAGGAGCTTCATGTCTGTCTTGAGCTTTGCCAGTTCTTCACTGCCCTTGACGCTCTTCGTGCTAACGGTGCGGCTGGCTTGAGGTCTTTGCGCAGCTTCTTCCACCATGGCATTTTGGGTGTCCTTGACCGCACGCTCAATGGCATCCATTCTGCGCACTCGTATCTCCAAGTTGTGCTCGATCGTTTGGTAGTCTCTCCACAAGTCCTTCTCGATGCTACGGATTCGGACCTTGAAACTTCCAATGAGCGCTTCGATTGTTTTAACCGCCGAGATGATGTTCTTGTTGAAGCTCTGAAGGTTTTTGTTGATGACGTCTGCACTTGGTAGCTCGCCATTGACAAGACTGTGGTTCTGTGCCCAGTCTGATCCGCAGAGTGTAGACAAGCGGTTCCACAACGCGAGAAGAAGATTGTTCCGCTCGTGTAGCTGCTCGCGGTACTGTTGTTCGAGAGATGTCATCTTTCGCCTATCCTGAGTCAGGACAGTCTCCAGCTCCAGCACGCGGGTCTCCTTCTGAGCAATGGTGCGCAAGTGTGTCGCCTGGCCACTGTGAGCCTTCTCGAAGCGATCAAGGTCGTGTTTGCGGGAGGATCGCTCCTTTTCAAGAAGATCTGACAGCCTTCGGGACTCGAGACTGGTGCTCTCCAGTAGGCCATCGCGGTGTCTCAGCAGGCGATCCTTATCAGAAAGGTCCATTCGTGCCCTTTCCAAGTCATTCGTGGTCGTCTCAAGCTCTCTCTGCAGCTTCTCGATGTCGGCAAGCAGCGTAGGCTTTGTGCCGTCGGGATCTCCCAAGATGTTTCGCAAGGCTTGCTCAAGCTCCTCCAACTTCTGCTTCCAGCTGCCAGCTTCAACTTCTTTCGCGGACAGTGAACGGCGAAGCTTCCTGACCTCATCCTTCGTTTTCGCACTCTCAGCGTTGAGGTCATCGAGCACTTTTTGTACTTCCTCCTTGGACTTGTCTTCAAGTATGTCGCGCTGTTGCCTCTCTTCAACCCTCTCGTCCTCCATCTCGCGCAGCTTCTCCTGCTCGTCTTGGATCGTCTGCTGAGCAGCACTGAGCGCATTCTCGAGTTCACCAATCTTAATCTTGTCCCCTTCCTGCTCCTCTCGCAGAAATGTGATCTCTGAATGCAGACTTTCGAGGTTGATCTCGAGTTTGCGATTCTTCGAATCAAGCTCGCTGCACTTCTGCTCCCACTTCTGCAGTTCGTCTTCAGCCTCAGACAGCTGCTGTTCGAGGGTCTCAATCGTTCGCGTGTTACGCTCCTTGAGATCTTCCAGATTGTTGACTCGGGACGTGAGCTGGCGAAGCTCGCTCTGAAGACCTTTGTAGTCGTCTTTGGTGGTCTGCAATTTCGACGTGGTCTTTTGCAGCTTCCGCTCCGTGTCTTGCAGCTCAGCATCGAGCATCTTCTTCTCCTCGTCCAACGCTTGGATCTCCTCAAGGGCCTCCTGCTTGAGAGCTGCGTACTCTGATTCCTGCTCCTGGTAGGCCTGCAGCGCATCGTCTCGCTCCTTTTGCAGTTTGACAAGATCATCCCGGCATTCGTTGAGCTCGTCCTCCATGCCTTTGTAATCATTCTCAATTACATCGACATAGTGCAGATACTTTTGATGTGTTCGGTCAAGTTCCTGGTACTTGATTCTGAGCTCGGCATTTGTATCTCTCAACTGACCCTCCTTCTTGTCCCATTCCTCCCGCTCGGCTTCAGTCACTTGCGTGTGATCGCTGATCCGCGACTGGCTTCGCTGGTGAGCGCGCGAAATGGAGCGATCAAAGATGCTTTCGCCGGCGAGGGACCTTGCGCCGTCGCTCTTACGCTGCAGTAGCTTCAGATCTTCAATCTCCTGCTGCAGCCGTTCACGCTCCCGATTGCGAGAGGTTAGCATGCTGGTCTGAGCACCAAGATCACGTCGCAGTTCAGCATTTTCGTGCTTTAGCTGTTCGATGAGTGCGCCCGACTCAGCGTTCTCCATGCTCTCGACGAGGTCGGCCTCTGGGTCGCTAGCTGGGCTCTCGCCAGTGTCGATTCGGCTTCGGCGCCTTCTGTCGTTCTGGTGGTACTGATTTGCGGCTGGAGAGGCGTGCTGCAGGCGTAGCGTGGTGAGCTCGTCTCGCAATTTGCTGGCGTCCTCTTCTGCCTGCTCGCGTCGCCCAGTCTCAGCGTTGAGCAGATCCTGCCACATGTCCATGGTCTCTTTCATGCCAGCTGTGTCTTCACCACGCCTGCCAGCCATACCGCGCATGTGCTCTGCCATCTTTCGTTTCTCAAGCTCTTTCGTCATGACCTCGTCACGGAGTGTCGTGACTTGGTTCTCAGAATGATCCAGCTGCTGCCGCAAGTAGAGAATCTCCTCGTGCATTTCAGCCTGCAGTGTTGGATCATCGTCCTCCTCTTCCTTGGCGGCTTTGTGAGTTCGCGCCTCAGCAAGAGCTTCGTCTTGCTCTGCGATCTTCTGCTCCATCTCGCGCATTTTCCGGCGCATGGTTTGGGATTCCTTGCGCTCATTGGCGAGATCAGTCTGAAGTTGTACATTCTTCTCGATGAGCTCCTTGACGCCGTCATCAGATCGAGTCTGCAATGCCTGGTCAAGGAAGTGGATCTTCAGCTTCAGGTCGAAGTTCTCCTTCGTAAGCTTGTCGATCTTGGTGTTCTGCTCCTTGAGCGTCAGGGCTCTACGCGGACGGTCGAGGATACTGAGAGTGCTGCTGTCCAACCCGCTGGAAGACATGGGCCGGCGAGCTGCTGGCGACGAGGAGCGATTTCTGAGGCGAAAGTCCCTAGCGACCGTCTCGGGGACCTGAATGCTTTGCACATGCTGGGCAATGGCAGTGTCTGTGGGCGCGTCAAAGTGGGAGGCGGCAGTCGTGATCTTTGCGCGGGGTGTCTCCGGTCGGTCGTCGTCGTCGTGCGCATCGTATTGGGAGAAGTCATCGGTGACAGAGGAGCTGTTCACGCTGCCGAAACTGGGCAGACGTGGGAGGGAGTCGTCCATGGTGAGGTGGGCGCGAGGATGGGAAATGGGACGGCTTGTTGCATTGATGGCGGTGAAGTGTCGCTGCTTGGCGGGGGAAGTGGGCGAACCGCAACGGGGGAGGGATTCGACGCGCTCTCGACTTGCGCAGCGTGTGGGGGACGTCGCAACAGCGTCTTGCGGGCAGAATCGAGTCGACGGGATGGAGGAGAGCGCGTTCACCACATGCGCGAGGAAGGAGTCTCGCAGTAGCGTTGATCCCCGTTGGACGGCGTGCCGGGCGTGCATTGCCGAAACGCTACCCCAGCATCCCTGCATGTGGTCGTCGAAGTCAAACCCACTTCTCTTCTGTGCATTCGGCGTCGATACCTCTCCGTATTTGTATCCAGGTGCGGGATCCCTCGTTGTCGGTCATTGGTATCATCTCCCGACATCTCACTGATCGGGGCTACCTTACATTTGGAAGTATTATAGGTGTAGCATGACTTACTTTTGAATACATACATAGTCTACGCACGTTTTGCAACGGCTGTTAGACTGAGCATCGTGAAACAGTGGCCTCAGTAAAGGAGAGGCAATTGAGCCTAGAAGTCGCTCCATTGTTGCTCTGTGTTCTCTCAAGCCATCCTCGACAAAGCTCTCCAACAATGCACTCCACTCAAGACCTTCGCCTGCTGTCTCCTCTGCAGCTCGCACGTGGCCCTGAGCTCAACGCTAACGTCTGTTCTTCCCATCATCCATCGCCATGCTTCTGGTTGCACGTCTCCCACGACGCAGTTTATAACCCAATGTGGCGATAGTCAACATTGCTTCCACTCTTGCTCCCCTTCTCCGCCTCGTTCTCGACATCTTTGGCAGCGGCGGCCAGCTCAGCAGGGTCAGCTATTTCGGCTCCCGAAAAGCTCTGTCACTGCGAACTGGGCAGCAATGTGATGCGTCGATGCATTTCCCTAACGTGCTCCTCTTCTGCCTCGCTGCTCCAGCCATACTCAACAGCGCATGTCTTCGGTACGCATTCAAGGATAGTCTTGATGGTCTCTCTGTGATGATCCCGCAGCGTGCGATTTGGTCGGAAGAACGCCGCCGGAGGCCACATCTGGATGGCGCAGATCCTCATCGTTCTTAGTCCGGTCATCTTCTGCACGGTCCTCCAGTCGGTTCGAAATGGGTTCATGTCGTGAACGCGAGTGAAATCAAGCACCAGAACGATGTGTTTGATCTTCGCTAACAGATTGCGGGGCAGTCGCAGTGGGTTGATGATGGAGTGGACGCTTGACTCCAGAGAGACGTCGACGATGATAGTGCTTTCGAACATCAGGTCCTTCGATTCGTGTGCGAGCTGCTTGCTCGTGGCGAAGATTCCAGTCGCAAGTGGCGGTTCAACCCCAATAGACATATGATGAGTAGCACAGCTTCGAAGAGAGATGTGTTCAGGGCTGATCGCGGCTGAATAGACTCTGTTGCGCATCTCGGGAGGGAGGTCGATAAAGCGGAACGAACGAGGACTGTCGCTCGAGTCTGGCTCGCCAAAAGCGGTTTGCTGTATTGTGTGGGCGGCGACACTGGGCTGGTACGTAACTCGACACTCGGCGGTGCTGACGCAGTAGCAGGTGAACTTGCTGCGTGGCTTGCATGTGTCGAAGTCATCCTTGATATCCCACACTTGTCGCTTGGTTGGCACTTTGGAATTCAGGAAGAAGCTGAGGGCATCGGCGTTTCTGGTGGTGTCGGGCTCGGGGGCGGGTGTGGTGCGAATGCCGAAGACGAGCGGAGGTTGATTCTTGGGAAGCCCAGCATTCTCTGCTCTGACAGCTGGTCCTTGGATATCGTGCGAATGGCGGAGAACGGTGCCAGGAAGCGAAGGCAAGGGTTTGAAGGCACTTGCGGTGTTCGCCGCGATCGGCGGCTTGTTCGTGAATGCAAAACCCATTCTGCTTTCTTGATGCAAAGTTGGATCAAGTAGGAGTGTTTGTGTAGCTGGGGGTTTGTCTGCAAGAGCGAGAGGAGAGGTGATTCGCGCGATGCCCTGGCAACGTGATTTAGACTGCTTTATTCACTTACATCGTCACTGGCCAGTATGTCAACATACGCCTGTACATGGAAATTCGTTGCGTACGACGTGCGGAAAAGACGTATCTGGAGGGCACCTATGGTTTCCGAGTCCGCGACACATTCCACGAAAGAGCGCCTTGCTCCAGCCGATGACCAAAGGAAAGCTACTCGCCTTTCTCTTGTGTTGACGATGATGTCGTGCTGGTGGTACTCATGCTTGAGTATTTCCAGAGCAGAATGCATGAGTATTGTACAACACAAAGGGGTCGAACGGTACAGTAGCCCAAGTCTTGGCTCTGCAATGTTGTTGCCTATTGCGGTCATCCGAGAGCAATCCAGTCATTGTATTAACCGTGAGCAGGGGAGAGGAGAAGTAACTCAGATGGAGAGGCGCGGCAGAATAGACAAGAGCCTGGGCGAGAAAGATGTGAAAGCAACAAGAGGTGAGGTTTGGTAACACGAAATCCTTCCGGCCTGTAGAGTTCAACCAAGGTCCAAGCGCATCGACACAGCCAATCGCTGATCGCAATCTGTCGCTCACGTGCCGCCTCGTCCAGATCAAGTAAACGAGAAGTGGGCCTCTTCGAAACCAAGGCATCTCGCCCAGTTTCTCCGTCATTGGACCTCAATTGCTTAAAGCTAGAAGATGTCTGCTTCTTCGTATACCACAAGCTGTATACGGGCCCGTCATGGCAGTGGCACCACCTCTGACAGAAACGGCGGGAGAGGCGCCTACCTTTCACGTCTTTTCCGCGAAGGCGAATCAATCACAAGACGCGGTTCAGGAGACTAAGGACTACATCACTCGCCGAACGCACAGAAAGTCCAGAGCAGGATGCTCTACGTGCAAGGTCAAGAGGGTGAAGTGTGATGAGAAGAAGCCTACTTGCTCCCGGTGTCTCCGCAACTACACCGATTGCAACTATGATGCGAATTCGCCCAAAGCTTTAGAAAGCTCCACGTTCACGGTCGCCTTGGATAAGATCCCACCTTTACTGAAGGACTCATTGGCCCCTACGTCGTCTGTACCCAGGACGCTGATTCGATCGTCTGCGGATTTGCATCTCTTGAAGCACTTCGACACCCTCAGCAACGAGGCTCTTCTCGTCGGCCCTGCGTCTCCCGGATATCATAACGCAATCCTCCGTCTGGCACAGAACGTAAGTGACGAAGCCTCAAGAGGCTAGGAGCACTCAGAGAAGCTTATCCTTGCGCATGTAGCATTCGTTTCTCTTCCACACCATGCTCGCCTTGGCAGCAAACCACTTGCTGGAGAACGGATCCCAGGGCTGGCGACAGGCCAAGCTTTCTCATCTGTCGACAGCGCTGCGGCAGTTCCAGCAGACTATCTCGAAACCCATAGCCAAGGAGCAATCCGATGCGGTGTTAATGACCTGCTTGATGATCAACGTGCAATACTTCAGTTGGGTCGACACCACGAACCCAAAGGACTCCTGGGTGTTCTCAAAGGACCTGGATCGTATTGCTTGGCTATTAGTGCAACAAGGGATGGGTGCACTCCTCGAGCAAGTGCGGCCATTTCTCGTTGACACCGAAGTCCTGCACTACTTTTATGTGTCGCGAAACGATCGCGAAGATGTCAGGAGACTACCAGAAGCCATGTGGGAGCTTTGCGATGTCACGGATGAGATGGGTCTTCCTGCGATCCACCCAAACCCATATCACGATCCATTGCATGCGCTGGCGCTTCTGATGCCATTCGAACCGGACAATTTCATGAAATACCTACACTTTGGAGCCAGGATCTATCCTCCATATGTTGAGCTTTTGAAGAAGAATGATCATCGAGCACTGCTCATATTAAGCTACTGGTTCGGCCTACTTGGAAAGTCTGACCTTTGGTGGTGTCAAAGACGAGTCCAGCGGGACTGCCTTGCTATATGCATGCTACTTGATGCGTTTGGCAGCGATGCCATTCACTCACTCTTGGAATTCCCAGCCAGTGCTTGCGAGTATACGCTTCAGGCACGCAAAACGTCTACGGCAGCTTCACACGTTGCAGACACTGGTCTTGCGACGTATTTACCCGAGGGTATCTCCACATGATCTTAAACAGCTTTCCAGGGAAGGTGGCGGTTGACAATGTCATTTCTTCGAGATTCGCTAATCGTAATACTTCTTGCCAGAACTCGCTAAGCTTTAGCATTTATTCGAGACTCCAGTGATGAAGACTGAACGTGCCCATCGGTTAGGCAGAATCTAAACTCAACAAGAACTCATGCCACACCAGTCGGCAACAAGATTCATTTGACGTGCATCAAGTATGTGGGTCTGGAGGCTTGTGCATGACAGGGGTATCCAGCTTTCATCTGGAAACCTCTTCGCCCGGACTCTTTCAAATCGCAAACTGTCCGGGGGTCGTGATACCGCTTACACCTATGGAATAGCTCTTTCTCTCCATCGAAATTGCAGGTCGAACATGGCGGGCGAAGCTATTCCTCTCCAACGTTCGACTACACCGCATATGAAGTCCTTGGCGGGGAGAGATCAACATGAAACGAGATGTTCCACCTATCCCGGACGAAGACCAAAAGTACGATAGTGACACTCGCTTCGAAGAAGCATTCAATATATCAAAACTCCCATCGTCTCCATGGACGTGGGATTCTTAGCCAACATTCTCCTTCTCTTCTCCAACTCCACCTGGTGCTGGCGCCATGTTGGCAACGTCAATCTTTGCAGCCGCCATCGGCTTTGGGTCACTCGTTACAGCCCAATTCGGTCTCACTGACAATGATGATAGCTATGTTGTCAATGCTGGCTCTGCGAACTCACTTGTCGCCACAGTCGACAAAGCTAGCTGCGACGTGACCTCAATCGTTTACCGCGGGGCGGAGCTACAATCCTCGAGCAAATATACTCATATTGGATCCGGTCTGGGAAGTGCAACTGTGTCTGCTCAGACAATTGATGGTATGTCTCCAGAATACACAGAAGGTATCAAGACTGATCTCGGTCCGAGACCAATATGTCAAGGTCACTTGCGAGACCGACACACTTACGCACTACATCGTGGTCAAGTCAGGCGAGGCGAATCTGTACATGGCCACTTACACTTCAGCTGAGCCGGAGATCGGAGAGCTGCGATACATCGCTCGTCTCGACAACAGCATCTTGCCCTCAAGCTACCCGTTCGGCGACGTCTCTACCACTGTCGGCAGCACCGAGACGATCGAAGGCTCAGACGTCTTTCTAGTCGACGGCGAAACTCGAAGCAAGTTCTATTCGTCTGATCGCTTCATCGATGATCACGTCCATTGCGTATACGGGGACGACACCCATGCATGTTTTGTCAAACCGGCTCTGGCGTACGAAGCCGCTTCAGGTGGTCCATTCTTCCGAGACATCGACACTAACAATGGAGGGGACTACACATCTCTTACCTTCTATATGAACTCAGGCCACGTTCAGACTGAAGCATTCCGCATGGGCTTACATGGACCGTATGCCTTGACATTTAGTAGAAGCGGTGTCCCAGCGTTGGCAGACTTCGACTTCTCCTTCTTTGCTGATCTGGACATCCAAGGGTATGTGGCAGAATCTGGCCGTGGATACGTCTCGGGGACAGCTTCTGGGGTTGGCAGCGACTACCAGACTGTGGTGGCATGGTCGAACGACGAGGCGCAGTACTGGGCATATGCGTCGACGGATGGTAGTTTCACATCTCCTGCCGTGAAGCCAGGGACATACACCATGAAGCTGTACCAAACCGAGCTGGAGGTCGCCTCTCAAAGTGTGGACGTTTCAGCAGGATCAACGACGTCCAGCGACATCGCCAGCACTCTAACCGCCCCAACCACGAGCCTCTGGACCATCGGCTCCTGCGACGGCCAACCAACAGGCTTCCTCAACGCGGATAAGCAGCTCAGAATGCACCCTTCCGACTCCAGAATGTCCGACTGGGGACCCACAGATTTCGTCGTGGGAGAGGCCAACGCCACTGACTTCCCCATGGCTCTGTTCAAAGCCGTGAACAGTGGACAGAACATCACCTTCAGCCTTGAAGACGCGAGCAGCGACGCCACTTTACGAATCCGCACGACCCTCGCGTTCGCCAGCGGACGTCCACAGGTCGTCGTCAACACTTGGACCGCCGATGCTCCAGACGCCCCCACGAAGATCGACAGCCGTGGTGTCACAAGGGGTGCGTATAGGGGCTATGGCGAGGCGTACGAGGTCGATATCCCCAGCAGCGAGCTGGTCGCTGGGCAGAACAGTATCCAGATCAATGTCATTTCGGGCAGTTCTGGGGATGAGTTCCTTTCGCCGAATTTTGTGAGTTGTTTTGATGATTCGCTTGGAGGCGTGATTTTGCTGACTTTGGTTCTAGATTCTGGACTGTATTGAGTTGTACAGATGATGTTATTAGTGTTGTAGCAGCGTACTTGTCAGATGTGGCTGTTGGAGTGGCCTGAAACGTCGCCTTTGCCGCCGACTTCAGTCCCGTTTCCTTCCCGTTGTGTCCTCGCACTTTCACGACGATGAAGCCTTACGTTCGTTCTAACACCTGCTGTGCGATTGTGCTTCGCTAACTAAAATTTGATGAAAATTGATTGATATCAATCAAATTGAAGATTCACTTCAATTTGGTCTGTGCGGCGGCATTGCTTTTCGGGCGAGCGGCCGGCTTGCGTCTCTTCTCCAGATCACACACCAGCAGAGATGCAATGCGATGTCACCACATCGGAGTTGTCTCGCCAGATCACTCATCGAGAGAAGTGTGACTTGTGAAGAGATTGGCCCCGCCGCTGGATGGCGCGAATGAAGCTCTGCTGATTGGAAATCATCAGCGACTTGAAGTGTCACGCCGGAGATATGGCGTCATTGCTCACAAACTGACCACACAGCTGCGACACACAGCATTGAGTATACGCGGGGTACGCTATAAGATGATTGTCCTCCCATGACTTTGCGATATCGACCCTCACGATTCGCCAGCTCAAGAGACTAGAACTCCTTTCGGCCTTCGATACTGCGAGCAAGGATGACCACCGCCATCTTCAAGCACATCGACACATCGTCGTACTCTGGCAAGCCATGGGTCAAGGTCGACGGACCAGGCAAATCATATAAAGAGACCGATATCGAGCGCCCCGTACAAAATATCCGCGGCAGAGAGAGCGAGTTCAGCACAGATGTGTCAGGATTCGCAGTGTACAACTCACCCGCGAAGGAAAAGGCCTTTGTCGATGACAAGGCCGTAAGAACAGGCTACTACGAAGAGGTGGAAGACTTGCTCAGGAAAACACACCCAGGAGTCAAGAAGGTCGTCATTTTCGACCACACCATTCGAAGGAGGAGCAAGGACTCGCCGAGACAACCTGTCCAACAGGTGCATGTCGACCAAACCCCGGGAGCTACACAAGTCCGAGTTCGACGACATCTTCCTGAAGACGAAGCCGAGGAGTTGCTAAAGGGTCGTTACCAAATCATCAACGTGTGGCGACCAATCGAGAACCCGGCATCAGACTTTCCACTTGCCGTGATCGACTGGCGTTCGACCTCCCCAAAGGACTTCATCCCAGTGGATCTCATGTACCCACAGCGTCCCGACTCGGCGATGGATGACGATGACCGAGGCAAGGAGAAGTTGCCGGACGAGACGACGTTGTTCTCGACTGAGGGCTACGAGCCGAGAGGCGAGACGCTCTCTGTTGCACCAAACTCGCAACACCAGTTCTGGTACTACAAGGACATGACCCCTGAGGAGGTGATGCTTTTGAAGTGCTACGACTCGTACGGAGACTCTGAGCCGATGGGCAAGAGCGGCCTCGCGGTGAGAACGCCACATACGGCTTTCGTCGACCCACAGACGCCCAAAGATGCGCCATATCGACAGTCGATTGAAGTGCGATGCCTGGTGTTTTACGAGTAGAAGCGTACATTTAGACTTAACCATCGATCCACACATATATTGCACGCCGCTGTGCTTGCCTGTCCGAACGTCTCCGTACCGCAGAGAACAAGCTTTGCCTTCTGCAGCCACTTTTCTTGCATCTAGTCCATAAAATGTCTTTAGGGAGATTGTAGGAGAAGTATTGAAGTGGCAAACTCTCTCGGTGATAGTATGCCCATGTGGCTTTCAGGAGACTAGACCAGGATCTGGCATGCCAAGCTCGCTGTAACATAAACTCCCGTGACGAGAAAGGTCTCGGAGGGCGGCAAGGGCTCCCCCAGCGTGAGGGATGACAGAGCCGAGCATGAGCTCGACAATGATCCCGACCAGTATCACGATGTGGGAGTCGCAAAGAGAAATGTGGAGACCATAAATCTTCAGGAGCGAACTCCGGCTGTCCTACAACAGGCGCATGTCATACTGCGAGTTTAGCGTGGCGAGCCACATTAGGTGGGCGGCCGGCGTAGGACAGCCCAAGGGTGAAGGAGAACTACCTAAAGCCCGATGGCTGTTGTGACTGCTGTGCTCTAGTATACACCCGCACATGGCGCCCAAGTCTGGAGACGGGAGTTCTGCCCGACCTGCGGACGAGGCGCAACCCAAGGTCAAAGCAGCATGTGAGGCCTGCCGCACTCGCAAGATTAAGGTATCGTTGATTACCCTTTTTCAAGTCCGGGGTGATGCCACGAGAAGCGAGAAAGGACTAACGGACTAGTGTGATGGCGTCCGTCCTGTTTGCACGAGCTGTCAGAAGAAGATCAAAGACTGTGTCTACATCACCGAGCCCGACGAGCTGCGAGTTACCGCTTTGAAGCGCAGATTCGTCGAACTGTCCAATACATCCTCCAACAACGAAGCTTTGATCCGCCTTCTGCGCGACACCGCCGACGACGAAGCCCAAGTCATCCTCGAACGTATCCGCGCCGATGAGAGCATCTCGTCCATCTTGACAGCTGGTGATGATGGCCGTGCACATGGCTCAGCGACCAACAGCTTGATTCTGGCGATTGAGGGCGCCAACGCTCATCGCTCTGGCGAGACCTCATCCTCTGAAGCCAGCGACCCTCAGCTCCAGCAGCCCTCGACGCCTACTGAGCCGCCCACGGGCTTGATCGATAAGCAGTCGATTTCATTCCTGGTCGACCAGACCCAGCAGACGCGAGCAGCAGAGAACAGTGGAGCCTCATCCAGCACGAGTGCGGAGTCGTCAATACAAGAGCGCCGCGGGTCGACGAGGACCGCAGCAGAACCGCACGATGAGGCCGAAGCGATTCATCGAGTCGGCAACGCGAGCAAACAAACGGCAGTGTCACACCCATCCCCAACGCGCAGCCAGCGGAGCGCTGAAAAACGGACGCGGTTGTTCGATCCGACGCGCCCGGGCCTTCAAGCACGGCCTACATGGTCTACACCGGCGACGTTTCGTCCCAAGCCAGCGTCAAGCGTGAATCTCCTAGCTACGAGAGCGCGTAGCACGGATACGTCGTGGAAGAGAAGACTTGGGGGCGTGAAAGCGACCGACTGGGAGGTGTACTACACGGATGACCATACTCTGCTGGAGATACTCAAGTGCTACTTCGTGTGGGAGAACCCGACTTTCGGATTCGTCGAGGAAGAGCCCTTCTGGGAGGGCCTCATCGTAGGAGGTTCAGAATTTTGCAACCGCGCTTTAGTGCACGCCATCGTGGCATTTGGAGCTGTAAGCTGTTTCTGGCTCGACTACGACGCGTGCGCTCGCCGCTGACATATGGTGCAGAAGATGTTCTCTCTATTCTCTCCTGAGAAGCCTGCTTCGATCGGCCACCGTGCTATGTACGAGATCACGAAGCTCTGGGACTGGGACTCGGACGCTGCAGTCCCTGCCAACATGTCTGCTGGACTCTTGCTCTATGCAACGTTGGAAAGCAATGGGCAAGATAAGGACGGCGCTCCCTACATATCGGGCGCAGTGAACCTGGCTTCCGACTCAGGGCTCTTCTCTTCAGATCGCTCGCCTCAGACATATCCCAGCTCTGACTCACAACTAGCAAAGCACAGGGCCATCTTAGCCTGGAACTTGTACTCGTATCAGGGGTGAGTGAACGTGGTTGCCAAACGATGTAAGAAGTCCGCTAATAGCATCAGAATGCACAATTTAGCATTCCCCCAACACCTGCCTCTGTTAAGCCATTCACCGCCGGTCGGCCCACCCGTAATCGAGAAAGAGGAAGACAGCAAGAATTGGAGTCCTTACCCACTACAAATGCCTCCAAGACCTGGTCTTATGAGCAGCCATCGAAGCGCGCGAGCAATGATGTGGAAGACGGCCAGCAAAATCCTCCCACTTCACCAGAGACATAGAGACGGTTCGAATCGCGACTTACACTGGATAAACGCCCTCGAGCTGTTCGAAGAGCTTCAAAGCCGGCGAAAGGATTTGAATGGACGATTAGGGATGCTTCACGGGGCCCCTCCACACGTCTTCACGCTGCAGTAAGTTGTTCGACTCTACGCGTGACCATGGCTGCCATGTTGACCTGAACGTCCAGCTCTGACTACTACCGAAGCGTCATTGAGCTCTTCAAGCCGTTCGTAGCTGCGGACAATGAACCTCAGGCTCAAATCAAGTTCAAACCTGCCCATGACCACACTGAGCAGGCCCGACTTCAGCTAAGATTGCTCGTCCATCAAATGGAACTTGAGCTTCCTGACCTGCCCTTCTCTCTTTACTATCTGACGACTTCTGTAATGTTCGTTGCCAACGACACGCTTATGGCTCTCAAGGGCAAGCCGGACGTCTCTGACGAAAGCTTCTACTTCTGCTTGTGCCTCCAACTGATGAGGCGCATGGCCAATGCCTATCCGTTGGCGCGCTATCTTATCATCGGCTTCCAGCAGGTTGCACGACGCATCGGGGTCGAACTGCCATCACAAGCCGCAGCCATCGTGAAAAGCTTAGGCCCAGTGACACAGCCGACTCTTACACCCAGCAGCGAGCTTTTTGTGCAGCTGGACCTAGCAGCCACTGATCCCGAGTTGTCGACGCTGCAGCGATTGAATGAGGAGTTCCATGAGATAGCCGATCAACGCGTGCGGTGGCAGGAAGAGAAGGTGATAGACTCTGGACCTGGAGGAGAGAGAGGAGGAAGCCGATGATTCTGGAGCGCGATCGCTTCCGTGAGTTAGCGATGATTAGTGCGGAAACGGCCTTCATTGTACAGCCCATGTATGCCTTAGCGCTTCGTCAGAATGAATGTAGAGAGGGGAGCGGCCTTTCAACGAGCAGCAGCGCGTTTGCGCGTTGTGCAGTAGATAGAGTCGTCCAAACCAACGTGTCTGACGCGCAGCGCTGAAGAATATCGTCGAGTGTCTGAAATTCAGGCTGCCATCTCGCAAGGCCGTTGTGCGGGACCGCGTCGACGTCCCAGCAAGCCATGGCAGGGACGACGGTGACTTCGCAATGTGTGCTTTGATGGGCTTGCATGGAACGGCTCTCCTCTGACAGCACGACATAGGCGATCATGGCCAAAGACCCTCGCATGACCTCAGGATTCGGGGCTCTCCCCGTAATATTCTGATGTTTCGTTGTGGATGGGAGAGTGCCTACCTGTCACAAGTAGTATGCCTTACAGGCTCTTACAGTCGTTCTCAAGTGTGGCATTAGCCAGGAGATGGGTTGTGGTCGTGTTATCGTTTCAACGGATGGCGAAGATGGAGGCATACGAGGGCAGTAGGTAATGGAGAGTCGTGTGTGCTAACGACGGCATGTACAATAGACATCTTGCTTGGGATGTTAGAGTAGGTTTTCGTTGTTATCGAGCCATGGGTTAGCCGGTATGTAGCCGGCAATAACTACTATGCGCAACAAAACGTGAAGTACGCGACCCCCTACCGTCTATCAAGATGGTCTTTTACGGGAAATCAAGAAGGCCTGGGCCATCAAGAGTCAACATTGCCACAAACATCGACACCGCGGCACGGCAGTTAACGCTCCTGCTGGCCCCAGACGTCGCTTGGCCATCTTCCTGAACGATAGCGGAGGCTGCTCCTTGAGCTCGGAAAACAGTCCATCTCGCCTCAACACCTGAAATCTGCCGTCGACCAATGCCACCACACCACAAAATCCACAAGATCTTTCACACCCCAGGCAGAACAGCATCACATTCTCCACAGAAAACCGCATCCGGCCCCCTGAGTCGACGGCGTCGGGCAACCCTCCTTCCCTGTGCGACTTGCAACCCGGCAACGAAGAAATCCGACGATTCATCACCACTTCTCAGATGGTCTTCAGAGGTGGCCATCCGCACGTTCGTCATAACGGCGCGTTCAGATCAGACACAAGTGGTAGTTGGAACAGCCAGAAGTTGTATCTCGACGTTTCGACGGACTACGCTCCGCTGCGCCGGAGTCGACCCGCTTTTGGTAGGATGGAATGTTTGGGGAGGACGGGTCTTGGTCCGATCACGGTTATGGAGTTTTTTGCATCTTCGTCGGCTTGATCAACGTGCTCGACGCGTGTGTTGAGTCGAACCTCGAGCGCGTCGTCGGCCCCGGACCACTCTCCATACCTCGCAGGTCGGTTTCACTCCGTCCGGACGGTCGACAGAAGCTGATTAGAGTCCATGATCAAGGAAATTGAAGGCGTCGATGCTTACGACGCGTGGTATTGGTTGCCGAAGTACACTGAAGTGGTAGGTTGACCCCTATTCCTCGAGCTGCGAGTCCCCAGAGACGACTTTTCGACGAGATCCCGAGATCCAAATTCAATTTAAAGAGCGAGACTGGCGGCAGGTAGAGGGTCAGTCGCACGAGGACTATGTCGCGAATATAGGAAACAGAAGTGTTACAAAGGAAGGCCATCACCTACAGGGTTCATCATCTATTGGGGCGTTCAGAGACAGCAAACCGGACGTGAACTCAGCGTTGGATATTGCATCGCTCGACGCCGGCGACTGGCATGTGTCAGGCTGCATGAGCTGTTGACAACAAAGATAGGTATCGTCGGGCTGACGACAGGCTAAGGTGAGGTCAGCTAGCTGAGCTAAACGAACTCTGGAAGCCTTGATGCCGAGACTTCAACAACCACCTCTGCCACACTTCTCGATCCGACAGCAAGATGAAAGTCCAAATTTGCAAGCTCTGCCAGAACTGCCTGGAAGGTAGAGCTGAGGTGAGGCGCTCTTCGTCCCAGTCGGCGACATATGTCCATCACCAAACTGCAAAAGGCGTGCACGATTCCGCAGCTGCTGGATGCCGGTTCTGCGAGGGAATTTTGAAATACAACGAAAAGAGGTTCCGCGAAGCATCTGAGGTCGATCTTGAGTTCAGGGTTGACATTGAGAAGGAAGTGCCGCGCATCAGTTTGCACGCAAAGATCAAACAAGCGGAAGGCGGTGTAGTTGTTTCGACATGTACACCCACGACAATACGTAGGTGCAGCCCCTTTTGTATGACTGAACCATGAATAACATCGTAATCCACTCAAGTATCTAGGCGGCTTCGAGATGTTGCTCCAGTGGCAAATACAGGCTCAGGACAGTCGCTAGCTTTCATCCGAGATCAGCTAGCTACATGTCTGAAGTGCCACACCTCGCAATTCACCACTCTCAAGGAATGGTGGCCGACTCGGCTACTAGACGTCTCAGCGCACCTTGGCAAGCTCTTCCGCTTGGTGGAAAGCAAAGAAGTCAAACCGGCCAGCCCATACATTACGCTCAGCCATTGTTGGGGCCTCAGTCAGCCTATGAAGCTCTCCGCGGAGTCTGAGCTGCAACTAAGACAAGGGTACAGTATCGATACCCTACCCAAGACGTTCCAAGATGCCATAGCAGTCTGCCGATATCTGGACGTCAAATATCTGTGGATTGACAGCTTATGCATTGTGCAAGACCAAGAGGACAAATCGGATTGGCTTCGCGAATCGGTTCTCATGGATAAAGTGTACGCCCACTCGCTCTGCACGCTGGCTGCTACTGCCTCGACGGATGGGAATGGAGGGCTTTTCAAGAGTCGCAAGCCCGCTCAAACGATTGAAGTCACTTCCCACGAGTATGGAGAGCTTGCCTCAGGAACGTATGCCGTCTTGAATCCCAAGGCTGACGGACCGTCTTTCGACTATACCGCTAAGATCAAGGACGGACCCTTGAACAAGCGCGCTTGGGTGAGTGATCATGTTCACACCTTGAGTCTGCAATCCAATCCCACGATTTGACTGATCAACCCAATGAAGGTCTATCAGGAGCGAATGTTGTCAACCAGGGTGGTACATTTTACAGAAGACGAAGTCATATGGGAATGCGGAGATGGCCTCGCGAGTGAACTGCTTCCAGATGGCATTCCCCAAGATCTGAATCGGGATCAGATAGGCTGGAAGAATGAAGCAATGCCAAAGAAGTTGCTGGCGCTCGCCCGCAGTGGCGATCCGAACATCGACATGAAGGGCGCTTGGGACATTGTCCATAAGGCTTTCGCCAACACCAGGCTGACCGTCGTCACCGACCGCGTCGTTGCACTCGCTGGTCTGGCGAAGCTCTTCCAGAGCTGCCTGCAAGACACTTATTGGGTGGGGATGTGGAAAAAGACAATCCACCATGATCTCGTCTGGGAAGTTCCAATCAGAAAGTGGCGGCGAGTTTGGTTGGAGAATGACGAGTCGAAGTTATCTCAGTATCGAGCGCCCAGCTGGTCGTGGCTGTCTGTTGAAGGCACAACGTACTTGAGCCAGTCGCTGCAAGATCAAGGGGGAGCTGTGGCGTTCGAATACTTATACCAGGTCGTCGATGTCCAGATTAAGCACCCCACGGACGACGTTACTGGGCCGGTTCAGCACGGAGCACTCTACCTCAGAGGAAATATCATCCCCGTAGTTCTTGAAGGCCTTGCCACACACATTGACGATTGCCACCCTTACTGGAATTTCAAAATGGCTGGTCTGGAAGATCATTACAGCCCGACCTTGTCTTTGCCCGATTACGGGAAGAGTAGTGTACCGACGCGGAGCACAGCCGACGAACACTACTGCATGCCTCTGGTGATCCGACACAACCGTGTGGCCATTTGCATGCTGCTGGAAGCAATTGAAGACTCGCCGAACACGTTCAGGCGCATTGGACTTGGCGAGATATCCGCTAAGAGGTCGGAAGCGGATGGGATGTCGAGGTTTGTCGAGCGATTGAAGGAAATGCAGACACAGTGGCAAGTTCCGGCCGTTGCATTTGACGAGGTCAGTGGTCATCGTACAATCCGCGTGGTGTAACCACCCGGACAGATGAATGTCGTTCGGGAACTGGAACAGACCCATCAACCAATCCTCAAGTCATTCGCTTGTACGAAGATTCATGCACGCCTTCATCCCAATAACGATGATCATACTCATCGATCCTAGTGATCTTCCCAGCCTCCGAGATCTTGACGAAGAAGCCAACATGGCTTTTGAACTCCTTCCCGCTGCCTCTCATGACGACGCTGCCGTCCGGTCGAACGATGTCGTTGGTGCATCGACCAATCCATAGCTGTTCAACCGCCGCTCCGTCGGCGGTAGGCAGGATACTCTGAGAGAGATCATCAGCTGCATGCAACGTACGTGAACTTACGGATCTCTCTCACCTTGATCTCCGACCTGAAGGGCTGATTGCAATGCAGGAAGCTCTTTCGCAAGCCAAGGACTGCATTGTGACCGACTCGGCAGATGTAGAAGCCGTGATCATACCACTCCACTTGGGGATCGAAGTCCCTCTGGATCTCTTCCAATGCTTCAGCTTCACTCAAGGACTTGGAGAAGTTGTCACACCAATTGGTGATGACTTCCTTGATCTGGGCAATGCGAGCCTCGCTGATCTGAATCGACATAACTTGGCTTTGGGCTTTGCCGGAAGGGGTAAGTTGGTCTTTCAAAGCTGAGAGGCGATGCATTGACTTCTTTTCACGACCTTTAGGAAGCTGCTTTCCGGCCCTTTATGATGTTTGGCTAAGCGTCGCTACAACGTTCATCCACGCCCTCGGCCCTCGGTTGATGTAGTCATCGATTGGGAATGCATGTGGAAGTGGTTTGTTGATGTCTATGCGAGGATTTTTGGTTTCGATGGTGTTTAGGGCACAGCTGAAAGACCGGTGGGGTACAAGGTTTCGCGCTAGGCTTTGGATGGACAAGAGGGCATGTGAGTGAATGACACTGAGCTACTTCGAGTGTTTCCTGACTTGTCCTCTGTACTGTAGGTGAAAGCGTACTATGATACCCTACGCAAAGAGATTTCTCGGATCATGACCACAAACATGAATCCATGGAAGCCGCTTAATGGCCATTCGACCCTATTAACAAGATCGGACACATCAAACAATTGAGCACAGCTTCAAATCAATCAAGGCGCAGTCACAAAAGTGTGATAAACATTCTTGATGGCCACTGCTGCTGCTAGTGATGCCCGAAGGGCGTCTACTCCTTTGCCGACTCTCAAGTCCCGACTATGTACGTTGCCGCCGACTGTGGCACAGCCAGCGCCTCGCTGCCAACATGTGAGATACGCCGATCTCACGCCGAAGTACGCAAACTTATCTTTAGGTCCAGCAGGCGGCAAGAGATATTACCCAGTAAGAAGAGCCTCCACAGCAGCAAAATAATCATTGGCATCGAATGTACTACGAGCGGAAGTCAAACCGTAGCGCGAGATAACGTTCATGTTGCCGCCGCTTTGCCGCAATATGGATTCGGAAAGCCTTCAGCAGCGCTTACAGACATGTCGAACGCACGAGAAGACCATGAAGCCGACTGCAGATAAGTTGACAGACACTCTCTGCTTTGTCGGGCCACAGAACGATTCAGAGCGTGTCATTCCTTTGCCATGAGATCCTCCATGATACTGCCAGCAAGCTACTTGCTCCTTACTCACTCGAGCTGGGCCAGACCTACCAATGAGGTTCAACAAGTCTATTCCGGAAGCCACGACTTCGACAGCAATCACGAGAATGGAAAGGCGTTCAGCTCGGGCGACCTTTATGGTTGGGTAGGCTGCAGCGTCAACGATCGGTCCAGGATTTTGGAAGCCATGCACGATTCGAGAGACATCCTGGATACACACAGAGTGCGAAACTTCGCAGATTGGAGGCAGACACCTGTAGCTATTCAGCTCTTCGGGCAAGCAGTTGCGAATGACTACCATGGATGGTCGTCCAGAGTGCAGCAGAACTTCAGGAGTGCACACGAGTTCGCAGCGGGCACTCATAGCGAGAGGGTGCAGGTCTTCTGCCACGACCAGTCGATGGAGGGGCCACTGAAGGATGAGTGTGCATCTTCAAGACAGCCTGATCCTGTTGTAGTGGCCAGGAATTATCTGGGAGGTGATGGACCGGCCTTGATGTTGTGAGTGTTTTCAGGGACCGCACTCAATCGTGACATGCCGCTGACACTTCCTAGGTGCGACAAGTGGTTCCAGATGCAGAGCATGACCAGTGCAGCAGAGAATCGTGGTACTTCAGCGACCGACCTTGACACCGCCGAGAATCAAGCCAGAGCCTTCATAACGGCCTTGATGCTAATTCCATCCATCGCTCCGTGGCCACAAGATCATCATGGACCCAGTATGATCTATCGCAAGGTAGTTCTAGCCGCATTGTTTCCGCCTAAAGTAATGGCTAACAGTCATCGTAGCAATTGCTTCCTGGCGACACTGTCCAGCGATATGTTACTTCCGCCGCTGCGTGCGAAAAGCTGGCGGCCATCCAAGATGCCAATTTCCGAAGGACCATCTCGAACGCGGACACGTACTCGTGGTATGCTCTTGCAGCCTACCTCCGGGACAGCGAGAGGCGCCGGTAGCAGTGTGATGATTGATAGAAGGAATTCCAGATCCAAGCCGGGAGGAAGCTGGGGTTTATGACCATCCGGAATCAACGCGGGTCTTGCGGAACGCAGCGGATATTTCCTTTCAAGGCAGTGATCGGCAGCAACGACTTCGCCCTCAGCCGGAGCTGAAGATGAAGGATGGCTCTGCTCCGGAGCGCCGGTTTCGGTGTGCAGCAACAGCTGCAAGCCACCGCGAATTGCTCCTGACGTAGCACCAACATTGAGCAAACAACGCCGCATGGCCGCACAAAGAACGCCGCAATCCACAAGCCACCTTGATGTATAAAGCAAGGCAGCACCAACGGCAAAGCAACATGTCATTCTCCAGCATCACCGTCCTTCCTACATGAAGAGCATCAAAGAAGCTACTGCCAAACTCACCCATCGAACGAAGAAAACCGACGAAAACAACGACAACATGAGCGCACTCGCAGGAAAAGTGGCCCTTATCACTGGTGGCTCCAAGGGTATCGGAGCTGCTCTCAGCGAGCGCCTCGCCAGCCTTGGCGCCACGGTCGCAATCAACTACTCCTCAGACTCCTCAGCGGCCGACAAGCTGGTCGAGAAGATCAAGAAGAACGGCCATGGTCAGGCTACCACCGTCAAGGCCAACGCAGCCAGCATTCCTGAAATCGAGTCCATGGTCGACCAGGTCGTCAAGCAACACGGCAAGATCGACATCCTCGTCCCATGCGCCGGCGTTCTCCCAATGAGGACACTGGACAAGACGTCCGAGAAGGACTTCGATGACACATTCGCATTGAACGTCAAAGGACCATACTTCCTCGCTCAGGTAAGGCTACCTGCTCGTATTCTCCAGCTGATTCATGCTGACATAGCTCGCAGAAAGCGGTGCCTCACATCCCAAGCGGCGGCCGCATCGTCTTCTTCTCTACCAGTTTGACGGCCGTCTCGCAAGTTGCTCCTGGTTACCTGCTCTACAACGCCACCAAGGGAGCCATCGAGCAGGTTACTCGTGTGCTCAGCAAGGACCTTGCAGCAAAAGGCATCAATGTCAACTGCGTCGCCCCTGGTCCAACAGCTACCGAGCTGTTCCTCAAGGGCAAGTCGGATGAGATGATCAAGGCTATCGGCAGCACCAATCCGCATGGTCGTATTGGCGAGCCGGATGAGGTTGCAGACGCCGTTACGCTGCTCACTGGAGAGCAGAGTAGATGGGTCACGGGTCAAGTCTTGAGGATCAATGGAGGCATGGCTTGAGTGGGGAGGTTAGAAGAGGGAATATCATGTGTATGGCTAATGGTTTAAGACTTGTACGATTATGTTGATACAGCGACCGTTTCTTTCCAATCCTGCTCTTCTTATCACCACTCGCACCACCCTCGAAGATGTCCTCGCACTGTACATCTACAGATTCCCCACTACAGGTCCAACAGTATCCCTCACCATCTCATCAAGCCCAATCCACTCCCCCAACCCAAGTCCCTGCAAAGACTCATCACAGGCAATATCAAAAGACCGGTCATTCTCCTCAAAAACCTCAACCTCCCTCCACGGAGACTGCACCTGAATCGACTTCGCAATCTGCCACATCCTCGCCTTCTGACAAGCCAGAATCCACCGCTTCCCATGCGCCTCTTGGCGGAGGAGAGCTTGCGCGTGGGCTTTAGCCACGTCTCGCACGTCTACCCAGAACGGGAAGTCGTCAACGAGGCCTTTGTTTGTGCCACGCTGCGCGATGTCGGTGATTTTCGCTTGGGAGAAGCTGTAGCCTTTTTGGTGATATATCCCATCAGCATGTTTGGTCACGAGCACTAGGCTCTTGCCTTGTTTCTACTTACCGTCCAGACCTACCTCCCCTTTCAGAGGGAGGACGCAGGGTCCGCCGATGTATGTTGGAAGTATGGTCGAGAACTTCCATCCTTTGCCCTTTCCACCCTCGACGTGCTTGTGGTAGTAATTCCACGCCGCCTCTTCAGCCAACTTCTTCGAGCTCAAGTACGCCATGAAGCCCTGATATCTCTCATCCAAGCCCTTTGTAGCTTCCCTGCCAGCGCCCTGCTCATACGTGATGGGGTTCCAGTCCTGGCTCGAGTACGTGTAGTCTGAGCTCCAGCCCTTGAACGGATCGAATGCGGCGGCGAAGGAACTCGTCACGACCACGCTCTTGGCGTCGTTCGACTTGTTTGCGGATTCGAGCAGGCCGACCGTGCCTTGGATCGCGGGTCGCAAGAGATCTTTCTCCAAATCGGGAGGATCCAGGATCAGAGGCGATGCTACATGGGCGATGTGCGTGGCTCCTTTGACTGCTGAGTCGTAGGCACCGGGTGCTGTCATGTCTGCGACGTAGGAGAATTTCAAGCGACCGGAGTCAACAAACTGTTTGAAGGTCGCCTGTAGCGGTGCTGCAGACTTCTCAGTTCGGACTGCTGCGCGCACTTGTGGGCCATTGGGATCTTTCAGAAGGTAATCCACGAGATGGGAACCAACGTGGCCGTTTGCGCCAGTGATGAGGACGAGGTCGGATTTGGTGAAAGACATTTTCGATCAGACTTTCGTATGGAGAATGCCCTGGAGTTCATGCCATTCCACCTGTTACTTATAATCTTCAGCTCTAAGTCTTCTTGACTTCTTCAGGCGACCCATCGCGGCGGCTTTTACGCATCATCGGACGAAGTTGACCCTGGAGTCAAGACATCAAAGGCAAGCCGCCTTCTATCTCAACCATTTATCGCCGTCTTGGTGCCGCGAGTATCAGTGTTCTGCTTGGAAAAGAATCTGAAGAGAGGGGACACAGTCGGTCTTTAGAAAGTCGAAGGTGAAGTCCAAGAAACCATGCGGCCGCTAGCTCCCAGCTCTGCCAGAAGTGATCATCTCCCCCAGTCGGCGATTTCCAGAGTCTTTTTTCGGTGTGTCGGAGAACTCCTTCTAACTGTGCCATGTGCGGCGTGCCTGAAGGGCACTGATCTGCTCTTAAAACACACGAGAACGACATCCTTCTTCGACCTAACGCAGGCTACGCAGCCACATGCGTCGACGATAGGGTTCATCCTCCGAAGGATCATTTGCAGAATGAGGCCTCGTGACTCGCATGTTGGGTAAAAGTGGCATCGCCATCTCCAAGCGATCCAGTATTCAAGGACCATATACGTTTTGGGAGGCTCCTTCCCAAAGCGGAAGGCCGAAAAAAAATTCCTGTTGTGGTATAGACCCAACGGTCGCTAGTATTTCTATGGTTCCGAAAATGCCTATAGCGTCAGGCGTCCCATTGATCAGAGTCGATTCAGCCAATGAAGGAGGTCCATATGGTCCTTGCGGCGGGCCGCTGGTACTTGAGACAGTGTTGCTGTACTGGCGGCCACAGCCGTGCACATGGCGATCATTACATGGCGGCTTGGTCGAAGGGGCTTTGTATATGATCATCATTCAGCTGGTCAGTGTTGATGAAGGAGTCGAGATGTATATATATCGGCGGCAGCGTTGCTTGGTCACGAAGATCCAATACTTCCTGCAAGCTGAACGATCATCGTTGACACCTGAATCTTCGTCAGAAACACCACACGCTCAATCCACCGAGACTTCAATCAACAACTCATCATCAAGATGTTCACCCAAGCAGCCTTCCTCATTGCCCTTGGCGCCGTTGCTGTCGCGCAAGATCAGACTGTGCGTTCACTCCCCTTGCTTCAAACTCTTCCCAATCTAATAGATCGCTGTAGATTACTGGGGGCCTCGGAACAGGAAGTTCCTCCTGTCCAGACGGCTGGAGTAGCAACCAACTCGGCAACAGCAACCAGATCTACTGTTGCCCTGGCAGCGGTATTCAAATCGACGACGAAGGATCTTGCTGCATTGGTGTTGGCACAATGGGGCCTCGGGGCACCTGCGGCACGACCGTCGCCTACAGTGATCCCAACTACTCGTCGATTGTTAGCTCCCTCGCCGCACAGACTGGCGACAGCTCGTCACCAATGACCAACTCGGATACCACGGCGACAGCGACCGACTCCTCTTCGTCAGCGGCCACGTCCGCAGCATCAAGCAGCTCAGCTGGCACCACCGCCTCTTCTGGATCTAGCACTGGTTCCAACTCTGGCTCGGTTGCGGCACAGACTTCCTCGAGCAGCTCCAGCAGCGCAGCTGGCGTGGTTGTGACCGGCGCACCAATGCTGGCGAACATCATCATGGGCGCTGCTGGTGCCGCAATGCTGTTGTAGAGTATTGGCTCTTGTGTAATGTACAAGTAAAGGACGCAATTGGGCGAGGCAGTGTATTTGGAAAAGGCCTGCTCAAATGGCTTGGCCAGCTCGATTTTCGAAGCTGTAGCATAATCTGTCTAAATAGTAACGATTAGTTCGATATCATGCTGAGATTTCGAAACATACCAGTTGTGAACATTCTTCTCCTGTTTTTCACAGTCGTCCCGAGGCACAAGATCTACCACATGAGCGTGTTCAAATGAGACGCACTACCATCTCTCTACGCTCTAGTATGTCTAAATCATCATCGTTCGCACTCTTGAGAGCGTGTGCAGGCAGACCGCCAATGATGCTACACGCCATGGTATTTCCGTAAGAGCCCACATTGCGCAGAAACATCACTCTCGTTGTCTCGAATTTGCTGGACGGTAGTTCCATCGGGATCGGAGAGAAGAGAAAGTCGCCGCGCTCAATCATCAAGGCTGTGGGTTCGCCAACAACTAGCTCATTCATTGGTGCAAGAAAATATTTGGTCGCAGGTGGTTTTGGTATACCTTGGGAGTCAACCGTGCTCTCGTGCTTCACGGAGCTTGGTAGAAGACGGACATAGAAGAAAGAGTCATTGGTGGTCATGCAAACCGCATCGACTGTCCCAATGTAGTACAGAGAGCAGCTGAGGGAGCCATCACGATGTGCCCATAACTCCCTTGGTACCTTGACTGTGCGCCTGGGGATCGAAGTGAAAGTGAGTCTGAGGTCCGGAACCCAGGTTGGCATGTTCAGCTGCGCCTTCTCTGGAATCACGAAGCGCTGTCGTAGGTTGTGGAAGATGTCCATGAACATGCCACGGTCGATGAGCGCCTGTGCAAATTGAATGTACACTTCTGCGGTGGTAAGCTGGTAGCTTGGAGCGATTTTGGGACTCTGATCGAGAGATATGAAGGAGTACAGCCGGTCTCGTGCATCTTGACATTCCATGGAATTGAATCGGCCAAGCGCATGCACCAGTAGTGATGTAGAGTCTGGATAGGATGGACGGAACAACTCTCTGATGGCCTCCGCCCCGTCGGAGAGCTTCTGGTAAGGGCATGAGTCGTCGTCCGTGGTATCCACGCCGCCCTGCATCCTCCAGCTTATGTTCTTCATGGTGGCTCTTATCTTATCCAGAGACTGATCAAGCCTTCGCTGAGAGAGGTCCAGCCTACACGGGCCCCAATACATGTGCTTGGATCTTGAATAGAAGAGCTCTTGCACAACCCATCGGCGGTTCCAGTATCTGCGTGTAAGAAAGGCTTCAAACATCTGCGAGCTATGTTCAATAGCGTCGAGCAAGTCCGGACGGACGTTGTCGATGATTCGTTTCATCGCATTGGGCAGAGCTTCTCCCATGAACTCGCCCATCATCTGGCCGTCTACAAGGCCGAGAAATCTGTCGAGAACTGGATCACTGCCAAGACATATACAACTCGAGCGATGCAAGTTCTAGAGACATTGTCGTGTATGGATGATGGCTTTGAGCGTGGTGGCAAGTTGGAACGAAGGACAGGCCTCCAACCGTTCGAGCAGTCTCAAAACGATCACATCATCTGCTTCACTTGGGCCTTCGCCGAGCCATAGAATAGTCTCAGTTGAGTACGGATATATCAAAGCCATGACTGCGACCTGTGCACCACGTTCAACATCATCTGCTTGGTTGATGCAGATGCCATCGATCCACACCCGCTTTGGTGCATCCCACGCTTCCCCTTGAGGTCGAATGCGGCAAAGCCCTTCATAGAGGTTTTGAGTAATGCGCATCGGGTTTCCAGCGATTTCGATGACGCGAGACAAAGATTTATCGCCATCGCTGTTCATGCCCCAACTGTATGACAGGGCGGCGTAGTTGGAGAAAGGCTGGAGAGGAACCACTTGGATGCTGCACTCCAGAGCATCTTGGAGGCTGGCTGCCGGCTCGATAATCAAGATCCGTATCCATTCGGGGCCGGGTAGCGGTTGATAGTGGTCGTATCGAACAGGATGTGGAGCGGTATGTTGCGCATCTGCGACATCCCAAATGGGCGGCTGCCAGTACTCCTCGGGGAGTGCTGCCATCGGATGTCGACGACAGGCTGTAGAGGGACCGCTTCATGTTGGAAGGAAGCTGAAGTCGGTCGATCGAGCTGGCACTTGCAAAAAGATCCGGTCTGGCCCATGGTGTGGCTTGCAAGGGCCCCAAAACGGTGGAAGCAAGAAGAAGTGTTGTTCACTCACTTAGCAAGTTCTTTCTTGCTGAACACGACTCACATTATTATCACAGCGATTGTGTACCTCGTTGCCCAGCTGGACTGCACGGTACCTCTTTCTATCGCTGTCTTGATACCGCGAAGCTTCATCTCGAAGTCGCACGGAGCGGGCCTCTCGATCACAGTGGCGCGTAGTGCATCTCTGCTGGCGAAACACTGGCGGTGACACTGATGTTGCGGCCAGGTGGCTCGACGTGAATGATGAGAGGATGGCGATGAAGTGGTGAAGGAGGCGAAGTCGAGTGTTGACGTTGCCCTTCGTGTGCACAGGCCACGGAGCAAAGCCGAAGCTGCCACGCCATCCGCGGGCTGGCGACAACACGCACCAGCACACATTCACCACTATTCTTGGATAAGCGCGTGGAAGATTGGTCACAGGCGCGCGACAGGTGAGTGTTTGTGGGCGATTCCTACACTTTCTCGAACTCATCTCGTGCTTCTTTCGTAAGCTGTCAAGAACCTCGAAGTTGGCGACCTTGCCTACAATCTCATACTTGTCAGACAAACCCTCGCATGTCATTGCCTTCACCATGGCGAGGAATCACGTGGGAGGCGATGAAGAAGATGAACACAACGAACTCCCGCCGCCATCATATGCCGAGGCCACAGGTTCATCGGCAAGCCTTCCAATCAACGGACAACAGAGCGGCTATGTAGACGAGAAAGAGCGACTACGGCATTCGTTGAGATCAACGTCGAGCCCGAGTATTCCCCCATATCCCGCGACCGGCATGCTGGAACTTGTCGTTGACTTCAAGAAACCGATGCTGGATTTCTGGACCTTGAACATCACACCCCTGGAACTGTTGCCCGAACTTTCCTACTGGCAACTGAGGTACAGCACAAGATACAAGGCCACAATGCGGAGGCATGCGCCAGAACCACAGTCAAATTTTCCTCTCAGAGAAGTCGCAGAGATCAAGTTCCCTGAAAACGTCAAGCCCGACTGCGGGCCCTTGATCACATTCTGGCCCCACGAAGAGGAGATCGAAAGGGCGGGACTCCGCCATGTCTCTGCGACGGAGAGATACATGCACTGTAGCGGATGGGTCGCGATTAAATTTGCATTGGATCTGCCTGCCTTGGGTGGGTCGAGAGTGGTATGGATGGTCCCCAAGGGGAGGGAAACGACCAAAGACTCCGAACAAGAAGCCAATGTCGAAAGAAATCCGAGCACATCTGAAAAGGCTCCTGACGAACCATCGAGCAAGGATCGAAGAAGATCGACAGTCAAGAGTTTGTCTTGGACGCCTTTTCCAACCCAGCATCTCGTCGAAGAATGGTCGAATCGCATTGTGGCGACCTATACCCGCGCAGCTCCGTGGTCGAAGCACCAAGGCTATTTGACGATTCTACCATCCGAACGAGGATTGACTGCCGAGATCATCGAGGGTATCGTCATCGCTACAGCAGCTATGGTTGGAATGCAGGATGCTATTGGGATGGCCTCCTCGTTGATTGAATCTGGATTTGACTCTGTCAGGAACAAGGGCAAGGGGAAGAGCAAAGACATTGGATGAAGAAGCGCAAACGACACTGGATTGAAAGAAAACTCATTCTGGGCAAATGGTCTTTAATGATCTCTTGCCGCTCCCCACCCGCAGCTACGGCCGCCACCAGGAAAGATCGAACATAGAAGATCAACGTCCTAAACGCTGCATGGTCGAGAAAGCCGTGGAGAAGAACGCTCACAGGTCAGAGCACACGGGTTGGGAAGGAATTGGGTAGAGGCCAGGACTCAGACGAAGACGAAGAGAGACAGGAAACCTTGGAACGAAAGGATCAATAAAGCTTTGGTTAAGGTTTAGCTAGTTGGCTTACATAACGACTACTCTACGCGTCGACATCATCGACGACGCGACTCTCTACTCTCCTCAATCACACAACATGTCTCTCAAACGAAAGGCCGTCGACGTGGCTACTGAAGCCGCGAAGAAGCCCAAAGCCAACGGCTCCATCACGTCCTTCTTCGGCCAGCCCAAGACGAACCCGTCCAGCTCATCGACCAATCCCTCCCAGCCGAGTTCCTCGCCTACAGCGCCCGAGACAGCTCCCATCAAATTCGACAAAGATGCGTGGCTTGCGAAGCTGAATGACGAGCAGAAGCAGCTGCTCAAGCTCGAGATTGAGACGCTTCACGAAAGCTGGCTCGCTGTGTTGAAGGATGAGGTCACAAGTCCTCAATTCCTCGAGCTCAAGAAGTTCCTCAAGAAGGAAGTCGAAGGCGGAAAGAAAGTGTTCCCGCCGAGCGAGGATGTCTACAGCTGGTATAGCCCATCAGATCCACAAGTCCATGTAGCTCGCTAACGCGATCTCCCACCACAGGTCGCGACACACGCCTCTCCCCTCCGTCAAAGCCGTCATCCTCGGCCAAGATCCCTACCACAACATCAACCAAGCCCACGGCCTCTGCTTCTCCGTGCGACCACCAACGAAAGCCCCACCCTCGCTCAAGAACATGTACATCGCGCTGAAGAAAGACTATCCTGACTTCAAAGAGCCGCCGAACGGTGGAGGACTCCTCACGCCATGGGCCGATCGCGGCGTCCTGTTGCTCAATACATGCTTGACGGTGCGTGCTCACGAAGCCAACTCGCACGCCAAGAAGGGCTGGGAGCGTTTCACGCAGAAAGTCATCGATACTGTGGCGATGAAGAGGACGAGAGGTGTTGTGTTCCTGGCCTGGGGCAAGCCGGCGCAGGATCGTTGTGCGAAGATCAATGCCAGCAAGCATCTCGTGTTGAAGAGCGTGCATCCTAGTCCGCTGAGTGCTCATAAGGGATGGTTCGACTGCGGCCATTTCAAGCAGGCGAACGAGTGGTTGGAGAAGAGGTATGGTGAGGAGGGGGTGATTAATTGGAATTTGGATGTCAAGCCTGAGGATGCTGGGGTCTGAGAGACTCTCGTGTAGGCTGTACAAGAGTAAGCGATGGTGCTTTTGGCGTTTCAGTTCTGGTGTGTCTTTTGGAGATGGCTTTCCAATGTACAGGCGCAGGACGGCATTGGTGAGGAGTTGAAGGGCAAGACTGTACAAAACCTCGATGATCGAACCTGGAATGAATCAAGTCATCCGCATGCCTACTTGTTCAAGATTCAGGAGGAGCGGAGTTGAGCCCACGCAACCCGTTCGCGAATCGATACTGACGAGCGACATAAAGACAGACTGCAACCTTCAAATCGACTCCGACCTACGCCCCCAGACTACAATCCAAACCCTCCATTCACTCCAACCTCGCCTCAACAATCGCATAATTCCTCCCCCCACCCGCCCTATGCACCCAATCAACCACCAACCCCGCCTGCCGCAAAACCCTCCGAAACCCCTCCTCCGTCCTCTCCTTCCCCCCAATCCCCATCATCATCAAATCCATCAACGCCATAACCCCACTCCCACCCCTCTCCGGCAAAACATTCTCCGCGATCAGAGCCCGACTATCCGCCGCCATCACAGCCACAAGCTCGCGCAGCACGGCCACGAGGTTCGCGTCGCTGAGGTCGTGCGCGATGGCTTTGAGGTAGTATGCCTTTGCGTTGAGGATGGGTTGCGCGAGGAAGAAGTCGTGCGGTTGGTACGTTATCCCTGGCGGGAGGTTGGCCGGGTTGGACGTCTGCGCGAGGGCGATGACGGGCGCCGTGTCCTGTAGGACGCAGTGGGTGGGTTTGAGGGACGGGTGGGCTTTGAGGATCGCCGCGAGGGCGAGGCCTTGCCCGCCGCCGACGTCGACGAGGGCTTTTCGATCCGCTTCTTCTTCGTCTGAGGAGACGGCGAGTTTGTCGAAGTTGTAGTATCCAACGAATGGGTTGAGTTGTTCGCCGATGGCCATGGATGTTTGGAATCTCTTCATACGCTCTGGATTCATTTCCATCACTTCGAAGGCGGTCTTTACGCCCTCGACGTTGGCGTGCCAGGTCTGGATGTTGAAGCGGGTTGAGTCCCGCGAGGCGCCGGGTTCTTCCCATTTGCCCGTCTGTGCGTGTTGGTGCGTGAGGTATTGGGGGAGGAGAGGCATCAGTCCTCCCAGACCTTCGTCGTAGATGAAGGAAAAGAGTCTGCAGGGCATGGAGTTGGGGTCGGTGAAGCCTTGGGAGAGATGGGTGTGTGAGTATTCTCCTGAAGTGGAGTCCTGGTCGATGAAGTTTGCGTTCACAGGTACGCGGAGCAGGCGCTCGAGGAGAGAGTCTTGGACGCCGCTCTTTGTGGAGAAGTCGGTGAGCGAGATACTACCTGATGCTGGGATCGCCTGAAGAGCGTTCAGTTGAAGCAGCGTGCGTAGGCTAATCGCCTCCAAGGTTGTGACCATCAGGGACGTTGCATAGTCGACTGGAGCTTGGGCTTGGGCGATCAGTTCTTTCGCTTTGGTGATTAGGGGATCCTCGATGCCGAAGGCGCCTGGAGCTGGTTCCTCGTACTTCTCGGCGAGAGGAATGAGTTCTTGGACGAGAGCTTGGAGCCTGGCTCGTGTGTCAGCCATGTCGATGGGGAGATGCGAAAGTCAAGCGTCAGTTGAAGTGGTATTCGGAAGTGGTTGAACGACAATGTGAATGAAGCAAAAAGTAGTCGAAAACGCACTCACTTATACAAGTACTTCAGTGTATCACAAGCAGACAATGGACATCAGGCTGGCTTGAAAGTCGTTCGTTCCATGGAGGCTACATAGCAACGCTGGAAGAGCGAATCCGCCCAGCTCTGCCAAGTTCCTACGCTCCGTAGAAAAGGGGCTGTTGATTGGTTGTATCGAACTGCATACCTCTTGCGGTTGCATGTCGTAGTCGTCTACTCCAATGGGCTGGAGTGTTGTTTGGCTCGCATTTTCGGCAAGTCCGCGGAGGATCCAGCTACGGCTCGCACGAGAAGACAATTCCAAAAACATCGTCCGTGGAAGGCTCCGACCTATTGTTTGCTTCGACACCTTCAAGGGTTGTTCGTACTGCAAGGCCCGGTGATCCGTCACGGCGAATGCGAAATCGAACCACGAGCAGTAGGATGGCAATGTCATTCATTCAGGTGACTTAAACCAAGCAGGAGCAAGTGCTTAGCTGTCTTCGATGATTTTGTCGGATCGTAGTTAATGCATGATGATGGCAGACGTCCTCTTTCCAGCCGAATGATTGCCTTATACACATGCACGAATTGGAGTCCGATCCATGCCTTGCAAGACACAGTCAGTGCATACAGAAGCCACCCACATTGATGCTTCACGCGTCCCTCGCAAACGCCATGGCTAAATGCTGTCTCAATTCCTGAAAGTCTTGCTCTTCCCTGCCTTTTCCTTCTGGTTCCTCGGCAGCCCCTTGGGAGCATCGAGAGACTTGGCATATGGGTTCAGCTGCTTTTCTCTCTTCCTCTTCTCCTTTGCGCTCTCTTTCGTCTCCCGTGGTGGATTTAGGATGCTCGGTGCAGAGGCGTAGTCAAAAGGAACCTCGTCGTCGACCTCGCCATCCGCAGCTTCATCCAAGTCACCTCCTGCAGCCGCTGTCTTCGCAGCTTTCTTTGCGGCCTTTTTAGCGGCCTTTCTCTCGGCCCTTTCCCGCAATCTAGTCTCTTCTGTAGATGGCCCATTGAGGTTGACCTCGTCAAAGTTGGCAGCCATGCCATCGAATGGATCAGCGCGCTTGCGCTTCCTGCCCAGGTCTTTGAGGACGAACGTATCATCTTGCTCTTCCTGAGCTTCCTCAGCGGACGCTGGCTCCGGCGTTGGTGGCTCATCGTTCATAGGCATCGCCTCTGTCGGATCAGCAAAGATTTCTGCTGTGAGTGGCGGGAGCGGCACAGCGAGTGATACTTCAGCCCTCGAGGAGGCTGCGCGCTTTTGATAAGAGCTACTCTCGAATGCAGAGCCCCAGAATGCAGAACTGCTACTTCGCAGCGGCAATGTCGAACTTGCACCATTCACTGCAGCAGGTGTCGGTTGAGGCGCTGGAGCTTTGACTTGTTGTACTGGCACAGGCTCAGGTTCCGGGGCTGTGCGTTCGCTTTTCCGTGGATCAAGACGATTCATCGTTTCCAACATGTCAGGTCCGTCTTCGCCTTCCTCTTTGGCCTTTGCGATAACGCTCACGAGCTCGTCCGCTCGTAGCTTTACCGTTTGAGTGACAGGCTGAGCGATGCCAAAAAGCGCCAGTCTGGTGGGCGGCATGGCTTTAGCAATGGTAAAGATCTGGTGATTTGGCATAATGTAGTGTATGCTGTCGTCCTGCTCGCGTGCGACATCGTCTCGCCACTTGTGCACAGCCCGAAATACGGCAAACTGTTGCCTGTCGAGGAGCGTTGGGGTTCGAGATAGAGGCCTGTACCAACCTATGGGACCTTGGCCAGACTCTACATCGTAGATAGGGTGTTCGTAACGTTGCAAGGCAACTTCGGTACTCTTTTGCAACACATCCCAAATCTTGTCCCCTTCGTGGTCCGGCGCATCGAACCGAGATCGCTCGATGAGTTCGTTGCGCATGCAGTCGAAAATGTACAGGAGAAAGTGGGTGTCGCTACGGGCGTAGTCGAACAATTCCTTGGGTAGCGGTCGAACACGCCAGTCTGCCATCTGGTATTGCTTCTGTGCGTCGAAGTCGACGAACTTCTTGAGTAGGAAAGCAAGGCTGCCTCCTTGATAGCCCAGGGCTCGGGCAGCGTAGTGAGTATCGAACAAGCCCACGAGGTAGAGCCCCAGATCTCTCTGCAGCCACACAACATCCATGTAGGCTCCATGCAGCACCTTGATAATGCTTGGATCGGCGAAGACCTCGTTCAGACACTGCAACTTCCGCCGCCATGGCTTGAGAGTGTCCACTATCCAGTCTTTGTCGCGGGTGCTGATCTGCATCAGACTCACAATACCTATGTACGTGCGGCTGTCGTGATGCTCAAGATCGATTGCGATTTCTTTCGCCTGCTTCAGCTCGTGGAGCATCTTCTCAAGCTCTTCCTCGTCTTCAACGAGCGTTGCCGTGGTGGAATCGAACGGTTGGTACATTATGGGCTCGCTGTGGGTGTACACAGATGACGGGTAGCGGTACTGTTCCAGCTCGACTTGATATGGATGGGGATATCTGTTCGGGAACGTCAGAATCTGCGTAGTACATGCGTGGCTCTTGCTCGCTTTTGAACCATTCACATAGTCGAGTGCCCCGAGAGAAGACGTATGAAAACGTGAGACTTACGCTGGCTGCGATCCAGGCTCGGCAGCGATGGGCTCGGCCTCCAAAGGCACGGATGCGTGAGGCTTGCTCAGCAACAATGGTTTGAAGGGGAGGACCTCATCATTTCTGGTGACATGGTCGAATTTGAGCTGGGGTTTTTCGATCTCAAGCGACTTGACGGTCGCCTCAATCCTTGATCGCTTCGGTGCTCTGTGCAATGCTGCCTTCAATCACAACTCAGTATCCAATTGCTACATTGTCTTCTCTTTCTCGATATGCCTACCTGATCCGCCCCAGGGTTCAATCTCTTTACAGCGCCAGTGAACTCGTCCAGCGCAGTGTCTACGCGCTCGAGCAGGCTGTCGACAACATCAACGACCGCCTTCCAGTTGCCCTCGACGGACTCGAGGTCGCTCAGTCGCGGAGGACGTACTATCTCCGTATTCGCAGTCGCAGTGCCCACCAGGCGGTCCGCAAGGCCCAGAAGGCGCGCATTCTGGCGGTCGAGAGTGGTGCCGACGGAGGAATCGAGAGATCGATGAAAGGCGAGGTCCTCGCTGCCGAGCGAGTTGGCGCTGCGGATGGTGGAGATGAGGGCGGATTTGATGCTCTCTTCCACGCTGTTGAAGTCCTCCATGGTGCGCGATCCGAGGTTGTGGCCTAGGTGGACGCGCGGAAGGGTATGTTTGCGTCCATGTCAGGGCAGTTGTGTTGCAGCCTTCACTCAAAAAGTTCCAGTTCACAAGACGCATGCACAAAAGCACAGGCCGCTGCTTATTCCACTAGCGTCAACTCTGTCGCGGCTAAATGCTCGGCAAAGCTCTCCCGAACGTCTCCTTCTCTCCTCCATCTGACTTCACCTGCGCCGGCCACCGGGCGTGACAATGGCACACACACCTGCTTCTGTGTCTTCGGACATGTGGAGGACCCGTGGTTGAGATTGTCTTGGCTCTCTGCGTCTCCCAGAAGCACAAGTCATTATGAATACTCATCTTTGACAGGCGCCGATCTTACGGAAGAAATAGCCCTTCTCGACCCTCTCCGCACTCGCCTCCACATCCCAATACCACCTCGTACAAGCCAGAGGAGTACTGAGGGGGCTGCATATACATATATATGTGATCAAGAACGTAGGTCTATCCTATCTGCTGTTATTTTCGCCTGATCAAAAACATGCGGCTCTCAGCTGTCGTAACACCTCTACTTTTCTTACACTCTTCTACTTCGCTGGCGAAGAGCCTGTGGTCGACCAAGCCAGCAGTCTCGGATGATGTATTGCGTACTTCATATCCCATTGGCAACGGCAAAGTTGCAGCACTGTCATTTGGGGAAGCTGGCCACGAGACGCTGAGCATTAACCGTGATACTCTCTGGTCTGGGGGTCCTTTCGAGAACAGCAGCTACGCCGGTGGCAACGCTGGCGAGCGATATCAATTCCTTCCTGGTATCCGAGATTGGATCTGGCAGAATGGCACCGGCAATGTGACCAAATTGATGGGAGACAACAACAACTACGGGGCTTATGCTGTGCTTGGAAATCTCACCGTTACCATTGATGGCGTACAGGATGTAACAAACTACAAACGTGTACTTGATCTCGGCACGGGTGTTCACACAACTACGTTCAGCACTCATGGCTCAGCGTACACCATGTAAGTGGTGAGTCCAGACGAACGAAGGAGTCGCTGACAACTCCAAGCAAATCTTATTGCACGTACCCGGACGACGTATGCGTGTACAATGTAGGCTCCACCAGGTCATTGCCAAGTATCTCGGTCTCCATGTCAAACACATTGACGAATGCAACACTTGTCAAGTCGACATGTTCGCAGGATCAAGTACAACTTCGTGGAACAACCAAAGCTGACATTGGCATGATCTATCAAGCAGCGACAAGGGTGGTTGGCAGCAATATTCGCACGCATTGTAACAATGGCTCTTTAATTCTACCGGCGAGTAACCAGCATCGGGCCACTTTCGTCATCGCTGCAGCAACAGATTTCGATCAGTCTAAAGGGAACGCTGAGAATGACTACTCTTTTCGTGGTGTTGATCCTACACCATATGTCAACAACACTGTCGAACAGGCATCAAGAAAGAGCGCTGATCAACTCCTGAACACCCACATCGCAGACTATAGCGCTCTGGCCGACGCTTTCAGCCTCGACCTGCCCGATACACAAGGATCCTCCAAACTGGAAACCGCGGATTTGGTCTCACGCTACGACGCCAATGGTACCACAGGGGATCCATATCTGGAATCGTTGACATTCGATCTTGCCCGCCATCTCTTCATCACCTCCTCGCGAGATGGTGCTCTTCCACCCAACCTGCAAGGCAAGTGGTCCAACGAGCTCACCAGTGCCTGGAGCGCGGACTATCACGCCAACATCAATATCCAAATGAACCATTGGCATGCCGATCAGACTGGACTGGGCGGCTTGCAAACTCCGCTTTGGGAATATCTCATGGAGAATTGGGCACCAAGGGGCGCCGAGACTGCTAAATTGCTCTTCAATGCTCCGGGTTGGGTTGTGCATAATGAGATGAACATCTTCGGCCACACAAGCATGAAGACTGGTGATGCAATCTGGGCCGATTATCCCATCGCCGCCGCCTGGATGATGCTCCATGTATGGGACCACTTCGACTACAGCCAGGACACCGACTTTCTTCGGTCAACCGGATATCCTCTGTTGAAGCAGATCTCTCAATTTTGGTTGAGCCAGCTGCAGGAAGATCAGTACTTCAAGGATGGCACACTCGTCGTCAACCCTTGCACGAGCGCAGAGCACGGTGCTACCACACTCGGATGTACTCACTACCAACAACTCATCTATCAGCTTTTCGAAACGACACTCCAATCTGCCACGGCTATCGGGGACCGCGATAGGCAATTCTTGTCCGACGTCCAGAGCCAGCTCTCGCAGCTAGACAAGGGCCTCCACATTGGGAAGTGGGGTCAGATCCAGGAATGGAAGATTGACATGGACGTTCAGAACGACACTCACCGCCATCTTTCGAACCTCATCGGCTGGCATCCAGGCTTCTCCTTGTCTTCCTACCAGGACGGATACAACAACGACACCATTAGAAAAGCGATTGAGACTACGCTGTACTCACGAGGTGTCGGTATCATAGACTCTAACGCAGGCTGGGAGAAAGTCTGGCGGGCAGCATGCTGGGCACGATTGAAGAACGTCGAGCGAGCTCACTATGAATTGCGATTGACGATTGGGGAGAACTGGGCTGGCAATCTGCTGAGCATGTACTCCGGCGCCAACCTACCCTTCCAGATCGATGCAAACTTCGGTTTTGCGGGCGCGGTGCTGAGTATGCTCGTTGTCGACTTGCCTTTGTCGAACGAACAGTTGGGTAGAAAGGGACGAGAGGCTAGGACTGTGGTGTTGGGTCCTGCGATCCCTGCCGCTTGGGGCAATGGCAGTGTGAAAGGGCTGAGGCTGAGAGGTGGTGGTAGTGTAGACTTCTCTTGGGATGGAGATGGACTGGTGATGAAAGCGAGGTTGAGCGGCAGTCAGCAAGCCGTCAGGGTTGTGAATAAGCAGGGAAAAGTTCTTGCTCAGGCGGGAGGAAGGTCGGGTTGGCACTGGGGCCCGCACTTGTGATGAGATGCCACATGTACTTCGAAACCCGTGAATATTGATAACGAGAACGTTGAGTCTGTGCACATCTCGAAGCATCCGCGTGTGTCTTCAGTGCACTGTCACATGTGAATGTGTGTCGGGCTGCGTAGCTTTCATACCGCACTGCGTACCTTCCATTCGTGGCGAAAGGTCAACTTCACTTCGTCTTCAGAAGTCCACCACCTCCGAACATCCATTCATTTCGAACAGCAACGATCTCACAATGTCGGCCTCATTAGCGCCAGAGTGCAACGAAGTGAAAGAGTAAGCCATCAAACCATCAAAAGCACACCTCCTTTGTTGCCTGCTTGTCACGGTCTCCTCATCAAAACCCATCACTAACCCCATCCCAGACGCTACGACACCTGCTTCCTGAAATGGTACAGCGAGAAATACCTTCGAGGCACCGCGAAGACGGACGAGTGCGAGCCTCTTTTCCGGGAGTACAAAGCTTGCATCGGGGTATGTTCTTCCCACCTTTCCGGCCCGATCTCGAGGGTTCTGTTGCTGACTTGGCTGTTCTTTGTAGAAAGCGCTGAAGGAGAGAGGGATCGACACGATGCTCGAGGAGGCGAGGGCGGATAATGTGGAGAATGACAGAGAGTATTTGAAGGGGAGTAAGGGGCGTTGATGAGGGTGGTTTTGGGTGGTGACAGGAAGGCGAGGCGGCGATAGATGGGTAGATGGGTAGATGGGTAGATGGGTTTCAGCATTGCGAGGCGCTTGGGAGTTGGAGAGAAACACGCTGCTCTGTTTTTCTTAGACTGGCTCTTGTGGTTGAATCTACTCGCAGCTCTGTTCGCGATTATGAGAGGCTCGAGGAGCTGGTTTGACTCTACTCTGCTGTGTTGTGTCCCTAATGCGGGATGGCTCTTCACGGCATCAAAACGACAATCTCGGTCGAGCATGGGACGAGGTCTGTGGGTGGATATAGACTGAAACAGGCAGGGGCATATGAATCGAAGAGGCGGGAGTCTGTTCAATCGCATAGTAATCGCATTGCGTATGGACATCTCTCGCTCGCTCAAACGCTGTCTACGCTACCGGCACCAACGCCAGTCAATTAGCAAAGCCAGTAAATGCTGAGATCTGGTCTCGATGGTAATAATGCAAAACAACAAGCAGAGCATAAAATCTCTTTTCACCTCACTCACAGCGCCAGCGCATTTCAACCCTCATACTCGTCGTCGTCTTCGCCCTCAGCGTCTGTGAAAGCCTCTTCTCCGTCTTCAACCACAATAATCTCCTCCATCTCAATCACCTCAGGAAGCTCACTGGGATCGTACATGAGACCGCACTGTTTGACCACCTCGCGCAAATCACCGCCAAAGCCGCTCTGCATCTTCGGGTCGAGGTGAGCCTCTAGATCTTCGATCAGATCGGACAGGCAGTACTTGATGGACACGAGGTCGTCGCCGAGTGAAGTCTCGCGCAGGTAGTGCTCGAGGCTAGTGAGGAACATGCCCGTGCCGAGGAAGTCGACGGCAAACTGGCCTATCTTGCTTGCTGAGTCGGTCATGTCGAAGCGGGTGAGGGCGGCGCAGACCGCGCCGAAGCGCATGGCGACGAAGATGTAGTTTTCTTGCTCGGTGAGGTAGGCGAGGTACTTGGGCGTTGGGGTGATGCTGATGGCCGTTGGGGCTGGCGAGAGCTTGATGAGCGCCGTGGTGGCGCTTAGGGGGTAAGTGGAGATTGCGAACGTAGAAGACATCTCGGCTGGATTTGTGGTCTGAGGTATGCTGATTGAGTGACTGGTGGCTTGGTCAGTTCGGTTGGTAGGGGGATAAGGTCAATCGTGGAGGTGGAGAGAGAACTTACAGCGCTGGAGATGTGGTAAGAGGCCTGCTCTTGTATGAAGTAATGTGAAAGGGGCCTGCCCGATTGATAGAGAATTGAAGATGTGACAGAAGCTTGATCTGTTGACGGTGTTTGGAAGAAGAAAGCTAACATAGAAGCAGGAAGGCGAAGAGAAAGTATTAGTAGTTGAGGCGATGTTATTGTGCCTATTGTGTCTGTGAGCTTTGTTACCGTTGCTATTGTAACTTAGAGGTGATGTATTGTATCTATTGTGACCGTGAGATCTGTCGTTGTCCCTATTGTAGAGATGGCGCTGGTGAGAGCGGCCGTGCCGATGTCACGCCGACTTCCAAAAAGACATTCAGGTTCGAGATGGCTCGCACGAGGTCATTGCGAAGGCGAATGTTTAGCACCGGAGCACTTCCAGCACGAAATCCCGAGAAAAATAGTCTTCTCAGACTGGTCGATCCACTTGCCCACGGCGTGGTCCGACTCGCAGAGCTGGGGAAAGTAGCAAGTTCAGGAATGAAGGCTATCAATATCGATGTTGAAGGCTGAAGGGTGCGGCGGATCAGACAAGAGCGCCAGCTTCGATGGGCAACCGAGAGCGTGCATTGCTGCTGTCATGGAGTTTATCAAGGCCTCCTTTCTCGCGATGTACCGGAAGTCGTAAAGAGGGTCTCGATATTGGTCTCGCCTTCACAGATTCCTCCTCAATCTGACGGCTTTGCTTGTCGTGAAGCCTGACACACTAAGAGTGAAGTTTTCGGATACATGTATGTTGAGTGGTGAAGGACGATGGAGAGGACGAACATTCACGTCGCATGTCGTCTAACAGCTAAGAAAAGTGGGTCCATGCACACTTCTCATCAACGTTCGACTTGTGCAGGGCAACAGTAACAGCTTCAGGGTTCACGGAGTATAGAGTCGGTGACCTGGATAAGGACATTCTTGTGCCATTCTCTTACCTCTCCTCCTCAAAACTATCGAATAGTGCTACTGCGTGACATGCCTCGCGTGACTACCGCCAACGACCGCGACGGCGCGTGAGCTGCGGAATGACGCGGGCCTTTCACGTTATTTGCTCGCAAACACTTGCTCCCAACAACTAACAAAGCATAGCTATCTGTCCTCTCCAACTCTCGCTGCCTCAGAACTTGCCCCATCGCCAGGTGTCCTCTGCCAAACGTCCAAGTGTCCAGCCGCCAGAAGCTTTAAAGAGAAAGAGCTGCAAAAACGCCGGCCACCTTATCGGAGCTCCTGAAGACCTCGGCGCGTAGCTGTCTCAAGTTGTTGAAGCAGTCGGGAGCAGTCTCATACATCGTTGTGGGTGCGAGAATACCAACCAAGGCAAGAGTACACCTGGGTAGTGCAGCAGTCCAAAGCACGAGCGAAAGCTGGAATTCCGGCGGCTCCCACATTAGAAAGCCACCTTGTACCGGCTAAGGGGATCAGAAACAATCGCTTCAGCATGGCGGACTTCCTCTCTCAACTCTGGGAGTCTGTCTTCACCGCCGGTCCTACACCAACTCTCCTGGTCGCAACCAACGTGACGTTCGGCGCTCTCCAAGTCCTTCTCGCGGGCCTCCTCTTCGCAACCTACAGCATTCACTTCGCCATTCTCAGTGTTCTCTGCGGCGGTCTCTGGTACAGCATCAACTGGTTCGCCGCAGAGATTGCAGCTGCTCAAGCGAAAGAGGTGGAGGCAGAGCGGATAAGGAAGAAGAATGCGAAGGCCGGCGCCGGTAGCAGGGCAGAGGACGAGGGAGCTGCGGATGATGAAGGCGAGGATACAGAGGTCGAGACGGATGCTTTGAAAGCGAGTACGATCAGTAGTGGCAGTTGGGAGCCGAGCAAGGAGGATGAGAGGGTGAGGGAGGAGATTTTGGATGCTATGAGGGTCAGTGGGAGCTCAGCGTCCAAAGCAGCTCCTGGAGATGTGAGAAAGAGGCAAGGGAAAGCTGATGATGGCAACCAGAGTGCGAGCGAGATTAGCACAGATAGTGAGTGGGAGAAGGTTGATGAGAGGTCATAGTACAGATGCTTGGAAGGCTGGATGTCACGAGACCACCTCAATCTGAATGTTATTTCTGACCTTGCTGTCACATGAATTTTCTCTGCACATTTCACCTTTGCTTGCTATTTGCGACATTCAAACACAACTTGGAAGTCGTCGTCGCTGTCGGAGTTGCTCACGTGACCAACTCTTGGCATCATGAAACTTTGACTTCGCGACCCAACTTCATCTCAAGCATCTGCAAACACAACTTTTGCGCCGCGCAATCAGTCACCGCGCACATCCGAACTTGAACACTTTCCGACTTACATCCACCCCCAAAAACCTCACAACCACCGAGACTGTCGAGCGACTTCACCGAATTCGAATCCAGAGAGCGAGAGGGAGAGTGAGAAGAGCCGCGCAAAGGTCAAAAGGCGAGCAGGGGACTTGGACAGCGGGCTATCAAAATACTTCAGACACTCAGAAGCACGCGCAAAGGACGCGCTCACCGCTGACATGAAGCTTGTCAGGTAAGCCCATCCTGAGCCGCGAAGCAAGCGGAAGCGCATTGCTGAAAGACACCTCTTGAAGGCTGCAATCGGAGAACAGGCCTGGCTGACGGGCATGTGGTAGGTTCTTGATGAAATGCACCAACGAGACGGTCACGATCGAGCTCAAGACCGGTAAGTCGATCCAAACGCCAGCCTCCCCAGGCTGCACTTATACTGACATGAGCGAACGCTTCCAGGCACCATCGTCAACGGCACCATTGCCTCCGTCTCCCCACAGATGAACACCAACCTCCGCAACGCCAAGATGACTCCCAAGAATGGCTCTCAGATCTCGCTCGACCATGTCAGCATTCGTGGTAGCGAGATTCGGTACTACATCCTCCCAGACTCGTTGCCGCTCGACACGCTCCTTATCGACGATGCGCCCAAGCCAAAGAACAAGGCACGCAAGGAGCAGGACAAGACTGCTGGTGGCGCTGGTGGCATGAGAGGTGGACGTGGCGGCCCCCGTGGTGGTGGTGGCAGAGGTAGGGGAAGGGGTCGGGGACGAGGTGGTCGAGGATTCTGATGATATTGACGTGAGAAATATTTTTAGGCCGTGGTGCAGGTGCATCGCGTGGCTCTCAGATGAAGACGGTGGGATAGGAACATCTCGGGTACGGAGTCGTGGCGCTGCGATGGAGGATGGAGGCTGGAGAATGGAAAGGGGGCTCGATTGCGCAGTGCACTGAGACACCTGCGCGTTTCCCGCAAACATCAAAAGCAGAAGCGACATGGGAATTGTATGTGCACCTTGCACATGCAGAATACTTGATTTGAATTCAAGACTGACATGGAATTCGGAAAGATCACTTGAATTCTCGTCCATTCCTGCAGACGAGTGAAGGGGAAACGGTAAAGTTTCGCTGAAACATCACAATTCACATGTGAAATTCACCGTTTGCCAAACTTAAAAAGGGCTGTTGCCTCATCGAAACATTTCATTTTCCCAAGACACTCACCAACCGTTCAACACCAACCACCGCACTCTCAACAAGACTTCCACACTCACACATCCACCATCCAACATCCCTACTTCCAACAACAACAAGAACAAGAACAAGACCAACACCCACACCCACACCGACCGCCACCATGTCGCTCATCTTCTCCGAGTCCGAGATCAAGATGCTCTCTCGCGCCTGGCTCTGCGTCGACGGCGGCATGCCCAAGGTTCGACCAAAGCACACAACCCCTTACGACATCCTTGCAACAGACTAATTTGAGTTTCCAGATCGACTACGACCGACTCGCCCAGGAGTGCGGCTTGGCCAAGTCGTCCGCCAACGTCCTCTGGAACAAGCTGCGTCGTAAGCTGGAGTCTGCCAATGAGAATGGCGGCGCGACTGCTGCTGGCGGTGACGGGGATGCTGCTGCTACGCCCAAGAAGAAGACGCCCAAGAAGAAGACGCCCAAGAAGGAGGCTGATGGTACGGACGCCACGCCCAAGAAGCGCGGCCGCAAGTCCAAGGCCGAGATGGCTGCTATCGCCGCTGCTGCTGAGAATGGAGATGAGGATGACGAGGAGATGGGCAGCGCGAAGAAGAAGGTCAAGGAGGAGGAGGGCACGGGGCTCATCGAGGCGGACAGCGACGATGAGGCTTGAGGATGCTTCTATGGCACTGTCGATGGCATTCGGGCGGGGATTTGGGGATGTAATCATGACTCGAACGTGGGTTGGGGACGTGGATATCTACCTTACTCATCGCCGAATATGGCTCTCTGGGTAGACAATTCAAGATGATATCTCAAACTCTTCTCCATCTCAATGCAGCCAGCAATGCTCTCGATAGCATAGACTGTCTCACATGTCGTGGGAGCCTTCTATCTTCCGCTTTTAACTCCTCTCTCCGCGAAAGCCATCACAACCACTCGCCTCCTCTGAAACGACAACCGAGAAATAACACGTTCTCCTCCTGAGTCCTGAGCGGTAAGATTTCTCTCGATTCCTCATCAGCACAGCTTATCTCTCGACAACAATCACAAGCTGGAACTTCCCTTTTCGAGCGGGCGAGGAGGTGCAATCGCTTGGCTGCATCGCGGGAATCTTCATGCATGCATAGTATAGATAGATAGATAGATACATGGGTACGGTGGCTGGACCGGGGAATTCTCTGGTTCGTGGCTGGGACTTCTCAAACACTTTCACATGCTGATGAAGGGTCGACCATAGGATCAGCCCTATTCGCGAGCGCCGTTGTGCGAGCTCGTGCCTGTTCCTGGGATGATGTGTCTCTCTCGGTGCCGACGCCGTAGGAGATCTCTCCGCGTGAGATGAGGTGTTCGACATCTAATCCAGGTGAGTGATCTGCGAAGGCAAGATGCATGTCAGCGGCGGCGCCTGCCAGTGTTCGGGGACCCGTTGGGTATGATCCGACAAAGTATTGAAGTTTGAATGCCGTTCATTCCTTCGCTGACTTGTTGGTCATATCAGCTCTTGGATGAACTGAAGTCTGCATTGTAATCAATTGGTTGAGATGCAATTCATCCGCACATGTGTATCTTGAGCTTTTGCGACGCGGAGTTTCGTTGTTGGGGAAGACGAGTCGAGCACGATTGGGAGGATCAATTGGGTTGGGGTATTGATTACAAGTATTGGCCTTGGTGCAGCGAGGCTACTGCAGCTCTCCGGTTGGTGGCGTTGGGGATTCTTCCGAGCCTGCTGGGGTCCTGTCCTTCGGTGCTTCTCGAACTGTTTGAGATTCAGAAAGCCAATGTAAGGAGCACGAGCTTGTTTGATCTCCCAAGAGAAGGTTCGCGAGAACGGTTCCTGGCGTGGCGTTTTCTTCGTTTCCAGGGGTACATGTAGTACATCTCATGTATTGAAGTTTGATAGATGCCGTCTTGGTCATTTCTACGTGGAGAGAAAAGCCGAGCAGCGCTTTCCACAGTCCCCATGCAGAGATCTCAGATTCGCCGGGGAATTTTCCAGCTAATGGCTGAGCTACTGGTTTGTATTAGCCTGATCAGCGAGGTATGATGAGGTTGACGGAAGTAACGCCGAAACATGAGGACAACCTATCGTCATTGCCGTCGCTTCCAGCAAAGTGAACGTCCCTACTGTTGTGATACCCAACCCCTCGGGGTGAGCACCGTGAGACCCCAGGTTTGAGGCAGATGCAATCTTCCTGAACGGGGTTCGCTAAGCCATAGTGGCATTGCTGTAACATACGCACTCGAGCTTGTGTGGATGCTATCTCGCATATGCGGCACAAGACCCAGATGTTGTCGACGAGGCAAAGGCGTGCTCGAGCCTGGTTAGAGGTCATTTCGCGAAGGGCAGTCGTCTTTGGTTCCAGGTTCCGATAATCGAGTAGGAGAAAAGCCCGAAAAGCATGGCGGTCTGGTGTGATGCAGTGAATTGGCGGGTTCAGTGGATGGGGTAGATCTATAATCCTATTCCGGCAGCCATCCGAAGGAATATCCCGTACCTCGTCGTTGTGGTGAAGGGAAAGTGGCGTGCATATACCAGATAGAGGAAGATATAGGATTGGCGGACAATCACGTTTGCAGCCTGAGGGACATGCTGAAATCAGAACCATGTGTGCTCATTCTATTGGCGAGATTGAAGGTTGAGCAGCGGCCAAGGCGTCCTGAGTCTACGATGGAGCGGACTGTATGACAAGGGAGAAGTAAGGAAGCGGTGGTGGTACCGAAGGTTCGAAATGCCACCCGGCTGCCGTTTCCCCAAGGTGGCTCGTGAAATGCTCGCCAGTCTATCGAGCCACGTGGATCCGACTCCTCTTCTGCTGCAGTGTGAGGAGGTATCTAGCAGCAGCAGCAGCAGTACCTCAGCCTGGGAGGCAGTTGGAGTCTGCTTCGGGCGATACTGCTGCCATTGGGGCTTCGTGGGGAGTCGTTAGCCCAAGGGTTCTCTAGCATAGCGCAAGGAACCTACCACCAAGGTCCAAATCGTTCGTAGCAGCAGCAGAAGAGGAGGAAGCTCCGAGACACGTCTCCGTGGCAGCCAAGCCGCGTCTCCGCTCGCCGCAACGGCGGAGATCGATCGAAATGCGATAAGCGAAGTTTCACTGAGCCGCAAGCGGGAAAACGCGAGCGACGAGTTTGAATCCTTCGCGATCGGGACAGGGCGCCGTGGCATTTGCAACGGCAGGGACTAGCCACTGGTCTCTCGCTCGCCGACACCACCGCCGTCGTCAGGGCCATCGCAGTGCGTCGCAAGCGCCCTCCTTGTTCCCATCGCCTGGCACCGAAAGTCTGAACGACGGTGGAGCCGCTTGTCGCCAGCATCGGGACTTTTCTCACGCCTCTGGGTCTGCTCGTGGCCGACTGAGCCGCTGAGGTCATTTGGCCGCAGGAGCTCATCAATAAACCTTCGATGGGCATCCTCGCGAAATCGCCATGTCAAGGGAAGAGAGGGAGAAAGCATCTGCGTAACAGCACGCCACCGGTGCAGCGTGCCATTCGCAGACACGGCCGGTCTCGACAACCGCAGCATGGATGGAATGGCAGAGACGAACGGTAGGTTCACATCTCGGAGCTATCGCCGCACGGCAGTCGACGCGCCGAAATCTCACTGTGCATTGCATGGCCGTCCCCACGTCAGATGGAGAGGGGCAGGCAGAGGCACCGCTCGAACTGCGTGATGCGTGCTCGTGCATCCATTGCTCGGCCTCGTCCATCTTTCGTCATGGGCGGCAAGCAGTCCATGCATCTCTGATCGCCGGGGGTTCGCTCCTGCCCAAAGCAGCGTAGGGCCATCGAGGAGGATCTCACAAACACGCAAATTTGGGTCGCTAGTAGCGTGGGCGGGTCAAGATCTGGGAGTCAATCTCGTGCCACTCCCTCCGCCAGCCCAATCATGGACGCGCCCGACGGCGGCTTCTCGTCCAGAGCTGCTCCACAGCGGGCAAGCGTCGATTCGTTTGCGCCTGCATCGACGGGCATGGCACAGAGCGAGCAGCTGGCGGGCAGCGCATGGGAGGCAGTCTGCTAGCCCCGTAGCTACTGCAGCGCCGCCTGCGATCGCTGGCATCCTGGCACGATGGCTCTGCGTGAGCGTAGGCTTTGACTCCGCCGACCGCACCGCACAGCACCACCAGCAGCTCCCTTTATCTCCAACGCCTGTCCTCGCCCGCCGCCTCCTCCCTCCCAGTGCTCTCACCTTGCATTCTTCCATACGCCTCTTCTACAAACGATTCTTTAATAGACGACCCCCAAGCTGCCCCCCTCCATCCGCCCACTCCCGCAGAGTCACACCACTCACCTCTCGCCACCCGCCCGGAGCTATTCGCCCGCCCCGCTCACCGAAGCCGCGTTTCGACGTGCAGCTGGTCAGCCCCTACTACCGCGCAACCACCATCTGGTACGTTTACAGATTTCTGTCGCAGCCGTGGTCGCAATGCATCGTTGAAGAGCCTGTAGCTGCACTGCCACTCGTCGAAGACACGCATCGACATGGCAACGCAGCCACTTTCTCAACTATCGCGCGCTTTTTCATAACGAAACAATACACAATCTGCTATTCATCGTCCCAGCACTCGTCTTTGTGGACGTGGCACCCGACTCTGACAACATTATTGCAGTATTGAGCCACGGAAGCTACTTCCACAGGCTCTTCATTGCAATCCCAAATGCCTCCACTCAGGAACCCCCCAGCCAAGCCCATGCGCACAGAGCGTACGCACGAAGAAAACCAGGAGCGAGCATACATTGCCGCATCGCGACGAAGCGACCGCAGCCTCGAGGCACGCGTCGAATCCGCACGACGAGCCTCCGAGATCCACAAGAAACGAACCGGTCGGTCGCTCCGCGTACGAGAGGAAGATGTCATGAACGAAGAGATGTACGAAGAGGAAGACGACGACCTACCTATGCAATACCGACGAATATCAGCTCTCAACCCCAACTTCCTCAATGGCAGACTCAGCACCTACCTGCAGGGTCAGGCCGGCGTGAGGGAGTATCTTCACAACGCCATCTACGCTGCGAACCAAAACGCCCAATTCCAACAGAATCAGTTCTTCAACCCCGTGATGGACCCAACTAGCATGCAGTCTGGCATGATGCGACCGCAAGCGTTCTCGAACGGTATCCAAGGCATGCCACAGTCGCCTTACCCCATGCAAAACCCCATGCAGGGCATGCGACCGAACAACAACGCACACCACCGCGCGGCATCGATCGCCACTCCACAAGAGCTGCTCGCGTACCAACACCAGACAACTAACGCGAACATGAAGCCCAACACGCCGATGCACTTGGACACCCGACGCATGTCAGTACCCGCTCCTGCCATATCGCCTGGCGTGCCTTCCCCAGTGGCATCACACCCACGCAGCAACTCCTCAAGTCACCCACCTACCCCTCACCCAGTTGGTCAATCGCCGTTGCAAGTGCCTACTCCGCGCTCCGCATCTGGCCATGAGCACATGCCGCAGTATCGCGCCAGTGCCGGTGTGCCTCCCGTCTCAGGTTACGACGCCAACGTCGAGGCCCAAATCTTCCCACTGACGACGAAGCTGCCACTTGCGACGCAGCAATTGATGGGCAGCAACGCGACACACCCGTCACAGCTGTCACCCGGGATACCGACGCCGTCCGTCAGATCATACAGCTACAACCCAAATGGCAAGCCCAAATCCGCCAGCGGCGAGAAGACGTCCTACTTCGGTGGCTTGGACCAGACTCTAACACCTGCCGACATGTACTCTAGCCAGTCTTTCAGCAAGATCGAGCCGCAGTCTGCCGTCTCTGCTCCAGCGGGCATGGACGTCTCGTTTGATTCGTTGATGATGGGCGATATGGGCGACGACACGAACAACTTTGGCGATCTAGGATTCGACTTGAACTCCCACGATTTCGGCAACAGCGGCCAGATCACCCCTGGCAGCAATGGCGACGGGGATTGGGGAGCCGACATGTTCAACTACGACGATGCCGCTCAGGAGCTGTCATGATGAAGGTGTGGAATGCAAACCATATCTTCCTTCCGCGAAGGCCTCATGTTCGAGTATGAACGGTTGCATATCAAAAGCTGACCAATCACTGGGTCGACTTGACTTTTGGACATACCTGCCTGGATCTTTATCAACGCCAGGCCCAAGCATTCGCTTCGACAAGTGCGTCGAATACACCACCTTGTGGGATTTTGATACCCCCAGCAAGGAAAAAGTACCACACCATCTTGAAACTTCCTCGAGGCCTTTTTGGACCTTCACTGTATTACTGAGCGAAACTTTAACTCCACTCTCACGTCCGTTTCGAGCACACTACGCTGCTCACGGCCGAGTCGGAATCTGGAATGAAGCAATGAAGCAATGATTGTTACGACCGCATGGCGTTGTGGGGAGTAGTCTTCCTTTCTGAACTTGTGCGGCGTTTCAGTTTTACGGGGAACGGGAGAATGTATCGAGTAGTCCTTTTTTGTCATGACCCGGACGGCGTTGGCGTTCGTTCCGAGGGGTTGATGAGGAAGACTTTTTGTATACCCGATTCTGCTGTTTTGAGTGAGAAGGGAAAAACAAGGAGTTTCGTTGGGGAGATATAGTTTGGAAAGAAAGAAAACGAGATTTTGAAACGCAAAGAGCGTTTATTGACATCTTTTTGCCATTCCCCTCTTCCTCACAATCCTACTGCTGAAATGTCCCAATTGACGAGCATTGTCATGTTTGACCATCCTGAAGGATGAGATGTATACGGAACTGGACACATAAAGTCTTGTCACAGTCCCGACGACACCATGATTGCATAGCCACGACATGATCGAACGGACAACACTACTTCATCATTACTTAGGACGTGGAATACGGCGCTCGTAGGACCAACAGCACCAGCAGCGGGGCGGATCCTGCGGCCAGACCACCACAAGAGCGCACATGAGAGGAGAAAGGACCAATGACCAAGTCTTTCCTACCCACACATCCAACTTCCCCTCAACCCCAAACGACAAACGAACACATGTCCTGGCTCGAAAACAATCTGGTCCACTAGAAAATTAGTCTACGAACCCGGTATCGACCTGCCCAGATGGGACATTGCATTCCACGATGGTGGCGACTGATCCTCTGACGTTAGTGGGTGCATACATAGCTCGCGCGTGCCTCTCCCACTATGTCATCGGATTTGGGTTTGAGATGTCGTCGACTAGCGCTCTTGATTATTTGATTGCTCGAAGGTTTAGACGGGCTGGGGAATAAGCGTTGGAGATTTGGAAGCTCTTGAGGGGGATCCAGGCGGTTGGTAATGTGTTTTCGGCTTTTGAGGGGTGTTGGTGTTTGGGAGAGTGGTTGCTGGGTGGGATAGAGCTTGTTGGGTTGTTCGTCCTTGGGTTCGTTCCTGAGCAAGGCTCTGGAGGCCGGTTCTTCGCCTCATACGTTTTCCTCGAACGGTATGCCGTTGCCGATGGACTCCGATGTGGGCCATTTAACGATGAGCAGAAAGCTAATCCACTCTTCTTCATTCGAAAACATCGCCCTGCTGCAGGGGCTTGTGCTGGTTCAGCTCCCCAGCTATGTCGGCAGTCCACGGGTTTGAATCGGTATGAACATGTCTCTCTGCTGCGATGCGACCTTGGTCTCGAACGAACGGCAGGTCTCCACGCCTGAGACGACCACCTGCAGCGATCGAAGTAATTCTGTCTTGTCGTTTCCAGTCCTGGATGTTGGGCGGAGTAAGCTGCGAAGGGCTGCCATCTGAAGCGGAGCAGCTGCGAAGTCGTCCATCGCAATGCCAACGAAAGGTAAGCGATACCCAGAAGATGGGCTGCGACCCACTGTGCGACCGTCTGTTGGCGGTGCTTTCGCGTCCAGCTCTCTTGGATCAAGCCCAACCTGCTTCAACTCTGGGTGCAACGAAAACGAGAGCCTTTCCAATTGGGATACGGCAGAGATGCCGGCAAAATTTCTCCAGCCCCTGAACTACACTACGCCGCCCTTCGCAGCCGTGTCAGGCGTGGTCGAATATGACGGCACTCCAATGACAACCTCCACACCCACAGAGCCGGCCGAGCATAGCCACAGCAAATCGGTTCTCGAAGGACCTTGGTGGGCAATGGCTGCAGTCATACTCTTAGTCGCCGCCATGATCGTCATGTCGATCGCATGGTGGAGGACGCTCAGAGCGCGTCTCGCGAGGTAAGTCGTCCGGTCTCGACCTTGTTGGGATCGGGTTCTGATATTGCTGTGATAAGTGGATACTACAACCAGCTCGGGCCCGTCAGCAACTATCGGGAATGGCGAGAACGGCAAGCATCCAAGTTGCTCCGTAGCACCACGACTTCGAGCGCCACCCCCAGTCGCCGTGCAAGTGGGAGTCAGCAGAGTGGGATCGCAATGAATCGAGGCCCTTCATCCAGCAGTCCGGACTCCAGCAAAGACTAGATGGGCAAGCAGAGTGTATTGATGCAGCAGGTTGGATACAAGCGTTTGGATAATGACCTGTCGGCATCTGCGCATGTGTCGTTCGGACATCTGTCGTTCGGGAGTAGGATGTTTCCAGGCATGAGCTGTCGATGTGTATCAGCTCGAGGTCATGGACAGCAATGGCACTGCCGCTCGAAGGCAAATCCAGTATTATACGCAGTTCAGGATCCAAAGTATATCGAACCCTGGAGTGTGTTTCAGGGCGTTTGTCCAGTTTTAGTCTGAACCTTTCTCCCGCTCACCGCTTCCAACGTGTATCCATACCCTCATCGATCAATCCTCCTTCCAATCGCTGCGGTAGACCTCCACACCGAACATCCTCCCCACTACCCACGAATGTCCCGCAACACTGATCGGTCCTCCTCTCCACAACGGCAACACCTGACTTCTATCCTTCCTCCTCTTCTCAACTCTCTCAAACAACTTCCCCTCCTGAAACCCCACCACATCCTCCCCCCTCAACAAGCCCGTCTTCACATCCGCCGCGAGACTCCACAACCCCACCGCATCCGCCGCTCCAAACAATCCCTTCTCCCGCCGCGCCAGACTTACAATCTCACTCCTCGTATACTCCTTCTTCTCATCCACAGGCACGCCATGCAGCGGCGTCTCCTTCCACGACACGCTCGGGACGTGGATGTTGAGCGAGAAGAGGCCCGTATTCTTGAGCCACAGGTGTCGACCAACGGCTACACCGAGCGCGACAGGAAAATCGAGGCCTAAAGCGAGGTTGCCGCGGATGGAGTCTTGCAGGCGGATCGTTTGCGAGTCGTGGGGGTTGCGGTTGGAGTAGAAGGCGAGGAGGCGGTGGAAGGGCGCTGTCATGGTTGGGAGGTTTTCAAGATGGGGAGGGCGGGAAGTCTTTGAGCATGAGGGAGGCGGCTGGTTTGCTTGAGCTTGTCGTTGATGTTGTGGAAGGGGAAAGGCGTTGGTGGTGGTGATGATGTCGTCGATGACCTCACGATTGGTGATGTTGTTGGCGTGGGATGAGATGTACGCAGAGGATGCTGGATGGTGCGGATTCACTTCACTTGACGCTAGTGTTGGAGCTAAATTGTGACGTTGTGAGATGGAATGTTTAGAAAGTGTGAGGAACAGATGGCCGTCCAGCGGCCGCTGGTTTTCAGTTTAGGTAGTGACTTGCTAATGTACATTTGAAATGCATGTGATGGTCTCGCTCATCGCTTGGTACTCGTCTCTCCTGAAGCCATGCTCACTCATTCGCACACTGAAAACGCATGTTGTTGCCGTGGCCATATTCACTGCCTTTCAGGCACTCTCCCTGCGACTTCGAAGAGTCACCAGCGCAATACTCGCCCACAGCCGCCCAAGTACAATAGTTGCCCTTCGCGATAGTGAAGGAGAGCTTGTCCGGATCTGCGGCCAGCGCATCATCACGGCAGCTAGCCCAGGTTTTGCCGTCATCGCTCTTAACTTCGCAAGTCACATCTTCTCCTGGTTTACCGGCGACGAAGCATTGTGGTGAGGTGTTGTCTGAGGTGTACTTGACGTGGCTGTCGCCCGTGCAGTCTTGAGTTTCTGGGTAGATGATGAGCGTCCAGAGTAAGGCGTAGTTGGTCGTGAGAGCCAGGATAGTGAGAGCTGTGATGAGAGAGTTGAACTGCATCTTGGCTGGTGAAACTGGTCGGTAGTCCTCGGGTTGTTGTCGGTTGGGTGTTGATGTTGAAAGAGATGTAATGGTGGTTTGGTGAGATCAGTGTTGATGAAGGGACGATTGAAAGGGGCAGGTGCAATCCGAAGACCGCGTCAGATGTTGCCGGCTTGTGAAAGTATTTGCAAGAAGTTACGACTCTGCCAGAAAGTCGTAGGAAGTGAAGGTGGGGTGCAGTGTGTCGGATAGGCCAGATGTGGAGCTTGATGTAAATGTGAGACTTGTCTCCACCTCACAATTGGGTGCTGCCACACTTGAAGAACAGCTTTTCAGCCTCGTAGTCCGAAGCGTCGAAGCAATTGCCCTCGCCGTACTGGGTAGCGCTTCCGGCTCCGGTACAGTAGTGGCCCCATTCACACTGCGTATCAGCCCCAATGGCGAACGCTCCCATGTGCATGTAGTGGTCGCATGCTCCGAAGGTGACGCCGCCGTCGGTGGTGTAGGCACAGTTGGCATTGTCAGTTCCAACGCCAGTCGTGATGCACTCCGAGGGGTCTCCAGAACCTTGATAGGAAAGGTAGGTCTTGCGGCAGGGGCCCTTGGTGCACATGCAGTCGTCCATGGTCTCGTAGAAGGTGATGGACCAGGAAGCTGCTGTGGTGAAGAGAAGGAAGAGGGTGGCGAGGCCAGTGAAGAGAAGCTGGTTGCTGATCATAGTGTCGTCGTTGGTGGCGGTGGTATTGATAGTGTTCGATTGCTTTGTTTTAAGCTCAAGGGGAGTGTACTGTGTAGGCGGGTCTGTAAGTCTCAATTAGAGAGTAGTAGTCGAGAAGAGGAGAGACGTCAGTCGCAGAGGACCTTTAAAGGTTCACATTGTACCTAAGCCGAGCGTTCATCGCATGTGTCTGTCCGGGCATCTGAAAGTCAACACACTGCAAAAGGGGCATGTGAACTCACGACCAAAACACAAGCCATTTGACGAACATATTGCGGCGCGCTGCTGGGCTCTCGTGGAAGATGACATATTCTGATGTTGCCCCTGAAACCCCAAGAATCCGTCGTCGACTGACCTCAAGCTACGGATGGACCTTCGTACTGGAGATCTTGAACTGTGCGATGCGCGGCGGTACATCTATCAGAACCTTGGTGGATCCCCTTGATCACGAGGCAGACTGTCAATGGAAGAAGCCGCTCACCCTAGCCTTGATTGCAGTCTTATAGACATTTTGATGTCGGAGTTATTCTTAAGATAATATTCTCGTGAGGCTGAGACTGGTGATGAGGTTTAGTCTAGACGCATTCCTACTCGGCGTAACCCATATCATGTTCTGATCTTGGGTCGGTATACAAGAAGTCTTGAAAGCAAGATGAGCTTCATGTGCAACCCATTGCTGCTTGTCGTTCCGCTCAAAGTAGACTGGGTGGAATCGCTATCCCTCGATATCTGAAAGCGACGAAGCTCTCAATCATCCTTTGGATTGCTTAAACAGTTCACGCGCAACGGGGATAAATATCAGCTCTGAGTAGAATGGCGCGGGCGGATGTGTCTTTCGCAGGGCGTAATGATTCATCGACTCGTTAATTGCATCGGCCCGCTACGTCCGCAGTAGCCGCGATCCAAGGCTAATGTCCTTTGTCGTGGGTATCCACAGTCAAGACCAGGCTGTGCCATGGTTGTGACTCGAAAATTCAAGTTGATCTCGACTGCGATGCTTTGCACGATCTGCTTCTTTCCAGAACTCCCTAGGCAATTGCTGCAATGCCTTTAAGCTGAAACGAGTGAACTGCATATTCAAGTCAGCCACAATCGAATCTTCCATCCTTCCACTTCTGATCGCCAACCCAATCTTCAGCCTCGGTGCCACAGAAGCAAAATGGAGTCCGCAAAATCGATACTCTCGAAGAAGAGGTGGGAGAGAGGCGAATTCTTCATCTCCACGAACCCTGATCTTATACCAATCGCTTCTCTGGCCGGGATGTTCGCTTCCAAGGAAATATACTGGGCTCAGCCGATTCCTGTCCAGGCTGCGCGAGAAATGCTCGACAACTCTCTGACGTTCGGCATATATCATGTTGGAAAAGCTGATTCGACGGCCACCGAAAAGACGAGCACCTCAGACAGTACCTCGGCTGGACCGCATGATCTCGTTGGATTAGCGCGCTGCGTGACCGACTTCACGACCTTTGTTTACCTGACAGACGTTTGGGTCCACAAGGATTTCCAGCAACGTGGATTGGGGCGATGGCTCGTGAAGTGCGTAGGAGACGTGATTGACGGTATGCCACATCTGCGTCGGTCCATGCTCTTCACCTCAGACTGGGCCCGCTCCGTGCCATTCTATGAAGAAATACTAGGAATGGAAGTGATCGAGACTAGGAGGAACGAGGGAGCAGCCATCATGGAAAAGAAAGGGCCTGCACATCCTGACTTTAGCAAATCAAGCGATGCATGATAACGATCAGTCACAGAGGGCGATGCGCTGCTGGTTTACTTATTGAGACGTCTCGTTGACGAGAATAGAATCAAAGATATAGAAACTGTATAGATAAAGGGTGCCGAATGGAACGGTGAAAGTGAAGTCTCGAGCAGCACGTGAAAGGTGGGTCTTCTGAGCAAGGACAACCATGCAGCTCGAGCTTTCCCCGTTCGGAGGATTCTGGACGATCCGGCCGCCGCCAGGTTCACGACAGCTGCATCTCTCCTCCAATCGATACATCCTCGAGTGTTGGCCCTGCAGCCGCAGCGACGTCGCAGTTCATGCCATTTGTTGGACCTGCAGCGTCTGCCTGTCTACTGGGCTGAGAAGCGCTCGGCAATCCTCTCTGATGTTGTTAGAGTTGGATCGAGGCGACCGAGTATGCGTCTACGCCCGGTCAATACATGAGGCATGCAGAGTCGGGCTCGTTCCCTATCTCTGTTTGCCTCGCTTCGCCTGACAGGACAGCACATCCACGGTCGCGAGCATGGCCTGTGTGACGCTCCTCGTTTCGAACATGTCCTTGTGATGGTGCAAACATGAATTCCCAGTGCTGACTTTCAGGTCTCCTCGAACCGCGTTTTCCGGCTTGCTAAAGCTGCGAGAATGGCCCAGACCAACGTGTCCAGCTGTGTGATCTCGATCATAGCATCGTTCACAAGTGGGTTGGATGTGTTCAAGAAGTTCCATGAATCGCGTAAGAGCAGGAAGCGGAGGAGCAAGAAGAACGCGTCAGTGGATGACGAAGAGCTAAGACTAGCAAGGAGTTTGAGACAAGGGCCAGAGGACATTGGCAGAGAGTACCAGAGGAGCATACAGGTTGCAGCAGATCAATTTGCTCATGGAGATGGTGGGTTCTGCAAGAACCCTTCGTGGACCAAGCTAACGACGTATGCATTGCAGGCGTAGCCCAGACTGCTCTCGCTGAGATTCTGTTGAAGCTCAACACCGGCCTTGTCACGATCATCAACACCTTCCTGACGCGGGACAAGCAAGATACCAAGCTCGACTATCAGTCCTTGACGAGCTTGTCCGAGAGATCGAGAATTGATACCTGTCGAACACTTCGCCAATTGTATCGCCGAATAACCCGGGTGCGTGTTCCGGCTCGAGTCTATCCTGACAACCATCGACAGGAGGATCGGGCGAGGGCAAGGTCAAATTTGTCTGCAGCGAGCAGGAGGAAGATCTCGAGCCCCAAACACCACAAAGTGAAAGGCCCTATGCTCGCGAGGGTGGTAATCGCCGACTCTAGCAGGCCTTCGCAAGTAGCTATGGTCCGACCTGGCGAACGAAGAAGGAAGTCAGGGCAGTCTTCGAGCTCGGCATCTCCCAAAGTACAATCAACCACTTCGTTGGCCTTGCAAGCGCCTGAGCTTCCTTTGCGACCTCCTAATCACCGTTCACAAACGCTTCCTGAAGGTGATAGAAGACCGCAAAGAAAACATTCCGCCATGGACATTCCGAAGGTGCGTCGAGAGGAGAAGCTGCGCGCTACTCAGTCTACGCCACGTCTTGCCGCTCCTTTACCAGATTATGAACCTCTTCCGCCAATACCCAATTCCGCCCCTCTGCCAGCCATGGAGCCACGCAGGCGGAAGCCGACACCAACGTACTACTCAATCGAGTCAGATGCCACCAAGCTTGGCGAGATTCCAATGCACAAGTGGGCTGAACCATATGACTTCGACGCCATGTCGAGACTGAACAGAGAGGCTGAGATGAACGGCTGGCCAATACGAGACATGGTTGGGAACGTGCAACAACCGGCGAAGAGGAAGGGAATCTTAGGACTGTTTCGAAGGAGACGCGCGAATGCTTGAGAGCTCGATTGGTTTACCGTGTTATGAATTCCGCCGCGACCCTTTCGACCTCAGTCTCATGATGAAGTACGCACCATCTTGACTAATAGATGGCGGAGAATGGGCCAGCATTCCACATGTCTTTGCGCATCTCGGCATCCGGCATCTCGTTCTTCCATCCGACACCTCGTGATCCCCATGTAACAAGTTGATTTCCAAATGAGTGGTTCGGGCCTTCTCACTCGACGGAGATCCGGTCCCAGTGGCCTGGCTTGATGGCCTCGTCTTCGAAATTGGCCGCGTGAAACTTGCTGAGCCTGTTGGAAATTTGGGCCAGCATTCCTCAAGACCTGGGCTTGGTCGACTTCTCGTCTTCGACTTTGCCGTCCTGGATGTCTACAGGACTTTCTCTCCCCATTGAGACTTCAGACTCCTCGCCTCGCCTCGCCCTGTTAGATCCAACGAGCCGGAAGAATTGGGGATGCAAGGCATCAAAGTCATAAGCGGGTCAGGAATGCAATCCTCACTCGTATCGGCGTCGAGTCATGGGGGAACCTTCAATCAGACAGACAGCCTGAAAACGCGTTTTAACATCAGAGAAATAGGATAACTTGGTCTGCATCGTATCTATCTACCCTTTCTCGGCCCGATGCTCCATCAGACAAAGATGGCGTGCTCTCTTCACTTCGAACAGGGCCCGGCATAACACGTTTTGACACTCCTTTCGTCGACGGGTTTGAGGTTTCAGCAACGCCACACGTTGCCACACATTGACCATTCATTGGAGAAAGATCTACTTGGGCGGGCGAATATCCGACTGGAGAATTGAATGTCACCAAGAGTTTTGGCTCACAAGTCCTGTAGAATGGTGGATGGACAGGGATGTTGTCAACCTCACGTCACAGGCTTCACATTTTTACACGGCTGTCGATCGATCTCTCAACCAGTGTTGAAGCCACGCTTACAACTCACCCCAGCCTAGTCTATCAAACCAAACACTGCAAACGAAGAATGATTGGCATCTCTTCGCGGCTTTGCCACAGTCTTTCGGCCCGCTATCACCACCGAACACATGCCATGTCCCACCGACTGATCCATCACTCGGATGCTCTCACACAATTGCCGAGTTTGCAATGAATGGCCACGATTCAGGTGGATGTTGCAAAGTCTGACGGAAGAAACAGTCGCCGAAGCAGCACGAGCAGTTTCAGACATCCTGATGTACCAACGAAGCAGCGAGGCCTTGCAGATAGACGCCATACTACATCAACAAGGTCATGCTAACTAGCCACATCAACAAAACTCGCACGTCCCAAGTGGCCATGTATCTCCAGGGTTATGCAAACACTATCTCGGATCCACCTACATAGGGCGCTATCAGGCATCATCATCAACGCATGCATTGCGCTCGGGCTCGCCGCCAGTGGGAGTACGACATTCTCGATTTTAAAAGCCGTCCGTCCTGACGTGCGGTCTCTCTTCCCCCAAAGCGTAGGTGTGCAAGCATTCACACATTCCTCGCGTCGACCTCCCCCATCTCCCTCTCCCCTTACATTTCCCGCACACGCAAGAAGCAGAACAAAAGTGAGACAGGGTGGTGATGTCAGGCGGACAACCACCGCAATCGAAATCGAACCGCCCTGCCGCGGGTGGCAGGAGCGCGACCGCGAGGACCGCCGGTACGGCTACAAGTGTGGGCGATGGCTACAGTCTGGCCGGCCCTTCCCCCATCCAAGCTGAGGAGCGCATTCGGTCGCAGGGATATGATCCTCACAACACGTACTACCAGGAAGGATACCGCGCAGCCAATCCTTGGATGGGGAATGAGAAGCCCGGTTCCAGCTTCAGTCTGGCGGGGACGTTTCCGCATCATATAAGATGGGGCAAGAGGAAGCCCAAGGAGGGAGAGCCTAGGTTGACGGAGGCGTCGGAGCCCATGGGGACTGAGCCTGCGCCGCAGGTGCCGGAAGCGAACAGGCAGGCAACGAGGCAGAATACGGAAGAGGAAGAGGCAACGCATCCACCCCAGCATGGTGGTGATGACAGGGGTAAGTCACAGTCTGTTTCATGGCAAGAGTCGTTATTGACCGCTCCCACAGTTGACTCAGAAGCGAGTACGGAAGTAGGAGGGGGAGGTGATTCGTCGAACGCAGACTCATCGGTACAACATCGCCGCATCGATGCCTATCGTTCTGGCGGCCAACGTCTTGGATCCATCGCTGAGGAAGACTTCGTTGAGCCACTCGACCCCGACGATCGACCCTTCAACTACTGGGCCAAGATCAGACTCCATCTCCAGCGACCACTCGCCGAATGGCTCGGAACCACCATCTTCATGTTCGTCGGCTCCTGCGGCAACCTGTCAGTCATCACATCCAACTACCAAACGGGCTCCATGCAATCGATGTACTGGTGCTGGGGATTCGCTGTCATGCTGGCCATTTACATCGCTGGTGGTGGATCTGGTGCCTTCCTCAATCCGGCTTTGACGATCATGCTCTCTGTCTTTCGTGGGTTCCCTGCTAGGAGAGTACCGATCTATATCATCGCTCAGCTCCTTGGTGCGTTCACAGGCACGCTGCTCGCCTTCGCCATCTACCGCGACAATATCATCCATCTCGATGGAGGCTTGATCCCCAACTCCACCGGTGCAGCGTTGTATACACAGCCCAAAGACTGGGTTAGCAACTCTACAGCCTTCTTCACCGAGATGCTCGGAACCGCCGTCATCGGCTGCTCGATCATGGCCCTCGGAGACTCCCACAACTCCCCGCCAGGTGCTGGTATGCACGCCTTCATCATCGGACTCCTCACAACGACCGTTACAATGGCGTTGGGGTTCAGCACAGGAGGCTGTTTCAATCCAGTACGAGACCTCGGTCCTCGATTAGCATCCATCGCAGTTGGCTACCCTACATCATCCTTCACCTCGCATCAGAACTGGTGGATATGGGGTCCCTGCTGTGCGACTATCACTGGTGCACTTCTGGGAGGTCTCATCTACGACCTCTGCATCTTCAAGGGTGGCGAGAGTCCCGTCAACTACTCCTTCAACAGATGGAAGATCGAAGGGCTCAAGGAAGAGAGGGACGTGTCCAACTTCTTCGGCCTGAAGAAGAGGGCTGCCGAGATCGATCGGAGACTGGAATCCGGCGAGCTCAGTGATGAGAAGAGTTCGAATAAAGATGTGTAGAACGAATACACACCCTGAGGAGAGGAAATTGCCTGATGAGTTTTCGGTTATGACTTTTGGAGGATACGATTTTTCGACGCAAGACTTTTTGCATTTGATGACGCTCACGCGACGACCTTCTTCATACTTTTAATGGACCCTTCACGAAATGTACGATACCACCACTTTTTGCGCGCTCACGCCTTTCTTCTGAGTATCGAGGCCAAGCTGGACGGATCGCAGTTCTTCGCCAACAATCTTCGGATCGGGCTTGGGTTTGATTGTGCCTGCCTTCAATGCTTTTGGCAGGTATTCCCGCCAGATCTTGGGGCCAACTTCGTTGGTGAAGATGGAGGATGACGAGACTGGCCATGTCGTTAGCTCTGAGAGACTACGAGGTTTCTGAGTATCGAAACTTACTAGATTTCGTCCTCACGGCTTTGGGGATGCCATCATCTGGAATGCCTCGCACAGAAACAACGATCGCTTTACCTTTGCTGCGGTCCACAATGCGAGCAGCGCTTTGCACTGCACCATCAGCGCCAACAGCATGATAAGCACCCAGAACCGTCTTGCCATCCAGCCACTTCACAACATCATCTTCAACGGACTTGGAGTGGTAATCGAAGACTTCCGCAGCTCCAAGGCTCTTGCAGTAATCTGCATTCTTCGCGCTCGCCGTCGTCACTACCTCAGCGCCAGATGCCACGGCCAGCTGAATCGCACAGGACCCAACGCTGGAGCTTCCACCCCAGATCAAGATCGTTCGGTCTAGTGGTTTTGGCTTCTCTTCTGCGCTGGGAAATGGGAGTCCAAGGAAGTCTTTCTGGTACAATCCAGCAGCCGCAGTCGATATGCCCAACGGCAAGACAACGCCCACTGAGCTTGGGATCTTGTACGGCAGCTCGGCCACAGCAGTTTTCTGCACGACGACATACTTCTGGAAAGCTCCCGTAGCACCGCTGGGCAAATCGACCTTTTGAGCGCGAGAGGCGTGACTTGTTTTATCAACGTTAGCCATAACAACTTCTTCCATAGCATCCAAAATCGCCTTCTCTCGGCTTTCAATCCTCAATCACTCACGCAATAACCCTCGTCCCAATCTGAAAGTCCTCCACATCCTCCGCCGCGGCCTGAATCTCGCCCGCCACATCCGATCCAAAGACGGTCGGGTACTCCGCCTTGAAGAGATCGTCGTCCTGCAAGATCCAGTCGATGGGGTTGACGGCTACATCGTAGACTTTGATGACGACGTGTCCGGCGGGCGGTTTGGTGTAGGGTGCGGCTCCGACGGTGAGAGGGCGTTGTTTGGGTTTGAGCGCCCAGGCGGCGACGTTGTTGGGGGCGGAACCGGGGAAGATGCCTTTGATTGTTTCCATGATGGTTGTGAAGTCTTCTTGATGGTCAAAGTGTTCGTTTGGAGAGGGAATTCAGTGTTGGTATTGCGTGTTAATAATGGAGGTGGCAGGCAGGTTGCAGAGTAGGTGACGTCTCACAAGGATGCGGGTTCCTGCATGAATCGATGCAATCGAAGATGGCGGGGCAAGCAGCAGGCTTCAGTATTTCTTGTCGCTCTTTCTTCCTGCAACAACGTTAGTATTAACGCCCACCACTGAACTACTCTAGCTACCGAGTAGTAGTCATTTGCAATGGCAAAAATGTTTGAGCGTGTTTGTACATATTCCGGCAACATGACGTGGAGCCGTCGAACGTGCATGTGATTGTGGCTATTTGGCGCTAGCAGCTATTCACACACGTCAGTCAACAACGCAGTGCGCATTGACATCTTAGGTTCCGCAAAGACTTCTTCCATGGTGGAACGTAAAGGCTCTGAAGCATGATGTTGCATCGAGCAGTCACGGCCTTTTCTCAATGTTTGTACACCTCAATCTTCTCAACAAGATCTCCGCCCAGCCTAGCGATTTCTGCGAGGACAGCATCTTTGTTCAGGTCTGCCAGAACATCACTTTCCTCGTCTTTGCCTTTCACGGGTATCGTGGAATATGACAAATTGACTTTCCAGCTTCGTCGCGCGGTGAGCGGGCTCCACAGTCCAGTGATGACAGGCCTCTCGGTGCCGCCGTAGAATAGCAAGAGCGCAGATCCATACAAATCTTCCAGTTCTTTCAAGAACTCTTGCACGGGCTCGTGGCCGATCATATCAGTGTCAGTTAGAGCCTCCAGTTCCAGGTTCTTGAAAGCCGCGCCGTTACCCATTGACCTCCTGCTCTTGCCACCGGCGAAGGCAGGATTGAGATGAAGGACCATATCAAAATCTTCCAGTGGCGAAGAGAACAAAGCACGTGGTTCCAACCGCAATTGCTTGTCTGATATCTCCGAACAGGCAGCCTTGGCCAGTGCAGTCATACGGCCAGCTACAACCTTTGCAGGAACACCATCTGTCCACGTGGTCCCATCTGAGTCAAGGTTCGATGCGGCGAACAAGGCTACACGATTCATCGCAGGGTCTAACTTGCGCCAGGCTTCGAAGTTGGTTGCTATGGCTTCAGCCTGCGGTTGCTTCAGCTCACCACTAGCAGAGAGATCAACGATGAGGGGATCCGCGCGCCAGTCCCATCGAGAGATCCAAGAAAGAGTTCTCAAGAAGCCGGTCTGCACGCTCGAGGGTGTTTGCCAAGGCCATGGTTGAGTAAAAGTACGAACGACGAGCAGCTCTACGACTTCGTCGGCGATATGGTTGGACAGAAGATGCGAGGCAAACCACTTCTTCGTCAGCCTGATAGAGCCACTTAGGGCCGCATGTCGAGTACACAAGCGGGCAATGGCTTGTGTGTGAGCAGGGTTCTTGACGAAGTCTCGCTTGTGCTTGGCGAGGCCTGTCGCTGCAATCTCACGGGACTTCGGGTCTGCGGTCTTGTCCTTGAGCTTCCGTTCGAACAAGCCTTGCTCGCGCTCGTGGTATATGCGCAGTCTGAAGGTGGCGTCTGAATCGTAACTCACGTCGAGATATGCCTGATTCAAGACATCTTGCCCCTCATTCTCAAGTCCGATCCGTGTAGTGACATTGTCGACAGCGTCTTGGAGAAGGTCGTTGATCTTGAGAAGGAAGGCGATCTTTGTACGTTGTATGGCGACCAGGTCGTCCGGCCACCGAGAAGAGCCTTCAAATTGTATCGTTATATCTGCCGGCACAGGTTTCTGGGCAAGTTTGCCGTGATGGGGCGCTTTGACAGAGGCGAAGCGAAGTTGTGGATCCGCTGGCAGGATATGCCTGATTGAAAGTGGCAGATCATGCAGGTCTCGAATGTCGTTCTCGAACTTCTTGCATTGAGCCATCAATGGTTCGAAGCTGGATCGATCACTACCACCCCTCACCAACTTAGCGAAGTCGCCACTGAAGGTGATGTCGTCCATGGCTACGAGTCCGAAGTGGTGTCCGAGTGTGTAGCGAATGACCTGCTCATTAACAGACATACCACTCTCTGGGTTTGCCCAGACCAAGCTTTCAAGAATGCTTCCATCTTTGAATCGACGAAGCTCGGCCTTTTCTCCCCAAAACTTGCGGAACTCAGCAGTTTCTGCCTTGTTCTCAGCGGACGGCCCATGGTCAACCGTGCGTCTTGCTGTGTCAGCGTTCACCACCAGACCGATGGTTACATTGCCTTTGATGCCAGCCAATGGTCGCGATGAGCCCAAAGCCCAGTCGTCGAGCGGCTGAGTGAGGAGATTGATCTGCGTGACACGGTCACCTAGGCCCTGCTTCAACAGTTTGTGGAGCTGAATAAGACGCTCTCGCGGTTCAGGTTCCAGAGACAGTGCTTTGGCTGGAATTTCCACGAGACAATCGTATCGGTAGAGTGGCTCGAGCACACGAAGGATAAAGGTCGCGTCAAAGCCATCATGTAGTGGATCTCCAAGAGCGGTGATGGTGCTTCTCGCTTCCTGTCTCAATAGCTTGTACGCCCAAGGAGTCACCTCGAACAGAAGGTTGTGACTTCGCACTGCATCCCATGCCATGGGAATCCCGTCAGCAGTAGCTTTCGGTCCTGTCTGGCTTTCGCCGAGCAGTAGCGGCTGCTTAGTGAAGTTCTTCATCGCGAGTAGCTGCAAAGTCGCCTTGAAAAGCTGGTAGCTGCTGTATCCCTCACTCAATAGAGGCTTTCCATTGGGCCCGCCGCCTTGTAAGCCAAGAGCCATCAGTGTGTTCCACTCAAAGCTGCCAAAACCACCAGAGTCCATCGACGACTGAAATCCTCTCTGTCGAAGCCACGTCGCTCCCAGAAGACATGCATCGATGAAGGATTCACATGCTCTCGATGCGCTGTGAAGCAGCTTCAGGTAGGGTGTCATGAGCATCTCCGAGCGCAACGAAGAGTTGTAGAATGGGGTTGGTGACTGCACTTCGTCCTGGTGCTGACTTCTTACGCAGTTTCTGTCTGGCCTGAGCTTTTCTGCTAGAAACTGTTTCTCAGTCACGCAAGGAATGATATTGATACGCCATTTCGACTTCGGTGTATCGTTGGACTCGTCGCGACTGGGTCCAATCGGCTTCGCCACCAATATGGGCTTCAGAGGGTTGTCGTGGAACAGCTTGAATCGCACAGACTGCTCTTTGCCTATTGACGTTTTCAGTCCTGCAGCGATGCAAGCCAGGTAATACGCTCTCTTGTAGAAGTATCGGTGGTTCAAATAGTCTTTGTCTTCAAACAGAGAAGCGGGCATGGTAACAACCATATCAATCTCTAAGAACTCCTTCGACCTGCTCGCGGTCTTCAGAGCATAGCTACCGACGACATTTACGTTGGCGGGCTTCTCGTAGGCGAATTTGTACTTTGCGTCCTTTGGTGGCCTTGGATTGGGAAACGGTATCGCAACCTTCTCTCTGATGAGATCGCGCTCAGCGTCGACCGACGTGAACGGCCCTCGAGGTTTTATCTGCTCGATAGACTTTTTGATCGTGTGCAGAGCACTCTCAGCGTCTGTCTCGCGTTTCCCATGTCGTGGGCGTATCTGACCCAGTAACTCATCCACCTGCAGTTTGAAGACATTGCTCTTGAATGATCCGTTTGCGAGAGTGCTTATGGTCGGTTGTGATGCCTTTGCGCGTCTGGCTGGCTTCGGGTTTGACTGCGATGCAGTCTTGTCCTTCTTGTCAGCTCTTGCCCTGGACTGAACATTTTCCAGATTCACCGCCGGGTCCTCATCCTCATCCTCATCCTCATCTTCCTCTTCGTCCCCCGCATCCTCATCCATCTCTTCAGCAGACAAGCCGTTCACCTCATCCGGGGCCTCTTCATCTCCAGACTCGTCGCTGCCAAAAGAAGCGAAGGACGCCTCATCGTCCTCGTCGCCTGAGGATACATGGTCCGTCTTCCTCCTTTTGCTGGCCGGGGGAGCCATGTCGAAAGCGGGAAATGTTTTGCGACCGACCAAGAAATGGACTTGCAAAATCTCCAAAGAGCTCGACGACGCCAAGCTTTGTGGCGGAAAGTCTAATGCACGCGAGTGACAGGGATCAAGTGTCGCCGCAAGAGGGAAAGACAAGCCTTCCATGATCCATCGGCATTTCAATTCTGACTCTGGCTCTGACTCCCCGACTTCGTCCGGTCTCCGTGCACTCGACACTGTCTATAACAACGAGAAGAGCATCTCCCGCAGACCCGACTCAACACAGAGATCCATTTCGCCAATCACCACCACCGCTGAAAAGTTTTCAGAATGCCGGGAGTCAGAGTGCCCGGTGCACCGACACCATTGCCTTTTAACCAGACCTTGGGAGAGACCATTCCCCCTGACACTCCACATGTGAGAGAACCACTGCCTGTTTGTGAGATCCAATGTTGACGTTTGTCAGGCTGTCAGCGTATCACTCCCGACATGGCTGTCCAATGTTGGCTACGAGGAAGGCGAGGACTGGGTCGTGCAGAAGATGCAATGCGGTTATCCCAGGTGAGTCGAGATCAGACCTCTTCTCCTCGATGCATGCTGTGATGACACCTACTTGTACACCCGAGTGAATCAATGAGGGTTTTCTAATATACCAATTGTTCCTACTGAAAGCACAAACCACCCCTTCTTGTGACCAAGCCCACTACTCTGCGCCCCTGACTAACCATATACCAGGTTCTTTATCCACAAGCTGATCCAAAAGCTAGCCGCGAGCATCGTAGCTGCACATGGCTCATCGGATACTGAGCAGGCCATGCTCATGCCATCTCCCAGATGTGCTGCCCGCTGCAAAGAATTTATATCAAGTCAAATCCCAAAGACTGACCCGTCGACTATTCGCCACTTGGACTTTGTGCCCGACCCATCGAAGATAGCCACACAAGAGCCTGGCCGTGTTCTTCCCAAAGTGTCCGCTGTCATCTATCCCAAAGAGAGCTGGCCAGCGGCGAAGGTCTTTTGGCAGCATACTGGCGAAGGCATCTCCAGTCGACGGGCTGAGTTCTGCCAGAGGGCTTTTGACGAAAACCTTCTGGTAGAGAAGAGCTCACTCACGCCACCACAGACTCCTCGGTTGACGAAAGGGCCAAAGCGATACCAGCGTCAGACGTCGGTTGACCTTGGCCTCACGAATGGCCATGCCAAAGCTCCAAATGGAAGTGAAGCGGCTACGAATGGAGACAATGTTCTTGACTCGGAGCAATTCATTGAAGAACGATTTGGACGCAACCTGAATGCCAAGTTCGCCGCGCAAGCGAAGCTCGCCATTCGCAAGCGTATCGCAGGCTCGCTGACCACCAACACGGATCTGCCACAGTCGTTGGAGGAGCCGGTGGACCGTAATCGAGAGCGGACACGAGACGTGCCAGAGTTTACCGTGGATGATGTGTACCTCTTCGGCACGGGTATGAACGCCATCTTCACCTCACATCGAGCTTTGAGGCTGGCGCGAGGTGAGATGAAGAGCGTTATGTATGGCTTCCCCTACGTCGACACGCTCAAGGTTTTGGAGAAATTTGGGCCTGGAGCTGTCTTTTACGGACATGGCAATTCCGACGATATTGACGACCTCGAGCGACGGCTGGAATCAGGAGAGCGCTTTCTCTCACTGTACTGCGAATTCCCTGGTAATCCGCTTCTGAAGACCCCCGACCTCAAGCGTTTGCGTACACTGGCGGACAAGTACCAATTTGCGATTGTCATCGACGAAACAATTGGCAACTTCTTGAACGTCCACGTCCTTCCTCACGCAGACATTGTCGTGAGCAGCCTTACCAAGATCTTCAGCGGTGATAGCAACGTCATGGGAGGCGCCATGATCCTGAATCCTCGATCCAAATGGTACAGCAATCTGAAGCAGGTGCTGGCGGAGGAGTATGAAGACAATCAATTTGAAGAAGACAGCGTGTACCTCGAACGCAACAGCCGAGACTTTGTGGATCGTATTCAGCGAGTCAATCACAATGCAGAGGCGATTGTGGATGTCTTGCGAAACCACAACAGGGTCAAGCAAGTCAATTACCCCAAGTACAGTCCAACGAAGGAGTTCTACGACGCTTGCCGGCTGCCAGAAGGTGGATATGGAGGGCTTCTGAGTGCGACGTTCCATTCTGTCGAAGACGCTGCTATCTTCTATGACAGTCTCGACACACAAAAGGGTCCAAGCCTGGGCACGAACTTTACACTGAGTTCGCCGTTCGTGCTGCTGGCTCACTATGCAGAGCTCGATTGGGCGGCGGAGTTTGGCTGCGAGGCGAGCCTGGTGCGGTTCAGTGTCGGGTTGGAAGAGACTGCCACGTTGGTGAAAGTCTTCCAGACGGCACTGGATGCTATACCCAGCAAGTAGGGTAGGCTATGCCATCGATCGACTTCAACGTCGAATGCCCAAGCGTGAAACTTTGTGCCCTCGTCTCTTCTTCTGGCCTCCATCTGTTCACGATTGTGATGTCCTCATCTCTGCTCCCCAGCCTCATCACCTTCCTTCGACCTCCGATCCAACACCTCATCGACAATCCCCCACTCCCTCGCCTCCTCCGCACTCATGAAGAAATCCCTCTCCATCACCGAAGCAATCTCCTCCAAGCTCCTCTCCTTGGTCAAATGCCTCTGATAAATCTTATTCAAACTCTCCCGTATCCTCAAAATCTCCTTGGCATGAATCGCAATATCGCTCGCCTGCCCATGATACCCACCACTGACCTGATGCACCATAATCCGACTATGCGGGAGACAATACCTCTTCCCCTTCGCACCGCCACAAAGCAACAAACTGCCCATCGAAGCAGCCTGCCCCAAGCAAATCGTCGAGACGGGCGATTGGATGTATTGCATCGTGTCGTAGATGGCGAGGCCCGCGGTCACGGAGCCGCCCGGGGAGTTGATGTAGAGGGAGATGGGTTTGGAGGGGTTCTCGGCTTCGAGGAAGAGGAGCTGGGCGACGATGGAGGCGGAGGAGGTTTCTTCGACTTCGCCGTTGAGGCAGATGATGCGTTCTTTGAGGAGGCGGGAGAAGATGTCGTCTGTGGGAGGATTTGTGAGTGAGCGGACGTTTAATTTGGGTGTATCTATTCGTACAGGTATGCCAGCCGCCGCCGACGGTCTCCGTTACGAAGGGCATCGGCAAGGCTGAGCTGGGTGGTTTCTGCTGCTGCTGCGGGGTGGCATTGAGTGTTGGTGGGAATTGCGGTATGCTGGAGAAGGTTCGGGCGTGTCTTCGAGCTGCTTGACGGAGGATGTGTGATCTGGTAGCCCTCAGGCTCGATCTGGCAAAGTGTTCCATGATTACTGACGGGTGTTGTGGTAGAGAACTTGCAGATGTGTCGTTGACGATGGAGGGAAATGGTTGCAACTTCCCCAAGGAGATGCCCTCGCCCCACCTTCCGCTTTGACGAGCTGGTGAGTGAATCTCGAGCGGCCACGCGACCAACAACAACTTCAAACTTTCCCGTCAACTCTTCCAAGAGAAGCATTGTAGCATCGCATGCGCCATGTCATGTACACGGGAAGACATCAATCCTTGAAGGCATCGACCACCGCCAGCAATGGTTTACACCCACCTTCACGCCGGCTCTACGCCTGGAAGACCAATCCTGCCTACGAAGCAGAAGCACAACCCACCGTGATCAGCGAGGATGGGAGCAAAACACTGCGGACCAGGAAATATGGGAACAAGAGCTTGCCTCTACCGCCGATCATGGATCCCATAGCCATTGCGGGAAAGCAGAGGCACAAGCAGATGAAGGAACGAGTTGTCAAGAGAGAAGATGACTTGAGTGAATTTGAGCAGAAGCTTAGGCTCAATCCATTCGGTACGAACATAAGGAGGCTTTCTGGTTAATATGCTTGCTGAGGCCTCATACACAGCCCACGCCCTCGCGACCGACATCCGCCAATGCCGCCTCACGCAAGCTCTCCTGCCCTCCCACTTCCTCGTCCCCTTTGCAGCCGACATTCCCGCTCCAGACGAGCAACGAAAGCCATCGCTAGTGCCGGCACTACGCTCTAAGGTCCAGGGCAAATCGTATATCATAGGTACTCGGGAAGCGCTGGAGAATGTCAGCGACAAAAAGAGTAGATGGCAAGTGATGCTCAATGAACAGGTCAAGGCTTGCGCTGTGGCTGCAATGGGGAAGCAGCTTACGCACAAGGATTGGTCTTGGGATGTCGATACGCCCGAGATGGTCTTGCAACAACTGAGGGAGAAAGCCGTAGAGTCATTGAAAGGCTGCTTGGGTCGACAAGAGGGGGAAGATCTACTGGTGCAGCTATCCGGGGACGGTCCCGTGGAAAGAAATGATTTGGCTTGCATCCTTACATCTACAGGAATTGCGCCAGCGAGGGAGTCGACGACTGTCAAAAGTGTGCCAGTCTACAACCTTGACACGCTTCTGGACCCCGAACAGCTCGAACACTTCATGCAAACCTCCACTCGCAAGGGTTTAGTCAGGCACAAGCGGACTGTCTTTACCGTCACGGCCTTGGAGAAGCTTCGTAACTACGTCCGAGGAAATGAAAAAGACCACTTTTCTTGAAGAACCGACCTCTACCAATCTCAGGAAGGATGCTCTAAGTATTATTTGCTGCTCTCGCCGGGGTTTCGGGTGTACTCAAGATCCTGAGGTCGTCGCTCCAGCCTGTGCCGTCGGACAACGTCGTACAACACACGTGCATTCTCAGCTCGCCATAGGGCATGCAATCAACTGTTCGCGATGTTTCCGGATCCTGCGCAAGCCCCAAGCCGACAGAAAGTGCGCTCTATCCACGTTGATGCTCCATCTTCCTCCCTCTAACATAAAACAAGCAAAGTCGCCATGGCCGTCTTCTCTCCATTTGCAAGATTCCTCGTCAGACTACGGAGACTCCATCTTCAAAGCACAAATAGCCAGACTTCTCCTCAAATCGGCCTCACATTGGCATGGCCTCTCCGCTCACAGCCGCCGCAACTCCAGAGCCCGCTCAAGTCCTTGAAGATATCGTGCGAGATCGACTCAAAAGTCCAGACTGTGAAAGCAGAAGCCACCTTCTCCCTCCCGTTCCGTGAACTCCTGGCGGCTTTCAAACTGGTTGGCAGCCATCTCAATTTGGCCTCGAGGCATGCGGTGGCTCAGGGTAAACAAGTGAGCTTGTCTATGCCGCTGCAAATATGGGCCTCCCGCTGGCAATGGATCCAGGCACGGCAGTCCCTTACACGTACGCTCGCCCATTTGCGCACGGCATTCTGGGTGCAATGGTGGCGGATCTCCGTCCGAAGAGCTCGCTGGCACAATGCGTACACCAACTGGGAGACAAGAATGCAACAGCATCGACAAGCCATCTCAAGACAGCGCTGGTAGTCGAGGGCCTCATGAACCAGTCTTTGTCAACCAGCTTCGTCCAAGGCACGGAGATAGTGACTTTCAACTTCGTCACGTTGTGTTGACTGCAGAGTTTCGCCTGGGCTTCTTGTGCGCGCAACGCCTGCATCCCGGGTGTGCGATCTCGGTGCCGTCCAGGCCTCTCATGAGAGTGGCCTTGTAAAACTGCCACTGGCCATTTCGTCGCATCCATTCGACGATCGATACCGACTGCCTTCTGATGTTCGCAGGTCTGCCAGTCACAGACAACAAGCAGTACACTATGAAAGATTTGCAATCAGCGTACAATAACTTTCGCTTCATCAACCTGGACATACCAATCGCATAACCACCCCTCTCATCCACGTCAGCCTCGACCTCCATTACTTCCACACGATAGCCTGGATTATCCGAACTCAAGTTCCAGAGTTGCGTCACATCCTGATCGTACGAGTCTGATCGAGAGATATCATCCAGATCGGCCTTGTACGTCGACGCAACAAGATTATGGATGGGCTGGTAGGAGCGGGCGTTGATGGCATCGATGACGGTGCGAGTCAGCGTCTCGAGCTCGGATGTTGCTGGTGTTTGCGCGAACTTCTGGTCTGTTGGATATGATGGCGAGTTGTTCTCATTGGTGCTGGCGGGTGGTAATAAGAGTGCAAGCGAAGACGTGGATGAGGAAGAATTGCTCGAGGAAGACGACATCCTCTCGTCGAGATTTCTCTCTGTCCGGTCTGTGATTCTCATCCGCCTAGACACCGATACCGTCCGTCAAGAACGAATCACTATCTCCTTTGTCGACTGCAAATACAGCCCAAAAGAGAAGAAGAAAAAATAGAAGTCCAAAATCAACACAGCACAGCACAGCACAGCAAAGCCACCAAGAAAATTATTTCCCTCCTTTCTCTTGAACGAGCGGTACCTGCACATCCCATCACACCCCATCCCTCCCCTCCCCTCCCCTCCTCTCTTTCTTCTTCCTCTATCTTAAAACGCGAGTGCGGCCTCTACCCCAGCACCAGGACGCGCATCCATCTAGACCTAGACCCCTATAGCTCTACACCGGAGAGCGAAAAAAACATGTACCTTCGCTTACTAGAACTTACCAAGCTATCTTTCATCACGCACGTGTTGATAGCTACACAGCAAACATTTCTGATAGGTCTTTGGGCGCTGAAGATACTCGCGTATGCGAACTATCAAGTACAAGCAAAATCCCCACAGGTAGGACATACTTAGAGTGGTTAGTTTAGTTGTGATACCTCCAGCTTGAAGGGGAAGGTGCGAACGTTTACTAAGGCTGTAGGGATGGGTCTATCTTCTTCAACTCTAAAACGATGTTTGACTGCACTTAGAGACTGCGTGTTGATGTTTGAGCTTCCAGGGAGCCGAGCTTATGATCGTGTACTAAACCAGCCAGCAGTGTCACGTATGCATCAGCGTCAGCGCCCATTGATCATGACCTACAATCTCCTCAACAGAATGATTCTCGACCATCCCATCCACAACGACCACATCGCCCTCCTCACCCCCTTCTCACCTTGCTACTCCCCCTCCATCCCCGCCCTCAAATTCGCATACCTACTCCCCGGATACTCCAACCAATTCTGACAATACTCAACCCCCACCCCACACCCCTCAAAAGCATCCACAACCGTCCGAATCAAACTCCTCGAACTATTCACGGGCGCATCCCCACTCGTCTCCCACCACATCGCGCCTCCCAACCCATTGTGCTCGATATACTCGGCCTTCTTCGCCGCGATGACCGGCTCGTCGTAGGAGACCATGTACCGCGTGCGGTTGTTGTACGCCCACGAGGCGACGACCTGGTCGTCGTAGAAGGTCTGCGAGCCGTTGAGGGCTTGCGGGAGGACTTTGTAGTCCCAGACACCCGGTTCCCAGCTGCCGACGGTGCTCGCGGTGAAGTTGGTACCGGGACCGAGGGTATTAGCGAAGGCGCGGCCGTAGAGCGGCATGCCCAGGTTCAGTTTCTCCTTCGGCCAGCCGGAGCCCAAGTAATAATCGACAGCGGTCTGGGTGTCGAACTCGGTGGAGCGCGGGTTGCGCTGGGATTTGTACAGGTTGCTCATGTGGCCCGAGTAGTTGGAGAAGGAGCCCGCGTAGTCGTAGCCCATGAGGTTGATGAAGTCGACGTAGGGGAGGAGGCCCGGCATGTCGAAGTATTGGAAGTGATCGGGGCCCGCGGGGACGGCGAGCGTAAGGAGGAAGTGCGGGTGGCCCGTGAGGTTGCGGGCGTAGTTGTCGAGTTCTTCGCGGAAGAGGCGGCAGGTGTCGACGAGGGCGGCGGCTTCGGAGGTCGAGTTGGGGTACTCCCAGTCGATGTCTAGACCGTCGAATCCGAGGTCTTTGAGGAGCTGCACGCTCGTCCGCGCGAAGTTCTGTCGTCCGGAGAGGTTCTTCAGGGCAGGGGCGAAGTATGTACGGAGGTTCCAGCCACCGAATGAGAGGAGTGTCTTCATGTTGCGGTTGGCTTTCTTTTGGAGGTAGAGCTGTTTGAGGTTGCCGTAGAGGTTGGTCGTCTTGTTGTTTGGGGGATCGACATCGCCTGGGTATTTCTTCTCGACGTCGGCGAATGTGTCGGTGAGGGATGCGTCGCCGGTCTTGTTGTCGATGCCTGCGAATGCGTAGAGGACGTGGGTGAGTTCGGACGATTGCAGGTTGGTGACTGGCCAGTTTCGACCATAGATGGCCCAGCTGGAGTATCTCATTAGCAGTGTCGATATGTAGAGCATGCCATCACTAACCTAACATAGTATCCGACCGTCTTGAATCCAGACTGTACATGCTGCGTGGCCTGCCTTGCTACTGTGTCCAACTTCTCTCCTCTTGATTCGACCCTGTGATGGAATTTGGCATGGCCATTGGGTACATGCGCAGCGCTGGCGACTGTCGAGATGCACAGAAGAAATGCGATTAATGAAGAGAGGGCGGAACCTCCAGACAATAGACCGCCGCTCTGGAAAAGTCGCATCTTCTAGAGAAGTGAAGGCAGTCTCTTGAACGAAAGTCTCAAATGCCAGAAGTCAACGAGGGTGCGAAGTCCTCTTCGTCCAGAAAGAGAGTGATCTTCAATCAAAGCAAAAGAATGTAGACGTCTTCGAAAAAGACCAAGAAGCAAAGATAAGAGAGAAAGGAACTGTCGTACTGCAAGATGCTTTCGCTCTCGCAAATTAAAGATACGTCCGTCACATGGCACATTTAAATACCTTGACGGCTGTCACGCACGCGAGCCAAGTCACCCCAGCCAGACGGTAAACAAGAATCAGGAGAGTTCGAAAGTCGGGAAGCCGCTGTTCAGCCTGGGTGGGCGTATCAAAGAAGGTTCGTACTTGTCTAGGTCATGAAGCGAAAGTCCAGTTTCATGCGCATGGCGAGAGATTCGGCCGACGAGGGTAGGAAGTGCTTGTGTGGGAGATGGGGATAGTGAGTGGTCGAACCCCTGGAGAATGCTAGTCATCGATCCTCGTATGCCTAGGTTTTGCCTGGAGCTTGGAAACATACCTAGTATGGGGGACTTGTCGAGGCTCACCTGTGTTCAAGCGTTGGTGAGGGCATTGCCTCGCCGTCACAATCGGCGAATGACTTCCAGGCTCCTCGACGTTCTGCCTGCCATCTCCCAAGGCGATGGTTTCGCTGTCCGATCGATCAGTAGGCGACGGACCACCATCGAACCCTGATCGAATGTCTGCCGTCTGTCAGTTGAAACCCGTCTCATCGGTCGAAGTCGAGAAGATGGTGTAGTAGGTAACAAGGTCGTCGTTAGAATCATGTCGTATATACGAATACAGGGGTATCGAACTTTGCATCTGTCGCTCTCTCTTTCTCTCTCCAACTCAAAGCAAAGCAAAACCAAATCAGGGTATGCCGCGGCCAATTATTCATATATGAGCTTTTGTCGCAGATGTGCAGTAGATCCGATCCAAGCCAAATTATGTGTAGGTCCAGATGCCTGGGTATGTGTGGGTGCATGTACTGTTGGCCATGCCCGTGGTATAGTCGATATCGTCAAAGGTCGTAGGGTATAGAAGCCTCGTGGGCTGTAGGTGGGAGGGTTTGTTTTCCGTTGACCCCTCGAAAAGAGTCCGGTCCCGTCGTGATGGACCGAACAGATGCCGCATGTGAGGCCACACTGCTGAGGTGAGCATAGCATGCGTGTGACTAAGAGTCCATAGGAGTCGTGAAGTGCCGTAGTCATTCCAGCTCCAGGGACGAGGCGGCTTGAAGTGTATTGTGCCCTTCGATGTCTGGTGGTGGACCATCCGCATAGTCTCCTTCGAAGAATCCGCCCAGGCTATTGGGTGTTCATACCTCTCACCAACACTTCAACTTCTGCCACCACTTCAGCGGCTTCGCATCATCCTCATCATCCCACTTCGGATCCGGAGGAAGCGCCTTCTCATTCTGACCCGGCAAAGGATCCAGCGGTCGAGTCCTCGCCGTGGACGAAGGCAATGCATTGGGCGCAATGCCACCTTCCTGATGTTGTTTCCTCGCCTGGACGACTCGTCGGACCAACACTATCATCCAACATCAGCACTCACATCCCACAACGTATGTGTATGTGTAAGGGGAAAAGGCATACGAGCAAACGTCTCCTCAATATTGACCATCTCCCTCGCGCTCGTCTCCATAAACCCATACCCCCTCGTGCGCGCCCAGTCCAACCCCTCCCTGGCACCCACCTGGCGGATCCCCTGCAAATCACATTTATTCCCCGCGACGATGCACACGGGCAGGACCGCGCCTCGCTCCAGCCGATTCTCCTTCTCCATCTCGATCAGCTGGGTGAAGTAGTCGAGGGCGGTGAGCGACATCTGCTGCGTGATGTCGTAGACAAGCAGGAAGGCGTCCGAGTTGATGTTGGACGAGGACCACAGGCCGCGGTATTCTTCCTGGCCCGCCGTGTCGGTCAGGGCGAGCGAGTAGGTGGTGCCGTCGATGGTGCGCGTGACCGAGTACGAGTCTTCGATGGTGGGGTCGTATCTGTCAGGTACGTTCGCATGCGTTAGAGGATGATTGGAAGTGATTGTGTGGGTTCTTTGCAAGGCTCATCCTTACTCATGCGTCCATTGGCTGCGCACGAGACGCAGTGTGATGGACGATTTGCCGCAGCCGCCGTCGCCGCAGACGGTGATGGAGATTTTGTGGTTGTCGTCCATGTCTTGCGAGAAATCGAGGGATGTATGCAAATGCCGGAGTCTTATAGAGTCGTCAAGCGCGTACGAGATTCGTACAGGAGTCGCACCGAAGGATAGGTACAGCGGGATTGAGGATCGAGTATCTCAAATATGTCTCGTCTCGTCTCGTCTCTTCCACGTCCAACTCTCCTCTCTTTCTTCCCACGCCTCACTTCCCCGACGGAGGGGGAGGCTAACACTGCGCGTCCGGTCGAGGCGGTCCCGGCAATTGGTGGGTGGATGGATGGGTGGATGTATGTCAGAAGTGAGGCGGGTGGAGGGACGCAGTCGCAGGCCCCGGTTTCACAAGCGACTTGTCTCGGTGTTCGTAGGTAGGTAGATAGATAACAAACAGGTAGTATTCGCTGTGGTGTAGTAGTAGCAGTAAACAAGAAAACCAATAGGTAGTATTAAAAAAGGAGTCAATACTAGTAGCAAAGGCAAAGGGCCCTAATCGTTTCGTCCTTCAACGCTCGCTCGCGCTGGTGTGAAACGCAGCACACAAAAAATCAAAGTTAAGGTTTCCTAGCAAGAACCCCAACGGTCAGGTAGCAACGAGCAGAACCAGTGCGCAGTAGCGTCGGGAGTTGCGCAAGAGCAGGAGGAGGAGAAGGAACATTCATGCCCAACTCCAACTCCGCAGCTCGTGTTTGGACCGGGTGAGCTTGTCGGAGGAGGTCCAGGCTGGCAGGGGTTTGTGAGGCAGCGGAGAGGGGGAGGAGCACCTGGTCGCAGATCGAGTTCGTGCGTGCGTGGTGCGTGCGTGTGGAGCTTTCGACAGACACATGCCATCGGCTCGGCATAGAACTCCCGAGGCATAGTTGAGGTTCAAGTACAATTGTACTTCACTATATACGACACTGCCGGGCAACATGTACATGTATCTATCCGTTGTACACCAGCCCGGCAATTCCAAATGTCAACTCTTCTTCGGCATCCTGACCCCAGACAAGAGCCAACCTCCTACCGTATACCTAAAAGACAGGAGAGTTTCATGCGGCTCTCCTACAATAAGCCTACTTTGACTTCACTCCGCCTCCGTCTTCATAAATCAGGCTCGAACCCAACCCTTTCTCCTGGGAAATTTGTGGTCGAAACATCCAACTACTGCACGACATCGCTGCGGTGGAGTGGAGAATCCCACGTCCAAGCTTACAATGTTTACTTGTTTCTTCTCTCCCGGGTCATGGCTTTATCAACGAGTTAAGAGGCGTAGTACGAATCACTTTCAGTTCCTTTTCATTCACTTGCTCGTTTCTCACTCTGTACATTAGACACTGGCAAGATTGATCTCTCCCCCGCTTGTTCTTGGACATCTGATCACGCCTTTTTCTCGAAACAATCACCCCTAACAGAGCACTAGAGCAGCGGCAGCTTGCGCTTGTGTCTCTCCCTACCATCTCCCTTCCTGTCATCCACACCTCCCCTCCCATCCATCCCCATTCGCAGCGCTCCCCTCTCGAGCACTGCATCTGTATAACAATCAAAAAATACGCCAGTGAAGCATCGTCGTGTTCGTGTATCGTCATGCCCTCGGAAAGAATAGCAGGCGGAGCGGATATGCCGTGTCCCAAGATGAAAAGATTTTTTCCCGTCCCGGTCGTAAACGTCAGTTCGCCCAGCTAAAATGGGTCAAAAAGGGGGTATCTCGTTTCCAAGAAATGTAAAACAGTCAAACAAAGCAGTCGCATCCGTCCAGCACGGCGGTTCAAGATTCTGAAGACCGCAAACGTTAAAGATCCAGGTGGATCGGAGCCGCCATCACCGAAGTACCGCGCTTGATAGCCGACCGCCAGATATATGAGTAAAGAGGTAATCGCCCAGACATGCTCAATCCGGTTCGATGGCCTCATCAATCTTTGCTGGCACACCACTAGCACCCTCCATGCTAGCGGCATACCCATGCTGGTTCGGCCCGTTCATTGGCGACGTGGCATTAGCTCTTTGTGGATCGTGGTTTGCATTGGATCGATTGGCGTCATTCGGACTCTCCATCTTGATGTTGTTGCTTCCAGCACCAGTGTTTGATATCGAGGGGTTCCTCGGAGAAGCGCTGGCTTTGGAAGCCTTGTCAGAAGCTGCCGAGTGGACGCTATGTTGCGAGTTGGTGCGCGGCGATACGCGGCCGTTCTGTAGAGGTTAGTATCATCCCACGATCCTCTCATAGGTTGGTAACTTACCAATTTCGCCCACCTCAATCCACAGCTGTTGCAAAGATCTCGTTGCCCACTTGGCCCACGTCTCCATTCAGGCGTCACACGAGTATGACAGTTGGCGCAATCCTTTTGCTGGTTACCAGCCCCCTTTCTCCTCTTGCGCTTCTTCTTCGCGGCAATCAGCGACTGCACCTCTTCTGCCAGCAATCTATTGCGCTTCTCCAGCTGCCGAATCTCATACTGCCACGAGCTGGATTTGGTCGTCTTGAGCTCGTCAAAGAGATTGTCCTCTGCCGCTAGCGACTGATCTTGGTGTCCAATCTGCAGTCCATGTTGCCCAGCATATGTCGCCGCCGACCCGTCCGTGGCCATGTATCGTCCTGAAAGGGCCGAGTTTGGTGTCTGCGTGCTGTCATCCTGCCCCTGTCCGCCGGTAGTCTGGCCAGACTGCATGGATTCTTGTGAGGTTCTCTCCGCCTTTGGATAGATGGGTGGTCGGCTCGACTGGTTGCCACGCGAGAACTTGATGAGTTTGGTCTGAGCCACGATGAAGGTAGGCTTCAACCCTTCGGTAGCGTCTCCAGGGTAGAGCGTGGTAAAGGCAGAGAGAACTTGACCTCTCCTGTTGATCATCTCATGCTTGACTGACGCTTTCTTACCCGTGCGAGCATGTTCCAAGATTCGACCAAAGTCAGCCTTGGACTCAGTGCGCATGAGTGACTGCACACTGACACCGACAAGCTCGTCAGGTTGCCGATCCAGGAGTTGCCGCACGTTGGAAGACACAAACAAGAACATGCCAGAAGTCGACATCTTGGTCCACAGCTCGTTCTCGCCAATGCCTCCAGCGTTGAGAAGCTCACTCTTGCCGAGGCTGTACACCGGTCGTTCGCGGCCCACCATGATGATGGATTTGCGTCCTTTGCCTTGTTCGGTGTGTAGTGAGCCATGCCCCTCGAACCACATGTAGCCGCTGTTCTTCCGCCGTATTCGAAACACGACGTTGACTGAAGCTCCCGTCGAGGTATCCTTTAGCTCGCGCGTAACTGGGACAATGTCACTCGGGTGGCAGACTGAGCTGAGGGCGGTGCCTATGAGCTCGCTGGGCTCATACTCGAGGACTCTCAAGGCCGATGGCGAGACCCATTGGAACAGGCCCTTCAGGGACAGCACGTGCACTACGTCGTCAGTGTTCTCAAGCAAGACTTTATCCCACATGCGCTTGGCGTATTCTGATTCGCCGCTCCCGATTGTGCTGAGGATGGCGGACACATCGTCACGAGGTACCGTTTGGCCAAGATCCGACTTTGGAGTGTTTTCAGGCGCGTTCATGACATAGCGAGGCATCGTCATGCCCCGCTGGTAGTTGATCGAGTATGAGCCATCTGTATACAGTTGTCAGCAAGGGTACAATTTGGTGTTACGCGAGGGTGGAGTGTTCTGGGTGCAGCCGATCGGTGCGAATCGGCTCACGCATCGGCCGATGGCACATACCAGGATTCTTGTTCGTGACCGCATTGGGCTGCTCCACCAAATCGACCTGAAAACCCACGAAGAACTTGACCTGGTCCGTCTCCCAGGCGATGGGGATCACGGTGAGCAGATTCATAAACGGCTGGCCGCCGCGGCGGTAGTTGATGAGGGATATCTGAGCCTCGCGACGCAGATTGATCATGTTTTTCAAATACAGCACCGAGTCGTCGTCCACGTACTTGCGCTTCACCCCTGGGGCGACATTGCCATCGGGCGACTGCAGGAAGCGACAATTACGACCCAGGATCATGTGCTTCGTGTAGCCGGTCAGACGTTCGAAGTTGTCGGAGCAGTACACGATGGGGAAATCATCCTTCTCCGCATCGCAGACGACAAAGGCACAAGACAGGTCGACGGATCCAATGTTGATTTCAGGGTGGGGACGTGTCGCGACGCGCATCTAGAGGTGAATAGTCAGCCATCATGCGGTGTAACAGAAGTGCAGAGAAGCTCACCAAAACGCCAAGCATATCGAACCCCGTCGAGGAATACGCATTCTTGGAGGCCGAATTCATGTGCGTCTTGCCCACCATCGTCGACGGCCAGCCTCCCTCTGGGACTTCCCATGGAAAATTCTGGTTGTTGGGGTTGTAGTTCTGCGGTGTCACGGCCACTGGAACGGGCCCATTGACCCCATCATAGCCCTGCGCCGACACCTGGCCGACTCCTCGGTCTTGATATGAGCCATGTGGCGGATTCTGCGGCTGGTGGCTAAATCCCACGCCAGGCGTCTTGTGCCCCGGAGTCGGCTGTTGTGATGACGGTTGGGAGTGCGTTTGGGAACGAGATGGAGTGCGCTGAGGAATCTGGGGAGGAGCACCCGTTGGAGTCGCACTCGATTGCGAAGCACCATGAACCGGGCTGGTCACGTCCGATACATGCAAGCTCTGAGTCCGCTGCAGCTGGCGGATGTTGGCGTGTGAGGTAGGTGTGCGATTGGTGGAGCTGTAGTGTGAGCGCACACTATTGTTTCCAGCCTGATCGTGGGAGGACATCCTGCCCGACTGCGGCGTCCCTTGGTGTTGCTGCTGGTGCATGGGGGAGGAAAGGTTGGATTGAGAGAACTGTGGCTGATTGTACAGGTTCATCGGCATGGGCTCAGCGGTCGCGGCGCCGTTCAAACTCTGCTCCATGCCATAATCCATATTCACTCCCATGGAAGAATCGATATATGGACTTTCGATAGCCGATAGATCCATGTTGTTCGGAGGGTGTGCAGGCGACACCGCATAGGCCGAATTGGGGGGCATCATGCTGGTGGGGAAGTTCTGAGGATTGTTGGCGAACTGCGTGTTGAGCGACAGCTCGCTGCCCGACGGGCGGCGGTGGTGGGTTGGGGTGGGCGGCGGTCTGCGCTGGACGGTGGGGGCAACAGCGGCGGCGGTAGGAGTGACCTGGCCTGAAGAAGCGTAGGCCGACTGGTCGAGGGATGGGTTGGGATCGTACTGAAAGTCGCCCATGGAGCCTGCGGGCGACTGTGAGGCATAGTCCAGCATGGAGACACGGCGCACGTCGGCGTTGAGGTGCTGCGGACTGGTGCCGTATCCCTGGGGCATGCTCTGGCGACGGATCATCTTGGCGTTGTTGTTGACAATGTCGTCCAGCGACTGCCCGCCCATGGCGCCCGTCATGGGCATGCCGCTCTGGTCCATCATCATGATGCCGTTGTCCTGGGCCTCGTCGCCCTGGTCCATGCCATGCCCGACGTCGGCGCCATTGTAGGAGTAGCCGTTCATGATGGGCGGGCCGACTCGTGTGATGTTATGGCGGTCGTCGGGAGATTATTGATGGCAGGCCCGGGGCGGCCCAGCAGCAGTGAACCCCGCCGCGTGGTGATGGCAAGACTGCCCGAATGCAGCATATGTGCTGCTGCGCGGCGAGCAGGGGGCGGCGCGGCGGAGGACGAGGCGTGGGCGGCGGATCGGGGGTCGCTGGCGGCGATGGGTGCGGTGGGTGTGTTGTCGAGGTGTACCAGGTCTACGGGAATCGCAGCGCAGGACTCGAGTCCGCCGGCGAATCAGGCGCAGGTGCTGCTCGTCGGGCCGCGACGACAGCGCGGGCGAATGCGATCGGGTGGTGGTGGAAGAATTGGCGAGGGCTAATCAATGTCCGGGCTGGCGATACTCGGGGCTTGGGGGAGGAGTTGGGCGGAGGGAGTCAGCGAGTGTGGTTGGCTTGGGTGGTGAGTAGGAGGAGTAGGAGCGATGCAGCTTGAGAGAGCCGCATCGCCGCCCAAGCCTCAGACGCAAAGCAGAACAGAGCAGACGTGACAGCAGCAGACGAGTCGGCACAATCAGCAGCAGCTTGAGCAGTGGGCAGCAGAGGAGCCCGCGCCGGCACGGAGTTACCGCCCAAACCAAGCAAGTTCACCTCATCACGCGATAAAAGCAATATGCCTCCCACTTTGAGCGTGGTTTTTTCAAGTCTAGACGGGTGGTGCCTTGGATATGGGCAGCAATAGGCCGGCATGGGGCGCTATTCAAACACTCGACGACGCTGCTGAAACAACATCTTATCCCATCACATCCACTTCTTGATGTATTGACTTTTTCCTACAGCGGCACATCCCGCCCGAACCCAAGGACCGCTCCTGCCCTCTGTCTTGGCAGGGAAAAATAATCTTGTCCCCTTTCTGTCTCACTACTCTCGCCTGTACATATGTAGTCTGAGCTCACGCGGATAGCCATCCCACAATCATGAATGAATGTATCGCGTCGTGAAGGGCTGCTGATGAATGCCGATACTAAGTCAAACACCTCCCTCCCATCCCTCATGCCCAACCCAAAAATGGATTGTCGATCTCAACCAGGTCACTGACACGCGCATACTGCAGATCACATCGCACAGCTGGGTGAAGAGTATGAATCCCGTCACATACAGTCTGTCTATCAACCCACCACCGCCTACTGGGCAACACTCAAAAACGCAACGTGCACCACGTTGGCCGTCTTGACCCCTTTCCGCAGCACTGGAGCGAGGGTCTTGAACGTCTCCGTCTCGCGGAACTTCAGGTGAGCGTCGACGCTGCTCCACCCCACCGTCAACACCGCACCCTTACCCTTGTGCCCGTCCTTCTCGATGTCTTCGTGCGTGATGCCCACCGCCGAGCCATGGTAGCCCTCGGGCTGCTCCTTGTCGAGCGTCTGTCCAAACTTCAACACCTCGTCGATGTATCCGCTGGGAGCCTCGCCTCCAAAGTAGAAGGTGGCGATCTCGGTCACGGGTGCCTCGAACGCCTTGTTGACGGCGCCCTCGGGCACCATGTCGGCGTGGATGATCTCGGGGTGGCCGGCCGCGACGCTCAAGAAGCGCTCGAGGAAGGGCTTGTAGCTGTCTTGGGCCATGAACTCCTTGTGCTTGTCGATGTGGTCCCAGACTGCAACCTCATCAGCAGCTGTGCTATCTTGGGACGACAGGCGAATCAGTGGGTGGAAAGGCTGATAATAACTTACTGACGGCCATCTGGAAATTGCTGGGGTTCTCGACCTGCGTGCCGATGCGCACTCGCTGGAGGCCATCCGCCTTGTTCAGCGTGTCGCCGCACTCCTTGATGGCTTTGGCGCCCTCATTGTCGGGCTCGCCAATCTCGATGCCTGGCTTCAGAGGCGCAACGACAAACTCGGTGGTGGGCATTTTGTACGGAGTGGATGTTTGTGAGGTCTGGACAGCAGCTGTGGAGGGGATTGATCAATTTATAACTGACGGCGTGGAATCAGGCAACCTATTTATCGTCTTCAGCTGCCGCCGGTTTAATGGCCGACAGCTCCAACTTGCACGACGGCAGCTCCCCACTGCAGTGATCACCAACCCTGAACGTCATCCCACTCTCCAGAAAACGCCGATGGGCATATCCCCGCCAAATCACAAGGGTAGCTCCACCTTGCCCACCGACCCCCGAGGCTTCCACCCCGTCTAGACCTGTACGACCGCAGACACCAAGACGCTTGCTGGACCTTGATGAGCCACCGTCACCGGGTATAAGACCACTTCTCATTTCAACTCATTCACTCGCCATGCCCTCGGAAGACCAAAGAGCCGCTCTCCTCCGTGCCTCCAAACCCCCCTCCAAGGACCTCTTCAGCACCCTCATCACCGCCAACCACATCCTCCACAACCATAGTGTCGTCGACGCCTACGGTCACATATCGGTTCGCAATCCGCAGAACCCTCAGACTTTCTTCCTGTCAAGATCTCTCGCTCCAGCGTTGGTCTCCAAGAGGGAAGATCTCGAAGAGTATTACGTCGAGGATGCCAGTCCCGTCAATAAGGATGCTCCAAAAGGATATGCGGAGAGGTTCATCCATTCCGAGACGTATAAGAAGTATTCGGGCGTGAACAGCGTGGTCCATGCTCATAACGAGGCTGTCTTGCCGTTCAGTATTACAAGTGTGCCCTTGAGGCCCGTCTTCCACATGGGTGGTGTTATGGGTGAGTTCAACCTTCATCCTGAGAATCCCTCTTTCAATCAAACCATTCCATCTTTCTTCTCCTCCCTCTCTATCTTTCTCATTGAATCTCTCTAGGCTCCCAACCACCCGTCTACGACATCGCAAACCACTACAAGTCCAGCGATGACTTGCACTCGCTCCTCGTGACAAACTCCCACTTAGGAGAAGGTAGGCCATCAATAACCTCAATTCCGCATCTCTCCCCATCTAACCAGTCATTTCCAGCCCTCGCCATCGGCTTCAACCCCTCCACCATAACCAAAACCGCCACAACCATGATAAAAAACTACATCACCTCCAGCACCACCTCCCCACCGCCCATCCCTCCACACCCAACCCTCCTCATGCGCGGCCACGGCTTCACCTGCATCGGCACGACGATCCAGGAAGCCGTCTACCGCGCCATCTTCATCTGCGCCAACGCCCGCGTCCAGACCACCGCTTTACTGATGCAGCAATCCCACAACATGTCCCTCCTCGCGGACAGCCTGGCGGCCAAGGAGAAAGAAGGCGGAGGCAGAGAGGTCAAGCAGGAGGGGGTTAGGTATTTGAGTGAGAGGGAGGGCAAGGATGCGTGGAAGGCGAATATGGAGCATGTGGAGAGGCCTTGGGGGTTGTGGTGTACCGAGGTGAGGGGGAAGGGGGTTTATGTTAATGAGTTGGAGGAGGAGGATGAGGATGATGAGGGGGAGGGAGAAGAGTAGAAGGGGGGATTTTTTCGATGTGATGAGGGTATGAGTATGCTGAATGGAGTCAATGACGAGACGACAGGGAATTAACAAAGTGTTCTGTTCTGATTGCAAATGGCTTGCTGCATCTCGCAGATTCAAGAAAATGTGTTCAAGAAAATGTGTACATAACCGAACATTCGTTTCAAACCCACGACTACGCTGCATCATTCATGAAACATTTCCACGACCCAGAAATTTCAGAGTAGAGCAGAGCAAGACGTTCAACATCTCTCCTTTTTACACATAACCTTCAAAATCGTCATAAAAATCGATCTCATCCTCCTCTCCTCATATATTTTCATTTTCATCCAGATCCATACCTCCCCTGTCCACTCCCCCACCCACTCCCATACCCACCTCCACCTCCACCACCCCCTCCCTGCGACTGCCCCGCCCCCGATCCAATCCCCGGCGCAAACCACGTACTCGCCGGAAACTGCACATCACTCAAATCCCCCTCCCCCACCCCGTCCATACCCGTAGGAACATTCAAGGCCTCCGAACTCGTGATCCCAAGACTTGAAATATTCGCTGCGGCTTGGATGTTGAAGGTCATGGGGTCTAGCGGAGCGGTGGAAGGGGGGTTTTGTGTGGTGGATGTGGAGGTTTGGGAGGTGTTGGTTGTGGTGGTATAGGGACCGGTGAAATCCGTCATGTTGAAGTCCGGAATGTTGAGGTCGCCCGTGTAGATTTCGGGGTTGAAGACTTTTTCCCATTCCGCCTGGAATTATCATATCACGTCAGTATTGAGGGAGATTGCTTTTTGTGAGATGGGAGGACTTACCCAATCGATATCATCCATCATGCTCATTTGCACATCTCCTCCTCCTCCTCCTCCTCCTCCTTGTTGCCCTCCTCCAGCAGCGGTAGTATTCGTCTGATTCGGAGCAGCCACACTCCCCTGCCGACTCTCGCTCGGATTCGAATTCGAGTCCGAACTCGCCACCGGCGGCGGCGGACTAAACTCATTCGGATTCTGCTGCACCATCTGCCCCAGACTATCCACGACGCGATACTCCGCCCGGCCGTACAAGCCCAATTTCCCGCCGCCCACTCGCTGCTCCATCTGATTGCTCACTTTCAATTTCCGCATTTGGTGGTACACTTCCATGCGGTCGCGCAGGTCGGTCAATACCAGTTCGGCCTTTTGTTTTGGTGCGAGATGCGCCGGGATCTCGAAGATGTAGTCGAGACATTTCCAGATTCGCGCGGCTTCGCGGCGCATTGGGTAGGCGTAGACTTCGACCATGAGGAGGAGCGCGGCGTGGTACTGGTTGAAGGCGCCGCGGTACCACGTCCAGGCTGTCATGGCGGGATCGGTCTCAAAGGTCATGGAGCACTCCATCTGCACGAGACCGGCTTCGATGAGGACTTGGCGGAGACGGTCCGGCATGCGTTGGGTGGTGCTGAAGAGGTAGCGGTGGAGGACTTGGAGATGGAGCGCTTTGGTGTGCATTTCGAAGATGTGGTGCCCAAGACGTTGCATGGGGATGGAGTCGTCGAACATGGGCAGGAACCGCTCTTCCATCGACGCGCGGAATTTCTGCACCTTGACGAGGACGGACGTGAGGGTTTTCTTCTTCTTGTCGAGGGCGACGATGTCGTACCACACCATGCGCCGCATTTCCTGGCATTCGGCGCGGATTCGCATAAAGGTCATGTCGGTCCAGTAGGGCTTGTCTTCTGTTGGTGGGCCGTTGGGATCGAGCAGGTCCATGTCGTCGACGTTCAGGGGCATCTTGGTGTCGTAGTCGTCTTTGCGGATCTGCGGGCGAGGACCAGTCGCTTCGCATGTTCGCATGTCCAGAAAGCACAGTTGATGCCAGATTATTCGTCTAACGTGAATTTCGACGGGAGTCATATTGTAGAAGGAGCCGTCGCGGTGGAGGCCCATACATTCTGCCAGACGGATGGCTGTTCCTACGAGAGCGGAGTGCGCGCGAGAGACTTCAGACCGTACCAGAGGGATGAGATACATGACAAACGCCTGCATGGTATCGACTTTGGTCGTTCGCAGGAAGTTGGCTTTGGCGAGGGCTTGCTCCGTGCCTGATCGAAGACTGTCGACAAGCGCGTTTCTTGAAGTCCCAAACCTTTGCATGACTTGCTCATTGCTCATACTGACTGCCGCTGAGAACATGGCCGCGAAGATGATGCCCTGCACGGCTGGAACAGGCTCACTTCCCGTAGCGATCTGGCCCCAAAAGAGCGTATACTGGGCTTCAAACGTCGGGCGATGCACGGCTCTGGCCAGGTAATGCACAGCATGCCAGTACTGTGCGATAAGTTGATCGGCAGCATTCTTCGACGGCAGATAATCAATCAAACTCGTACTCATATTCGTCCCCGGGAAGAAGAAGCTGCTCGCCGGGGCGATGTAGTCTGGTCCAGGACCGATATAGCTCTTAGGCGAGGCTTGCAGCTTGGGTCCTGCTCCCGGCCGTAACTCGCGGTGATCGATGATGGCGGGTGATTGGGAGTGTCGAGATTTGCCCGCCTTGACATCCTCCAGCGTGTCGTTGAGCTCTTCGACGAGCTTGGGCCGGATCCAGCCTCCTATGCGTTCGGAGATGCGCATCTTGCCCATCTGGTAAAGTACGTAGTGAGTAAGCGAAGGTTCTGTTACGAGAAGGTTAGAGGACTGACCTGCACGCCTAAATCCATCAACTCGTCGTCAACCGTCTCCTCATACACCTGATCCAGCGCAGCCAGAGGCGTCGGCTCCAGCCCATCTTCATCTTCCTCCGCATCATCCTCTTCCTCTTCTTCCGCCACAGCCATCTCAGCTTTCACCTCAGCAGTCAATTTGGCAACGTTGCTTCCCCCAAGATGCGCCTTACTATTATTCGCAGCGACTTCCCTCTCAAGATTCTTCTCCAACGCACCCATCTTCTCCTTGATATCCGCGAGCTTCTGCTGGCTCTGCGGATCCAAGGCCGGGGCGAGATAGAGGCAATCCCTCCGGAAGCGCGTGCAATTCGAACATGGCGCCTGCTTGTCGCACTTCAGCTTGCGACGCCGACATTCCAGACACGAAGTGATCTGGCGGTTTCGCCTTCGGATTCGAGGGTTGTGGGCGCCGCCGGGTTTAGTACTGCCTTGCTGCAGCTGATCGGGAGAGGTTGAATCTCGGTAGGTGGCGGCTTGGATGGCGGAATAGGTCGTGGTGCCGGCGTTGGTGTTGTCGAGGGAATTCCGCTGGCTGTTCGAGCCGCCCTCGTTCGTGTTACCCGGCAGAGCATTGTTACCATTACTGCCCGAGGGGACGTACATCCAGGAGTCCATGGTGGTATGCGGCGTGGACGCTGGGCGCAGTCTCGATGCCACGCGGTGGTTACGGCCGAAGTGTGCTGGAAGCTGAACGCTGCTGCGTGGCTACGGCGTGAGGCTCGCGTGGCAAGTCGATGTTAAAATGATGTCCCCGTCTTCCTTCTTGTCTTCTTTCTCTTTCTCTTCACAGCCCCCGTCGACGACGTCTGCTGTCCAGGCAGAAGCGCCAAAGGTGCAGCGTCGTATCTCGTCTGTCGCATTCGTTCCTGTTCAGCCAAGTAATCGTGCAGCTACCCGGTTCATCAATCTGCCCGTCCCTCGGTTATGGCCAATTCCAATACGACAGCCAACCTTGCCTTGCCTTGAACTTTGATGCAAATCAAGCAGAGAAGGCCGACTCTCCCATCCTCTCCGTGAGCATCTCCGGACTGTCCTGCACGTCACCTCGTGGTGGAGGATGGACAGCAGCGGCGGCGTCTCCGTTTCAGCTGACTGATGAGATGGGCCGAAGGATCACCCATCGACGCCGGATCCAGGCATATCCTGCGATGTCAGCAGCCCAGGGTCAAATGAATAATCATGGCTCTACTGCGATTCACGCACGTTTTTCGCCGGCCACGTTGTTGCTGCATTTCAGCATTGTCTCGATGTGATTGCTTGGCGGAGAAATTCAAGAATAGCCATGCCTTCGCTTGGTGGGCTTCACGACTTGTAGGCAGACACTGCGGAGCATAATGGAAGCGGCAGTACCTACAGCACATAGTCTACCAGCTTACCTTTCCAACTCAATCAATGGCACATCATTGAAGCAGCATAAAAGTAAATGGGTCAGGACTGTTCTTCATTCCCTGCTATCCATCAACGTAGGTAGGAGCCTACTTTACGTGCCTACTACGATATGATTACTATCCACGTCAAGTGTGCACTCCCCATTTGCCGACCATCTCCATGGCACCTTTCCCCCCATCTGCAAGCACCCCTTCACGGTCCTTCAGTGCACCCGCAACGCATCTCCATCCATCTCGTCCACCACCCCAGTTCAAGACCTGCTCACGGAAGAGATGTCCCTGCTCTGGATTGACCGCATCTCCCATCTGCCGCTGGAACACATCTCGCCAAATCTTTCCCGCAATTGCGCGGTCGAACAGGTAGGAGTAGTATGTCGCGCCGTAGCCGAATAGATGGCCAAAGAAACCCTGCCAACTGGTGCCTTGGGGTTCACGGACGGAGGAGTATTTGGTCCAGACATCGTGGTACACCTTCGTGCTTGCTCCCACTTCACTTTCTGACCAGTTCGCCGGTATCGAAGAATGATACCTCTGATCCAGCATCCCCAGTAAGATTTGGCTTTCGGTCTCTGCCCCCTGCATTCGTCGATCGATCTCCACCCTTTCCTTCACTCGCTGGGGATCTAGCGGGGTATCCGTCTCCCAGTGACGCGCATACAATGCCAAAACTTCTGGCGCAGACGCAAAGTTCTCCATGAGTACTGAAGGAAGCTCAGCGAAGTCGGTAGCGCAACGAGTGCCTGAGACGTTCTGGAGCGCCGTTCGTCCGCAGATCGAGTGCAAGGCGTGGCCCATCTCGTGGAAGAGCGTGGTTAGTTCGCGGAACGTCAGTAGAGTAGGTCGCTTCGATCCTGATGGGGGCAGAGCGAAGTCGCAGATGAGTGCAATGGTAGGGAGTTGGTAAAGCGCGTTGCCGTCGCGGCGGTTGAAGTTGGTTGCGAGGCCATCATTGACAGCTTCCTGTGCCGTGGCAAAGGTGGATAAGGATTGAGAGGTGAGTTCAGCAGCTTCTTGTAGTTCTTCCTCGCTGATCCGCCTCGAACAGCGCAAGGTGAAGTGCGCAGGATTTGGACTTTTCCCAGGTCGTTCGAATAGATCGCAATATATCACAGCAATGTGGCCATCCTGATCATCGACCACGTCCAGGCGTCGAACGTCTGAGTTCCATGTTTCTCCTGGAAGTGTCTCACGAGGCACGAGACGAATGCCATACAATCGATGAAAGAGTCTGGACAGCCCTTGGAAGACTGTCCCAAGGGAGAAATACGCGCTGAGGAAGTCTGGCGTTCGTGCTTTCGATCGCATCGACGCCATGAGCTTGGCCGTGTAGTAGTCTCGATCCCACGCATTCAAAACGTTGGGGAAGTTTTCGAAATAAGCATCCCCTTTCTTCAGCTCGAGTAACTCCTGTAACTCTTCTCGAACTTGGGCCGCATTGACTTGGGCCAAGCCGTCCAAGAATGAGGTTACGGCTTCTGGGGATTTGGCCATCTTGTCTGCCAATGTCATATGTGCGAAGCTCTCGTACCCAGACAACTTCGCCAGCTCTGCCCGCCGTTTAAGTAATCGCTCTAATCGGTGCAGGTTGTCCTTGGAAGCTGTGCGGTTGGCCATGTATATCTCCTGTCGTGTTTCTGGATCTTCGACGGTCCGTAATGCCAGAGTCGCAGGCATGCCTTCTGTTGGTAGGTTGACCCTTCCCCATTTCGTCAACTGCCTGACAAAGACCGGATCCATTCCCTTCATCTTGCTACTGTCAATCGACAGGTAAGGTCTCTCGGCAGCCATGTTGTCCACAAACTCGTTGCCCACCGTAGCAATCTCGTCCGACAAAGCGATAAATGCGTTCTTCTCTCCTTCTGGCAGATCGATAGCTGACTTTGAAAAGTCCTTGATCAAGATCTCGGCAACCGTCTTCTCTTCCACGCTCCAGCTCGAATGTACTTCAGGAATGGATGCTGCTTTCTTCAACTGGTCGTTCAGCCCACTCGTCGTGTTCAAAACATTCATATACTGAAACATCGCAGCGTATGCCTGGGTCGCTGCAGCTTGTATGCTCCTATCCGGATGCACGGCTCGTATAAAGTCGCTGAGATCGATGACTCGACATAGCAAGTCACTCAGTCTATCCAGGTCCCGTGTAATCCTCTTGTACTGTTCTATAGTGTTGTACTGTAACACATGCGCAACGATCTTTTGGCATTTCTGAAGGGTGATGTTGGCGAACTCGGCAAAGCCTTGGGGTCGAGTGAGGTATCGATTCTGAAGCAGGCCTGCGCTTCTGCCGCCATGGTGATATCGCGTTTTCGATGAGAAGTCTTTCCAGAAGCTGGGCGAATCGAATATTTGTCGTAGTGTTCGATCATCGTGTGCAACATTGGGGGCGGCCTTCGAAACCGGGTGGTGCTGCTCATCGTCTGCGATGGCGGCGGCTGTTGCAGCGCCTTTGCTTTGGCTGGAGGTGACGAGACATCGTCGAGACTGGCGCAGTTGATTCCGCAGGCAATTGGGACACGTCCAAGCCTGCCGTTCCAGCCGCTTCAGCATGCTCGCGTGGTGAGGTGAAAGAAGGAAAGGGTTCCAGATTCACATGCGCGCGGACGGACATGCGACTCCGCCAAGAAGCAGGAGCCGGGATCAACCGAGGAGGAGCGGAAGCTTGACGCTGCTGCTGCGACAAACATTGACCTGGAATTGACGAGCCATTGACCACGACACCCGCTTCCTATGGCCTTCGCTCCGCTACTGCGGCAGGTAAGAGTCAATCAATGTCACGATGCGACCAGTACTAATTCATCCAGCACGTTCTGCCCCTCGCCGGCCTCACCACCGCCCTGGCTCTCGTCCCTACGCGATCCGTCCTCGCCGAAGAGCCTCCCTCAGATCCGGTTAAAGAGATTGTACGCAGATAGCAGAACATGGCAGAGAGACATACTTACAATGCACAGCGCATCCGGAAACCCATCTACGACGCGCCCCTGGAAGCCGACGTCCGCAGCATCGCCAGCACCACTCCGCCCCCAGCCTCCGGCATCACCTCCAAACCGCAAGAGCAGCAACAACACGACACCCCACGGCGACCGTCTCCCACCGACCGCCTTGCCGAGCAGGTGAAGGCTTCGCGCCTCTTCGTCCACGGCTACGCTGTGAAGGCCGAAGACGCTGTTAACAATGGCATGGCCCGCTTCATGGAGACGGAGAAGTCCTTCACATCCACCGTCGCCTCCCTCGCTCCACCAAAGGAGTCGAACGAGAAGCTGCTACCAGGTGGCATATACGTCTTGGTTGCTGCCATGGCCGGCTCCATCATCAGCCGCAACAGGAACATCCTGGTGCGCTTTGCAACACCAATTCTGACGGGTGTCGTCACCGCGAACTATGTTATCCCACGAACTACAGAGAATGTGGGCAACTTGATCTGGAGCTACGAGGAGAAGTTCCCAGCTGTGCGCGACAACCACTTGAGAATAAGCCAGGGGGTCAGACACTTTATTGAAACGGGCAAGGCGCACAGCCAGATGGGTCTTGCGATGGCAGAGGACAAGGTGCAAGAGGCGAGGGAAGCTGTGCAGGACTGGGTGAAGAAGGGACGGTGAAGGGGAATGAACCAGTGGTGAGGTCGTGCTTTGAGCGAAGAAAAGCTGACTGTATAGATAAATCTCCAAGGTCTGAAAGTGGACCTGTGCAATTCAAGTTTCTTTGCCTGTGGTTTGCAATGATTATCAGAGACAATGTACTCTCACCCAAGGACAGACCACTACCTTGAATGGGTTGCGACACTCGAACGCACAGCCTTCTCTACTGATATTGCCGAACGCCCTTCTGCAGCAGATCTTTCACATGCAGAGCAAGCTGAGCTGACGTAACCGCGCCTTACTGCAAGCCTACCACGTTCATATTGAGCAAAGAACACCGCAAGATCTCGACAACAGCTCATCAATCTGATCCAAGACCAAGATGCCAATCAAAGCAGTTCTCTTCGACTACATGGGCACTTGTCTCGACTGGCACACCGGTATCACCAACATCTTCCCATCTACCATCCCACAACCAGACAGATCCGACTTCGCGCTCGAATGGCGACAACTTTATTTCGACACCAATGCCGCACGACAAGGTCGCGGTGACCCGCCTGAAGACATCGACATCACGCATCGAATGACGCTGGACGAAATGCTCACTCGACCTAGATGGCAAGCGCACGCTGAACTCTTCACCGAAGAAGTCAAGACGAAATGCATAGCGCAATGGCATCATCAAACTGCTTGGGACGATACCAGACCCGCACTCCTCAAACTTCGACAACGCGGCTATGAAGTCTTCGTCCACGCGAATGGCACGACGAGATTGCAGCTCGACATCACCAGATCCGCGGGCTTGAGCGATTGCTTCGATATGTTGTTCTCGAGTGAGCTGATAGGGACCATCAAACCCGCGAGAGAGAACTACGATAAATGTCTGGGCCTGATCAAGAGAAAGCCTGAAGAATGTGTGATGGTGGCGGCTCATGGGTATGATGTGAGAGGTGCGAAGGTGAGTCTCCCTCGCTGCCTTGTTGTCGATGGTATGAGTGCTGATGCCTGCCCTGTAGAACGTCGGCATGAAGACCGTGTATATCTACCGCTGGACCGATGATATCAACGAGGATCATGCGAAGATGAAGGGCGAGTTTGACGCCTATCTGGAGGGAGGTATGCAAGGGCTGGATGAGGTCGTTGCGGAGTTGGGATGAGTAGGCGGCGAGAAGTTCTTCATTGGCACAGCATTGCACTGTTGCCTGAGAGTCGTCTCTTCGTGTAACTTCTTGTTGCCACCCCCTTGGATCACATTCGAACGTTAAAAGTTACCCGTTGCGTCTTCTTCTGAACTACCGCCGACTCATCTACTATCGACACGAGTATTTGACGCAATGCAGAATTTGGAGACCAATTCAAGCCTGATGAAAACAGCCAAATGCCCGCCTCAGTACAAGGATATGTGCGTGTCTTACAGGAATACATCCACTTGGTACTGATCAATGCATAGAGACGAACAAAACGCAACAGAGTCGCCCTTCCTACGACTGTCGGGCGAAGTCAGAAATAGAATCTACGAGGAGATACTAGCAAACAAGGTCATCCACATCGACCGCCACCAATGCCCCAAAGACGTCAAAGGCTCCTTCAGCCGTGCGAAGCTATACCGCCGGTCTGAAGCACCAGGGAAAGGAGACCGCAAGTCTCCTTACAAGTTTTCCCACGCTGTCTGCACGCAACAAGCATCCGAGCGCGATGTACACGAACTCTCGAGGAGCTGCAGTCCTCAACGAGGCTGTCGCTGGATCACCATCCCTCCCTACGAGGACCGCCACGAAGATTGCTTTTCACTCATCGAAGAATTCGAGGATCTCTGTCTTATGCTCCCACGGACAGGCCAACCGCATAACAATCCGACCGAAGAACGTCGTCTCCAGCGTGAGGCGAACCGTGTCGCCCGGGATGAACTCCACAAAGAATCCGCGCTCGACCTCAGCCTTCTGAGAGCTTGTCGACAGATCCACAACGAGGCGGCTGTAATCCCTTACGAATGCCATACGTTCGCGTTCCGCTGCGGATATACCCTGGATCTGTTCTTCTCCGAGAGATTAGTAGCTCCGCATCGGGGAGCTATCAAGAGTATACAATTAGGAGACTGGGGAAAAGGATACCAGCCTGACCTTCAAAGTGTTCGTCCCAGCACCATTGTTCGGCTTAGGAACCTCTCGTCCGTGGAGATTTGTTTGGCGTATTGTAATGAGTTTCCCAAAGTTGAACTTGAGGCTTTTGCTGGGCTTGGTCTTGAGATCGTGCGGGTGTATGCTCAAGCGAATAAGAGTTACGAAGTTGAGGATGAATCTGAGGATGAATCTGAGGAGGGCTTGGAGGGCGACTTGGAGGACGACTTCGAGAATGGTTCTCTGGATTCAGAATCTTTGGATGGATATATGGAGGAGGAGGAAAAGGGGTGCAGAAAAGAATGCCTCAAGAGTAGACTTGTAGTAGCTGATATTGAGGCCTGGCTGAAGAAAGACAGTGGTAGACGGAGCGAGGCTGAGTAACCGGGCCCACAAGAGAAGGGAAAGCGGACGGAGGAAGGGACTGATAGAAGTTCATGCTTCTTGAACCTCGGATGTGGCATCGGAAATGTGTTATCCAGCCTCACCAAACTTCCAAGTGGAGCTGTGATGTCTTGTCCATGAATCCAAAGAAGGGGTTGAATATCCCATATTGAGTGGTGTTGGGCCAAACCTACAAATACAGATCCTGCTACTTCCAAACCTATCTCTCGATACCGCTCCCTTCACCCTCCCTCCGCCTCATCCTCACCACCACCTCCTCGCTCGGAAACTCCATATCACCAATCCGCACCGGCTTCGGCTTCTCCTTCAACGGCTCGAAATCATACTTCAGGAACAGGTGTCCCAGCATCAGCTTCATGACATGCACGGCGAAGAATCTCCCTGGACAAGCGTGCTTCCCCAAACCCCATGGGAGGAAGTCTGAGCTGATATGCACGGCGCTCTTTTGATCACCAGAAGGTGGCTTGTAATATCTCAATGGGTCGAACTCATCAGCTCCTTCGCCGAATAGTTGGGAGTCGTGGTGCATGTTCTTCACTATAGAGTGGACATGCGTCCCCTCGGGCAGATACACGCCCTCTGGACTTGTCAGGCCGCCTGGTTGCACGACTTGTCTGACCAGACCTTGCGGTGTCATGGGATGGTAGCGGAGGGTTTCGCGGATTAAGGAGTCGAGTTTGTGCATTTCGCGGATCTTGCGTTGATCTTCGAGGATGCGAGGCATTGTTTTGATGGCTTCGGCGTGGAGTTGAGGGATTATTGAGGAAGTATGTGAGGAGGTCAGGAGGTTGAAAATAGTTGTTCCGCTCTGTACGCCTGTTGTGGCCGTTGCTGGAGGAATAGTGAGCTTCATGTTTGAGAGTGTTGAGGATTTGCTTACCAAAGATGTTCAACAGGATCATCTTGGCTGCGATATTCCCTGACTCCAGCTCTCTCGAATCGGTTTTGGAAGCGTTCTGATCGATGATCCACTGCATCATATCGTTGTCTTGTTCCTTCGGGCCCTCCTCGCCTCCTCGCAGCCTTACCAATCTTTCTTCAATCCTCGCCAGGAAGAACCTCGCCGCCCGTCGTTCCAAATACTTCGTCGGAATCGCCGCAATCCTCAGGAACACATCCCTGAGCTGTTCTGGCACCAAGAATCTCAACATCATCGTACTGATCCCAAATGCCTGCGTCCATCGATCGACGGCTTTCTTGTACGCTTTATCTCTGCACATGGGCAACCCGACGAAAATCCTGTTCCCAGCGCGGAAGGCTACATTCAGCAAGACCCTCTGCAGTTTCACCTCAGTCCACTCATCCTCCCCAACATCAACCAACTCATCATCGAAGGCAGCCTGGATCTCCTCGTAAACTTGACCCGAGAGCCTCATGAACTGTCTTGTCAGATCCCGTCGAATGACCGTAAAGTCTCGACAGGATTCTGCATTGGGTCCGTGGGTTAGGTGTCCGAGGCCCATGAGTTCGTCCATGGTGGTGTTGCCGCTGAGGATGGAGTCGGGTTGTTGGGCGATCCAGACGGCGTTGGAGGGGGGAAGGACGATAGCATTCCAGAGCATGCTGGGGAGGATGAAGGGGAGGTTGTGTTTGCCGTACTAACGATCATTGTCATCAGTATCAAGATAGGAGGAGCGGGAAATGGTTTTTTATGTAAGTCAGTCAGTACTTACTTTCTCATAGCCTTCGTCGAGCATCGATTGACCAGCTGTGAGTTCAGAAAGACATGCTCGTAGTTTTGGGAAGAATCTTCGATTCTTGAGTCCGACCCAGGGAATGTCGTGAGGGGCTTTGGAGATTCGAATTGATTGGAGTACGATGAAGATGGCGATCGATATGACGAGGAAGATGAGGCATCGAAGGGCATAGGAGAGTGCTGTGTCGAGTATAGGGTTCATTCTTCCTGATTGTCAATGTCAACGAGCTCGATTGATTGCAATACCTCCAGAACCAACTGTGGACACCTCCTCCTCCTCCTCTTCCGAATATATCGAAGTCTTCCAAGACCTCGCCTAGACATCGTTCTACTCGTGCGACGTCAACGTGAACCCAGAGTCATAGTTGGTGTACGAATACGAAGCCAATCGGATTCACTTGTTTCGCCCACTATTGCCTCTTTGGGCGTTGGCATGTGAAGCGAGGGTGGACGGTCTTGCATCATTGTTTTCGCGATGGGACGGACTAATACAAACGAAACGATTAGATCGAGTGGGGGAGAAGTGGCAGTAGACGACTCGTTGCTCTCGTGATGCATCGAGAGATCACTGACTTCCTCAGACGTCAGGCTCGAATTCTGGATGATAACATCTCGGACGCCTTGATCTTCCATCCAAAATGCAAGACCGGTTTTCTGAACACCACGCCAGCGATGATTATTCTGTGACATGTCGTTCAGACAGGCGTCATACTGCTAAAGTTCTTACCCGCCAAAAACCTGTGCGCAATATCAAAAAGCACTGGCGAGCGAATACGCGCCTGAACAGCATGCCCGATCCTATCGACCGTCTGATAGTTATAGTCTGCATCCGGAAACAGCACCCCACTATCTTTCGGCTGCCTTCCGCATTCCGCAAGCCCAATGACCGGACTACCAGGCCCGCAGTACGGCTGATCCTGCTCGCCGTCCAGAACGAGGACTCGTCCCTTGAACCTTGCTCCGTCGAAAGGAAAAGCGTAGATGGTCACGAACTGTCCGATCGAGACGACATCTTTCCGCTCGAAGAACAGGTCTGCGACCGTATCCTCATAATCGACCTGCGCTTTCGACCCGAAGAAAGCGTTAGTGCGGCCTTCTTTGCTGGCTGTGGTGAGATAGCCCGCGGAGAAATTCGCGAACCGAAGCGGGTCGACAGTTTGGGCTGGCATCGCTTGAACCAAACCCACGCCTCCGAAACCTTTCTGTGGAGTGTTCGTAAAGCCGGTGAGGATGTACTCATTGTATGCTTTGGGATACGTTCCGGCGATGCTGGCACCGAGCTGCGAGCCGTACGAGTTGCCGATGTAGATTAGGTGAGTGTATGGGCTTGGAAGCTGTGCATCTCCGGCACGGATGTGCATGGCGAGGTCGTGGTAGAGCGCTATCCTGTTATGCAGACTCAGTAAGAGAACGAAGGGCGGCCCGTCTTTCCACTACTTGCTTACTCATATGGCGCTTGAACAACAAGCACAGGATCCGGATGTGCTGATTTCCCATTCCCCAGCCGATCGATCGCGAGAGTCGGATACCCCTGAGAATTCGCATACTGTAGCGCACCCACGAATACTTCTCGGGTTTATAGGCTTCGTACTCGCTCCCAACGCCACCAAGAGCCGACCAGGCGGTGCGATCAGTAGTGATGCTGTGGAATAAGACCTGCAGTTTGGCATTGTTGTCGTTGCGCTTGGAAGCATCGCAGAATGTTCCCCTGATCAACTGCGTTCCCGTAGTAGCGATAGTGCGAGCGTGATTGTAGAAGTCGATGATGGCGCTCAAGCTTTCGTTCAGAGGGATGCCGGTGATGTTTCTGTTCGCGGCGATGCCGGAAAGCGTGAAGCTCACTTCTTTGCAATTCGAATCTTGGGTAGCGGCCGCTATCGCAGACAGCGTAGCCAGCGTGAATATGAGCATTGTGAAGCTGAGTCGGCTACGGAAGGTTACGTCAAGAGACGCACCAAGAACGACAGGTCGGCGTGGCGAGTTTATGGACATCATCCTTAGCAGGCGGCATATAGCTTTCAATACAACTTAATTGTGCGTACAGACATGGATCAGCCTCATGCAAAGGCGGAGTTGACGCTCTTCGATTCAGGGGATACCTTGTCTGTGAGGTTTGACCCGGCAAGGCTGTGGTGATTTGGAATTGCATGTGTCGTTGTTTCAAGGACATTGAGACTGTGAAGATTTCCCATGCAGTGACTGTCCAATGAATGGGAGCAGGACGTGGTAAAGATCGATCAGGCTGGTAGATCAACACAGTGTTCGAAGGAGAATTCTTTCAACACTCCAGTCTCAAACGATCCAATTTACCGGGCGAAGACGTTTGGAATATGTCAGTCCTTGCTGTATAACTTGGAGAATGAAGACGTACCGCATGCCAGAAGTCATTCTTTCATTCCTTGATCCGTATAAGATCTGTTGGCACTCCGAAAGGTTGGTCTGCATCGAGTGCCTTTACTATTGATACGCCGAGAAGTTCTGAAGCAGGTAGGCCAGTAATCAGATGTGCCCTGTTCAACAACTAGGTTGACCAACAAACATCCTCTTCACAGCTACATGGATCAGGCTGAGGCTGTCGCCTCGGCCGACTTCCCGGCTTTTGCTCTCCGAAGTTGGTCAGCCGGATATATTTGTAGAGGCAGCATTCTCCTTGGAAATCAAACCGTTTCCTCCCCAAAGCAACAATATCATCAAACCAGTGTCTCTATTACAATGCCATTGACAATGACACCGGGAGCATTCCGCACTCTGCGTGCACGTATTTCATAAAACCAGCCCCGGAGTTTACGACCTTTCACCATCACCGCTCAGCTGTCGTCATCTGATCTAGTAAGATGGGAGCTTTTCGCGACCACTTTCGCCATCCCTGTCCCGTGGCCTTGCTCCGGGGTGGGTAATCAGAAAATAGAAGAGGCTTCACGCTGGTGAAGTATTTAAGGTAGACATGGAGTTCAACTGCTCGGCACATCGCCACACTCCATCAGGACAACCATTCACAACATCCTCATCATGTCTGCATACAAGAAGATCGCCATAGCAGGCGCCACGGGCACCCTAGGCCCCTTCATCGTCAACGCTCTCCTCGACGCCGGCTTCGAAGTCACAGCCCTCAGCCGTACAGGAAGGACAAACACGCAAGATCGTGGGACTGGCAAGGCCACTGGAACGCTGCCCTCGACCGTCAAAAGCGCCCAAGTCGACTACGACTCTCAAGACTCCCTCGTCAAAGCCTTACAAGGCCAAGAAGTCGTGGTGTCCAACCTGCCTAACTACGAATCCCAGCCTTCGCTTATCGATGCGGCCATCAAGGCTGGCGTGAAGCGCTTCATCCCCTCGGAGTTTGGAAGCAACGTCAGCGGCAACAAGAACAATGCCGCCCTACCCGTCTTCAAGGACGGCAAAGTCGCAATCCAGAAGTACCTCAAGGAACGAGAGGACCAAATCAGCTACACCCTCATCGTCAACGGCTTCTTCCTCGACTGGGGCCTGGAAGCTGGAATTGTGGTCGACTTCAAAGGGAACAGACCAGTGAAGGTCTTCGATGGTGGCAATGGAAAGCACTCCTTGTCCACACGCTCTGACATCGGCAAGGCGGTGGCAGGTGCTTTACTGCACCCCGAGGAGACCAGGAACCGAGCGGTGTATATCTACAGCGCGACCGTTTCGCAGAATGAGATCCTCGATATTGCGAGGAAGGTCAAGCCGGGCTTTGAGCCGCAGGTCCAGCATGTTACAACGGACCAAGTGTTGAAGGACTCGTACGCCGGGTTGGAGAAGGGTGGCGAGAGCGTTGGGCCGGCTATGCTGGGCTTCATTCTAACCAGCTGTTTCTCGGACGATGGGTACGGCAATGATTGGTCGGAGTACAGCGACAACAAGCTGCTTGGGATCAAGGAGCTTTCGAAGCCGGATCTTGAGAAGCTTGTGGCTCAGAACGCATAAACGGACTGTTGTGTTGATGTATAAGCATTCGTAATTCAGTTTCTACCCGCCGAACCCTCTGAAAGCCCCCCTGTGCATGCTTCAGTCATGCAAAACTCACATCCAGAACGCCTCGCTCATGCCATGCTATGCCATGCAATGAAACATATGCACTTGGATCCCACTCATATCGACGCCTTAAAACCCTCGAGAACGCCGTCGAGCATCCTCAACCCATAGAATCTCGCCACACTGCCACATACCTTCAACATCTTTGACACATCATCTCTCTTCACAGTCGCTACCCACTCGCCGGCGCAGGCGCAGTGATCCATGAATTCATTAGTCCGTACCCGTGCACACTTCTTACACTTCAAGTCCTGAGTCATCCATTGCACAGCCAGCTTCTGGATGTCGGAGAGCAGTCGCTCTTCGATGTGAAGGCGATCGAAGTTGGCATTGCAATTGTCGCATTTGACCGTAAGGACTGGCTCTGAGGAATCTGGCACGAGGTCGCTGTCTCGGCAGAGATCAATGTCCTTTGGCACGCAGCACTCTGAACAGCTGACTTGTTTGAGGCACAGGCTAGAACTTGGGTTCGTGAAAGCTCCGTCTGCGCTGAACTCTCGAATGTCAAACAACTGCAGAAGGTCTTTGCGGAGAAGTCGGGCTTCCAGGGTGATTGTCTTGTCCAAGCTAAGAACCTGCATGATGCTCTTCACCAATTCGAGCACCGGGTTTTGGAGGTTGAGGTGTGAGCCTGGCTGAACAGGGAATGTCCAGTCCTGCAGCAGCTCTTCGTGCATTGCCTCTGTGCGTTGCCGTTTGACGAGCTGCGCAATCTGCTTCTGCAACGGCTTTGAGAATGTCTTAGCAAGGACATTGCCGGGTGTTGTCTGATCATCCTTCTCCGAGTTGAACATGGCAGCATGAATCGGGAGCTGCGTCGCTCGCGGCGTTCCGTTGGGTTGTCCGGCAGGCCTTTTGCGTTGATGCATGATTTCGATGTACTCGACAACCCAGTTATTGAATTCAGGCTGTAGGATCGGAGGGAGGAACGTCGCCATTTGCCAGTGCATTATCGTGTCCATCTGTTGATTCTCTTCCTCGACAACCTCCGTGCAGCCCTTCCCGCCGTAGTTGAACTCATCGTACCAGGCAAGATAGTCCCAGAACTCGGTAATAGCCAGATCCAAGAAATGGAAGGCTGGTTTTGTGCTGACCGTCTTGAGGATGTAGTTGCTGTATGCATAGGCATTGCCGACCTCGGATTTGGACGTTTGCAGTAGCAATCTGCCTGCATTCGCGAACACAACGTGGGAGCCATTCCTTCTAAATTCGGACATCAGCTGTTGGAAGGCCTTTCGCGACATCACCTGCACGTAGTAATGCAGGTTCCTATCGTAGAGATGTGAGCTTGGACTCTCCACCCATCGCACGAGATGCTGAACCAAAACATCTGCCATCGTGCTGCCGCCATTGCACGCTTCCTGCCACCAAGAACGCACCATCTCTCGCAGAGCGCCAATGCCAGCAGCCGCAAAAGCATTTTCAGACTGGATATTTTGCGTCGTCTCATCGAGGGCGTCTTCTTTGGCGCCAGCCCCAGAGATGCCCATTGGGTCTGCACCTTCTGCCTCGTTCAAGACAGCAGACGAAAGGATGGTGTTAATAGCCAGGTTCTTGACGCTGAGATCGATGCAAACTGACGAGTACGTGCCGGGGTTGTTGACGGAGGGCATGTCGACAGTCTCCATTGAACCAAGAATATCATCCCTCTCGTGTCCGGCGTGGTCAGGCCTGGCATCGTCTGACCACCAGAGCACGACCTTCTCCTTCTGCAGTCTTCGTGCGTACGTAATGTCGATGAGAAATCGAGGATCGTCCATTTCCAGGTTGCAGAGTGGAACATTGCCGTACCGTGAGAACTCCAGCATGTGCGAAATCCAAAGACCAAGATCCAAGTAATGGCTGACGACACGCTTGGCAACAAATGACTGCCATCCCAAGGGAGGGAGTTGCTTGTCGGCTTCGTCTGCACGCAGCTTCAATGTGGGTAATGTCTCAAGAACAGGCAGGTCATGCAACAGCATCGCGGCAGAATGCGACTGCAACACGAGCATTATCGGCTGTGATTCCTCTTTTTGAAGCTTCTTGATGCCGTCGCCCAACTCCTGCAGAGCTCGTCGATGAGTTGTGACTTGTACAGTCTTGAAGTGGAGCGAATCCTGATAATCGACAATGTTCTGCCAGGGCTGGCCGCCTGCCTCTTCTAGCTTGCGATTGAGCAAGTCTTCGTATATCCGATCAACATTGGGCATGCCTTGCTCGCCCCTCGCCCTATTCAGTACTACAATCTTCGCTTCTGGCTTTGTAGACGAGAAGAGGGCATAGATTTGCCTCTCGCCAGCGCTGATGTGATACAGTGCCATATAGCTGAAGGACGAGTTGCTCATGTAAGGTTTCTTTGGGGGGACTGTTCGCAGCGCAGAAAGATCGAACCCTTGCTCCAAACCTTTGCCGAGCACACCTCGCTGGCTCTCATCGAAAGTGCAGACGCACCCAAGATCGAGCATCGCACGAACGTCGAGCGGCACCTGTCTCTCGTAGACGCCTTCCACGCTGGGGTGATTGAAAAGAATGGAGAGCTTCTCGGACTCTTTGACGTACACCTGCTCGCTCATGGTCAGCTTAAACAGATGTGCTGATGGGTGGCCGTTGGGCAGCGTGTGGTTGATGATCTTTTCGGCCTTGACTCCATCAATGTCGACGTCAGGGAGGTCGCTCTCCTTCAGATTGAGGTACACCTGCCGAGGGACAACGACCTTCAGCTGGTGCACTTTCTTGCCGATGAGGACGAAAGCTCTGACTTCACCAGGAGAGTCGGTTTCGCGCAGTTGTAGCACCTGCCAGTCTGTTGTGTAAAGAAGTTCTGCTTGGTTGCGGAAGAAAGATCCAATTGCGTCTGCAGCATCCTGGCGCTTCTCGCCGAAGAGCTGTCGTCGACGGGCCCTTGCTGCCTTTTGGATCTTCCACTTCTTCTTCTGATACCTCAGCCAGCCTCGGTAGTCTTCTGTAATCGAAGGCATTATCGCAGGCAGACTGTCGTAAGGATTCACCGGGGCAGCAGAGTCTACTGCCTTACGCTTCTGGGAGCTGACAATCTTCGCCGCAGTCGCAGGCTTCAGCTTTGACATGGGCGTAGCACCAAAATCTTCCATGTCACCACCACCCGTCCGAGGCTTCATGATGTTAGCATCGCGCTCGGCCAGGGGTTGCTTCTGGAACATGTCTGTCATCTTGGTCTGCTGGAATCGATCCTCTTTCGTCCTGATTCTTCGCTCCAGCCAGTCCGGGTGAGCGACTCGTGGGACTGGATTGCTGATCTTCTGTAGCGCAGCCGGGATGGTGATGAGTTTCTGGATGACCGAGCCCAAACGCTCTAGATAGTAGTTCCAATCAATGATCGTGCGTGGATCCATATCACCAGGATCCTCGCGGAGCCACTTGCGAAGGTAGTGCTGCTTGACTGTCTCATCCGAAGAGAAGATCGTGACTGGTATGGCGCGCTCCGTGACGGGTGCGTTCTTTGGTCTCGAGGAAATGATGTACTTGCAATTCAGCCCCTTGTCCTTGGTCATCTGGTCACCCAAGAACTCGGCAAGTCGTTTCGCAGTCGTGATAGCAGTCGACTTTTGAGTTCCATACTCTTCCAGCGTTTTGGTCATGCTTTTGTTCTCGCAAATGAGGTCAATGAGCTCTTCATCTGTTAGAGTACTGCCGTGCGAGTGAAGGACGTCAAGCCACTTGTTCGCGACTTTTGCGACGGCGCCGTATGTCTCTGCAAGGGTTGTGCCCTCGAGGAAGAATTTGAAGATCTGCTGCTGGAAGATTTTGATCAACTTCAGCTCACCTCGTCGCTTCACTTCAAACCCCTTCAATTCTGCAAGCGAGCCGTCGTTGTTGAAGACGGCGTACCGCTTCTTCAAGTTCTTGTCTTCTTCCTTCGAAGTTGGCAGGATCATGGCTCTGTAAGGCCCATCGACTTCGAAGAAAATAGTATTGTCGCTGTGTGTGTCGTACTTGAAGGTCGCGGGATCGACGAGAGTCTGGTACTGGTGATTCGTGAATTTGGCGTGCACAAGATGGTTCAGCATGACACAGGGATACGATATCGTGAGCTTCTTGCCGTTCTTCAGCTTGAATGCAAAGTTCTCGGGAAACGTCGCCGGAAGAATGCACCAGATACCATCAGTGTCCAGTTCCAAAGGTCTGCCAATGCGCTCGACAAGCTGCCGTGCCATCTGGATGATGCGCGCGCCAGTCAGGCATGTCACGCCAGCCATGTCCAGAGAATACCAGCGAGATCCTTTGCGCATGACATAGCCGTAGAACGAGTTCAAGATGACCTTGTGGGCGAGCTGCAGGGAGTCGAAGAGGACGATCATCTTCTTTGCCTCTTCGATTTCTGGCTGACTTGCGCCGGCCTTCTCGAGATCTGACGTCTTGCCCTTCCATACTTTCTGCTTACCCTTGAAGTCGTAGCGGCGATCACGGAAGTCCTTCACGGTGTCGACATAGAATGGATTCTCTCGTTGGCAGATGATCGCCTCCCGCTCCAAAGTCTTCGCATCGTGGATCTTGTGGTAGATCTTCTTGCTGTAATCGGTCAAGCGACTCCTCACTTTTGAAGTCTGTTCGTCGAGACTCAGTTCTTGGAATGCTCGTGGAAGACTGTTGGGACCTTTCCCGGGGAATCTTTCATTCTCCAGTGCGTGTCGTATCATATTGTACTCATCTCGTTTGGCCGGTAGGAACTCGCCTCTCCAAGACCAGGGCATTCTCCTGTCGCAAGTCTTCCCTGGTCGATTAAAGTCGCAAGCAGCGCACACAGACTCGTCAATCATGCTGTCTGGCTGCAATCGATTCGTCGTCATGATGTTGGGGTACATGGACGCGACATCCAAGTGATAGATCAAGGGTCGCTCGCTCCGATTTGGAGTGTCTTTGAGAAGTTGTAACTGTTGAAGGATCTGAGCCTTCACCTCCTCGTAGTTATCCACGTCACTCATCGACTTTTTCTCTTCTTTCGTAATGCAGAATTCCAGCGCAGCGTCCAAGTCATTGATGAGCTCGTCAATTGCCGTAGGATCCACCGCAAAGTTGTTCGGAATGTCGCTTCTGAAGACACCAGCCTCGATACTTTCGACATGCCCACCGACATACGTCTCGGATTCGAGTAGATGGCCTTCCCAGAACGACTCTCGAGGCTGCACATGCTTGTTGGGCAGCACGATCTCTTTCTGATATGCTTGGACCATCAACAACATCTCGCAGAGCGTGCCGGTACCCTTCCTCAGAACATCGTCTGGGCCAAGGGGAATGATTGTGCAAAGGGAGAAGATGAAAGGGTGTACATATTTCATGTACAGGTAGTACGTCGCCACTGCGTCAGAGACCGAGTACTCTGCTAGCACTTGCGGTCGCTCTGCTGCGTATGGAGTCATCAATTCGGGGTCGAGTTCGTCAGGATCGTAACCAAGCTTTGCGACAGTGACCGCCTTCAGGCCTCGACTTCCCTGCGGTAGGTAGGAGTCACGATTGACCCAAGCAAAAGCATCCATGTGGGCACAATGAGTGGATTGGTAGATGTCTTCGCTATTCTTGCGGAAGCCGATTTCCTGGTACATGTCAATGCCGTGGATGCTTGACCGAGCTTCAACGAAAGGCCAATCGAAGAAGTCGCCGTTGTAGGTGACCATGACGGTTGGCCGTGCCTCTTTGATCATGCTGAAGAACCGCTCCAGGACTGCCTCCTCGTTGGGCTCGTTAAAGATCATAAAGGGCCCTTGAAACTCGGGCTTCGGTGTGTAGTCGAAATCTTGAATGTCTTCTGACACGATCTCGCGGTTCGTGATGAGGAAACCTTGGCCATCGATCATGTACGAAATCATCATGATCTGATCGATCGCGGCGTCTGGAAACTTCAAGGGAAGCTTGGTGGTTTCGATGTCGAATGCCATGACAATTGGATCAGCACGCTGTAGCCTCTCTTCGATGCAGCTGAGGGAGATATGGCCATGTTTTGCTTCGACGTTGTACCACTTTCCAATCCTGATATCCAGATCAATGGCAACTCGGACGTGGTAGGGCACATCGTATTCACGAATGTCGACAATGAAGTCACTGGCATCGGCAATGGTTGTTGGCCTCTTGTTTCGATCCGCCTCGTCGTCGTCGAACAAGTCGAATCCAGCATTCGCGCTGGCAACCTCGGCATAGGTATCCATAGCGCTGACCGTGGACTTGTTCTTCTCGGCGATGGGGGAGATTACTCTCCGGACCGCAAGCAGATCATTGACATTGGCGAAGAGCAGCTTCAGGAATGTCCGTCTGTAGCCCAGCAGGTGATTTGGCATCTTCAGATCTTCCTTGTCCACCCTCTCGACGCCCCTTACAAGACCCTCATGTGCTCTACGCACCCATTCCTCAACATCTGGCTCTTTTCCCTTCTTGACCGCGATTAGGAAGTACGGCTGGTACTCCACTGCGGCTTTGAAAGTCTCGCCTTGGTCTCCGATGAAGTAAAAGTCGACAGCGGCGCGACCCCCGGGGATCTTGGAGTCTTCGATGGCGGTGCTGTGCATGTTGCAGAGCCACCCAACGCGCTTCTTGCCGGCCTCGAACCGCTCGAAGCCTTGTCCTTCATCGATGCGATTGACCAGGCGGGTCGCCTCGATCCGTTCATTGTTGGATGTGGTTTCGGAGGATCGCAGACTACCCGAGTCTACCGTCTTGACTCGTCTCGTCCGGTCATTGAACTGGCCAGATTTGTTGTTGGCGCCGTAGCGCGAGCGGCCTTCGTTGCGGCGGACGGGCATGGCGGTGGATGAGTGGGGCCGGCGTGGCCCACGAATGGAGTCTTATGATCGCATTGCCGTCGAATTCGTGTTCATGGGGGGAGTGTCGTCGGCGGCGATGTTGTTGGCGAGAGGGTGCTAGTAAAGTGAAGTGAATGAATTGGTGGAGCAGATCGCGGACGCGTCTGGAAGGAAGGAGCAACGCGACATTGGCGCGTGCGGGCCAAAGTGCGGAACCAGCTCCGCTTCGATCATCCCCACCACCAGCCATCCGGCCCCCGCGGACATCACTTCGTCTTCATTCATTCACTCACATCACCTCACTCCTTCCTTCAGAGGATCGTCCAACGCGATTCGGCGGCAAAAGCTCTCCACCTGAGATACGCCAAAATGCAGACTGAGCCATCCCACGCACTGGACGACAGTCTTCCAAAAATCTCCCATGGCCAGGACGAGCTGAAAGAACCACACTTCTTCAGGCTGCCCCCGGAGCTTAGGAACGATATATACCGGCGGGTACTACCAATCGACGAAAGATTTGAGATCTGGGCAAGACCCGGCCCTGCCGAGCCGCCAGTACTTCGCACAAATTGTCAGATTCGGAATGAAGCCATCACGATCTACTATAAGGAGAATGAGTGGCGATGCCCCGTTGTCAATTTTTTACGCCAGGCACTACATTGCTTGGAGCGGAAGGTCGCCATGGAGGATTGCAGCGAACATCCGATGGGAGTGCGTATTTCCTTACAATAGAGAACATACCTTTCGTCATGCGTGGCTAAACTTGAAGAAATGGTTGGAAGCTTACTCTCGAGGCGCTTGCCTGAGGATCGAGGCATCCGACGTGAAGACGAATGAGACGTTTGCAGGGCAGTATTTGACCGTGGCAGCGCGTTTGTTTGAGATGGTCCTTGACATGCGCGAAAATCATGGCTTCTATTGGCCTGAGATCGAGTCTGTCTTAGAAGACGCCCGACAGGCCTTGGTTGATGAGATCGTTTCGGAGACGTAGACACCGAAGTCCCTCGATGAACTCAAAAGTGGACCGAATGGAAGCTGGTCGAGTTGCACTTGACTACCTTCAGCAAGAGTGAGGAGTGTTCTGGAAAAACGGAAGGAGATCACATTTATTGAGGCCAGTTCAAGAGATGAACGTGAACATTCACTCAACAGCCCTGTCATGGCGGGAAGAAGCTGGGCTTTCGCTAGCGTGAGGTCCGTGCCTTTCTAACCCATCTCTTTCCCAACCACCTCGCCCTTGGTGAGAAGATTGCAACTTTTCAAGACGGGAGCTAGATACATCGATGTCTAGCGATCGCTCAATGGCGAATCCTCCGCCGATGTTGTCCTGTTCACGACCCGCCTCGTCGCATCCCCCAGCAACACACCAGCTGCACCTGCCGACCCCGAGTTTGCACGCAGAAACCCCCATCCTGAACAGATACTGTTGCCCGATCGTCGCTTGCAATCGCACCTTCGACAGCTACATCGCCGCCTACTTCCACTTCTGCCACCACCAAGCTAGCCCATATGTCGTCAAGTGTCCCGAGGAAGACTGTCCATTCGCCTTTAGGGGATTCGAAACTCTAGAGAGGCACTGGGATGTCATCCACAACGAGGATTTTCTGGTCTACAACTGCATCGTCCCTGGGTGTGGTGTCGGTCACCCCTGTCACGAAGAAGTTGTCGAGCATCTCGTTCGTACGCACGGAATGGACCTACCCACTGCAAACACAAGCAAACAAGCAACCATTGTGCGACGACAAGTCAACTGTCAAGACTGGTTTCTCGCGCGAGGATATCCACCGCCAGATCCTTCTTTTGTCTATCCCAGACGACCAGGAGCAGCACAGAGGCCTAGCAAAGATTACAAAAACAGCCAACTCAATCGAGACCTGCAGATTCAGGAAGCGCAGCGAGCAGCTCTTACTGAGATAGCCGATCGTCGCGCGGCTACCCTGTATCATGCCACGATTAGCAAATCCCTTCCCATCAGGAGACTCGTGCCTTCTGTCCAGATGCCGCCGTTACTAGCAAAAGCCTTTCAGGAGCGGATCGGAGGTCTTCAACACCACGACACCAATCCGAAACCACCATTATCTCTTCGACAATCAACATTCTTCCAGAAATCCTCCATGTCGCATCATCAGCATCATCAGCATCATCAGCATCAGCAGCACCAACAGCATCAGAATCAACAGCATCAGAATCGACAGCATCACCATCAACATACTCCAAGCCAACATGCCAGTGCCTCTAGTCCGAAATGGGCGTCGCGAGTGCCTCTACCGATTCAAAACAGACCCATGCGCACCGACCCCCGAAGCGTACCGCAACTCATCCGACTGGCCACTCCTCAGCAATTGCTCACTCATACCCCGGCGAAGAGGAAGCGTGGACGGCGTTCCAATGCAGAAGTAGCTGCCAGAAAAGAAGCCGCTGCCGCCTCAGGACAGAATGCATTAGCGGTTGCTGACTCGACGACTCTGCCACCTGCGACGTCAGGAGGCTTGCTTTTGCGGCCTAATACGCAAGAACAAGATGTAATGAGCGAAGCTGTCTCCGATTCTGAGTATGTCCAACAACGCATACAGACTTCTCTTGCAAGCGGAGGGCAGATTTCTGCAAGAGCCAGACCACCGGCTTCTCTACCGGTGCAGCCCATGTCTGATGTCGACGCTGTCAACAGAGCACCCGTACCTGGCAATGCGAAGAAAGTCCGGCCCGCAGACGATGCCGCTCATGCTTCTACTCAAGCTCAAGCCGCTTCGTCAGTGAAGGCGAAGGGAAAGGCCCCAATCGCAAACGATAAAGAACCAGAATCACTTGCCCCTCCAGCAAAGAGAGGTAGAGGTCGTCCACGAAAGAATGCAGACAACGCTGGACCTTCGCATGCACGCAAGCCATCTGAAGATCAGCCAGGGCCAGCTGCCGCTCAAGCAAGATGGAAATGGTCCGAGCCCGTCGAAGACATCATCGCGCTCAACCACCGAAGATGGCTCCATGCCTCAAGCGAAGAGCTCGAGAACATCAGGCTGGCCATCCAAGTGCGCGACGATTGGCAACGCATCAGCAATGCTGAGATCTGGAAGCACATGACCGAGACGTGGCCGAGAGAATGTCGTGATTCGCCTGAGGTTGTAGCCATCAGTCGGCAGCTCAAGCACTGGGCGTCGAGGACTGTTCCTGGAATCAACCCCCGTCGTGCAGGTGGCTACATGCGGGTCTGCCTCAAGAAATTTGTCAAGCACTACCCGATGAGTATCTATGTAGAGCCCATGAGATGGTTGCAATGTTGTGCGCTGCCCCAGATGGTACAGGTGATTGCTGGACCGCCGGAAAATGATTGGAAGCCGGTGGTGGTGGCGAAGAAGGTTGTTTGTGAAAGAGGTGTGATGAGAGGCATAAAGGGTATGGATCAGGCGGACATTGGTGGCGATCGAGACCTCAGCATCAGACGTTGGTAGTTGTCCTTTTGTTGTTGGGAATTTTGTAGGTATTGTTGACAAAGAGCCAGCGAATGGCTCAACCGGCGGTTTGTCTTTCTGCTCGATACTTTCCGCAAGGCGTATCCTTTCGTAGAGCAAAAACGCTTCCCCTTCCAAGCTCACTTCTTCATATCTCAAGTGTCTCCCACTTGGAAAGCAGCTCACTCAGTCTCTCGCCACCCTCCTGGCCCTGCGAAGCGGCATAGTTCGGAAAAGCAGAACTCATGAGAGACAGATCCGATGGGCGCCAAGCGGTATTGGACATGAGCTGCAACATCGACCTCGTCGACCGGGACAATGCAATCTATCTGTCCAGCGCAGTGTGGTACATCATGCGGGCGATGCCTCTAGCAATCATTACCTCGACGCCTGTCCCCAGCAGACAGCGAAAGACTTCGTCAAAGGCGGCATGTGAATTTCGGATAGATCGATCCGAGGCATTGACCTCTGGTGAGGAGATGATGGTAGGATCTGCCAGTTCGGGGTCTTGCAGCAAGACGCCAGCCGTCACGGCCTGCAGCTGCAGTAGCCATGCTGGCGTCACTTTCAACCCATATCGCTCTCGGAAGTCTCTTAGCATTTCGGCGGCTTTGTGGGCGAGTAAGATTGAACTTGACAGCCTTTTTTGTGCCATCTGCGATCTGAAGTGGGCGTCATCGTGGTCATCACCGCCGGTCGTTCCTGTCGATGATTGCGGGTAGTCGGAAGTCTCCTGTCGTTGTTCGAACTTCGTCTTCGCCGCACACCAGAGGATCATGAGAGAGGTGAGATAGGAGGCGCTAGCGGATTCGGTCAGCTTCACGAGCCAGAGATGCGAGTGATATGGCACACGTACTGAAGCTCCCAAATGTAGATACTCATCGGCCATTCATAGTGCAGTTCAAAAGGCAGATGCTGATACCACTGCTGCACCCTCGACGAAAGTTGATCTAGCGCCGTTGCAAACTCGCGGATACTCATCCTGCGCTGGGTGAAGATCAAGTCATGCATCTCTTGGAACAACTCGGCGAGTCTACACCGCTCAACGAGGTACATCGTCGGTCTGTAGGCGACGGCGTCTGTTGTGAACGGATAGCCTATCCAGGGCTCGCTTCTGTCGTCGTATACCTCACGGATCTTGGGCAGGCCAGACACATTGGCTGTGACGGTGGCGGGGCTCATGAAAGCAAGTCTCATGATTCTGTAGTCGTGAGAATCCATCTGATTCCAAGCATCGTGAGTGAAACACTTACATGTGCGTACACTTGGCTGTCCAGTGGGTGGAAAGCCTTGCAACTGCAAAGTCACGCCTGTAAAAGTCATTGTCTACGTACCGTCGTTGGTACTCGTTGAGTGGTAGCTCGTTATTCAGCTGCACTGCAATCGGAATGAGTGTCAGGCCTAATCTATCCTTGGCCCGATAGTTTGACCTGACGGCGTGAGCATCTGCAGCACACAGGAGAACTGCAACAAACCTACTTGAGGCTCAATATACACAATGCCTGGATGTTGGTGAGGCTTGGGCGATACTCTTCGAGCGCCCACAAACGAAGGGCTTCGTCATGAAAATGTCGACCGCGAGTGATCCTATCTCGGCCTTCGCCCGAAAAAGCAACTTCGTGCTCAGATTGTAACTTGTGTTGGGTAAGCATGCGTCTCCACGATCCATGAAAAGTCACATCACGACGTACACTCGCAATAGCGCAAATGCTATTGACCAGGAAGGACGAGCAGAAGTCTGAGTCGAGCTGTTTCGAACGCATACCTATGTAGGCAACCAAACAGTTAGTTCTTCATAATCACGGGCATAGCAGAGCGCACACAAACCTCGCAGAAAAATGTCCTGTTCTACGAAACGCCAGGTTGGATTCATCCAGGCAAGGAAGAGCGACACAAGATGTGACACTGCTTCATCGCTTGTAGTGATGGCCGTCCATGGCCGTGCCGAGACCTGATGTATTGGTTGGCCATCTTTACCTGTCTCGTTAGCTACCCCGACAGTATTCGGTGTGCTGCTTTCAATCCCTGCAGCGTTGTTCGGGTCTTCTCCAGAGTCGTCAATCGGCAAGAGCCAGCTGTTCTGTCACCCTCTGAGCCTCCTCGCAGCAGCAATGTCTCTACGTGAGGCACATGCACTATACGATTGTGAAGCGCAGCATAGTCCTGGGGCTTCGGCAGCCGCTCCAGTGCGTTCGGATGCAGCGTCAACGCGGCAAGCCTGGTGATATCCTGCAGCGATCCTGTACTGTGCGCCAAGCTGACCAAGAAGGACTCGAGAATGGACTTGTTCGCATCCGGCACCTTTGATGCTGCATCGCCTGTCTTCACAAACCTCAAGACTGCCTCAGGACTATGGCCACCCCTGATCTGGCGCAAAATCTCCGACGCCCCTCTCTAGCCTTTGGTACGGAGCATGCGAAAGAGCTCGGCATATGTGTCGTGAGCGTGCGCCATCTCATCGTATTTACGCTTGGACGCCTGCGCGCGACTCTCGCCAGCCTGCGTCTCGTAGTGGCACTCGGCATTCTTGGTAGCGCACGCTGTACAAGGACGAAGGGCATCGCACTTGTAGAGTCCGTGTGTTAGAGCAGAACATGCACCTCGGATCGCTGAACCGTACCTTGATCTTCCTCTGTCGACAACGTTGACAGGCTGCCGGGGCTGTTGGGCGCTTCCCTCGTGCGACTGCTCTCGATGTGGAACCGCCATCCCGTGATTCCTGTTCCCGGTCTGAAGTCTGATCTGGCTCCTCCAGCTCCGCGCCAGAGATCGTTCTTAGAAGGTTCTCTGGCGAAAGCATTTCACCGGTCTTTCATCGCGTACAGGCCGAGGAGCGGCGCCGAATCTCGTGGTGAGGTGATTGTCGGCCAGCAGGAAGCTGTGACGATGATACACATGGAGGAGTGACGGATTTTGCTCCGCGTTGTCGGAGTGGGGGAGTAGAACCTGTAAGCAAGAAAGGCAAATGGGACCGACTTCTTTGCGTGAAGGTTGGATGGAGAGTGGGCGGCCTCGAACACAGACTTGTTGGCGTCAGTTCCGCACTCTTCGAATACAAGGCCGGATCGTCCAAGTTGCAAGGCGAGGAGTCAGCCGGAAATCGGTCTGTTATTGCCTCCTTTCTGCTTCCCTTTGGTCGACGTCAAGGGCTAGAACTAGAGCGGATTTGGCTCCGTGCAGAAAGTGGAGACGCCGGCAATAAGACACGGGGTTAAAAATAGCTATCACCTCTTTGCCGTTGTGCAGATGTCCATTCTCTAGCCACATTTTCCAATCTTTCCAGACAATTTACCTTCCAATAACCCTCACCTCATGTTACCAGGACATCTGGAATCTCACCCACTCGACGATCGGTTCGACTGGCCTTCTGCCGGAGCAAAGCCTTGGACAGCGCCATATGGTGCAGTGTCCTGTCGAGTTCGGGACCTTGATCGCTGCGGTGAGCTTCGCATTGCTCGATGGCAGCTTCAGTGATGGGCCATTATTGATGGCTGTTTTGCGGATTGTGGGTTCTGGTCGCTCCATCTGCTGCCCCACATCCGCATCGATGTCCAAGTCCTCGTTCTAGGGTAATCGCCCTCCAGAGACATTATCAGCGGAGATGGAAATGCAGGTTGTGTGATACAGGCAGAAGGCAGAGCCGACTGCGACAGGTCAAGAGTTGATCGAAACGATCTGGTCGCCATGGAAAGTCATGCAGCTAACAAAGACTCGTCGATGTGATTGCCGGTGTGGATTGAGAACGATGAAGAATGTTTCGAATAGTTTGAACTGATATACACATTCATAGAGATACTCAATAAGGCCGGACCAACACTCGCTGTGTACCTTCCGAATTCGGTGTACGATGCAAGGCTGTGTAAGCGCGAGGCCTGGCGGGCTTTCAAATCACCGCCAGCGACCGTGTGCTTTGCAGATACAGAGCAAAGGGACGACAGCGTAGTAAGCCTCGATGCTTCGGTGCTGCGAGCTGGGCGAATCTTCCAAGGAGAGACAAGTATATAGCCACAACAGGAGCAACGGTTTTCCATGCTGCAATATCACCCCCACATTAACAAGTGCACCTCTCAAGTGAACAAGTCGCCAAGTCCGACGGGAAGCTCCATCACGGCGATCCTGTGTTTCCAAGTCAGAGAAGTCCTAAATGCCGGCAACGCAATGGTCAATGAACTTACATGATGGCGAGCAGGAGGTACCATCCTAGCATGTCTGCCGCGAAGAAGCAAGCTCCACATCCGATCAACAAGGTGTTTCCATAGGCAGCCGATCCTTGAGCTGTCGCCCACAACGACCCGGCTGCGAAACCGAAGCCCATGGTCGCGCAGACAAAGATCATGACGAAGACAAGATTGGTCCTCAAGGAGCAAATCAGGAAGATAAATGAAAGCATGGCGAGTGCGAGTGGGTAGAACCCTGTCACCACATGTCACCACTCTAAAACTCACGTCTGATGCTTAGATTGAGCTCACCAAATCCAGCTGCAAACGTCGGTCCAGGAGAATAATCGTTTCCAGGGGTAGATGCCGCATTCCAGGCGACGGAACCAAACCATGGGATGAATGCACAAGCGTAAGTGAAGAAATGGGCGCCATAAGCGAAGAAGACGAGACAGGGAAAACTGTTGCCCAAGAAGAATTCACCAATGCCGCCAAAGGTCAAGAGGACGCCGCCGAAGAAGACACTGGCGGTTGTAGTTTGGGTTGCGAAAGTGCCTCCAGAACCGCGCCAGCCCACTATTTGGAAGAGTCAGTAACAGCAAAAGCGACCTGGCTTGCTCAACGCACTGAATTCGCAGGATAGAGGAAGAAGTCCAACCACGAAACCAGTAATGGCGATTGGGGTCTACAAGACGTGAAGGCATGGTCAGCTAATGTCTCGAATGTGAGATGCCGGAATGCCGGCTCTCTTCGATACCCACCGGATTGGCGAATGTCTTCCTCAAGTCGCCCTTGGTATTTCCCTTGGGAGAGAGGTAGATCTTCTCGAAGAGCTCCGGAGAAAGCGTCATGGTGTTGGTCAAGGCATTTCGCAGCTTCTCCTCGTGGCTGGCTCCATCGCCATTGAAACTTCCCCTCTCCACATCTTTCATCGCGCTCCCGTTTCCATTATTGATGCTCCCCATAGTTGCGACACAGACACTGGGCGACGACAATGGCGGTTTCTCGTGAACTGCAAAGGGAATTGATGAAATCGAAGCGATGCTTCCTTGCCCCGTTGCTCCCGATCTCTATATGTCTGAGAAGCCCCGCGACACCGTGACGAGCTATCACGGAGCTGGGCAAAACGAGGAGGTTGGCTGAAGTCAAACGAAGCAGATCTGACTCCGGAGTCGAATCGCGGCTGCATCTGGGGTCTGGCCCCATGGGGATCGACCTCGAGATTGTGGAGAACCGAGGGCGTGGCGCAACCAAATGATCTCATGTGCCTGCCGTCCGATAGCCCTCGCCCTTCGATTGGATCGAATAGATTAGCTATTTGTTTTGCTCGCGCGATCATACCGTCCAGGCGGATTTGAAAGAGCCGAGCGAAAGCAGTTAGCTGGAGAGCTGCTCGAGTCGGGGGAACGCGCAACATGTTCGAACTGTCTTTTCAAGCAACACGAGACCAGCTCCGGAGACATGAATGTCATACGGCATGTGCAGGTTCGTCATCGGCGAGAACAGAGTAGCGAGGGACTTACCAAGCTTGCTTGCCACTTTGCAGTTCACCGTCTTCACTGATACTATGGTATGCTCTAACGTCCGAACCAAGTCGCTTCTGGGAGGAATAGTTATTAGTAGTACGACTGGTACGAGCCTGGTTGTAGTACCTGAGATACCGGACGTATGGAAGTTTGCAGGACTTGGCAGACCAGCCTGTCGGGTTAACGCCACGCCAGGCCATGGGGGCCACGTGTGCAGAGTCTAGAAGCCTTGTCACGCTCTTTGACAGGACGAGGAGTTCATGCTCGAATTGACCTGTTCGACATCCCTTGCTGCTGGGCCACGATGTTGGAATCCTGAAATTCGTCGACAACTACACTGTTAGCGCCCACATCGTCGGTGGCTTGGTCCCCCTGCAGGTCAGTCACTGTCAAGCAACTTCTCGTCTCGAGAGCCAGTTCATGGCCAGTCGCAATTCGAAAGGTCAACATCGCAAGTAGGATGCTTGGCATCACAAAGATCCCTCAGAAATCACTTTCAGGTATATGTGTTCCTCGAGCATACCGATGTAAGTACATCTTCACCTCGTGAACCCGTATACGAGTGAGCCGGTCTTTTGAAAGCTCCCATGTATTACAGAATGTCCACGCAATTTCCACAGCCTTCATACCAGTTTGTCACAGTCGTTCAGTCGTTTCACCATTCCAGTTCAGGCCAGTCTGCTCGCCTAGTAAAGCTGATCCTGCCCCTTGGGTGCGTACAAGTTGCCAGGGCAGCCACTAAGCTGCGAGACGGGAGTACCAGCTGCAGGAATGAAGCCAATCAGACCAGCGGTGGTCAGTTCTGACAAAGCACTGGCTGCGTTGCCTTGGGTATAAGTGCCAACTCGGCTGTTGTTGCATCTAAGACGAGCCGACTCCGGATAGGCGGCGTATTGGGTGAGCAGGTCTGCGACAAGAAGGGCGTTGTTGTATGGCGTCAGAGAAGGACGGCGGTACCAGTTGTTGGGGATACGCTCCTGGCCCTTGGCCCAGCGGAGATTTGGGTATTCGCCTTGGATGGCAAAGAAGGATTTGTACACGCTTGGTGAGAGCCATCCTTGGGTATTGTCTGCGCTGTGGTTGCTCATGAAGTTGAGGATGACTTGCAGTATAGTTAGCACAATGCCCAATACACAAGGGCATGGCAGGAGTAATGTTCTCGGGAAGACTGCCAGTTGTAAGCCGCTAGTGCAGCAATGAAACCGGCGAGAGGGTTCGACACATAGATAGGGTTCGACACATAGATCGGGTTCTTGTCGATAGACCACTGCGACTTGCAAGTATAATCCTGGGTAAAGCTGTCCAGTGTGTATCCTGCATCACGCTTGTTGCCTGGCGTAGCACCACGACCAATGACAAGACGGTTGACGTAGGTTTCGGTGAAGCGAGAGACGACAAGGCTGTGAGCATCACCCCTGAGCAAGGCCGCGTCGCAGCGAGTCTGCGAGGCATCTGACTCGTAGTTGTTGTGACTGTAGGAGATGCCGACATTGGTCAGCGTGTTTTGAGGAACGCCGCCGTTGGGCTGGGCCTCCGATGGACCACTGCTGGGTGACTGGATCGCCGAATTGCTCAATACTTAGCTGGGCTAGAGCGCCAGCAATGTCCGCGCTCATGCCGTATGCTTTGAACAAGCCATCGATAGTTTCTTGGTTGTTTGTAACACCTTTGTCAAAATAAGTACATGAGCGTGAGCGTTGTCGATACTGCTTTCCTCACCTGACCGGCTGAGATAGCCGTGGTTGGCGGCGGCGTTCAGACCTGGGCATGGCCCACGAATCTGGTTGCTTGTAGGCGCCTTGAACACATTGTTGCCGGTAGTGCTAACGAGCTGATCCTGGGCATTGAACGTGGTGCAAGGATTGCCGGCGCCGCAGTTGCCTCGCTTTTGACTGATTGCCTGTGCGGAGGAGTTGTACTTTGGCGTGGGACATTGGTAGCCTGCATTTACATCAGTGTCTTGCAGAGGCGACGAGACCGTATAATTTTCAACGTGGGATGCATACCACTCCAGCCACAGGCACCCTTGTCTCCAGGCCAAGTGTATCCACCATTGCCAGGGCCTTGGTTACCGCAACCACTGCCATACGTGCCACGCCCGTAGCTGTTATCGTCGCGGCCGACGAGTTCTTCCAGTACGAATGGATATGCGGCTGCGTAGCCAGCAAAGGCAGTCAAGGCCACGAAGGACTTCATGGCTGCGTCAGGTTCGGCAATGCACAACAAGGTATGAAATCTCTTCTGAGGTCAGTTGTCTGGTGAAAGAGAGAAGAGGATATGCGGGAGCCATACCTTTCTATTTATGCTGCAATCGAAGGCGCCCTACGATGGCGCTCTTCGACATCACTCCTCGCATGGTATCTGTCGATGTAATGCGTCCGAATACCCTAATTTTCTCGCCGAGATCGATCTCGTCAAGGATGAGCATGGTCGAGCATGTCGTGTCAGCCTGTCTCCACACACTTAATTGCTTTTCTCGAGGGTGGATAGACTGCCGCCATCGGGGCCGAATACCATCATCGCTTGAGAGGCGTGGTCCAATGGGCGAGGTCAACGTATGTGGTTGAATCAGCAGAATTCTGAATGGCTGCGCCCAAGATGTCACAAGGCTGGCGAACCGCCTTCCTTCCTACGGTTCATGGCCAAAGTAGTAAATGGCTGATGGAAGTTACCGCGATGGCTGCAAAGTTAAGGCTTCTTGACCAGAACAAGAGACGCCACCCGTGGATCGAGCGGTTCTGCAGAAGTTATCGGGAAACCCCCATTTTGTCTTTCCCATTTGCGGCGCGTTTCTACCGCTTCCGAAGCACTTGCGAGCGGGAGAAGTTGAATTCATTGTTTCAACGCATCCTCTGCATGAGGGCATCCGCTATGGGCCGAGCACTTAAGTTCCAGGCCCCGATCTGTGTACAAAATACACCAACATTTGGCGACTAACCGAATGAAGTCATTGCGAGGGTGGAGGAAGCAACAGTAGTGAAGAAGCGGTGTAAAGGTTAGGCTAGTCGCTAGCATGATGTCGTGGCAACAAAAGCAAGTTTGTTGCAGGAATTGAAGATGGGCAATTCCAGCCGTGGCTTCTGGGACCCATGGCGTGCTTGTTCCAGAAGTCAGAAGAATTGCTCGAAGTTCGGAAAAATCCCAATTTGGTGGTGAAGCCGCGTCTATGCCCAAACACATCGCGCTGGCATCTGTGCATCCAGCAAAGGCACCATCAAGAGGCCGTTCGATCTACATCTGCGCGATGAGTGATCCTAGGGTGAAGGCGGTGGCTGTCACAAAATGGTTTGTTGCACTTTTCGACGCTTTCCCGCATGTTGCTTCCTGAGATGGCGCGGTCAGCCTTGTCGTGCTTCGACTCTCGCCAGAGCAAGACCGTAAGCGAGACTGCACCCAGAACATAGAAACCTAAATTCAGTCCTACGCTGATGGTCGGCTTCGTGCTGGACGAATTAACGCCGTAAGCAACGCACTGCCCGAGTGACTCCACTCCTCTGACCACGCCTGCCATGTGAAATCGATCCCGCACTGATGTGCTGAACGTCGCAGCTGACCAGTAGAGGTAAGTTTGAGCTGCTTGCATGACCATGAAGATGATCGCCACTGCCATGGCTTGCTTTGCGTATCCAGGACCGGCCCAGTCCAGCTTGTGCTTCGAATCGGATGTGATGGCAATGTAGGCAAAGTAGATCCAACCCCCGCCGCAGAGTGACAAGACCAGGGTGGTGAGGAGGGCGAGTGGTGCTTTGGATGACAAGCGTGAGTCGGACAAGACTGCAATGATGGCTGAGCCAAGTATGGATGCCAAAGATGTGAGCAGCGAGGTAAGAGCTCGTGCACGTACTGTGAAACGCTTGGCGACAAATGTGTGCGAGAAGGAGTAGTAAAAGTAAGCAAACCAGGCGTACGGGACAAGAAGTAGCACTTCTTTCTTGCGCAGTAAATTTCCGAGCCGGCGGTATTCCAGTCCATATTTGCCCGCATTGCTGGCGTCAAGTTTCGTGCCGTCGCGGTGACGGACCTTGTGGGTCGGTGACATGAGCAACGCAAGCGGTATGCCACAGCATATGATTGTGATGGTTGCATAGTAGACTGGGTATCCCACATGACCGGGTTTGTCGTCCCGAGCCGACAGTCCAAGATTGATTGCAGACGAGGCAACCGATCCAAGCTCTTTCGCAAAGACCCATAAGGTGATGCTTTTCCCTCGATGCTGATCGCGAGGGTAGGCAATGATGACTGATCCTTCGGCCGCCCAGAACAGTCCGCTGCATGCACCACGCACAACGGCGGCAAAGATCAAAAACCACTGTATGCCGTAGCGTGTGTTGCAGTAGACGGCGGCGCCGAAGATGGGATCACCGCAAGTGCCGAGGAAAAGCGACCAGCGAATGTCGAGTAGGTTGACGACGGGCCCAGCAAGGATGCAGACGACCCCCAGCAGGCCAAAGTTGATGGCGGTCGCGGCATTCGCGACGTATGGTGTCTCCTGGCCAGCTCCCCCCAAGCCCTGGAGAGCATTGAAAGAGCCAACGGTGCAGAACGCGGTAGCCGAGATGAGGAAAATCTGAGTGAAGACGGAGCGGAAGTGTAACAAAGGGATATTGGTAGATCTTTGCAGTGGAGAGGCCATAGTTGATGTGGGAGGAGATGTAGATGTAGATCAAGATTAGATTAGATAAATGCCAACAAAGATATATACTCATCGTTCTTCCGGGTCTTTGCATGGGAAATTCCAACAACGGCAGCCATGTGGACCTCTTCGATTAGGAGCCTATCAAGTCGAGGTCTTTGATCGAGGCCAGATTCAAGGATTGCTGTTGAGCGTCTCGCAAGTTCTGCCAGGCCAAATGGTGTAGTGCGTTTGGGCCATGGCGGCCAGACTGGCGGGCTCGCGATACGCCGCCATGTCTCTCCACCCGACAAAGAGCGGCGATTTGCTGAAGAGGCTCTCCATCTCCTCCAGCGGCAGCTTCTTCGTCTCCTGCAGAAATGCCCAGAAGAAGAGGGCGTTGGTGAAGTTGCCGATGACAAACAGCAGGTAGAATCGCCAGCCCACGCTTTTCATGCCGACATTCGTGACCTGCCCGATCATGGTACTGCGAGGCTGCATTAGCCCAGACATTTCCACCCGTTGTAAGGCTGCATAGTACTTACTTGAACGCGAACGAGATCATGGTCGCAAGGGCCACTCCGTACGACCGGGTCTTGGTGTCGAAGATCTCGGCCGGCAGGATCCAGGAAAGGGAGCCCATGCTCGCGAAGACGAAGTTGAAGACCCACGTCATGGCGATGAACCCCCAATGAGCCCCGGTGTTGGATGATGCTGGCGGGAACTCTGCCAGCAGTATCGTACTAACGATAAAAGTCACACACATGCCGAGATTGCCCGCAATGATCAATGAGCGACGGCCAATGCGGTCCACGACCAACATGACAGCCACCTCACCAAGGAGGCCGATAATTGAGTTAACGGCTTGTCACTTGAGCGTCTCACGATCCTGGATGCCAATTTGGCTCTACGCCCGTCCATGTCAGTGCCACTCCAACCAAAGGCTACACGACACTCACGAAGATAGTGGTACTGTAGTACTGGATCGCGGAAACACCGGTCATCTGAGTCGCTGCCTGGATGCCACACGCCAGCATGACCCGGCGGAAGCTGGATTTGGTCGAGAACAGTTCCTTCAGGCTCTTGGCCTCACGCTCCCTCTCAAAGGTGACCTGAGTCTGGATTTGATCGTACTCAGCCAGCATAAAGGGATCGGCGATGTTTCCATTGGCATGCAGCCTGGCAAGTGTCTTCAATCCTTCGTCGCTCTTGCCTTTGGCGATCAAATATCGCGGTGACTCCGGGAACAGGAAGATCATGGACGCAATGATGGCCGCTGGGACGATCTGGACGCCGAAGGGAATGCGCCACTGGCGGCTGTCCGTGAAAGACACAAATGTCCCGTAGCTGAGCCAAGAGCCGACGACACCGCCAACTCCAAGCATGAATTGAACCAGACCGGTCACGAAACCGCGAATGTCGGGATGCACAAGTTCTGCTTGATAGAGTGGCACGATCATGACCAGAACACCAATCCTGGGGCAAGGCACAATTTGTTAGCATACATGCTCGCTGCGAATGGATGCCACACTTACGCTAAACCTGCAACGAAGCGACCTGCAATAACCATTGCATAGTTCTCTGCACCCGTCTGCAGCGCACCGCCGAGGCAGAAGATGAGTCCTCCAGTAACAATTGTCCACCTGCGCCCGAATCGCTCGGATATGAATCCTGCAATTGCTGCGCCGAAGAAAGCCCCAGCAGTCAACATAGACGCCACCAAGCTAAGTTTGGCCGTGGAAGGGTTGAACTTGTCAATGAAGCACTGGCTGGAAACGACTGCATCTTGTCAACGAAAGTACCACCCTCTCGCTCGCTATTGAAGTACCCTCTGCGACAATGGTCAGGTCATATCCGTAGAGAAATGAACCTAGCGAGGCGAACACGCCCACAAGGACCTGGTAAAGCTTTGGTGGAAGACGCATGTCTGCTCAATGCGTAGGCGGATCCTGGCTGTGAAGAAACTGGTATATTGCTGAAAAGGATGCCCACAAAGCTGCTACATATATCCCAGTCAACGTTTGGTCGTACTGAAATCTGGACTGCATTGGCCCGAAGGCTTCCCCAGTGGCTACGAGCTGAGCCAAACTTTCAGATCAGCGGTGCATGCGCTTTGCGGGGACGGCAAGTTAGTGGAACCTGCAGACAACATTGTACCGACGCTCATAATTGCACCGAGAGGGTCTTGGGTATATTGGCGGCAAACTGGACGCTGGAACTCGAAAAGGGTAGTCTCAAGATGATTCGTCCTACTGACTTGCATGCCGAGCATCACGCTCCCGACTCAATCGGGATCGGCGAAAGCCAGCCTCGCCTTTCATGGCGATTCGACCAAGGGGAGCCGGACTGGAAGCAGGTGGCCTGTACATTGGAGATACGATGGTCTAATGGTCAGACGAGCTCAACCAGCACTGAATCGCCCCAATCGAGGCTTGTGCGCTGGCCATTCCGAGCACTTCGCTCTTGTGAAAGATGCAGTGTGCGCGTGAGAGTTGTTGGCGCGGAAAAGCAAGGACCGTCACCCTGGTCCAATTGGGTGATTATCGAAACAGGCATCTTGAATTCGAACGAGTGGAAGTGCTCCTTGATCGAGCCCGTTGGCGACCTTGTTCCCGAACGGCCGATTGTATTCCATTCGAGCTTTCGATGCAAGTCGTCAGTAACGTCTGCGCGGCTGTATGCGTCTGCCCACGGCATCTACGATGCGCGCATCAATGGAGTTGGAGTCTCCGATCAAGTCCTGGCCCCTGGATGGACAAGCTACCGTCACCGTTTGCTTTACCAGACCTACGATGTTACGGAGCTTGTGAAGACCAGAGATTCGAATTTGGTCGAAGTCACCGTTGCAGAGGGCTGGTATTGTGGCAGGATTGGTTTCAACGGCGGCCGCAAGAACATATACGGCCACTCAGTTGGTCTGGTCGCACAGCTGCTCATCCACTACATCGACGGAACATGCGAAACTTATGGAACAGAAAGCCAGGGCTGGCAATGGAGCTATGGGCCTCATTGTAGTGCAAGCCTCTACGATGGTGAAATCTACGATGCTCGCATCACTGTCCCAACCGCAGATCTCTGGCAGTCTGTCCGAAGCAGTCCAGCTCCCAAAACTCTCACGGCGCCCGATGGAGCTCCTGTTCGGAGGATGAAAGAATTAAATGTCACATCAATCATCAAGACCCCGTCCGGCAAGACTGTACTTGACTTCGGGCAGAACTTCGCTGGGTGGGTCCGCGTTAGGATTCACTCCTCCACGCCTTGTGAAATCGTCCTGCGGCATGCAGAAGTCTTGGAGAACGATGAACTTGGAACTCGTCCGCTCCGCCAAGCGCAAGCAACCGACACCTTGATCATCCCGGCGCGCAAGTCTATCCTATGGGAGCCGAAATTCACGTTTCACGGGTTTCGTTATGTTCAAATCGATGGCTGGCCTGGAAATGTCCCAACTAGTGCTGTCACCGGAATAGCCATCCATACTGCTTTGGAGCGGACTGGTGAGTTTAAATGCTCGAATGACTTGCTCAACAAATTGCACCAAAACATTGTCTGGTCGATGCGGAGCAATTTTTTGAGCATTCCAACAGACTGTCCGCAGCGCGACGAGCGACTGGGCTGGACAGGCGATATCAACGTCTTTGCTGATACTGCCAACTATCTCTTCGACACGGCCGGGATGCTCACATCTTGGTTGAAAGATGTTGCAGCAGAGCAAACCCAATCTCAGGGGGTCGTCGCACTGACGGTGCCCAATGTTATGCCCGGACTCGACAGTGAGCCGCATGCAATTTGGGGAGATGTTGCGGTTATGCTACCCTGGGCCATGTATACGGCATTCGGCGACAGAGAACTTCTCGCTCGTCACCATGACAGCATGACGGCGTGGATACAATGCATTACACGCCGCTCCAATGGCCTCTGGGACTACACCTCCGACTGGAAACTTGGTGACTGGCTTGACCCGCAATCTCCTCCTGATGACCCGGGTGATTCGACTACTGACCCTGTTTTGGTATCAGACGCCTTTCTTGTCCATGTCCATCAACTTATGGGCCAAGTATGTGAGGCATTGCGGCTTGACGATGAATCCTCGAGGTGGCGGGCAGAATGTGCGAGGTTACAGCAAGCTTTCCATGAGGAGTACATTACTCCTGCTGGGAGACTCGCTGCAGATACCCAGACAGCGTACGCGCTTGCATTGTGCTTCTCGCTTCACGATACCCCTCAACAGGTGGACAAAGCTGCAGAGCGACTGGACTACCTCGTCCGTCGACGTAGTCGCTTTCGAATTGCCACGGGTTTCGCAGGCACCCCATACCTTGGCCACGCAATGACCAAGTGCGGGCTCTCGAACATATTCTATCGGATGCTCCTCAACCGCGATTGTCCGTCATGGCTGTATCCAGTGACTATGGGAGCCACGACAATGTGGGAGCGCTGGGACAGCATGCTGCCGTCAGGACAAGGGAATCCGGGTGAGATGACCAGCTTCAACCACTACGCTCTCGGTTCTGTCGGCTCATGGATGCACCGTAACATAATCGGTCTTTCTCCTCTCGAGCCTGGCTGGTCGAAGTTTGCAGTCCAGCCCATCCCCGGCGGCGGTCTGGACTGGGCTGAAGGGTCTTATCTCAGCGCATATGGAACCTGTCGAGTGCGCTGGGAGATACGCCGTGGCAAGGCTGGGGCGGTTAAAGAGAACTCAGCAAGGACTTTCTGGATGCGCGTGGAAATTCCACCAAACACAACCGCCGAGGTCACCCTGCCAGGTCGAAATTTAGGGGAGACTCTGGGGAGTGGTTGCCACGAACGCGAAGGCGTCTATGTGCCTCCCGCCTGGCCTCCTCGGGCTATCTATGCGCGATTCGCAAACCGGGACGACGGGCTGGACGCCATTTGATCGTGGGGCGACAGATTGCTATCGTGTTCAAGGTCATCAGTGATTGTATTGCTTGGTACCAAAGATTCTGCATCGATAGCACGCTGGTATAGACGAATGCCTTCTGATCATGCCTCCTAGTCAGTCTTTTTGCAGTCGTCACGACTCTTGGGCTCTCATGCATCACCTTTCGGTGGTGAAAACTCCAATACCGCGAAGGCCGTGCTTGAAAGATCGTCGCCATGCTTTTTGGGTTGCGGACAAGCGCCAATCACATGCTTTCAAAGCCGGCCATGCATGCGACCAGATGATCCAGTCTTCCATTAACTTCGCCCTGTTGCGCCTCGTCCCTTCACACCTGTTCAGCTCATCTGTCCTCGGGCTATGTCGCTGGAAAAATGCTCCGACAGTGTTGCAAGACCTTGCGACTCTCGTCTTCCCCATGGGACAGCCTCGTCTCTACGCTCTACGCTTCCCCGCAACAACTAATGGCTTTCACTGCCTTCTCCGCAGCCTTTGAGAGTCGTATAAGATTATGATGGCCGGACTGACAATGGTACTGCGCAATCTCATCAAGAAGCCATGCATCTATCCTCGACCATCTTCGGCCTCGTTGCCTTGGCAAATGAGACAGTATCATTGACACTTTCTGTCGCCTCATCCCCTGAAAATGCGTCCAGTCCGCTTCTGTATGGGCTGTTCTTCGAGGTTAGTACTAGATTACAGTTGGTAGATTGTGTTGCTTACGCATTGCTCCAGGACATCTATCACTCCGGTGATGGCGGCATGTACGGAGAATTGATTCGCAATCGTGCCTTTCAAGGGACACAAGACGGCAATGGCCAGACCGGCAGTCCCAGTCTGACGCCCACAACACGATATTGGTCAGCCGTGGGATCTGGCGTTTCGTTCAACATCGACTCGTCTACGCCAAAGCTGTCCTCAGCTCTTGCATCCCACATGAAAGTGTCGGTCCCAAGAGGTGCCACGGGCCAAGTTGGGTTCTGCAACGACGGCTACTATGGCTTCAGTGTGGACAGCACAAAACGATACATTGCCGACTTTTACTTTCGTGGCACATACACTGGGAACATGACCACATATTTCCAGAGCACTCTCAACGGCCAAAGATTTTCTGCCGTCAATACCTCCATCTCTCAGACATCCGCCCAAGGCTGGAAACAATACTATACCGACGTCTTCAACCCGAGCTCCAGCGCACCAAATGCCAACAACACCCTGTGCTTTTCTTTCGATGGCAGCAAGCTCGCAGGACAAAGCATTTATGTCAACCTTATCAGCGCTTTCAAACAGACCTTCAACAACCGCGCGAATGGATTGCGTGAAGATCTGGCAATGGCGTTAAGTGATATGAACCAAGCATACCTACGTCTTCCCGGTGGGAACAATCTGGAGGGTAATGCACCGCCATACTTTCTCAACTGGACGCAGACTGTGGGACCTTTGGAGAATCGTCCTGGGTTTCCAGGCACGTGGGGCTCTACACAGACGAACGGGCTTGGTCTGGTCGAGTTGATGCAGTGGGCAGAAGACATGAACCTGGATGTCGTAAGCTATGAGGACGGCTATATGGCCAGGTTGAGCTGAAATGTCTGACTGCTGCGTAGGTCTTGGGAGTCTGGGGTGGCCTTTACTTGAACGGCGCAACGATTACCCAGGCTGATCTTTCTCCCTACGTGCAGCTTGCCCTTGATGAAATGGAGTTTCTCACGGTAGGTGGGTTTCTGCAACTCCGAGCCAGTACCTGACAGACGAGCAGGGCGATACGTCGACAAAATTTGGTGCCCTTCGAGCTCAACACGGACGTTCAGCTCCGTTCAAAGTTCCTTATGTGGAAATTGGCAACGAAGACTTCCTCAACAATGGCTACAACAGCTACGTCAACTACCGGTTCAACGCTTTCTACCAAGCCCTCTCGCCCAGGTATCCGAACGTGAATTACATCTCCACAGTTGAATGGACACCGCCTAGCGGAGTGGCTGTCGATCTCCACCCATATGGAAACGAGTCATATTTCAAATCTCTGTTCAACGCTTTTGATCACAAGCCACGTTCTATTCCCTTGTTCGTGGCGGAGTATGCTGTCACCAACTCAGGCAACAATACCGGGCAAACCGGGGCTCAGACGTTCGGAATGGCGCTGGCGGAAGCAATATTCCTGCTCGGCTGCGAACGCAATTCCGATGTTGTAAAGGGAACCAGCTATGGTGCTTTGATCAAGAGCTACGACGAAGCGCCTGATACCGTTGCGGTCATCAAGCAGACCGCAGACGAAGTTCTTCTTACTATGAGCTACTACGTCCAAAAGCTCTTCAGCACCTACTACGGCAAGGACGGTGCCCTCTCAGTGGCTGCATCTGGAGGCGGGTTCGACCCGTACTACTGGGCTGCATCGAAGTCTGGCTCTCGCACGATTCTCAAAGTTGTTAGCTATGGTGGATCGAAGAGCAGCGTTGCAGTTGTCGTGAATGGCAGCAAGGCTACAGGCGCGACGCTGGTGCGCATGTCGGCACCGTCGTCGACGAGGATCAACAATCTGAAAAGTCGAGGAGGCGAATCGAGCAGTATAACGACACTTCAACTCAACAGTGCTGGCGGTCAAGCCGGGACGTTTTCATTGCCCTTTGCAGCTGGCTACGAGCTGGCCATTCTGTTGGTTGACGGATAAGCAACACAGCATTGTGCTGAAGGTTGAGACTGGGTCAAGGGCTCCACGGCTGATGGGATGAGGAGGTCCACAAGTCTATGATTTCCAGGACTCATCATGCCAATACAATATTGGCCAAACTTTGCTTCACATGCTTTTGTTGGCACAGTCGAGCGAGCAGGCCAAGCCAAAGCCAGTATGTAGTAACGTAAATACAGACACTTTGGTATTGCTAGCCAGGTCAAATTGCGCTGTGCTCATCATTGAGGAGCGGCGGATGGGGGGCGCTCACTCCAATGCTAGCGAATCCTTCTACCAAGGTCAAGAAGTCGCGCAGTCTCCACCTGCGGGATTTTCGGCTGCAGTACATCTACAAACCTACTGCTTACTTGCCCAAAAATGCCTCTTCAACGCCCTCGTGGCATCCACGCTCTGCAGCACCACGGTGCCCAAATCGATGTCGACGACCGAAGCATATCTGCCACTAGCCCCATTCTCTAGTCCAGGAAGAAGTGTCCAGGGCGGCGTCCTATTGCTGCTGCTCATATCGGTCCGCGCTTGCCTCGCTTCGGCCATACCAGCATTCTCAGCGCAAGGGTTTATCGAGCCGTCGTTGGTCCGACGGGCTGGTGATGAACAGGTTCCAAGATGGTACTATGCGGGAGTAGCAACTGGGCTGGTCCTACTGGGTGGACTCTTCGCTGGTCTCACAATAGCACTGATGAGCCAAGATGAGACTTACCTCAAGGTCGCTGCATCTTCGGGCGACACGAACGAGAAGAGGTACGCATCACGAGTGCTATGGCTTCTCAACAAAGGCAAGCACTGGGTTCTGGTCACATTGCTGCTTTGCAATGTCATCACCAACGAGACCTTACCAATCGTCCTGCACAAGAGCTTTGGTGGTGGCGGGTTAGTGGCCATCGTAGGCAGTACTGTCATGATTGGTAGGTCTTATCTAGACTTGTTAACAATTACGAAGCTGATCGACGAGGCAGTGATATTTGGAGAGATCGTCCCCCAAGCCATCTGTGTGCGATATGGACTGTCCATTGGAGCATGGACCGCGCCGCTGGTCCTATGTCTTATGGTCGTGCTGTCGCCCGTTGCATGGCCTGCGGCGAAGCTCTTGGATAGGGTGCTCGGCGAAGAGGCTCACGGGACCATGTATAAGAAGTCAGGGCTGAAAACATTGATCGAGCTACACAAGACGGCAAAGCAATTGATCGAGGATGAAGCTACCATCATCTCGAGTACACTGGATCTTAAAGACAAGCCGTTGACGAGCATCATGACAAGCATCGAACATGTCTTCACAATGTCGACAGATACAGTGGTAGATGAGGGAGTTATCAAACATATCCTCGATCAAGGCTACTCCCGAATACCCATCCATTCGGCCGACGATCCTGAAACCTTTACCGGAATGCTGTTGGTACGACGCCTCATTGGATACAACCCGGCCGAGCGTAAGCAAGTACAAGAGTTCGATCTCGTCGCGCTCCCAGAGACGAAAGCTTCTACGACTTGTCTCGACATTCTCAATTACTTCCAGGAAGGCAAGAGTCATATGGTTCTCATCTCGAAATCGCCTGGAGAAGGGACTGGAGCCATCGGAATCGTCACGCTTGAGGATGTCTTGGAAGAGATCATCGGCGAGGAAATCATTGATGAAAGCGATGCGTTCGATCAAAAGCATCGACCCCTGAAGCGATTGATACCGGCGCTGAAACGGCAGAAGAACTATCGTGCCAGGACATCCGACATTGCGGATGATGCTGCGCTGGATCAAGAGCCGTTGCTGGCGGCTGGAGAAGAAGGCCCTTCGATATCAAGGTCTGGGAGCATGACTGAAAAGTCTATCATCGTGAATGGTGTTGAGAAGGTTGTGTTGGAGATGGATAACATACCAGAAACCAGAACGCAGTATCATGCTCGTGAGGGCAATAGTTCGCCGGCACCCAATATCTCAATAGCGAGAGGCCCCTAGACGCCGGGCAGAGGACTCAGCAAACCTGCAGTATTTGAACTGAACAGAGAGTCACAACTTCATGTGTCAAGGTTTGGTACGAGTCGGATCACACTGCTGCCCAAAAAGTTCGTATATTGCATTGTCAGAGCGTTTCCACTGCAACCCCCAAATGGGCGGTGGGCAATTTCCTGACCATGACCTCAGACAGAACCGAAAAGCAGAATTCGTATTTGATCCTCTTCTTGGACCTGACATCCGCCAAATCAGCCTACCAGATCGTGTCTTAGTCGCGCAGAGGCATCGATATTCAAAATCGCCTTAGCTTTCCCGTGGGATCCCGATCCTGCCCTAGAGCGTAGGAATCTCGACTTTTTTAAGGCATCTCGATCTTAAATCTCTGAGCTCAAGAGATACATGCACAAAGTCGAGGCTAGGATTCTACGGCCATATGACAATGCAGCCGAAGAACAGATGAGCAAGAAGAGCTTGAAGAAAAGAGATTTCAAGAGACAAATAATAAACGTGAGAACTCAATGCTACGCAGTGGGAACTTGCCCAAACCGCTCCCAAGCCACAGAACCAAGGTCACCAGCCTCACCAAACTTGGTTTGAAGTCGGGTAGAAACCTCGTCCACTGGCATAGTCGTAGTTTTGATTGTATCCCACACCGCTTGGTCTTGTGCTACCGAAAGCGCCATATGGGCCATACCATATATTGGTGCCGCTTACGTATGGATACGCAGAACCTCCTGTAAATGTCGGATCGCCAACTGCACTGAAGCTTTGAAAAGGTACGTAGTCTGATGGCCTCCGAACGACACTGCTGCTCGGTAACAAGGCGCCGTTGATGAACCACTGGTTGCTCATGGCTGCCCTGTCAGTTGAGATCTTGGTGTGTCTGATGCCGAGTGGTGAGGGTCCTGGAGTCAATAGAGCTGTTGTTGGTTGGCCTTTGAGTAAGGAAAACCGAGGACCGTATTTCAATAACCAGGTTGGGGCATGTTTCCTCCGTGAAGGCCATGGCGGCGTCAGTCACCAGGTCATGCTGGGCTGGGAGGTCGCCAAACTCGCAATGTCCTATGAACGCCTTCATGACTACGCTGCGGCGGGAGTAGCGACGACTGGAACCCATCATGAATGCTGAATTCGCGTACACGATTGCCATGCGGCCTCGAGGGTGTCAAGGCCGGTTTGCTCAGCTTCGTGGCATGCAGTCTGGCTACCGAATTGTGAGAGTGGTCAATCGGGGCTTTCGAGTCGTTGGCAGCCTCTTCATGGACTGCGAAGTATAAAGTCGACCAATACAACTATGCTGCTTCAGTCATTGACTGCTTGCCCTGAAGAAATGAGTAAAGGCGAGGGCAGCTTCCTGCTGGGGCTCGCAGCCTGAATCGTCGACGAACAGATAAGTGCAGGCCCTGGGAAGCAGAACATGGATCATATCCAAGACTCGCTAGAGGTCAAGCGTTCTTGTCCATGCTTGAGGTGTCTTGCCACACTCGCGGAGACGGATTGAGCCCGTCCTAGCTCGTGCCTTTTCACTGCTAACAGCACGTGTGCAGGTCCCATCGTCGTCGACATAACGATGATCACGTTCGCCGGGCCGAAGTTCAACATGGCGACCACGCGCTGCAGGTGGAAGCGATGCAGAGGGCAATATTGCCACCGATTGGCTCCGTGTGTGTTGTGTTGGCAGACGGCGATGGGCCGGCGTCGATGGCGACCGGCGAAGGAAGGGCCAAATTTCCTCTTCAGCAGCAGCGAGGGCACGCATTTTCAGACACGACGTCAGGGTGGAGACGGCGCCAAGGCTCGCATGTGAGAGAAGCGGGTGAAGACGAGGTCGGGGCGAGATAAGCCGCCGCCAAGCAAATCTTGCGTCGCTTATGTGACCCCTGTGATTGGCCCAGGCTGCTGCCGAACCGACCAGCCTCCCCGGCTTCCTCCGTCTTCCTCCGTCTTTCCTCTCCGGGCGACGAGAGTTGGAGAGTTGGGGCGTGGGCGGGCGTGTGGGTGGCTCCATAATGACATCGCCCCATATCCACTTCTTTGCACACTTTTTGACCTCTGCGCACTCAACACCTGGTCGTTCGTGCACCGGCGCAATTCAGCTGGGTGCAATGGTGGGTACCGACGATAACAATTAAGTATCCTCTTTTTCTCCCATTTCCCACTCTCCACGAGCTCCTCCTTCTCCTCCTCCAGCAGTTCTCTACTTTCCCTGCGCAGCCCCTTCTCCAGACACTGATCTCCCCCGTCTCCATACACCGATCTCCGCGCTGCTCCATCACCATGTGGGCGAGCACCGCAGGCCTCACGGGCCAGAGGCTGCGCACAGCCATCACCATCACGTCCGTCATGGGCTTCTCTCTCTTCGGCTACGATCAGGGCCTCATGTCGGGCCTCATCTCAGGCCAGGAGTTCAACTCAGAGTTCCCGGCAACCGCCATCCCCGACGGCTCCAGCCCTTCCTACCAGCAACATGTCTCTGTTATTCGTGGCGCCGTCACTGCCTGCTACGAAATCGGATGCTTCTTCGGTGCCATCTTTACTCTCGCGGTCGGTGAGAAGATCGGCCGTACTCGTCTTTGCCTGGCTGGCGGTATCATTCTCATTGTCGGCGCCATCATCTCCACGGCTTGCTTCAAGGGCAACTGGGCGATGGGACAGTTCATCGTGGGACGAGTCATTTCTGGAATCGGTAATGGCATGAACACCGCGACGATCCCCGTTTGGCAGTCGGAGACTTCCCAGGCAAAGAACCGAGGACTGCTGGTCTGCTTGGAGGGCGCGGTCATCGCTGTTGGAACCTTTGTCGCCTACTGGATCGATTTCGGCCTCAGCTACGTCGACAGCTCCGTCCAATGGAGGTTCCCTGTGGCCTTTCAGATCGTCTTTGCCGTCATCATGTGCATTGGCATGTCCGTCTTGCCTGAATCTCCACGCTGGCTCGTCAAGAAAGGCTACGAGGTCGAAGCGTGCAAGGTCCTTGCCGCTCTCCACGACACCAACGAGGATGATGAGCGTGTGCTCACCGATCTCAACCTCATCAAAGCCGATGTCAAGTCTTCTGGCAACAGCAATGGTTTCAGCTATCTCTTCACCACTGGCAAGACGCAAGAGTTCCAGCGTATGCTCATTGGATCGAGCACGCAGTTTTTCCAGCAATTCACGGGTTGCAATGCCGCAATCTACTACAGCACGCTGCTCTTCGAACAAACGATTGGCCTGGGGCATCGCCTCTCCCTCGTTTTGGGAGGCGTGTTTGCTACTGTCTACGCTCTCTTCACTATTCCGTCCTTCTTCATGATTGAGAAGGTCGGTCGTCGCAAGCTCTTCCTCGTCGGCTTTCTGGGTCAAGGATTGTCCTTCATCATCACCATGGCATGTCTGATCGATCCGACCACGGAAAATGCCAAGGGTGCGGCGGTCGGCATCTACCTCTTCATTGCCTTCTTCGCCTTCACTATCCTCCCATTGCCTTGGATCTACCCTCCAGAGATCAACCCTCTGCGCACCCGTACTGCCGCCGCTGCTGCCTCAACCTGCACCAACTGGATCTGCAACTTCGCCGTCGTCATGTTCACGCCGGTGTTCGCCGATGCCAGCCCGTGGGGCATGTACCTCTTCTTTGCCCTTGTCAACATGCTGGCTATTCCCGTTGCTTGGTTCTTCTGTGAGTTTTAAAAAATGTCTGAATTATTCAGAACGAATTGCTGACATAACATGATCTAGACCCAGAAACCGCCGGCAGACATCTTGAGGAGATCGACCTGATCTTCGCCAAAGCGCATGCCGAGAAGAAGTGGGCCTTCACTGTTGCCAATGAGATGCCCCGACTTGATTACCAGGAGATGAAGACCATGGCCCACACGCTCGGTATCCGTGAGGTTGGAGAGGATTACGTCGAGGAGGGTGACGCTGAAGGCTACAATGAGAAGGGCGGCTCGTCTGACGATGAGAAGGTCGCTGCTTGATCGGAGTCCCAGATTTGATTGCCTAAACACATCATTGCAATTGATTGACATATACCCCCGTTAGCGATAGAGCTACGAAGATAGAGACACACCATAGATTGTAGAGGATGTTTGATAGACAACCTTACCTCGAGTGGAGAACTTCTCGTAATGCATCGTTGCTGCAGATCCAGCGTTCAATCAAGCGGTAGGATCCCTCTTCGAAGACTTCAGAATTCGCGTCCAACATGTGCTCGTCGTCCGATGATACAACGCATTCGCTACCGCGTTGCGTGCCATCATTATATTGACAATATACCTGTCCTCCCCGGGCTTTATCTGGAACTTTCATCCAGAAGAATATCGAATTCCTCGGATTGGCTGAGCGTGCGACATTCTGAGCAACGAATTATCTCATTCATTGATGGATTACTCATGCCCAAGGACTCAAATTGATACCCCTAGCGATCGCTTGTATTGACATCCGGACTTCGACTTCTCCTTCGCCGTTTCCTGGGCGGACCAGCCTCGTCGGCTCACGTACGGGCTGGTCGCTACATGCAGTGTTTCAGCAACTTGGCGGTACACTCTACCGTGAGACGGAAGACCATTTCGATTACGCGTGGCATTTCCTCGAGCCTATACGGCCAAGCGTGCGTGCGAACGATGGACTCGTTTCTGACAAAGTTGTCGCCCGCGAGCACAAGGCCGTGAGGCTGCGATATGTATCCGCATCCTAGCGAACCACCGGGTGAATCAACATAAGCGGGCTACATTCATGAAGTGCGCTCAGTCTCCTGTGAACAATATGCCCACATTTGAAAGGATATAAAGATTAACGGCAACAACAAGCCGGAACAACCTCGACCAGTACACAACGCAATGGGTGAATTCAGCCTACAATCAGCCTCCAATCCCCCCAACCTCACCCGCAAGCTGCCAACCACCAATATGCAGTGCTCTACGATCCTGGCTGCTTCCTCTTCCCTGACGGCCTTAACTACGGCACTATCTACTCCAGACGCCACTCCAGTGGCAACAATTGAAAAGCGCCATGGACCCCCGGGAATGCCAGGCAAGGAACAAGTTCCTCTTCGACAAATTTGACTGCCATGTCAACGTCAACTTCCGGAACGAGATTGATTGCGACAAAATGTACTATGCCTTGTCTGCCTACTCTAGTACCGGTTGGAATTGTTCGCCAGATGGCGATGGAACACATACCTTCCTGGGCTCCAACACTCCTCCATTGGTCAGCCTAGTGTACCCGGACGACATTAAAGGGGTCTTGCGAGGTCACTACGATACCGGTGCCGTGTTATTCAGCAAGTACTGAGACAGGGGGAAGCCAAGGGCTGTTGAGTTGGTTGGATTTGTCGATGTCTTTAGCTGGGACTGCACGATGAAACGAAATAAGGCTTTGCATTGCACTGGGTTAGTTCATGGGGTTCAACGTTTGAATCGGCATCGTATGTGGCTGTTCATCACGCAAAGAATCGAGAGCATTGAAGAGTCAAATTTGGAATTGTCGCGCTGGCTATGCTATTCCAAGCAACGTAAAGGACGACATACGAAAAGCCATGATGAGCCGATTAAGCACCATCAACCCGGAAAACGCTTCCATCGCTGTTCCCGCTCCAAGTGTAACCGCAGTTACCGTTGCCCACGGTGTATCCATCGAGGGTGGATCCGCTTGAGGGGATCTTCTTGCTGAGAATGAAGTTGGGATGTTGCGATGGGTTCGAGCAGGTGGATCCTTTGTGGTTCAGCAAGAAGCAGTTCTTGAACTGTTGTCTGAAGATGAAATTCTCGCAATTGTACAGGTTCTGGCAGGCGATACAGCACTGTTCGGCGGAGGAGGCGCCATCAGCAACGATCTGGAAGTTGGAAGCGACGCCTGGGCCATTGTTGGAGACGTTGGGTGCGTAGTATCCGACGCCGCCGCTATTGAAATCAGGGCCGAAGAAGTTGCGGGTGTTTAGGCCATTTGGGTTGCTGCAAGCACTCCAGAAGGTTTGGCCGGGTGCGATCTCGGTCGTGGTGGTTGGGGCGGTCTCGGTGTTTGTTTGAGTGGTGGTGGTAGTAGTTTGGACAGTCGAGGTGGAAGTATCGGTCTCACTTGAGGTAACACGGTCTGGAATGATCGTCGATGTTTCGGTCAGAGTGGAGAGAGATGTGATACGCTTGGTCGTGACCACAATGGTTTGGGGAGACACGGGCAGCGTCGTGTAGGCGGTCTTGTTGCTCGTAAACGGAATGACTTTGGTGCAGACGACCTTGGTGGGATAGGCAGCAGCAAGGAGTTTCTGCACGCCCTGCTTGCCGGTGGTGACGGCCCGGACTTCGATGCCAGCATGTGGGTTGGCCAGGATCCACTTGTAGTTGTTGTTGTTGAGCGTATCCCAGACGTTGCGGAAGCTAGTTGACGTTGGCCAGACCGTGGAGGTATCCGTTGTTGTGGGCAGCGTCGTAGTGGCGGTCAATGTAATGTAGCGATAGCCCGTTGACACTGTTCCGTTGTAGACGGTGGTCGTGGGTGCCTTGACCAGAAGCTGGGTAGTATAGATAGTATTTGTGCTTGTTACTGTCTACGTGGGCGCATTCTTGACCGAAACGGTGCCCATTGAAGTCTGACACTTGACATTCTGGGCGGCGGCTGATGATGCCAGAAGTGGAAGGACGGCTGCCAAAGCGAAGGTGTTCTTCGTCATAGTTAAGTGTGCGATGGCGAAGTTCAAATGGAGTTCGAGCAACGTTGGTCTTTGTGGTGGCGTGAGAGATGGATGCTTAAGTCTCACGGTCTAGGTGACATGCACGATTGAAAGCGAAGACATGAGACGCAGAAGCTTTTGAAAGGCCCTTCTTACAACTCCAAGTTACGAGAAGAGATGTTGGGCCTTGAAGACAAGCTGGTGCCATTGGGAAAGGCGGCTTCGAATTGGTAGAATCTGTGCCAGCTGTATTGGTCAGTTTCATTTGTTTTGAAACGGATTCCTGCAGCTGATAGCGAATTCCGTCAAAGTACCGCTCGAGAATGTCGTCGCGCGGCAGAGGAGGAGAGGACCAGAACCTCCCAAGCCTCACCAGTTGATGAAGCCGACGAGGATAAATAAATCGCTACCTTGAATGTTTTCGAAAACTGTGTCTGCTTTGACTTTGAAGGGTACTGCGAAATTTCAGCCTAGGTGCCACCCCTGACTGTAGGAGAAGATGCTGCGATGAGTCGGCCATCTCACAGCGTGCAAATGTCGGATAGACAATGTCCAGAGAGCGGGATAGGTCAAATGAGCTGAGATTGGCGGTAAGAGATGGCCGTGACGTCCTTGAGCCGCTTCACCTTCGACCGCGCTTCTTCATCACAGCCTCTAGAAGCAACGTGCTCTTTGCGCTTTGGGTGGCATGGCGAAACTTCGTCTGCATTGCCATGAGCTCATGTTTGTGTAGCTCAGCTGCCTGTCTAAGTGGGTTATGTGTTCTTCATCGTGTCCCTAGGGTTCACTGAGGATTTGGTGTGCCTCTTGCTTCATTCTTCTGAGGTCGGCGTCTTCTGATGGGAATAGCAACTGAGGCTTTCTCGGTCGTCCACATCGCTGTGGGTAGATGCGGTGCCATCTCGGTTGTCTGAAGAAGTCGCGAAGACGAGGTGTTAACTCATATCAATCTTCGCCTCGAGAGCAATCAGGTCCGCATAAGGTAGGAATATTGGTCGTGGCCTCGCGAGGCTGAGAAAGGCTCTTGGTGACGCTGAACGTCCGAAGACGAGGTAATGGATGTTGAAAGTCTTTTCTCGTGGCAGATGAACGTTTTATAAAAGATCAGGTTCCTCTGATTAGTTCCTCCTACCTTTCCACAGCATGCTATCAAGGTAGCGATCATCCATCCAGTTCGCATGGTCTTCCACTTTCTAGTACTGTCGCTCACCACACCTGTCGTCAGCATCACAGCTGCTGTGCAGCAACACAAGTCCCACCAGCGGCACTGTTGCTACCTTGGCCCCCAGCATTGACATTCGAACAAAATCGCCGTTCGGTTCAGCACCTGGGCATCGCACCGCCACTGTTGCTGCTCCGCAACAACACAATCCTCATACTCGCACAACATCGGCGTTGGTTGGAGATAATCTCTTGGGTGAGGTAATGGGTAAAAGTGATCGAGTTGAGGGACCACAGATGCCCGAGTCAACATATGCCATGGCACATGAGGATTGCGAGGCTTTGGAGCGCATGGGAGCTATGCCAGATCATCGCGCTGCGACGGCCAAGTTGAACGAGGAAGATGAGCTCAGTCAGGTACAGTAGATGACACAGCAAGGGTTCGACGAGCTCCGCAGCGGCACAAACAACGTAAGCCCCAGATACTCCAATCTCAACACGGTCAGACACGCACGTAGCCAACTGATCCCTGGCTGCAGCATTCTAGATGACTGGTCCATGCCGACTCAGGGCAATGGTCAACCTGTGAAGGTGCTCGGCCAAATGACCAGCCTCGTCTGGACACCGGACAAGGAGACCAAGCGTGGTGGCGGCATTGTTGCAGATGCACCCGGAATGGGAAAGATGGTCATGACGACCGGCAACACCGCTGTCTCGAATCATCGACATTCAGGCACCGCGAGCCCCGTGGAAACTCCTCATCTTGTCGCAGTGCCAGCTGGACTAGTCCAGAAGACATGCGATGAGCGAAGCCTTGTCACTGGCCCTGATTACAATGTCTTCCGGTACGGCAGGCGTAAGCAGCCGGCATCTCCTATGGGCGAGGAGATCAGCGTGCGATTTGCCCGCGAGAACTTAGCTACCATAGCTCCAACGTTACCAATCACGCTATTCTTATCAATTTCCAGGTGAAGGCCCGCTCGGAAAGTGTAACGTCTGGCCCACGAAAGCTCTCATGTACAACAAGATCGATAGTCAAGGACATCGCCAGAGCCCAAGGATAGATCCAGAGCGTCGCTCTGCCCGAACTGCAACGCCGAGGAAGCTCAAGATCTCGAAGGCCGAGTCTGCGGCGCCAAACTTGGAGGGCGTCTCCAGCGAAGCAAAATTTGGTGGCGATCCGATCTTCGAGACGCATTACCCAAATAGCCGCAACAAGTTACAGTGTGCAGCGACTCAGGTATGGAACTACTAGATGCTGCTATAGTAGCGGCGTAGCGGCGACCAAGGAGCACCCTAGAAGGCGATGAACAGGAGTGCTATCCTGTTCGACGATATAGTGCTTTCGCAAGACTATACTTCGACGTACGCCAACACCGAAGGAGTCGAGGTCGCCTACACCCAGAATATGGCACGGATGAAAGTCAAGAGAGTTCGTCTGCAATTCGCGGACGGTGAATTTCCCTATTACCTTAAAGCCTTTCGCGATACTGAGAAGGAGATTAATTCTCACTCGGCGAGCAAGATGACGATAGGTAATGCATTTTCGGAGATGTCCTTAGAAGAGCACGACACCGACCTCAAGATCGCGGAGGCAAGACCGTATCAAGAGCGAGGCAGAGCCAAGCATTCGAATCTGCACACTACCCGGGTTTCGGAGATGGCAACCCCTGAATGCCAACACCTGGGAGGATCGTCGAAAGCTGTCTCTTGGATGTATGGTATGGGAAATGAGACACACTCGGGCTTGCGGCCTTTACGGGTTTCTAAACCCCTTTGAGAGCGAGAAGGAACTGCTCCCACGGTCCCTTCACTGCTGTCCAAAGTTCCGTCAAATGCTGACTGACGCCTACTGTACCATCCTCAAGACACTTGTTAGTCTGACACTCGTCGAGAGCAACAAAATCGTAATCATCTACATTGGCTTTGGCAGTAAAGTCGTTCTAGTTCAGAAGTATCTAGGGTTCTGTGGATTCGATACTACCCACTCACCAAGAAGGAGACGCTTGGCCAGCAGTACGAGACTGACCAGAAAGCCTTGAACAGCGTCGACAAGCCAAAACTCCTCATCATGCTCCTTTCTCTGCGACTCGCGGGCTTGATCCCGCACCACTGCTGCTGCCATGTCATCTACTGGGACAAACAAACGACATGGCCACTCCGATTCTGAATGAATGCAGAGTCCACCTACTCGACGAAACCATAGTTGCTACTACCTCTTCCATACGTACATGGCAGAGATCGAGAAGAAGATGACTGACAAGGCGGCTTGTATCAACACCATCAGGGCGGCAGATGCCCGCAACCTGATCAGACCGCCAGGCGAAGGCGGCCATGGTGGGGCTGCGGTTCGAGATGGCCGCGCCATCATCTTCTACGAAGCCGGAGCGAACCACTTCAGCACAGAGTGAGGTATAGCGTTTGTCTTATCCTGCACTCATGTCAAAAGCCAGTCAAGAGGAAGTGAGGTCCTTCTCCAGAGCAAATGTAACAGAGTTCGTAGTGGTGGTTGGCGTGGTCAAGCGACAGGAGAAAGCATGACTCTAGACCACAGTCGACGTATTCCTGTAGTAATTTCTCCAAAATCTAAGTCATCAATGTTCGTTCTGCGTAGTCAGATTGTTACCGCGAGGAGGCGACGGACTGCCTGATTGGGACTAGCGCTCCTACTTGCCGTGGAAGCTTGTGATGCTTGGCTAGTGAGTGAATGGTTACTGCAGGCCTAGTTGTTCCCTGAAATGGAAGCGAGACTTGCGCTGTCAATGGGCAAGAGCATAGTCTGTCACACGCAGTCAACACGGTGAAGGGTAGAAAGGAGCAATACTCCTAGTGTTTCAGGAGTTTGAAGCATAGAAGCCTTCTGTCCTCCCATACGCATTCCATTTCCAGCTTCTCAAGCACATGACCTCGCTCTTGAAACTCTCGAGTGTAAAGCGGACGTTTAGATGCTTAGAACCTATCTCGACTTACATAACTCGCGTAGCCTGGTGCCCAGTGAAAGTTGTGTTCAAGGTCCAATTTGCGGTCGCAGAGAAAGCCGCTCCATTCATTGCGATGAGGCTAATTAAGACCAATTAGTGGGGGAGTAGGTAGGGGAGTGACAATGATGGACTGCTCAAAAGAGGCTGTTCGCTCACCCGTATAAGCAAGGGCCTGGGGCCTTCTCAGGAGCTTCAGCCATCGATCCTTTGCTCAATTTGTGGTCGCAAATCGGCAAGTCTTCCGGTAGCCAACAATGACGTGGAGCATATCAGATCTGGCCACGACTGCGAGAGGAAGTCAAGTGCTGGTGAGAGTACTGGAGTAGAAAGTCCAGTTTGCGGCCGAAAAGTGAAAAGCCTCGTTAGTATAGCGATGAGCGCTTGGAAACGTCACCACTAACAAGCAAGGCATGCCAATGGTCCATTAAATGCCTCAGCCTAGATACTGCATAAGCATGTAGAGGGAAATCAAATAGTCCTCGGGCTGTCGTCTAACGACCTAGAGCAGCAAACCTTTCGACTGATAGGGAGAGCCGACGAAGAGCGTCTTCAAACCGGATACGCCGAGGGCTACGGGTTCTTATTCCATCGAGTGATATGCTGCTCTGGATTCAGGATATGGTCTGCTCGCTGGCTAAGATTGTTTGAAAGGACCCGGCATGTCTTTGATACTGCAATCCTTCCAAATTCATCACTTCGACTTCCACATCTCCTAAGGTCCCGGTAGCCTTGCATCCCCTGCTTCAGGCAACATTTAGTACAGCCAAGCCTCATATGCGCCTCATGCTCCTGTTCCCCCAACCCTCAGTCCCACCTCCGCCCGCCCCTCTTCACGCTCTTCTTCACCCCAGAACTCTTCATCCCGCGGCGAAGGCACACAGATGGTCTCGATATCCAGTTCTGGCTCTACATCCTCCCCATATTATGAGCGATATGTACTGCAGCAGGCGGTCTTGGTGTTTTCATGGCCTGTTGTGGCCGCTCCTGATTCAGCGCATCGTGAATTCGTGGATTGGTCGCAAAGGACCGTCGGTGAAGGTAGAGGAAGCAAAAAGCGGGGACGGTGTCACGCGTGGGTAGCGAGGAATAAGGATTCGGTTGAGCGATGGGGATGTTCTTGCTGAGGCTGCGGGGCTCGGATGTGATATGTACGTTTCTAGTATGACGTTCAAAATGGTATTAGTGCTTTGCTAGTGCCTGCGTGATGCCTGTCGCAAGAATGATGCCGGAGATGGAGATGTTGGTCGGGGTCGGAGTTGGGGTATGGATGATATGGAGGACATTTCCAAGGGGGATGCAGTGGATGAAGGCAGGTGAATTCAGGCAGGCATTTCCGCATGAACGGGGATGCTTTGTTCACCGGCAGGCAATGAAACTCTTTTTGTCATCCTCTGCAGCAATTGCGCACTTCTCTTCGACCAACTTCTCTTCCATCACCTCGCCATGCCGCCGGATGTGGAATTCGTCGTCCAGCCATCCTCTCGCCGCTCGCCAGTCCACCTCATCCAAACCTCGCCGTACTTGGCACCACCCTCGGCCCTGATCTGTTTGACGCAATAATGAACTGTAACTGTTAGACCGGATGACGGAGCTTATTCACCCGCCGCTTCTCGAATGGAATTTGCTAGTACGTGTGGAGGGGTGATTAAAGCGCCTTTTGGATATTGAAGACGGCAGCACGAGAGAAAGAAGTGTCAACAAGGCTCATCGAATGAGATTGGTGGATAGTACATTAGGGAAGCAGTCTACCGTGACATGTCTCCAAATACCCTTGCGCCTCAACGATATCATTTTAGACGATGCTGTAGGGGCGCTGACGACTGGATCCTAGCTCAGGGGGTACACCGACCGTGAAAAATGTCCCACTACTGTTGGCACCAGCATATCTGACCCCTGGGCAGTGAAGGTTGCGGAGCTATTCGTCTTGCATCTTGTTTCTTATACTATAACTCAGAAGTTCAGCAGAGCTGACCGTATCGCAGGAGTGCAATTTAGACCTCTTACCCATACACACCGCATCTCCATGGCGGACTGCTATGCCCTACCATCTATCGAGGCTGCTTCCTTTTCCTCTTACTCGTCCGTCCACCCTCCTACCCATTCGTTCCATGGTCGTCCCCCGTTTCTTGCTTTCAGTACGCTCTGCTTCATCTACGTGCCTCATCACCGCGACCACTGATACGCTTGAATCTACACTAAGTGGTTTGATTACCGACCACACATGGGTACTTACTCCAAGCATTAGAGCCACTAGTGCAAAAACTAGTACGCCAACGCCGGCTTCGCCAAGGTCGAAGTACGCCCGAGCCGATCCCACATTAACAACTTCTCCAAGTCGAATTTAAGACCTTATCAGGTCCATAGTCGCTTGCACATGATCGAAATCCTGGAGGTCTCTTGTCCCTGGACAAGGCCCTCGCTCGACACAGAATCTCTTAGATCTTACCACTAGACGATTAAACGAAGCTCGATCAACGCTTGCAGGCCGTGGACAAAGTTGCAGCGTGCAGATATGATGTGTGTCATTCGCTGTCCAGCGCACGGATGAGTAGACGTGGCGGCAGATATTGTGTCTCAAAGGGAGCAGCGGTCGTATTGAGGCCATAGTCAAACAGGGGTGGTCGTCAACACCTCGCGGAAGATGAAGCCGACTGTCTTTGTTTTCTATCAGGGTCTTCAGTTGCGACTCTCGCAGTCCCCGCGCATAGTTGAGGAATAGGGATGATTTGCAACTCGGGGAGGATGATGCTCTAGCACCACAGCCAAGACACTATGTATCATTGGGAAGGATCTATCTCATCCTTCTATTCTTTCCAACAAGAGAACATCGACTTCCACCCAGACCCTTCCTCACTAGCCAGTACTCTATGCTCCAAAACCCCCGGCTTCGCCGCTTTCAGCCATCCTCCTCGGCCACGATGCTGGGCTCTTCACCCTCGCGGACGATGCCGAGCCCTCCCTGCCCATCCACCATGCTGGAGCCTCCTTCTCCCTCGTCCACCAACTCGCCCACCAGATCCAATACGAGCTGTCCATCGGCATGCCAGTCAGCAGGAGATCCTATTCATCCGCATTGGTCGCTAGATGCAGTTGTACATTCACTTTCTCTTCTCGGTATGACGACTACTGGGGGAGAGCCCATATACCTGTGGAAGATGTTGCACGTCTACTAGATGCTGGAAGGGTTAACAGTCATCGTCCAGTCTGGAGGCACAGCTATGGCAAAGCCATCAGATCTCCCCACGACCCAAGTGTCTTATCGCGGCGCCTCGGCCTCCTGAGTCGTTCGCTGATCACAAGTGGGCTACGAGCGAATCAATGCCATTTGAATGCTAGCATGCAACTTGTTCGATATGCCAGGACCAACTCTCCATTCTATACGACACTTGCTCTGCATCCTGGTCCGCCACTCCCGTCAGATTAACGCAATAGCGTTCGTCAGCTACAGAGACGAAGCGTCGAGATAGAGGTAGACCCAAACTGCCAAGCAGCAACCGATGACAAAATAGAGTGCTATGATCTTGAATGGAGAGATTGGGCAGACTGAGAGCATACCCGTGGGGACAGGCCTGGTTCTTGCTGGCGCGAGCACTGGCAGATGGGGCTGTAGTCCTTCTAGTTGGACACGAGTCTTTTACGCGTGTGTAGCATGTAACAGCTCCAGATCGCGCCGGGCCACGAGTTCATGGAATATGAGGCAGACTAAATCTTCAATAAAGCGATTATGGCTGGGAGATTCCAAGGGGTGAAGAAGACACTAGTAGACAAGTTCCGCAGCTGTGAAGTGGGCAACGTGATTAGCATAGTCCGGATGTGCGGGCAAGAATGGTTGAAAGACAAGTCCAGTTTGCGGCCGCAAAGTAGGCACATCCTTTCTCGCAGCAGTGAGTGGAGAGGCGAGTCCAGTTTGCGGCCGTAAAGTAGGCACATCCTTTCTCGTAGCAATGGGTGGAGAGACCAGTCCAGTTTGCGGCCGCAAAGTGGGCACATCCTTTCTCATAACAATTGAAGCGAAGCGGTTCCAAGGGCCTGGTGAGGACTGAACAGAGCCTCAGGGCTTGTCGAGATCTTGGTGTAGAAAGTTCACCAGGCGGTGGCAAAGTAGCGTTCCAGCTCGCATGGCGATAGGGGTTATGGATCGGTGTGGATTTCGAGGTCGGTGAATTTACCGGAAAGGCTCTTGCGCTCTCGCCATCAGCCTAAGGAGCCAACAACGACAATTAGGCCGATCTCAGCCATTGATCAAGCAGTACTTACGGTCCAGAAACGGACTGCTTCTTTGTCTTAACAATGAAAGACCGCAGTAACACGCAGCAGTCTTTGTTTCGCAGCTCTTACCATGCATGCGAGCAGGTACTGATGAGCTGGCCCTTGAAATGACTTGCTCAAGAGTTCGTTGCTCGTGCTCTCTCGTATGTCGATATGCAGGCGTCCAGGATGACGAGGCAGCTCAATGATGCTTGAAGTGACAGTCTCGAGGCTCAAAGCGGTACATCGGGCCTGGCCTTTAAGTTGTGAGGAGCTGATTGGTGTCGAATATTTCCATATCAGGAATGGAGGAGCCAGGGGCAAGACCGGTCAACAGTCGTAGATCTTGAATTGGGGCAAACTCTTGATATTCTAGGGAGGCGCAAGTGGCGGATACTCGAAGGGATGGCAAAGCAGTTAAGACGCTTGAGTTGCTGAGTGGGAACCCTTTGCGATATGGTGACGTTACTAGTCGTCGGTGCTGGTATCCTGCTCGAGCGTCAGATACCTCATCCCATGCATTTCTGAGGTTGTGGATGTGGTGGTCCAGGGGGAGTCGGGCAAAGGAGAATTTGGTTCGGTCGGCGATCACACAGCGGGCTTCTCGAACTTCACACATCCCCTCCCCAAGCAACCCCAAACAAAAACCTCAAACAAACCCGTCGCTCACCAAAGCCGCACCAGCATGGCACCTGGCAGTCAACCGAAAGGAGCTCTCGCTCCAAGTACGCATAGAGCATCATGTCCGCTTTTGCTGTGCTCGTCTGACCTCTTCACAGCTCCACCATCTCTCGTCAGCGGCACTCTTCTTCAAGCCCTCGTCCAAGTCAAAGCTTTCGCACCCGAAAACCTTTGCCCAGACCTTCAGAACCACCTCAACGATGCAACCATGCTGTATCAGGCACTCAACAACATCGCCAACTGGGCAGGAAGTCAAATGCAAGCGCTGGAGAAGGATATGGCCGCCGCGGAAGCCAAGATGAAGGACGCGAAGAACTTCGATGATGCCCAAGACTACGGTACAGACGTGCAGGGGCTTCAACAAGATATGGATCACATGGCGTATCTCATCGAGAAGGTGGAGGAGCATCAGGAGAAGCTGGGATGAGGCGGATGCGGTGCACAAGGGCGAGGGTGCCGAGAAGCCCAAGGAACATGCTGTTTTACCATGGCAACTTTACCGCACTATAGCGGTGACTGTCCGGGTAAGATAGCAGTATGAATGACATTGCTCCTGTAGCGACTTCCTCATATCGGCGCTATCAATCGCACTCCGCAAGCTACTCCAGTTTGCGGCCGCAAACTCGATCGCCTCGAGCCATAGCCGAACAGCTTCTGTATGAAATGTACATCGTCAAGGCAGTTGAAGTTTTCATGCAGCGCATCAAAGCATCTCATTTTCATTTTGATCTATTGTACAGCCACAGCGAGAGCCCTTGCTAGCTCTCCATCACACACCATCGCTTCCTTCTTGATCTACTGGGCGCAAGTTACGTACCAGTGATGCGAGTGACTTGACTGCTTCCAGCCACGCCTGGGAGGATGAGGTCGACATGCGGCCCTGCAATCCGCAACACTCCCTTGTTTGCAGGACTCTCAGCGTACTCCGTGATCACGGCGAGCTGAGCGACTTCCTTCTTGTACTGCTGGACCACTGGGCGCAATGCCTCGAGAGTAGCCTCATCAGCGACTCCGAAGCCATTCTTGCGATACTGCGTCAACAGCGGCTGCAGCGCCTCTGCCTAAAACGATATCAGCAACGTCATGACAAGTGAGTACGACATGCCACTCCTTACCATTCTGGCGCGGATACCGAAGGTCTTATGCATACGGTCTTGCTCACGGACTGGATCCAACTCTGCATTGCGAGCCTCGACTTGAGATGGGATCGGGTTCTCCAGCGCTGACCACAGGTCATCAGTCGCCTTCTCGAGCTGCGCAGATCCCGTACGGCGGGTGTCATCCTCGTCGACAAGACCCCAGTATTTCGCGTTCTTGGCAAGGACTGGCTCGATAAAGCTGAAGCGCACGTATTCCTTGACGACGGCGTGTATACCGCTATGGAGGTCTGACGTGCCGAGCGCATACCATTCAATGTCGCCTTGTCTGTCGTTGATGGCGTCTTGAGTCATGCGATGAAGCTGAAGACCGAGCTGCGAAACCTGTCAGAGCGGTCCCTGCACCAGTGGCGCCTCTACGAACCTCAGAGGAGACAGCACCCCACGCAATGTTTGCCTTCTCGACCCACTTCATCACCTCTCTGATGTTTTCGGTGCTGTTTGGCCAGATGTTGGTGGCATTGCTAAGGCACGCTGCTGCGTAGACGAGGTATGCGTAGTCGTGGATGAAGCGTTTGGCAATACCCAGCTGGTCGCTGCCATGAAGGGAGTGGAGAGCCAAGTTCTGCTCGAGGCTGGATGAGAGTTTGATGTCCGCCCTGGAGAGAATGTCAGCAACAACAGCACACGTGTGGGAACCGACATGGAACTCACGCGGCGGACCACGAGGTCGGCGCCATGTTGATGATGGTGTAAAGGTGACGCGGAGCGCCTGTCGGTGGTGGTATGGTTGACGCGGAGCGCCTCTTAGTGGTGTGTGGTTGTGAGAGAGATGGAGCAGCTGGTTGGATGGCTGAAAGCGGCATTGGAGGTGGTGGGAAGCGGCTTGGCGTCACATGTTTGCTGGCGGTCTTCACACAAACACAACTGCACAGTCCATCCAGCCGCCTCTATACACTGGAATCCACCATGTCGTTGCTTCAGAAGGACGTCTGCGAGTTGCTGCACATTGGCAGTGTTGCTGTGCTCGATCCATCCCAGATGAGGACATTGTAAGCCGCGACCATCATCTGGCGATTGCAGGTACTGATCTCCAAAGCTCATGTGTTCATGAACTAGAAGACGAGAGGGAGGCGATGACTGAGGACAACTTGGCGGACATTGAGCGTCTACAGTTCATCACCGACTCCCTGCGCCTGGGCTTCGCCCTCGATTCCTGTTCCCTCTCCCTCCTCAACCAAGCCTTTCGGCAAGGGCTGGCCGATCAAGCATCGTTTGATCTCTTTTACGATATCATAGAAGCTCTGCTTCACAACCTGGAATACCTCCTGCCACTGAAAGCCGCCGACGATCTGTACGCAGCTGGTGTAGACCTTCTCGGCGAGATCGATGATACCATCCACACCCAGAGTCCTGCCACCCCGACATACGACTCACATCGAGCGTTTCTCAAGCTGGCACGCAGTCTTGCCACCCTCGTCGCAGAGTACGTACAGTACGTACCGCCGCTCCTCACCCTGGTGGAGGCAAGGGGTTTACGTGCTCCGCATCTCACCGAATCTACGCGATTCCTGAAGCCGAAGCACTTCATGTCCAAGTTCCAGTCTTTGATCAAGGGGCAGAGTCCAGACCTCAGACCTTGCCCGCTGCAAAGTGGTTTTGTGAGGCTCAGAAAAGAGCTTGGGGAGTGCTCGCGACTTCTTCCTGCTGTGGCTATGATGGTGAGCTTCCTCATCTTGTCACATTGCATAGCGCTAACAGCTCGTAATAGGCATGCAGCGTCCTCATGGCGCAACAGTTGCCGCCCTCTCGTCACGACCACCGTCAGAATCAGCTTCTGACACTCGAGTCTTTCTTCCGCCTGCAGATCAGTCGCATACCAACGGACCCCGGCCCAACGTTCGAGGCCATTACATTTACTACATCTACCGAGTATGGCGTGCAATCTGGTAGCACCGGATTTGGACACAAAACCTCCAGCGTTGTTGTTGACGAGGACGACTATACGGTGTTGCGGTATCGACAAGAGGAGCACTACTATTCTGAGGAGGAGGAGGAAGATCATGAAGAGAAGGAGGAAGGTCATAAAGAGGAGGAGGAAGGTCATGAAGAAGGGGAGGAAGATCGTCGTGAAGGAAGAATGAGAGTGGAAGTGGCACCGTTCTGCTGGAAAGCCTTCGCTCGCAAGTCCGCATAGGCAAGGCATCTGAATGAGAGAGCCAGTTTGCGGCCGCAAAGTATTGGAGCATTGCAGGCATGGTCTCGGCGCTCGACCTTTAGTCGGAGTAGATGCCCTTTCAACACCTCTGCGATGTATATTCCCAAAAGCAAGTGATGCCATTGATAGACTGTAATGAGAAGGAGCAATCGACGGTACCGTACATGCTATCTCCACTTCAGGACGACTTCTCATCCACCCATTTGACCTTGTCATCATCCAAAAGTCCCTCTACCGTGCTCCAATCCACCATCTGATGGCTGTTGATGATCCAGTCGATGACATGGGCCATGTGCTTGCAATCGTCGGTTGTGCGCGAGGCCCTCCACGGCTGCCAACAACTCATGTTCCCGACGAGGAATTGGAACTCTTGAGATCGCGTCGTCGCGACGTTGAGCCGCAACTGCTGCTTCACGAACCCGAACGGATCGCCGCCTAATCCGTATTTGTGGGCAGCCACAAAATGCACGATCATGACCGGCTTTTCCTTTCCCTGGAAAGAGTCCACCGTGGCGACACGAACGCCATATCCCAAGTCCACCTTGCCGACCTCGACATCGTCGAATCCGTTCAAACGCAACTGCTGTACAAGCAGACGGAGATCTTCCTTGTACATCGTGATGATGCCGATGTCTTTGAGGGCAATGCCTCCTTCGTGCAGCATCTTGACCAGACCCTCCACCGCGAGAATGCCACCCTGGTTGAAGTAGGACGTGCCGTGTACTTCTCGCTCGGACGGAGAGTCGACGTTCAGGAAGAGCTGTCGGTTGTTGGCGTCGAGCGCCTGCAGGGGATATCGTGTGGCCCTGGTGACCTTCTGCTTGAGAATGCGGGTAATCGTCTGAGCGAGTTCCGTGTCCCAGTGGCTGACGGGATGTCCTGGCTTCATGATACCTCCGTAGAAGACGCAGTTTGACATGGCGTAGGTCGATGGGTGGCCGCGGTAGTTGTACGTAAGAGGTACCCGCGTGATCTGTGGCCAGCCATCCAAGAGCCGCTTCAATGTCGACGTTGCGAGGATTCGGTACAGGGGATTGTGATCCTCTGACTTCGCAACAGGTCCAAGTTGTTGCACATCTCCGCACAGCACGAGGAGGTGCAACTTGCCAATGTGAGGTATGACAGCCATGAGCATGTCAGCTTCCACTGCTTGACCAGCTTCGTCAAGGAAGATAGCATTCGCCTTGAACTGCGTGTGGCCTTTGGGGTTCAGGCCGCCCGCGACGTACGTGGTGCATGCGACCAACAAAGACGCATCAAACACCATGCCTCGCAGTATGTTCAGGACCTTGCTCCATGGCGGCAGTGAATCATCCTCTTTGCCCGCTCTCCGCGCCTTGATGTGTGCGTGGTACTGCAGAACCACCGGTTCGTCTGGATGGCTCTTGCAGTAAGTTGCTATCCTTCCAGACATCCAGAAGTTTGCGGCCGCAAACTTGACTGATCGACGCAAGTCGCCGGACTGCTCATATTGAGCGTAGGTTTGCTCGTCTCGCTCACTGCGGAGCTGTACGACTTGGTCTTGCAAGTGCTGTAGTTCGGGATATGTCTGGATGAGTGCTAGGATCTTCTCGAAGAGAGCCTGCACGCCGTTGTTGGACTGGCTGGTGATGATGACTCGCGTGCCGATGAGCATTAATACGATGACAGTGATGGCCAAAGTGTGGGTCTTGCCAGTGCCCGGATAGCCCTCCAATATGAGGGTATTCGTGCGCACACCTCTCATGACGTTGTCGAAAAACTTGAGTTGGTCTTCGTTCAGACTTGCAGCTAGGTCGCGAATAGTATCCAGGACGTCATCGCTGAACGATTTCGTATTCTCTCGCTAGTCGTCGAGTCTAGAGTAGAGTTTTAGACTTAGGCTTAGATACTAAAAGGCAGATATCCTATTTTTTTCGGCGCAAGTAGACACTTAAAGTAATTTAAAATAGAACTGCGTTAAGTTTGTATTACTACGACGAATATTAGATACGTAGTACGTCGTTAAAGTCGTCGACTTTATCGTAGTTACGACGCGGGATACTAAAAGCGTAAGAATTCGTAATAAATCGGGCTTAGTACGCTAAGAGCGTAAGAATTCCCTACTAGATTCGGAAGTTACTTTAATATATAACTATTCTA